AAAAAACCAAAAAAAAAATCTGACGTGGCGCCGTCACAAAAAAATGTGGCGCCGCAAAAAAAAACATGTGGGGCCACCAAAAATCACATAGTTGTACTCAAACCAAAAGTCGAACCAAAATTGGTCATAGTTGAACATCTGCGATTTTTGTGTATTTGTAGTTGAACCTTACCATAGCTTATAATGGTGTAGTTGTACAATTGATAGTTGATATTCTTTTTCCATTCTAAACATGTTTATGTCATCATTTATTAAGAATCTATTATTGTTCTTATTTTGCTTCATAACATGGATATATTACCTATATGTTCCATATATTGTAAAGGATGCTTGATGACTAAACCATAATTTATTCTCATAATTTTGTAATTTCAATTTCTTGATATTATTTATTAATTTCTAGGACATGAATATGTGTTTATCTTACTTAATTATTTGAATTGCATAAGAGAAACTTATTTATTTATTATTACTTGTTTTTATACTTTCAGAATCGAGTAGTCGAACCAAAGTGAACCAATTGTACGAAATGAATGAGAAACCAAAATACGTCCACATTCATACGTCCACATTCGTACACGAAATAAATATTTGGAAATACAAACCTATTACCGTCAATATTTGTACGTACTTGAACCTGGTAGAACCTGAACATTTAGAAATACAAACTCATGACCGTCAACATTTATACGTACTTGAACATAGTAGAACTATGTTTTAAAACTCAAACATAGTTCAAACAACATAATTCATATATTCAATAAGGAATACAAGTAAAAATACAAATAGACGACAAATACAAATTGACAATGGTTTTTAGTTATACCTAATTTAACATAATGGTACAAAACTGACAAATACAAGCCCATAATTAGTTAAAGTTTGACCAAGTTTAACCTAGTAATGGAAAATCGATAAATGCAAATCCAAAAATACATATATATATATACACGACAAGAATTAGAAACTCTTATATCTCGACAAATTACATAAACGTGTTATGAATACTAAATTTACATCACTTACTAAAATTAAACTAAACTGCATTTTTTTTGTTTGAGAGTAGTTTGCCAATAACATCAAGTAAGCTATCTTTTCCATATATGATGTTTCGTACATGTGATATTCTCTTTCATCCATTGATAATCGTATGGTTTTTGATTAGTATTCCCATAACCAAAATATATGTTTGTGGAATGGTTGTTGTTCATTGCTTCCTGAAAAATAGAATAAAAATATTTAGTTAACAATTAATTCATATTGCAGAACTATACCATTTGTATTAATTGTCTATTATCTCTCAGTTATACTAGTTGTACACTATTTTCATTTGTACCCATCTGTACGAGTTGTACTATTTATCTAGTTATAGCGATTTCTGGTTCTAATCAACCTAAAAATCACAATGATTTAACAATTAAAATCGACAAATTACTACATCAAAAGCTTAATCTATTCAGAAAATATGGTTACCAACCCACTAAAACAACCAATTTTCATATCCAATCTTTACATTGTGAATCCCAAAATAACTTTATAGATTAGGGAAAAAGAAAAACTCCATTCTTCAAGCTTCAACAATGATGAAAGAGAGAGAAGAAATCAATTGAAGAAGGAAGAGAATGAGGCAGAGGTGATCAGGTGATGGCGGATTTACGCCAAACCGCCGGCGATGAGTTTCACCAGAAAAAAAATGTCGATTGGGGGGGGAAAAGAAACGTGAATTCAGTTTTTTTTTTCAGCCGAATTCAGTTTTTTTTTTTAATTAAAATGATTTTATTTTATTTTATTAAACTGATTTTATTTTATTTTATTTTAAACAGATTTCAGTAAGGAGTATATTGGAATTTCACATGGACTTTAAATTAAATCAAAAAGAAAAATGGCATTAGATCATGTTGTGGCACACGAGATTTAATTTTTCTGATTTATGGCAAATTGGCCTCGCGCTCCCCATGTGAAACATTAACCCATTTGGATCCAAATTTTTAATCCATTTGGATTAATGGATAAGATGGATTGGGTCAACCCATGGATTTGAATCCATTTTGACACCCCTACTTAAACCCCCTATATTATGAAACAAGGAATATATAATTAACATCCATTAGTTCTTTTTCTTTTTCATTTATTTAGTATTATTTTAAAATAATACAAATATTTTATTTAAACTTAAAATGTTTTGTTTATGAATAATATTTTGATCATTTTTGATACAATTAGTTTTCAGAAACCTTGAAACATGGTTAGTTATCAAAGTACTTTAAATTTTTGTAATATTCCTCTAAAATTAATCGCTATAAGTGATGATTAATATGTTAACTTCAAATAACAGATTATACACAAAAATTAAGCAATCAGAGAGGCTCTTGCCATTGCCAAGGCACCTTCATAGGTCCGGTTTGCACCAATAAAACCACTCATGTGCACAAAAACACATCCCGGAATTGAGCTTTCCTCAGAGAGCTTCTCCTTTTCTAGACCCCTCCATGAATGTGGCAAAGCTTTACGGCTCTCAAACCTCTCTGGTGAAACCGAAACCGCCTGGATTCTCCAGTTCTCGCTTCTATCATCCTTCACGAAACCCACACACACACACACACACACACACACTCATTACCTTGAAGAGAAATAAAGCTTACAACATAGTAAAATCGTTGCATAAACAACAGAGCACTACCTGGTAAAGAACATATTTTATGGGAGGATCAATCTTCATTTCTTGCTCGAGCTCGAATATATGGAGTTTCCACTGTCATTTGCACAAGACTCTTTAGCAACTTTCAAAAGCTATTCCACACCAGTTATCAATTCTAATACATCTCTTAGCAAATCCAAACCATGATTGCAGATGCTATATGTAAAACACTAGAGAACTGATTCCAACTTACAGGGCATTGTTTACTAAGCTTCATGATTTCTCCACTGGAGTCTATACCATGCCGTTCCGCAAGACACTCCATAACAATTGACCGAGCTGGTAACCACGACTTCGCATGAAAACGAACACACTATCACAAAAGGTAGAAGAAATACAAGGGATGTTTAGAGATTGATGTGGCTGTATTCTCAATTCATACTCGGTCTTATCAAACAAGGGACATGAAATATAGAAAAGGAGAAAAAACCTCCAAGAACTCAGAGCCAGAAAGTTCCATTGCCCGATGAAAGGCTTCATCTTCTTTGCTGCTAGACTGCTCAGGCTCAACCCAGTCTAAATTCAACCTTCCAATCCTATGTGCCAAGCTCGTATTGTTTACATATCTTGGAGACTGCTCAGTATCATACTGATGGATGCCATTATCTATAGCATCTACTGCCTGTAATTGTATAAACATTGACAGTATATGAGATTTCAAGAACTTCTCCACTATCTCTCACATCAAAACTAAAATCTCTTTCTTTATTAGCATCCTTAATTTGAAAACTGACAGATAAAGCCATGACTTGGTAACATGACAAAAACGCATAAGAAGCAACCTTTTTACCTCAATGAAGTTTTTGTAGACAGCTAGAAACAATCTATGCGCATCCGGATGTGTCTGATCAAGTTGAAGCTCCTTTGCAATTATCTCCAAGCCATAGTGCTATAACACAAAAAGCATCAGGACAAATTTCTCTAATTGGCCACTAGATCAGAAGAAAGTTTCTTCATTTACCTTATAGATAAGGCCGGCACTACTGAGTTTAGTGTTAAACCCATGGCCAAACACTTCGGTGAAGCCTTTCTGGTGATGGTCATAACGCTCACTCTTAGGATCATACACACCTCCAACATCAAGCGCCGCATCAAGCTTCTCCAAAACCTTATCACCATCATCACGAAATCAAGTAAAAACTTAAGACAGAGATAATGATAAACCGCACACACAAACATCAATTACTGCAAAAATTCGTACTTGTACAGGCAAGAATTCTTCAAATTCCAAAGCTAAATCAACCATTTCTCGGAAATTTCGAAAAATCCCAAATTGAATCCGAAAGACAGAAGATTAGCACACAGATAGGTTCGATTGCGTGGTAAATATAATAACGAGTACCTGATGATCTCTGGTTCGGACGATTTGGGCATTGGAGAATCTAGTGGAAAGACGAAGCATGAAGCAGGCTAAGGTTTCGTCGCAGTGGAAGGTTCCATTATGCGTCCCAACCCGTTTCAGCTTCCCGACGGAGTTCGTCGAGAAACTAGATCGGAAGTTTCCAGATCGTTTAAGAAACAGAGGATGATTCCAGATTCTGCTACAGTACAGACCTCTCGACCCAAACATGGCTTAGAGAAGAACAAATCTTTAATTTTCAAAAGTCAAATGGTCAACGACTAAACCCTTGATGACGAGGGTTTAAGCTCGACTGAACGTCGTCGTTTACGTGTTTTATGAACTTGACGAAAACGCTGTCGTTTGCTTTTACATTGTTTTCCACTTTTCTAATTTTCTGGGAATTTTTAATAGAGTTGATGACCATTTGTTGACCTACCCATATGGTTGATCACCACACTCACATTTTGGTTATCGAATTTGTTTGTTACCCATATTCTGCAACATTTTTAAATTTATTGTTTAAGTTTTAATCATGGGACCCTGTAAATTTAATCCCCTAATCATAAGAATTAATAGGACGATAGCTACCAATGAGAAATCAATGAACGTAACTAACATGGCAAAAATAGTAATAAAGAAATGTAACCAAATTACTTTGGAAAGACTTCAAACCAAAGGAAATGAGAAATGTGGTCTATAAGCATCACATCATTGCCTTCAACCATATCACCAAACATATTTTCATTACCATTCTTCTTCTCACAATAATCACACACACACACACACACAAATCGAAATTTAGTTGTCAACATCATAATAGATTTAAGGCTAACAACTACGTTTTGGAACAGGTTCGGTACGTTCTATAAAGACAAAGACGTGTAGACACAGAGATGTATAAATATGATGTTACCCAATAATAGCTTCTCTTGAGAATATAATCAAAACACTTTGTGAGCAATGACATTCTTTCACCTACTCATCTCTCTTCTCATCTGCATTAACTTCACGTCTACGATCTCCGTCGTGCCTGACCCACAAACACAAGAGCTAATCAACAGAATCTGCAAACAAACAATCGACTTCAAATTCTGCAACAAAACAATCTCCTCTCAGCTGATCAGACGACGCACTTCAATCAAAACAATCGCCAAACTAACCGCAGCAAAAGCTTGGATCAACGCGATAGAGACGCTTGACAACATCGAAGGCTCTCTTCTTCCGAAAGCGAAAGATCGTCGAGACAAAGCAGAGTTCGATGCTTGTAGGAAAGCGTATAAGTTGGTGGATGCTCATCTCGACAACGCGTTGAAGTATTTGTATCTCAGAGATTATCGGTTCATGAGAGCGTATCAAGCTCTTGCGCTAGTGAATATTTCCATGTGTAGGACGAGTTTTTTTCATCCGACGCCGATGGTGTATGCGAATTGGAATATGAAGATGTTGACGGATATAGCGATTTATGCTAGCAAGATTCTCGCTCCTCCTCCTCCTCTAAGACCGAAGAAGAAGACGCCGTGAACGACGTTGTTTTGGAGTCGGAGCTTGAGTTTTTTTGTTCAATCAATAGTATTTCGTCAGATTTTTTCAAACGATTTTTTATGGAATTTTTATATACAATAGCAACAAGAAGAAGAAAACCCTTTTGTGACATCCTTTTTTGTCTTTTAAAATAAATTACATTTCATTTAGTATCTTGTTTTTGTGGGTAGACCGTAGACATGGTTGTCTAAAAGGTTGTTAATAATTGTAGCTCCGTTGTTCTATTGTAATATAGTTGGCAGAAAATTGCATTAATCATATTTTTCCTCAAAAATTACGTAAAAATGTTTTAGGCAAGAGATTGCAAGAAGCGTCAAATTTATTAAATAATAATGTTACAAATAATTGCTACAAGTGATGATAATTTTGTTAAATTCAAATTCTAAATTCCTAAGTAAAATTAGAGAGACTAATAGCATTTTCTATAGAAGGAGACACTACATTTGGAAGAATTCGCAAAAGACATAAATTTATTTATCTTTATTTCCACATTCGTTTATCACACCCACAAGCAAATAAGCAATACAAACTTACAAAGATAGACAAGTTAGTACGGACGAAGCACTCATTTTTATCCGTTTGATACTATTTATGGTAAATCATATCTTTCAGAGATCGAAGGAGGAGTACTGCTTGTATATGAATCATGTTGGTTATCATGTTAGTAATCTTCTTATTACTAATAGACTCATGTTGTGGAAGCCCCTTAGCCTAGTGGTTGAAGGGATTTAATGCTTCTACATCAGGAGGTCTGAGTTTCGAATCCCGACGGATGCGATTTGCTAATAATTTATGCAGATTACTGGAGACAAGTTTACAGGAGGTCTACAAAATGGTGCACGTGGAGCCGTCGGCCGGGGAGCCTCTGAAGATGATAGAATTGTCCGTTGTAGAATTGTCTTGTAACAGTTCTCATATTTGTGTAATAGATTAGTCACTCCAGTGTTAAAAAAAAATAGACTCATGTTGATAATCAAAAGAAAGTGATATCTAGTATGAATATGTTTAGTACAGTTTTAGTTTTATTTTAATTTTAATCAAACTTTTAGTTTAGAAAGAAATTAAAAATTTCAAGTTAGATTCTTTTATTGAAAATACATATTAAAAAAAATAATACAGTTGCTTAAATTTTTTTTTTTTTAAATGTCTGACTTTGACCTTTTAATGAGATGCCATATTGACCGGTATACACCCCACACGCGTTATTTATTACAGTCAACTCAACATGTCCCCTTCTTGTCTGTAACCAAAACATGTCTAATATACATGTCTTTAACCGGACAAAGATTCTCCTCTCCGGTTTAATACCTTTGTTTCCATCATATGCATTCACACAGTTTTCTCAAGTAAAGAATCTTCCCTATAAATTTTCGAAAACCCCCTCAACCTTTCCACAGTCTTCACAACAACACACATACATTTATTTCCAATGAAATACACCCCTGAACCCTCTCTATACAGCCAAAATCGGCCCTGCAAGAAACAAGAAAATCCACCAAGAACCCACCTTATCAGACCAGTCACCTTCTTAAAACCCCGCCAATAAATTCAGATAAAATTTTCTTTACGAGAAGGAATGTTCAATCTTGGTGTGTAGAGTCACAACGAGGTCATGCGCATCATCCAAAAGCTTCCATACATCTAACTGCCCTGTCATATTATGACACTCCCTCAGAATCTCATCCATACTGTTATACCTCTCTATGATAAGCTTCCTCTTCTGCAACACCGACGCAGCAATCGCATACAGCACCAAATCATCCGTCGGTGGCGCACGCTGCCTTATCCTGCTCCAAGCTGATTTCCCCATCCCGGCTCTGATCGCAGCTTGATCAGCCCACATCACTTCCCACAGACAAAACGTCTGATCCAGCGTCAGCTCTCTTCTGAACATCACAACAACCATTCTGTACACAAAGAAACAGTCTTCAGCTTGGAGCTTCTCGAGGTGCCGGTAAAGCTGACAGTCTTTGGATTTGATTATCTTCGAGACTATGTTTAGCTGTCTCCTGATTCCGACCTCGTCGAGCCTGAAGTTGTGACGAGCTTTCTTCATGAAACCAACGAAGCACCAGAACGCCTCGTGGTCGTCAGGGATCACAGAGAGTATAGGAGTGAGAAGATCACTCATTCCTTGACAGTAGCCAATGTCAGAGTCGTATAAAGCATACGCTTCAAGAACAGCAACAAGCCGTGCAGCTTGGAAGATTCTGTACGGTTCCAAGTGGTTGTAATCTTTCAAACCAACCGCTTCAGCTGCACGACAAGCTCTCTCCTCGGTTATAACCGCCTGTGATGGTGAGCAAGGAGACCACTCTGAGTCAGCACGCACGGCATCTAGACGGATGATACGCTGCCACGTCACGAAATCCTCCTCCGTCCGGGGGATAGATGAGCTGGCTGGATAAGTAGTGTCATTCACGTCAGGAGTAGCGGAAGAGTGAAAGACCTGTACCATTCCACTCTCGTCTGAAGATTCTGAGTCTGATGACTCGGAGTTGAGGGTGGAGATGGTAGCGTTGGTGATCCGTCTTGAACCGGTGGTGCCGTCTCTCTCAATGACGCATGAGACTTCACTCATGTAACCGGTGTCTACAGTGATGTCTTCGTCGTCGCTGGAGAGAGACTCGCGCGCACTGACAACTTCGTCGGAACAGGAACTGTCTGAGTCTTGGACTTGTGGCCAGTCGTACTCGTCTTGCATGGCTTCACTGACTCTGGTTAACTTGAGAGTGCCGTTGTTGTGTTTCTGAAGCTTCTTGCACTGCCTTCGTAGGCTCTCATACTCCTTTCTGCATTTGTAGAAACAAAACAGATAAGCTTGAGAACAGAAATAGAGAAGAAAGTGAAAAAAGTTTCACAAGTGGTGATTCATATCAGCTTCTCTCTCACTCACCTTCTCCGAGTTCTTATAGCAACTCTCTCTTCTCTGGAACTATTGAAACCATACCTGTTTGTAGAAAAATAAATTAGCAAACTGATATGATTTGAGAAAGATGATAGAAGATTTAGGCTAAGCTTCTTCTTAACCCTAGTCTCTCTTAGAAAGGGAAAACACTAAAGAACAATACCAAAACCTAATTCATATAGGGAAACTCTAAAACTCTATTAATTAAAACACTCTAACCATTGTTACTACTCTTTCATAGATTCAACAAACAGAGTTTTGACTGTAAATACTTACACGCCAAGAAGGAATGGCCACACTTCCAGACGAATGCTCGGATCAATACCCTACAAGGAGACAAGAGAGCAAAATTAAACATTACAGCCCATAAATGGTTGTGACTGTGAGTGAAGTGGGTCCATGAAGCTCTGTGACTCACTCTACTTCGGACTTTCTTCAGCAAATCAGTTCCTCCGTTACGAAGTCTACCATCGGGGGTGAAGAACCTCTTCCACTGATGAGGTCTGAGTGGCTTTTTCCTTTTCCTCCGGGACCATGGTGATTTAAGACGAGACCTGAAACAGTGAAACAGAGGTTTAGGTTGTGTTTCTGCTTAAATGTGAAAAAAAACATCCATGGAGCTTTAAATGTAGTGACCAGCTAAGTTAGATTCAGGTGAATATTTCATTTCAGCCGATGGAAATAACCAAATTCATGTCAAGTAATTTATCAACGAATACTAAAAAATATTCACAAGTTTAAAAGCATGAGCTTTGGATTTAATTTCAGCGTTATTAACTCCATAATCATCAGGAAATGGAAACTCTATAAATTAACTAACAGTTTATGACTGCTAAATTGTTGAAAAGGATTAAAGGTTTTCAGAAATCAATCACATTTCATCTGGAGGACACAAAGTCTAACAAGTCAATCAAGGAATCGAGATCTTCGGATTTAATTCAATAAGAATTTAACAACAAAAAAAAGAGATCTCACCGATCTGAACAAGACGCTGGAGATGAAGAAGCAATGACAAAGAGAGCAGTACGCAAATGGATCCACGAAGATGAGGAAGATGAAGAAGGAGGAGAATGTAACGGCGATGAAGGATTTGAAGACGAAGACGTCGTTTGAATCCTTCTCAGAGCTTTCATCTATTAAATACCCAAAATCAAATAAATATAAAATCCAAACTCCGATAGCTTCTGCGTCTCTTCTTCTTCCTCCTCCTTCTCCAGATTAAAATCGAATCAAACTCCGAAACCACGATTCACCAACAGCGAATATTCCTTCGAATCAACGAATTGTTAACTCAAGCAACCTTAAAGCAGACGAAATTTTCAAAAAACTCCGGCGCGGTAAAAAACACAGAAGAATAACAGTCGTCGCCGGAGACGAGAGGACATCCGCCGTTACACCACCACTTCGACTGCGTTATCGCCGGAGACCGGTCAAGTAAATTGAAATAATTTCTCTTGCCGCGTTCCGTCTTCCACCACTTGCTTGTTGTTCTTCTTCTCCTCGTTTACTTTTGCTTTTGCTCCATTTCTCTCTCTCTCTCTAGAAACGTTGGATTTTACTTGGAATTTCTCTATCTCTCAAAGAAGAATCTGTGAAAAAAAGAAAAAAAAGTCTCAAGCGAGTAATACGAGTGGAGGCTGATGTGACCTTTATCTCTCTCATGGACCCACGAACTCAGAAACCTCGAATTTGCATTTTAGGTCTCTCTACTTTATTAATTATCTATTTAAGGTTTTGTCTGCTTTTACGTTTTAGTCACTTTACCCCCTGATTATTTTATTATTTGTATATTTGCCCCTTAAGTTTCATCTTTACATTGTTTGTTTTTTCTAGGCTTGTCTGTTCCGGACCATATCCGACTCATACCCGGTTTGAAGTAATTGTTCTTTTTGAAAACTAAGAAATAAATTAAAATGTATTATATTCCTACAAAAATAGTTGACTATTGAGTATTGACCTTAACTTTTTTTTTTTTTGGTCAACAGCCTCTATCTCTAGAACAGCTCGGGAATTCAAACTGGTGAAACAGAGTTTACATAGTACACATCAGTAGGTAGAGCTCGAGCACTTCGTGTTAACTTGTCTGCTTTCGTGTTTTTCGTCTTTGGTATATGCTGGATGGAAAACGAGGTGAACCTCCCTTTGCATCTGACAACCTCATCAAGTAGTAGTGAGAACGCCGGCCACTCCTCTGGTTTAGACACCATCTTCACCACACCTTAACTTTATTTAGTATTTAATTTAGTCTTGAAAAAATTAGTTTGAAAAGAAATTTATTTCTGAAAGAGTAGTTATGGCTATTTATGAAAGGGCTTAGAAGAAACTAACTCTTTTGACTGCAATTTGACCTTAATACCATTTTCTAACTGATATGGCATTCTCTTTCAAAGCTAACACACTTTCTCTTTTATTTTTTCATCAAATGTTATCTATTTGTTTTTACTATTAGGGATAATATCTTTCAATCGTCAAACAAATTTAAGTGTATTTTGATACTGATAATGAATCGGTAAAAAATTCAAAGATGACAATTTTATGATGTAATCTACAAAGATGAACAGTAACTAGTTGCATAATTAACTCGTAAAAGTATCTATCAATACAAATAAGTTATTGTAACTTTGTTAGATAGTTAATGCATTGAATATTTATTCATTTCATTGGATTGTTAGTATTTTCTATTTAAGTTCTCTTATATTATTGCATTCAGTAATTTTTTTTATATATATAAAAACAATAGGGTCAGTAAATTATAGGCTGCATAATTTTACCGATAATATACGCTATTACATTTATTTTTACTCTGTATTTTAGTTTCGACGTTTGATGTCCGTACTGTACTTCAAAAACTCGTCACATGTTAACTAATTGGATTATTTTTTTGTTAACTAGATGTTGAATTTGTTAACAACGCCTTAGCAATTATCAACCACAGTCGTTAATCCTTATTAAGTTTTAGACATAGTACCGAAAACGATCTTAATATAATGGTTCATTGCCTCATTGGTTCCCAATTAGCCCGATCTAATAATTTTCATGTTTTCAGCCGACCAAATCAAGCACATGGAATTAGCAATTGACAAATCATAATTCTATATCGCAATATGGATTTTATATTGTTGTTGTTTAGGGATCGAGGTACATAGCAGGATAGCAATTTTGTTAATATATGCATAGTACAATGGAATAAATAAAGTGATCATTAAAATATGTAGACATTAAACAACACTGATTACATTAATTTGGTTATGCGCTATGACTATACTTAGATATGATAACTCTTCAAATAAAATAGTATTTGATGTATGTGTCTCCCCCCTTTCTGGTTTTATTGTCCATTAAATATAACCTTTGTCTTATTTAATCGAACAGTTAATGCTATGGCAATGATATGATTATTTATTGAGCTTAAGGATTTGACTCGTTAACCACTTGGATTAGGTTTGAGAATCTACCAGATGCAAAGTATCTCAAAGTATTGGTTTGTTCGGGTGTTGGATCCGGATACTGGTTTGGTTTTAGTTTGATTTTTCTTTCTCTCTTTTTTTGGATTCTTGAAGAATCGTAGACAGAATGAATTTGAAAATTGAAATCAGCATAACTCAGTTTATTAGTATATTTTTTTTCTATTTCGACATAGTTTAGTTTCTAACTGAATAGTATATTTTTAACAATTCTAAATGCTGACACACGAAGAATAGCTTTAAATTGAAAAAAAAAATTAGTTAAGGATATAAAGAGAAAAACATTACGGCAGGTGGTAGGTATGGTCAACAAAATCAGTCGCGTGTAATTTGTTTTTGTTTAAAGAAGGTTAAGCAAAAAGATATGATTATCAGTAACTCAATAAGTTAGGTTTATTAGATAACAATCACGATAATATATTTTTCCTTCAATATTTGAATCGTAGTTTGTTAGTTTTTTTATGTCTTTAATTTGAACTTACATTACTGTATTAATACAGAATTTGCAAGAGAATCGAATAGCCAAAACAAAATAGGCATTTTGGTCGAACTGACTAAAACTGAAATTAAGAAAACTAATAAAAATCCAATTTGATATAATACGACGACTGACCTCTTGAGCATCTTTATTCTACATCTCGTTCGTCATCCAGCCGGCAAATGGATGTTGATATGTTCGTAAATTATAACCTTAGAATTATATTAAGCGTTTATTATCATTATCTTATAGGGGGAGAGTCATGAATCTATAGAAATGGTGTTCAGAAGAAAAGAAACACCTGTTGAAGTTTTTCATAGCTTGATTTATTAAATATATGTTTATAAAATATAACAGATGATTCGTTTCATTATTTTCTAAAACGAGGTTCGCCTCTAGAAGCACTTGGTATTTTTTTTAAAGTTAAGAGTTTTTCGTATGTACTTACTATACAGGAACTAACAGTTGATAATTTTTGTAAAGAAACAGCAAAAAAAAAAAAGATAAATTCAAGTATATTGTGGTTATTGATAAATTCGAATGATGTGGATATGTCATATGTTAATTTAGTGGGAAAAGATAAAATACCAAAGCTAGATCCGTTGCTTTATAATAAAGGGAAAGTAAAGTATAGTTTTCGATACACGACACTTATACATTGCTTCGTTTGAATACAACTATAAACTGATATTCATTCTCAAAAGAGAGAGATTCTTAGTAGTATTAGACATCAAGCCTAAATGTTAAGACAATTCTCAAAACCCATGCAACAATCTTTTTTATTTCATAATTCAAATATTAATCATGTTGGTTAAACATCCTCTACACCAATGATTAAACCGAATATTATTAAGAACCGAAGAGAAAAGTTGAGACAAAAATAACAAATTTGGTATGGTACACAACACAACAAGTAATAGCAATATGCGATATAACAAACGAACCAAACCAAACCGATTCAGTGAGACAAAAACCAAAAACATTCAGATCAAAGGATAGAGCACCCTCCACGAGGGAGTTTAGACGCAGCTGCTTGGTCAAGAAACCAGACCACTTCAACATCCGCGGTTAGTCTACCGGCTGGTACGTCTTTAGTATGAGTAAAAGCAGCCGCAACGGAATCAGCTTGTTCTTTATCACATACGGCCATAACATTGTACGAAGCACAATTGATAACCGGTAAAGTAAAAGTGATCCTTTTTGGTGGCGGTTTAGGTGAATCGGTTATGTATGTAACCCATTTCACTTTCTCATTGATCTCATCATGTCCCGGGAATAGAGACGCCATGTGACCGTCCGGTCCCATTCCTAGAAGCTGAAGATCGAATTGTGGGAAACCGGATGATTTGTATGTTCGGATTATGTTTTGGTTCACCTTTTGTCTGAGGCCTTCCTCGTAGCGTTCGGCTGCTAGCTCAGCGTTGCCTTCGGCTCCAAGGCCGTTGTCAATGGCGTAGATATTTTCGGCCGGAATCGGAACCTGAATAGTTAAGATTATGTATTGTCATGACTCATGACTCATGACTCATGAATGGTATCAAAATGTTATAAAATATCACATAGCTATGTTGTTTAATGTGTAGGTTTCAATTGTTGCCTTGCCTTAATGTTTGGTGTATTTTTATATCAAATAAACCCACGCATACTTTGTTTGATAGAAAAAAATACAAATACAAGTGACAAATAGTATAATATATCTAACATCTTTATGCAGATTTTGTGCTTGGAGTGTTTTGTAACTAATGACACTTGTTAAGCACCGTTACTTAATCATTTTTAAAGATAGATTTTAGAATTCTAAAAGCAGAAATTTGCTTTCGTAAATATATGATTTTTTTTAAAAAAATTTGTATGGTTGCGTATAGTTTATTTATGTACCTTGGAGAGAAAACCGTCGTAGGCGAGTTTATAGTTGCTATCGACATCATCCCAACCACAAACCCTCTCGTCGACCCAAAAGATGTGCCATTTAGACCATTCAATTGAATCAATATAAGGAGGTCCCAACAATTTCCTGTTGGATGAAATAAATTAACAAAAGTGAGATTAAAGCATTGAAGAGTTATAAGACATAGTTTTGTTTGTGTATAAACCTCGAACCATACCAGAGCCACGATATGAGGTCTCCACCGGAGAGAACAACCGTGAAAACTCCTCTTTCTTTGCAGAATTTGGAGGATAGATCCGCCGTGTATTTCGCCAGCCCCGCCGCTAGTTCATTCTTTGTGTTAAACACCCTCCTCTTCACCGGCGCCATCGAAGTAGATATGATAATGATTATGATGGTGATCTGATGATGATTGTGATGGCATTATACAATGGAGTCTTGCTTCTTATAGGGAAAGTGAGTGAGTGGAGATTCTTACCCAATGAATGAGACAAAAAAAATCTATAAAAATCTATGTACGTGGATAAACCAATCCTTTTAAATTAATTTTAATTGATATGAAAAGAGTATCTAAATGTATACCTTTCTTTGTTAATAATTTATTACACAACTATAAATTCATATAATATCAAATTAAATATTTTTATTGATTCATTAGTTCAAACTTTTTATTATGGCAAGAGTTAATGTTACAATGTACATGTGTCTAATTTTGTTAGTCAAGATCTCCAATAATTCTAATATTTTTCTTTGTAATAGACATAACAATATTGGTGCATTCCAACTAATTAGCCTATTCCATATTAGTGTAGTTGTTATCAAGAAGAGTAGAACATTTATATGGTTAAATTTGATAGCCTTTTCTTACTCAAATTATTTACATATGTATAATATAAATAAAATAAACTATAGTTGTGCCACTTGTGCTACATGTATAGTTATATATTGTATTGTCTTAATCATCATAGGCATTGTCTTCCATCTCCCATTGTCTTTTTCTCTGGTGCTTGCATTATTTTTTCTTCTCTTTCTGACTTCACGTGTTAGTTGAACACATTATGAATGTGACTATGTAAGATAACGACAACGTTTCAATGTATGAAACTGAATATCTGAATATTGGGGGTAAAAAGTTTTATTGTATCAAAACCATTGATTTATTACACCTCCAATGACCAATACCATTGCTTAGAGAGTTAGAGGGAACAAAACCAGAACCGAACCACAACAACAACAACGAAAACGAAACCCATCCAATTAAATCTATACAAACCGGAAATTAAACAGAAAAAAACTTATACAAAAAAATAATTTCCTTTTTATTTTATTTGTTTGTTTGGTTTGTAATGGTTCCTCTGAAAACAAAATGCTCAATACAGAAGAGGTACCTTTTTTTTCTCCAGTTCATGTTTTTGTCTTGAATCGACAGTATAATAACTTCATATGCCTTTAGATAATTAGGTTTGGTTTGCAAAGTTAGAAGTCACCTAGTAGGTCTCGAGCTCGAGCTTCGAACAGTCACACCATGCAAGAACTTGGCATACCCCAAGAAATTCAGCTTCCCATCCAAACTCCGGATCCAATCCTTGAGCAGAGGATACGTATTTGGTCCCAAACTCATCTCCTGCATATACACGAACTCAACATTCATACCTCAACATTCATACGAAAGATCGCGGTCTTTTTAGAGATCTCAGAGATATACTGAAGTCCCTACATACCTCGGCGAGTTCTTGGACTGTAATGGCTCGACTTCCTTCACGTTCGAAGTGGTCAAATGCTATAGTTGCGATCTGTTCCCATTCTTCAAGAGCCTCTAGTTGATAAACGCTAACCGCAGCCGCACAGAACTCTTCAAAATCGAGTTTCCTATGTGCTAAGGGTTGCATCTTCAATAAATAAAAAGATAGTATTAGAGATGTAATCATGCAGAGACTAGATTACACTGGGACTCAAAAGATCCATGTGTTTGTGTGTACCATGTTTAAAATTTCAGGAAGTCTAGATTCGATCATAGCATCTGTAGCATATCTTGTCAAAGCCTGCACTTGACACAAGAGTTTGAATGTTAGATTCACCCACCAATTGAAGAACAATCACATTTACAGCTATTACTAAGGTGTAAAAATCACACACTGACCGTTGTGAAATTGTGAAGATACAAGCCTCCATCTTCTGGATCCATGAGCATGAACTGTGCTTTCAAGAACACAAGTTCCTCTTCGGGTATAGCTTTAGATAGAGACTGTGGCACAAGTAACAGAAAACTGTGAGATATATAAAAGACAGGTTCTCTTCTTTTACCAAGAACAATAGGTAGGAAAATCAAATAAACAGAGGAAATCTATTTTCATGTTAGTTTCTTTTTTAACTTCTAGCATGAAAATGTGACTAGAAAATGATATTGACAAGATATGAGTCTGATCAGTTTTGTCACATCTCTAATGACATTTCCAACAATTAACAATATCATGCAAGAGTTATTATAAGAGTCAGTTACCTTAAGTGCTGCTCGTCTGAAAGGAGATGCACGAATATAAGACTTGACCAATTTGTAGATGGAGAAATCCAGAAGCAAACCAGGGTTCTCATCTCGAAGCCATGGATGAGCTGCAAATTTTTTAATCATACATCCATCACACTCATGTTTTCTTCATTTCACAGATCAATGTCTCTAGTTAAGAACTTTACCTAAAGCCTGAGCAGCTGTCATTCTTTTCCTATGGTCTTTGTTCAGAAGCCGTTTCACAAAGTCCTTGGCAATAGGAGATATGGAAGGCCACGGCAAATCTTCGAAATTCGGGTTCGCTCTAAGCACACAGCGGAAAATCGCAGACTCGGTCCGTCCATAAAAAGGTCTGCTTCCACATAGCAATATGTAAGATATGACACCAATGCTCCATATATCTGCTTCAGTGCTGTAAGATCTGTGGAGTACTTCAGGTGCAACATAGTATGCACTCCCTACCACATCGTTGAGACGCTGATCTGACTCAAAGATCAACACAACACACACATTTCGTCATTACTCAAGTAAAAACTCTATAAGCAGAGTCATGTAAAGATAGAGGAATCATTACCGAATCTAGAGTAGTCAGACAAGCCAAAATCTATGACTTTGAGTATTGAATCCTCGTTTTTGCTGGTGAAGAGAAAGTTCTGAATGCAAAGATCTGTTTAAGAAACTAGCAACAGAGAGACTTATGATATTCACAGCAAGTTTTATAAGCAGAATGTGTACCTCTGGCTTTAGATCACGGTGCACAACACCTTGAAGATGAAAAAATGCAGTAGCAGATAAAATCTGCACAAGAATACGTTTAGCATCTGCTTCCGTGTATCGACCTCCTCTGCAAATACAAGACAGTACAAGTTTATACTCCATACAAAATACAAAAGCTAACTAAATTATCAGAACAAAAACAAAGAAATGAATCAGAGTTTTGATTTACCTTGCCAAAATTCTGTCCAATAGCTCTCCACCTTCACATAACCTGGAATCAAATTTGCAGGAAAAATCGATTAATCATTATCTCAAGTCAAGCCAATGTCATACCATTAGTAGTGTTACAAAATGTTAATTACTTTTAAGAAAATTATTTAGAAAGGAGACATAAGTGCAACTGAGACAAACATGGAGAAAAATTGGTGATCCAGAGATATATAAGGCCACAAAACCAGTAATCACTACGAAAAATCTAAACTTTTGCTTCTATAACACAATGAGATTAGCATAAAGCTAGTAAGAAAGTTCAATTTAATTGTGATGCATAGAGAAACATGGAAGAGACATACTTACTCCATAACAAGAAAGACATTATCGGCGTCCTCAAAAACATCGTAGAATTTAACCATATGCATATGTCCAGACAGAGCCTTCAGCAATTTCACCTCTCTACGAACATCTTCTATCGACAGAGCCGATGTCATCTGAAACACCACAAATTCAACACAATAATGAGAATTATTCCGAAATCACCAGTGGTTCTGTTGATGAAACAGTAACCATTTTGTTTAATTTTCCGATCACATTGTCACAGTTTCAGTTGAAACATACCAAAAGAAAAAAAAAAGACAAACCTTAGCTTTAGAGATGATTTTGACTGCTACGGTTTGACCTTTGATCTTCCCTTTCTTCGCTTTGGCCCAGCAAGTATGACCAAAATGCCCTCGCCCAACCTCTTTCCCGAGCTCGTACTTCCCTTCGAAGTTCTTCGCGAATCCGAAATTCTTATCCAACCTCTCCCCGACTCCGCCGCCTCCGCTTCCGCTGGCTCTCCCGTGATCGACTTCCTCACTATCCTCAGGGATCGGACCGTCACGAGGCTGCGGTGCCGTACCTCTCCGCCGTCTCAGAGCCGCCATAATCGGTTTCGCAGGTGAAGGAGGCGGGAAAGGCCATTTAAACTTTCTTCCCGGCGTTCTCGCCGGAGATGGAGCTACTCCTGCCGGCAACGGGCTTTGAAATGGACTAATGTTGTAAGGGTTGACTTCGGAGGAAGAGCCAGACGCAGCCGGAGACTCCGGAATTGAGTTCTGGTGGTTGTTATCGTTCCGATTTGGAAACTGGGCGGTTCCGGCGGGGATTTCGCCGTCGTCATCCTCGACGGTGGAAATGTTCCGGCTGTAACAATGACCCATCGTTGCCGGAACGTTGAGGTCAAATTAAGTTGATCGGTCAAAAGTCAAAGCATCGGACGGTGACGAGACGAAGTTGAATAGTAGTAAGCTTTTACAGAGATCAACAGAAAAAAAGAAATAAAATGTTTAAACGACCGATGAGGAAACCGGAGAAAATAAAATAATGAGGCGATGATGATTAAAAATTAATTAAATCAAAACCAAATTGAGTTTAAGATATTTTTAAATAAATATATAACGGAAGAGAAGGCGTTGAAAAAAGCCGGTGGTTGCTAAAACGACAGCGGAGGAAATGTGAATACTACGATGGCCACGTGAGCACGGTGACGTGTGCACATTAATGGTTTTCATTTCTGTGTCGTCACGGACAAATTTTCTTCTGCTTCTGTAATTAACTTTTTCTTTAATCAAGTAACTAACGGACAATTCAACCATCATTATTATGTTTTACACATCTTTGATACTATCGAAATTAAAAGTATGTGAAAAATGTTCAAATCTTTCTTACAACTTTTTACAAGTACGTCGGTTATCTTCTTAGGTCACAGTCATTAGTACATTCTTAAAACAAATAAATACGGCTACCTACTAATCCACCGTCTAAATAAACCGGTTTAAATCCATTTGGTAAGAAATTGCGGACGTTAGAAAATAGGTTTGACATCGAAATAGTCACGTTGTTTTAGCATTGAAGAAGTCTAAAATGATACACTGTTTGGTGCATATAAGGAAAAAGAAATCATGGTCAATCAAGATACATTATCATTACATTACATGTATGTATACACATAATTGAAATATCTTTGATCGTCACGTGGTTCATTCGGCTTCCTGTAACCGATCCGGTTAAGTTAGTAATGAAAAATCTTCATGAGCATCCATTTTCTTGTCGTTCCAAAAGTAATCATGCGATTGCGGAGTGTCTTTGTGAAATGCAGTCCGATTTGTTCTTGGTTCGTTGTCATCTAATCCAGTCCGATTTGGTCGTTGCCTTGGTACGCTTTGTGGCCGAAACCTAGCCACGGTTGAGACAGTGGTAGACATGTAACTTGGTCTTGTATGGACTTGCCTTGTGACGCAAGTGTTCACACGTGGCGTCCTGTCGTTGAGTTGTTGGTGGTGGTATGAGTACGTATTATACGTATCGATCTCGACAATCTTGATCGGTTCAACGATAGTCTGATCGGTTGACATTCTCCTTCCGGTTTCTTGATAACCTATCCGGTTTAATCTTCTCGGTCTTTTGTCCTCTAGTTCGCTTTCACTATGTGCTTCTCTTGCTGTGGTTCTCCACATCTTTAAACCCATATAGATATAGAAGACCAAAATTTTCCATCAATAATGTAATTTATACGAAGAATATTGTTGAATATCTGTGGAAAAACATTGCTGATATATATATATATGTTATGATAATTAAATTGAACCTGTTTAGAGAAAGCACGAGACAAGCCAGCTTCGACGCCTGGACTGGTCGTTAGTTTCTTACGGTGATCAAGAACCCTAGCCTGGACCCGAACCAAAGCCTCAACCCGAGACAACGTAATGCTAGCTCTTCTACGCACGTTGTGGCCTCTTACTAGGGCTTGTAGTTTCACAACTCCTTTTAGAGCCCTAAACGCTTTTCGTGCCTTGAGTTACAAGTCAAGAAGTCAACAAAATCAAACTCAGCTTCGCCATATAAATAGGTGACATAAATAAACCTCAGTTTAGTTTCAATATTGAGTTTTGTGGTAGATGTTGACAAAACTAGGTTATGTGACGAACTGTAATTCTGTAAATGATATAAAATTATAGAGGCTATTAGAAAAAAAGTTTTTACCAAGCATCCTCGGAAAGCTGTCTGAATGAGAATAGCAGCCATGTGTCTTTTGAGGTACACGGATGTCCGACTGAAAAATACGGCTTCCTTGGCCGCCGGATATGCAGCTGTCTCCGGTTTCTCAGCCGCAATCACCTCAACAGCCGCCGAATTAATATTTTTAATGTTGATTCCGACGTCTGTTGCAGAAGAATCAGAAGAAGCTTTCTTGAATAGCCATCTTCTTTTTCCTCTCTTCTGCACCAATCATATAAATTTGAAGAAAATGTATAACTTTCAGGGCTTTATAAGAAGTTTTATATCAGTTTATCAAAAATGAGTTGAGCTAAGGAAGATTTGTTTAAGTTACTTATGACTGTCTAAACTTGTAGAAAAAAAGGAAGAAAATGTACACTGAATAAAAACATGCATTTACTAGTACGACTTTGTGAAGATTTAAAGAATAAAAAAATCAAGAAATTAAGCTAACTATCAAGTGTGAAGCAAGAACCGTTTGTTGCTGTTGTTCGTCTTCGTCTTCTTCGACGAGGTCGTTGCCTTGTCGACGGTCTCTTCTTCTAGGGCATTTCTTTTCTGGTGACCGGAAAACATTCTTGACCGCAGTAATCCACGAACTTCCTCCGGTTTTCCCCATCAAGATCAACCTTGTCTGCTTAATCTATGTTACTTATACTGTCACTTTGTTGGAGACACGGAACACGTTGAGGATAGCAATAGTACATATAAGGGAATGGTGTAGTTAAGAAGAAAACAATCTTCTTTATGAAGAACCATAACCTTTTCGCTGCCCAATATTAAATTAAAAAGCTCGGAACATGTACATTTTGTTAGTGTTAAATGCAATAAGAAGTGAAACTCTAAACTCGGATCTATATTGATCTTTATGTGTTCAATACGTTTATAATATTCAATTTTGTTTATAATCTGGTCGGTTTAGTGTCCCGTAAAGTAAATCAAAAACTTAATATATTTTAGTATTTCTACAATAAGAACAAATATTTATATCGTCATGTAACATGTTGAGTAACCATCACAGTTCACAACTCACAAGTAACGGTCAAATGCAAAACGATATCCAATATCTGCATTGATATTATGCTTTGTATCCGGAAAAGCCGAGAAAGAGGACAAGACGAATGTTGGAATAAGAAGAATGACGAAGCGGAAAATAAAGTAAAATAAGTGATAAAAAGATAAAGAACAAAGAAAAAGAGAGGAATAGGTTAGGCATGCATTGTGTTTACAAATTTGATAGCTTTGTGTCAGAAACAAAAATTATTGTTAGCATGAAAGAATGTGAAAATGCTTCTCTCGAGAGTGCAGAAAGCTATTCCTTCTCTTCTTTCCTATATACATACAATCATTTGTTTAACCACTAACATCACTATTTGATTAGTTTGCCATGATGTTGTGTATGCACTATTATAGTCATTGAGCTCCACAATAACAAAGAAGAAAATATAATATTATATTCCTGAAAATATTATCCCAAACTGTAAACTGTGTAACCTTATTTGAAAACATAGGGCTCATTTGGGTGACACGATAAAGGTTTTTGCGTAATCACCATACTATTGCTTTTAGCAAAAACGTTTGCTAATCAAACAACTAGGTCCACAACAAAATACTTATGAACGTTTTACAGTTAGCTAACAAATCAACTTCACAATACCTAAAATTGGTAAAACAAAATAAGCACAACAGTAAGAAAAAGCCACAGGCAAACTAAAGTGCTTACCTTTTTTTCCCGTCAACCATACAATTTTTGGAAAGCCCATTAATGGGCAAAGCACATATGAATCAACAAGATGATGGTGACAATATATACCTGAAGTAACCGAGTTTCTCAAAATATTTATTTCCACAAGAAGCCTTGCAAAGTAGATATTGCAGTACTTTCATTAGATTTGACGCAATTTAACACTTATAGATGAATCAAACAAAATAACAAATCATGATTTTCAATCTCTGTTTCATCCTATGTAAAAACTCTTACTACTTTGAAAGTTAAAAAACGAGACGTTAGAACAAATGAATCAGAGAACCAAAAGAACTAGGAATTGCGCCAAATGTCTTAAATAATAATTCATAAAAATATCCAAAAGGGTATTTCAACAACAGGAAAAGAAAAAGAAAGAACCAAACATTGTTTTTGGTGACTCTATAGAAAGGAGAAAGATAAGACCAAAGTTCTTGAGATGTTCAAAGATACCGGGCAGGCTCTGCGACTGCGAAGCATACTTAAAATAAAACTAAATGATTTGATATATATATAGAAACACAAAACGCCTCAAGGTACCTTCTTCTTCAGACTTCTTCTTCTTCTTCTTCTTCTTCTTCTTCTTCTTCTTCTGCTTTCTCACTATATAGTTCTTACATCTCCGGCGAGAGCTTTAGTTGCCCTCATCACGGGGAAAGTGCGGCCTTACTGGTGTCTTTGATGGGCTCACCCTTCAAAAAACACACATAAACCAACCCAAAGATGAGCACAAGATCCCCAAATTCTATCATTACTCTTTATCATAGAAAGATATGCATATGAACCAGAAACAGAATTAAGTAAAGAGCAAGCCAAGTCGAGAATCTGACATAACACTTATCCATATACAGTTTCTATCGATCGGTATCAAGTTTACTTTTAGTAACGCTTAAAACTACAACCTACCATGCACAAAATTTGACATTAAAGGGGATATGATACGTTGAGAAGCTAACACTAGATGTCGAAATGTTTTACCTTATTGGGAGTGTGCCCAAGATAACACCACTGCAGTGAAGAGCTGCAATTGCACTTTCAGCCTGAGAAGACAAAGAGCAAAGTATGAGTTTTTCGACCCTTTTAATGTAAACTTCATACTCTTAAGTTTATGCATCTACAATCTGTAAGAAGTGAGCAGCTTTATGAAATGCTAATCCCTGTTTCTTTAAATGCACTAAACGGGCATGCAATGCAAATGGTAGAATCTTAGCTAGCAACTGAAACTATTCAACCACCAAAGCTAATGTGCGAAAATGGGAACACGTTAACTGAAAAAATAGGCAGAGAGGGTTTACTTACCATTGCAAACTCAACAAAAGCAATGCGGGTTTGGTGGTGATAGTCTCCAAGCCTCAGACGATGAACCTACAATACGTATAAACAAATATCTGATTGTAGAGCAGAAAACACAAACACACACATAGAAAAGCATAAACAGTCCGTCACATTTCAAAGCAAACCCTTACCTCTCCGCAGAGCATTTCAAAGAAGCCTTTCAAGTCAGTTTGAGTGATCTGCAAATTTTGAGAACCAGGACAGTTGATGAAAAGTTAGTTAGTTTCTCCAATGCTTAAGCAGTTAACGGTTTCCAAATGAGAAGTGGTAGATGGAAAAACAAATTACATGCTTGTCAATGTTGGTACAGTAAACAGTCCTCACGCACATCTCACGCTCATCCTCAGACTGGAAGAAACAAATCACCATTACGCTCTAGATTTGATTCAAACTGATTACACAGAAGCCAAGTTTTAACCATTGATTATTTGAACCTACCCGAGGAAGGAAAGTCGGGTTAACAGGTGCAATAGCAGTTTTGGAAGGAAGCACCTTAAGAGGGTAAAAGCCGAGCACTGTTCCCGACATGCTCAAAGCATTGAAAGCTCCCTCTGCAGCAATAGTCCTTAAGAAACAGTACTGTAAAAAGAATCTTAACTAGTAAAAGATTGGCTGAGGCCAAAAGTACCTTCATCGGTGAACTCAATGAAAGCGAAACGCAGGGCAGAATTTGGATCACCGCACACACGACAATCAACAACCTTTTTGGATCCCAAAATGACAGAAAGATCATATGAGGGAATGAGTTTATTGCAGATAATCAAAACATCATAAAACATAGTAAAGATCGTTTTAAGTACCTGTCCACAATTAATGAAGACACCTGCGAGGGTTTCCTCGGTCACCTAAAAAACAAAACGAATTTAAGAGAGGCAGTGGTTATAAAATGGATTCCTTTATGAGAAAAAAATGGTATCGAAAAGCCAATAACTTCCTTTTCTTTTTTACCTGTTGATCGATGTCGGAGACATAGACAGTTCTCCTGATTACATCATCCTTCTGAGCCATGGTGGTTCTCTTGTTCACTCTCCTCTTCGCTTGGCCAAAGATCCTTCTCTGTTCAATGAGAAGCACAAGAATTACAAAACTGGTATACAATCCACAGGACAGTTTTGAACACTTTCCTTTGGCATATATAGCAGATAACAAGACAATATCAAGGCATTTCTATCTAGTAGTTTACACATCAAACGCAACCATTTTCACAAAGTGTAACTGAATAAGCAAAAGCAAACCGAAAACATATAATTTAGCAAACTACACACGAAGTAAAACTGCTTCTCAAGCAATGATCAAGCAATAAAGACTCAACGAACACGTAAAGCTTGAAACTTTCCGTTATATGTGTGCGGAATTTACCAACATACAAGCTTTTACAATCAACAAACGAGCGTACCAAATCATGGTAAACAAAGAGAGACACACAAAAGCTCTAAACTTTGAATTACCTAATTCTCTGCACCTCACTGTATCTACAAAATCTAAGACTAAAAGAGAATAAGATTTATACAAAATTCACACATAAATCAGAAAAGGACATTCCATAGACCATAACACAGCAAAGCAAACATCAAATGAAGAATCAAGTTGTGCATCGAAACATAGCAGCAAAACAAATACTTTTTTTTTACCCAGAAAACAAAACAAATCAAACCACAGAGATCAAAATTCAGCGAGAATGTTAAAGGGATAAGGATAAATATATTACCCTTCTAACATAATTATCACTCCCATCTGCGAAATTGTGAGTAAACCCATTTCTCAAAACCACAGATTGGCTTCGAGCCAGTGAAGGAGGAACAAACTCCTGAGCCATCGGATTGAGCTTAGAGAAAGCATCAGCCAAATGGTTGATCTCACTCTTGAGACTCCCTCCGTTGTTGTTCTCTCTCTCACCACCAGTCACCGATTTCGAGCTGAATCCATTTCCCTTAAACCCATTTGGCGTCTGACCAGCTTTGGCAGTGTCATTGGTCCGATCGTCGGCTACCGGAGTCGAATCGGCGATTGGAGGATTCGATGATGCCAGAGAGGAATCAGATTTAGGGCTCTGATCATCGCCAGGACACGGCGGCTTAGTCTCGGCAGCAGAGGAAACAGTGTTGTTGGCTAAATTCTGACCAGAAGAGTCCACTTTCACACCAGCATTTTCAGGGACAGCCATGATCGGAGCAAAAAAAAGGTGAATCTTTTCAAAGATCAAAAGCAACTTACGAACTCGCCGATTTCTGCATCAGAATCAAAAACCAAATTGAGAAGAGAATTTGAAGAAATGATAAAAACACACAAAACCCAGATAGAGAGAGAGAGGAAGGAGAGATCATGAGTTGATACGAAACCTGAGACTTATCTGCGATCAATGGTATTCCATTAATGACGAAAACCCAACTTATTAAGATCAATGAGCAGAAGAAGAGCGACTGAAACAAAGAAAAAGACGGATTTTTTAAGGGGAAATATTTAGAGGAGGAAAGAAAAAAGGTGAAAACTCGGAAGAAAAATCCAAGGTGGATGATTAGAATAGAAGGAACATTTTTAGAGCCTTTAATTATAAATAAAATTAATTAAAACTACCTTATGCTACTTTTCTTTCTTATCATAACCAAGCTGTACTACCTTTTGGGTGTTTAGCAGTTTAGGAGATTTGTCTGAAATTTTTTATATTTCCATGATTTTTTTTGCCAGCTTATATTTCCATGAATATTTTCTCTCTTTTACAGTATAGTACACTGTGTTCTTAAGAAAAGCTTCCTCCTTTATGTTTCTTTTAATTAAACAGGAAAATAAATATAATTATAAATAAGCTGTTAGTTGTAACTTCTAATCATAGTCAAAACTGATTATTTGTAATCTGCATTATTAGTGTTTTAATCAATTAGTTGAACTCTTATAGGTTAATTTTTTTCTAATTATCTTAAAATATTTTTTTGACAAGATTTTTCAACATATTTATTTATGATATATGATGGTGTATATTTAAAAAAAAAACCTTTTTATTAATTATCAATGTTCATAAAGTACGTTTTTTATTTATGATATATGATGTTGCATTAAAGAACCTTTTTTATTAATTATCAATGTTCAAGGCTATATGCATACTTTTTTTTTTTATAATGGCTATATGCATACTTTTCTCATAAGAAAACGATAATGTTTCGTTATTCTTGATTGTATATACACAGATTAACAAAATTTTATAGCTTTGTACAAGGCTAGGAGAGGGATGGATCTTTGCGCAAGCGACGACACAACTACCATTCTTGTAATGGTTGCTTCGTGGATTAAGAAACAGCCTTTCTCTTGTATCGTTTGTGCGTTGCAAAGTTTTGCAACTGCTTAGTTGGTAAGTTGTTTGAGGTCTACCTGTGATTGTTATCTTCTTCTCTTACGATGTTCATATTTTTTTCCTGTTTTTTTGTTCTTGTGTGCATGAGAGAGCAATTAACCTGAACGTGATAGTGAAGCATACATTACATTTTTAGAATTGTCACAAAATCTATGACCGCTGTTGCATCTTCTAAACGCCATATGATGATAACAAATTCAAACTTTTCATGAGTTATAATATGATTCTTGATCTGCTGCCATTGGCTTGAGAATTTCTGCACCATTTCTCGAGGATTGGTGCATGCCATTGGTTTAAGAATTTAATGTGTTTTAAAACACATATATATTAATTTTGATATTTTTTACCAAAACCAAATCTGTAGAGTTAGTAAATGGAATCTTGTAATTTAAAGGAATCTTCAAAATTACAATGGAAATTTTCAAAATATGATTCGTATAGTAACTTATCCCAATCTATTAGATAATGTACAGTGCAGTTGCACTTTTATTAATCGGTGTTATTGACAAATTATGTTGCTTAATTACGAATAGGCTTTTAATAATACTCTGCAAACAAGTGAGTACTTGCTGTTTAATTTTTTTTTTTTTATTGTCCTCCGTTTTCACGTGTGACGACAAATTATACCAAATCTTTCAAATGGTATCACTAACTTGCAGAATGCAGATGATAGAAACTCATTCAACGTGAAACAAGAAAATTTCTCTTAATTATTTTGGAAAGGCACGAGTAGAATTGGTCTTTGGTAAGTGTGTCATTACGATTTTGCACATTAATGCACAGTCAATGGTTAACTCAACTGTACTGACTATTTGTTTCAATGGATTAAGTCAAACTTGAAGGCGAAATTGAGAGAAAAAAACCAAAACTATTATATTTGGAATTAGTTTTGCGTAATACTTTGGTGTAGTAGCAGGACAACATTTCTATTGGCAATCATAACGGCCCTATGAATTATGATTAGCTTTTCAGGAAATTTCCAATACGAAACCAAATGCCTGTTTTCAATTATTAAACATTTTATACAATTTTAAACAAAGAGGATAAGTAAGAAAGTGGGCTAACAATAAAGCCCATATTCAACATCCCTACAGATTTTGCTTAATATAAAAAACAAAATCCCTGCAAATAAAGATACACGAAACAGAGCTTCTTCTTTTCTCATCAGTTTCTTAGCAACAAGCAGCGGCGCATCAGAATCGAAAAAAACGAGAAGAGAAGATGACGGCGGATTCGCAGCAGAAAACGAGCAAGCCCCGATGGGGGGAGATGGAGGAAGACGACAATTTTGATTTCCTTCTCCCTCCGATGCAGGTGATTGGCCCTGACCACACCGGTTTGAAGACGGTGATCGAGTACGATTTCAACGCTGAGGGCCATAAGGTCAAGAAGACCACTAGGACTCGCATCAAAAAGTTAGCTATCGCGAGGCTCAGCAAACATGCTATAGAGCGGAGGAACTGGCCTAAGTTCGGTGACGCCGCCAATGGGGACGACGGTAGCAATCTCACCATGATGTCTACCGAAGAGATTATCATGGAACGACCCAGAGCTCCTGGTAAATTTCTATTTCTCTATGGTGATGAATCTGGTCAGTTTTGCTTGTTAAGATTCGTTGGGTTTACTATTGATTTTGGAGTAAAACACTCAGTTTTGATTTTAGGTTTGGAAATTTACAAGTTTGTGCACTTTGCTTTGGTAGCATTTTTGGTCTTGTTCTGCGTTTTGGCTGCTAATTGTGTGAATAAGCTAGTGATATCATCTTCAAGCTTTTGTTCTGTGAAACGTCTCTTGTTCATAGCTTGATTGGATGAAGCATTGGCTAAATGAAAACGGCATAATAGGTCCAAATATGTATTTGATTTCAAGACCGTGTATTACTATATCATAAATTAACTATCTTTAAGCTAGCCATTGGCTTGCAAAATCTTCCAATGGTATGTGTAATTCTGTGGCTTTGTATTATCTTTAAAGGCTTACAATCTTTGGTGGTGTGGATATTTCAGGTGCCAAAGCGGATGAAGCAAAGGCAGGAGAAGACGGGTTGTCTCAGGTTAATAAAGGTGCATCCCTAATGGTGTGCAGGACATGCGGCAAGAAAGGTGATCACTGGACAGCTAGATGCCCTTACAAGGACCTGGCACAACCAACCGATGCCTTCAACGACAAGCCACCCACTGGGGAAGCATCTACCGTATCCGCTGCAGCTGGAACTGGCAAGGCCGCTTACGTCCCTCCTAGCATGAGACCAGGTGCAGACAGAGCCGCTGGTGGCTCTGACATGAGGAGGAGGAACGATGAGAACTCTGTGCGTGTTACCAACTTGTCTGAAGACACCCGTGAACCTGACTTGATGGAGCTCTTCCATCCGTTTGGCGCTGTGACTCGTGTCTATGTGGCCATTGATCAGAAGACTGGAGTCAGCAGAGGATTTGGTTTCGTCAACTTCGTGACCAGAGAAGACGCTCAGCGAGCAATCAACAAACTGAATGGTTATGGTTATGATAACCTCATCCTCAGGGTTGAGTGGGCCACTCCAAGACCAACCTAAGAAATGTCGTAGACCTTGATGACTCTTTTTTTGCGGTTTTTTTGTTGGTTTGTTTTGGTGCGGATAGATGAGAAGACCAACATGTTTTTGATAACCGGATTTTCAAAATCTAATGTAAGTGATACGGTATGCTTAGCAAAGTCTTCTTGCCACTGTGGCATTACAACTTTTGATTGATGAATGGAACAAGATTGGCGATGATTAGTTTACTATCTTAAAATGTGTAATATGTAAAAATACAAGATTACACGAACAATAAATACAATTTTTAGTTTAGTACAAGTAAGTTATCACACAGGTGAAGCAGAGAGAAGAAACTCAGGCTGCTTTCTCTGCAAGAGAATTCCACAGAAGAGGCAGAATGGTTTCGAAGGAGCAGTTTCCGGAAGCGACTTGAGATCATTTGGGAACGAAGGCAATGCGAATAAGGTCTCTGGCGCGAGTTCTGAAGTCAACCGATTGCAGCATTTGCAGAACCATAAAGGAGCTGGTGGGCATACCTGCATTGAGACACAACACCTCTCAAGCTTGTGGCCTTGATCACGTCTCTCTCTGTCTTTGCTGTTCTTCTTGTTTTGGTGTGGAGATTCACAGAAGGCTTCTTCTGGTGAGTGGAAATAGACTGGCGCCTCACAATAAGGACATTTCTCTTCCTCTAAAGCGGTTTCTGAGCTGCTTGTTGATCTGTGATTAATTAGAAACGTAGAAGACATGAATATGAAACATTCTAGCATCTATTACAAAAGGACGAAGCAGATGATGTGTGAGATAATTACCTTGTTAGACTAGATTTTACTTCTGCTGAAAGTGTTTCGAGCTGACTATGGACAATGTTGTGATCTATCTCAACCCATTGTTGCAACTGAGACAATCCCGCTGGACGCCAATTCCCAGTGGAAGTCGAACCAGTACCTAGAGATGACTCAGCGGTTAGATAAGCCGAGAAACTGAGACCAACAAGTCTTTCTCGGAGTTCTCTTTCGCTTCCCTCAAGCAGTTTGAGCCACAGATCAATCTCTTCTTCGCTGTTCGTTCTCTGACCTTGCAACTTTCTGTTTATTTCCTCTGTTTTGAGGTCTGATAACATCACACGTCTGGAGATTACATTGAGAATGTGTAACAGCCTGGAAGGAACATCAGAGAAGCTTTTGTAGATCTTTGGCACGAGATCTTCCATGGGGATATCAGCATGAAAACCAAGGTATGACACAGAGAGCCACTTGGTGATTACCAACTCAACAAACTCCGGCATTGATTGTTTGAACGCCAACATCGCAGCAATCATATCCCAGAGAACGAGAGGCTTATTCAAATCTTTAAATTCTTTCAACGACCAGAGCAAATTGAATTCCCAGTATGCCAATTCGTTCTTGGAGAAACCAAGAATAGCTTCGGTTATCGTCTCTGAAGAATCTTCCGACTCACCGGATTGTTGTGCACCGTTCCAGATGAATTCCACAGCAGCCTTCTGCGACCTGAAGGAGCAAGAAAGGAACAAACATTCAAGTTTTGTAACAAGCAAGACACAGAAACGTTTCTTAAATGAGAATTACCTGGCCTGGTACATCGGATTCAAGAGTTCAGCATTAAAACTGCGTACCTGCACATAGTTAAAAGAGAAGTCTTAGTTTACTAATTCTGAAAAACGTGATAACTTAGTCACAGGCTCACAGCTGATTAAGGTTGTTTGGAATATCATACCAAAGCAACAGCGAGGTTTCCGGGGGACAATGCAACACCAAGACATGACAGGAAATCATCAGGAAGCTGCAGAAATTTGTTTATTATTGACAAAGCAGAGGAAGAGAGAAACAAAAGAGACAAGATTAAAAACATCACATAGTGACGTACATCAGTCGTGCTACTCAGACCAGTTGTGTTTGCAGGAATTGGCACTTCAGAGATGGTATTCTCACTTAAAATCCAGTTCCGGACATAATTATCCTGGAATATTTCAAAAGAGTTAATGCAACCGATCATAATGTAGCTCATAGCTCAGTTTGTGGCTTAAAAGAAATCAGTTTTGTTTGTTATAAGGAAGAAGTATATACCTGACTGCAACTGTACAAACAACGGCCATCATATGACCAAGCTAATCCTGTAACCTTAAAGACATTGACATATCAATTAATCGACCCTGTCTATTGCATTATATAAAAGGTTTCAGTAAAAGAATAAAGACTTACTACTTGGTCATGAGCATTAGCTGAAGCAACTTGTTCAAACTTTCTGGTAGATATGTCACTCTTCCATACTTCAAGGGAACCAGATCCTTTGCCAATTGCTAAGTGCATTGTATTAGAATGCTTGTTCACAACAAATGAAAGCGTTGAAACCGGAACAAGATTCACCGTTACAACCTATAAAAAGCAGGAAAATGTCAAAACGTTAAACTCGTAATGTTCGCTCGATGAAAAAGCCTTGTACATTGAATTAGCCTGATAACTACAAAATGGATAGAAAAATTGAGATAATTAAAACGTTCAAAAGCACAAGGATCTACGGACAAAAAATGAAATCTGAATCCAACTTTAATCAGAAAACGTTACCTGTTTCAACAGAAAAAATGATGATTTGTAGACCTCAGCAGATTTTTGCAAGTCTTCTTTGTTGCTCATCCAAATATTTACACTACAAAAAGTGTGGAAAGAAATGGATTAGAGATGTTATAACGAGGGTTTCCGTTGAGAAACCTATGCAAATGAATGGATATTAAAATGGCTAATTTCCAAGAGCGAGAGACAAATATTTTTAAGACTTGTCCATTCACTAATGGCATTTTTGTTATGGTTTACAATTACAACCTTTTTAGTAATATAAAACTAACTTACCTACCATCGCAACTCCCAGTAGCCAACACCACTTGCGGATTTGAAGAATCACAGCCAAAAATTCCCCAACTCATCGTTGAAACCCATGAGCTATGGGCCTGAATTATAGCAGTAAGTTCAACGTTGGGAGTTACAGTGCCACGTTCAATGTGATAGCATTCTGGTGCATGAACTTTCCATATGGAAACACTACCGGACTTTGAGCCAATTGCCAAAAGAGAGAATCTTAACATATTCTCACAAGAAGAACCTTCTGATGAGAATCTTAGTAGAGAGGACCAGGCAACGGAGAGTGAGGATAATAATGCCTCACGAGCAACATAGGTTTCTGGATTTATCTCTTGACTGAACTTTTTTGGACCTTTAGGCAAATAGTGACAATACTTGGCATTGCTTGGCTGTTCATATGCTTCAATCTCAAGTACCTGCGAACATAATAATCAAATTATATATGAGTACAATGTGACGATTTGATTATTACTAGATGACAATTGAGAGTGAGTGTCAAAATTTCTAAGAATCATGTGGAGTGAAACAATGCATATAAAGTATCCAGGTGGAATTCAAAAGCATGACAAGAGTCGAAATGCCTCAAGTCAATAGCCAAACACTATAAATCCACACAAGTGTTATACTGAAAAGAATACAACATTTATTTACTTGTTGCAATGACCTTGAGTCCTATAACACTAATTCTAGCAAAAGACGAGTTTCCGCAAAAGCAAAGGAAAAGATTCAATGTGCAGGAACAGAGTTAGAATCTGAAACTTACTTCAGAAAGAGAGTAACAGAGATAAGTTGTACGAATCAAGATAGAGTTTTTTTTCCAAAGCAAAAAACAAAAACAGAAAAGAAGCTAGTGAAGAGAAATGAGGAAGTACATTTTGCACCGTACGACTGTCTTGCTTGGAACATGATGCTTGATCTGTATCACTCTTTTCATGCATTTTGCTAGATCGTAGTCACAAAGGAAAAGAAATTTAGTAAACTGATCAAAGCATAGAAAAGTAAACAAAAAAGCATTTCTCAAACCAAAGTAGTATCCATCTAAGAAAAATTTAGAGCAGAGAAAAAAAGTACTCTTTACATTTTGTCTCCTCTCGTTCTTCTTCGCTTGCACGCCTTCAGAGTTGAAATCCTTTCATCCTCTTCATGATCATGTTGCTCCACTTGATCCTGTGATCAAAGAGCAGAGATCATTGCAATAGAATACTTTATTGGATTGAAATGTTATGCATGATCGGTTAATGATAACACTAACATCAACACACACAAAACAAAATTTGATGGACCAACAATACCTACCAACCACCACAACTGTTTTCAGTCACGAAAGGATACTAAAAGATGGCAACGAATTACAAACCATCAAGACATCCCATATAGAATCACACACACAGTTTTCGGAAGTAGTAAAAGTAAATTGTACTTCATGGTAATAAATTTTGACTATAGCGTGATTAGTTAAGAGATTCAAGTTACCTTAGATAATGATGTAGAAGGATTGTTGGACTCTCCAAAGTTCATGCTTGAAAGGTTCTCATAAAGCAGATCAGTTATATCAACAATCTGCGAAAGAGAGAAAACAACTGTAATTCATAAGTGAGTTATAAAAGGCAAAAGACAAGTTATGAATTTACCTCTATCCACTCAGCACAGAAATCAGAATATGGAGGTCGGTATAGCTTAACCCTTCCTTCTGCTGTGCAAACAGCCAATAAGCACCTGAGCATAGTTTATTTGAATCGCCAAATTAGCGGAAAAAAAGACTGAACACGCGGCGTTTTTATTTGAACATGTTCGCATAGTACCCGTGGTTTGGAGACATTCCTATGTCCGACCATGAGAGAGAACGGGCACAGGGATGTCTTTCCCGCTTCACACTCGAAGGCAAGAGTCCCCCAATAAGCAAATCTGCAAACACATCTTCACTTAGAGAAACGCATTTTGTGTTATCTATCCTCAACAAACAAAGAAGCAGATGGAAAACTGGATTTGCTAAACACAAATTCATGGGGGAAGAGTCTTCCTCAACACTGAACATTGACAAAAAAAGATTGAAACTTTTTCCGCAAAAACCTTACTTTGAGAAGAATTTGCAAACATAGAACAAGTATTTCGAAATCTGAGCTGAATTTAAAAAAAAAACAGAACACGAAATCATGTAAAACTAACAACTTTCAAATCTAGCGTCAAAGGAAAACGAGTTTCTGTGAAGTGTAGCAACAAACCTTGTGAGCGAACAAGGCCAATCTGATAAGGCTCGGCGTTTGGGATTGAGATCAATCCACGAGGTCCACCAGGCAATGCCGGATTCTGACAAATTAAAAATTCGTCAGTACATTTGAGTGAGAGACTCTAAAATTAAGCCTCAAATCGAAGCAGAAACTCACAAGGATGATGACGAGGTGGCCAGCTGCGACGGCGATCAAATTTTCAGAGGACCAAACGACGGCGTTCGGATACGATGGCGAAGTAACCAGTGAAGCTTCCTGAAACCGCGATGCCATCGTTTTTTTCCGCTCGCCGTTGAACGACAGTGGAAGGCAAAAAGAGAGCTCAAGGAACCAAGTAATTACCGAAGAATCTCGTCCAGATTCGTTGGCAAATGAACTGAATTTTGGAGGGAAAAAAAAACTTGGTTTGCGCTTTGCTTAGACAAACGAACTGAAGATTTTGATTGAGTACGGAAACCCTAGTTCGAATCGCAGTGACGCAGTACGGATCCACAATATTTTGCAACTTATTTATTTCTTCCCAGATTTTAATTAAAGTCAACGTGCTCGCTCGTCGATTAAAGTTTGGGCTTATCGAACCCAAGTTCGAAGCGCCATGACGTCAAAGGTGGATCCTCAATAATCTCTTCATTATTTTCTGCGATTTATTGAAACAAAACGGCGTCGTTCAACTCTGGGGATAGGCCCAAATATGTAAAACTTCGAAAGTGAAAGGGTTTTGACTTTTGAAGCCGCGAGAAATATTCGCCGTCGCCGATGTCGGGAAATAGAAGGTCTTGAACTTGAAGCATTTATCCAGAACTCCTGTTTTTTTTCCCGGTAAGTTTGATTCTCGGAATCGTAATTTTTTCCGGTTTTTTTTCAAAATATTTTTGCTCAGGACTCGCTGTTAAATTCTATGTGTCTGATTAAACACAATGAAGCACATATAACTGAAAATGATTGAAATTAGATAAAACTTAAAATTCTCCACCTCATTGCATCTGATTTATCTGTTTGTTTCTTGTAATTTACAGTAAGAATGGGAATCATAGAAAAGGGAACAATCTCAGGTACCTTGCCAAGCAAGGAGGCCTTTGCTGTTCACTTCCCTGGATACCCATCATCTATTTCCCGAGCCATCGAGACCCTTGGAGGAATCCAAGGAATTACAGAAGTAATTCTCTTAATTTTGCTTTTAAAGACTCCTTTTGTACTCAAATTGTCAAATTTAAATGCTGCTACGTATAAGCTCTAATCAACATAATAGTTCGGATTCCAAAATTAAAAAAAAAAGATATATTTTGGTATGTAGATTCATGAATTGATGTTGGTTAGTATCAAGCAAGTTGTGCTTAAAATGCTGCAAGGATTATTCAAATTTGAGCCTTTTTTGGTTGTTGTTGGGGCTAGGCAAGGAAATCAGTTTCAAACAAGCTTGAGCTTCGTTTCCGGCCTGAGGATCCTTATGCACATCCTGCATTGGGAGAACAACGTCCTTGTAGTGGTTTTTTGTTGAAAATTTCTAAGGAGGATATTAAGAAACCTGAGAACCAACCTGCTCCTGCCACTAGTGATGTATGTTTGGAGGAAGCTACTCCAGCTCTATGTGCAGATATTGTAGCTCGCGTGTCTGAATCGTTCCACTTCGATGGTAACAACTTAGCTCTCCTCTTGCGCAATCTGAAATTTGTCTTTATATATGAGATTGGACTTTTGTCTCTTATTCATTGTGTAGGCATGGCTGATTATCAGCATGTTATTCCTATCCACGCGGATATTGCGCGGCAGAAAAAGAGAAAGTGGATGGACTTGGATCCCCTTGCAGGTGATTCTCTTGCATTTATCTTCGTTATATTGAAAATTTCCTGTGTTGTCACCTGAATTGTACATATGATATTATACAGGAAACAATGATTTGATGGACCTGGCTGATGAAGATGTAATGATGTTATTGCCACAGTTCTTTGCACCTAAAGATATGCCAGACAACTTAGTGTAAGATTACGCTGCCTTTTTTATTCTCTTTCAATATTATCTCCTTTCTTATTCGGTGCCATAAGCTGTTCACTTAGTTTATGAAAGCATTAGTTATAGGCGAAAGATGGAGAAAAACAGTTTAGTTGACTGAAGTGACTTTAGTTATAGTGGCGATTTCATTTTTCTTGTGTGATTACAGGTTGAAACCTCCGTCAACATCTGGTCCCAAAAAGAAAGATGATGCGGCAGCTCAGAACTTCTATGAGGTAAATATAATGAAATGGAAACATTCGAGTTCATAAGCTAAAAACAGACTGTTGGTTGCACCAAAAAAGTAGAGAACAGACTGTTGGGAACAAAAATGACTTTAGTTATCTAATCTCCATCGATAGGACAAGCCATTGTTGTCTAGCTGTAACTAAATGTCTGCTTGAGAGTCTTAATTTACTGTAATGGTGAAGTTTTGGGAGTTGCTTGATTGGTTGGCGTTTCTTTACCAAACCTGCTTTTGGAATTCGGGTCCTTAGATTTATATATGGACATTCAAATGCAGTAGTAATCATGTAAAAACTCTCGTTTTTACTCTTATGAACCATCAGGAACATGAGATCTGTTCTGTTCACTTTTGGATTGCAAAGATGCCATTTCAGCTTACTTATAGTGCATTTTCAGCTTCTACTTCTCCATTTGCTAATTGATCTACATCATGCTGTTTTCTTTTGTTATGCAGATTGATATTGGCCCAGTATTTGCAATTGATTTTAGCGTCAAAGATATCCTTTTTGGATTTACACTAGTTCTTCCACTTTTTACTTGACATTTTCTCATCTGGATACCGCTTGTGCGAGTTAGTTTGGTCTGTCCTTAGCTATCATACAGATCCCAAAGAAACTAAACTGGGAAGAGTTTGTTTCTCCCAGCTCCTACCACTGGAAATGGCAAGTATCAGTGTCTGCATTGTTTGAAGAGCGGCCTATTTGGACAAGAGATTCTGTTGTTCAACGATTACTTGATAAAGGCCTTAAATGTACACATCATATGTTAAACAGGTGAGACAGATTTTTCAATACATGTTTCATATATTGAGGTGTTTTTGGTTCTACAGGGATCAACTTGGCGTTTTCTGTGCAGGTATCTCCTCAGGTCTGGCTATTATTTCTCCAATGGTCCTTTCCTTAGGTTCTGGATTAAAAGAGGCTATGATCCACGGAATGATCCTGAGTCTCGTGTGTGAGTTTCTATCTTAAGAAACTGATTTATATATTCTTATTGTATGGTTCGACACTTGCTTAATGGTTAATTTTCACCTATATCTCCATTGTATAATTGTGTTTCAGATATCAGAGAATGGAATTCAGGGTTCCACCTGAATTACGGAGTTATTGCGATGCCAATGCTACTAACAAGTAAGTCTCTTTCAGTTTATGCGGTGATCTTTACCTACATAAATGACGCAGCCATTTTCTGAAGATCCAAGCTTGAACATTCTCTGTAGCGTTTTAAGTAATTGTTGTTGGATTGTATCATATGGATTTGTTGAGAATTTTTCAACTGAACCATTGGATTTACGCATGAAAAAGTCTGATTATATGTGTTTTCTTTTCTTTTTGCTCCAGGTCAAAGCCAAGCTGGAATGAAATTTGTGGTTTTAAGTTATTTCCATTTAAATGCCAAACATTTCTGCAGTTGTTTGAACTTGATGACGAGTACATCCAGCGAGAAATAAGAAAGCCTCCCAAGCAAACTACTTGTACTGTGAGTTCTCAGCTTAGCTTTTGTAAATAGAGAAAGTTTTTTTTTTAAGTCCTTAAACTTTATGATCTGGTTCGTTTTTTTTATATGCAGCATAAAGCAGGATGGTTCTCAGAAGCCATGCTTGATACTTTGAGACTCCGTGTAGCTGTGAGGTTTGTGTCTGTATTTCCTGAGCCAGGTTTCGAAGATGTATTTAGATCCATTCAAGAAGAGTTTGAAAGGTCAGAGAAAATACAAGCCATGAAGGAGACTTTTAAACCATCTCTAGTGAAGCACCGGGAGGCAACTAAAGGTATGTACACAAATATATTATATAGATTTTGTGTATAAGAATTTTTGAAACATATTACGTGTTATGCATATTGTGGCTAGTCATTGAACATGTTTGCCTCGAAGACACTGAAGAAACAGCTACTGAACTTTAGTTTAATCTGCAGAATCTGAAGATATTGCAAAGTGCAAAAACGCAAATGAAGATGTTGATGTTAATGTTAACGAAGATAGAGATTATGAAGACCTGGATGAAGAAGAGGAAGAAGAAGAAGAAGAAGAAGAACTCGACATGGTAATATACTGTAAAGAGAATTTCTGTTGTTTTCTTCATCCGCGAGGATTCACCGTTTCTCAAGTGTCTCTTATGCCTTCTTTTGCAGGCTGCAGGAGACAATGAGATATCTCTTGATTCCCATGGATGTATCCTTCGAAGTTTTTTAGCCTTTTTGTTGAGTTTTGGGAATTGAGGCTCTGTTTAAAGCTCTGTTTTTGGTTCTAACCTCCTTTTTGACTCGCTGTTTCTTTAAGATTTTCCTATACGATTGAAAGATATTGATACCGAGAGCAGCTCCAGATCGTATCTACAAGGATTGTTCGATAGTTTTCCAACGGGTGAACATGGTTCGTATGGAGACTTTGCTGTTGATGATGGGAGTGATGGAGAGATTCCGATATACGAAGAAGAATCTGACGGTTTGTATTCCATTGATGATGGTGATGACGAAGAAGAAGAAGAGGAAGACGACGACGATGATGAGTGAAGATAATTTCACATCACTGCTGGTACTGTTTCTTCTCTTTATCCATTTCTTCTTCATAGTGGTATGAAGTTGTGAAACGCAATCTTTTGGAATTTCACATTCACTGATATAACTCATCTTTTGAGCATTTTGGTGTGTTAGTTGTTACGTGATTAGTTTGCTGATTTTGATCTCGTGATTGGTAGTTTTGACATAGTTTTTTGTTGTTTCTCTTTGTGATGTTTCAGGTAACAGCAGGCGTTGTTCTAATCAATCTTCGTCCAGAAATGACTTCACCAGGCCTGAGTAGCATATGCACTGCTTGCAACTTGCAATGCAACCTATATATCTATGGTTATCCAGAAAATAGTATTTTTAGGTTCCTACACCTCAATTTTGTATCTGATTACAGAAAATAAACTATTCGTTTACACAAAAACTCATGTAACCATTGTTACAGGTTAAATTATTTTGAAAGAGGGAATATTGGATTCGTTATATAAATCAGAGGTTCTGTTGGTAAACAAATTGCTTAAAGAGGGACCGAAAAATAAAACTAAAAAGATCAGTAAGGGTAATTCCGGTAATTTCACATAAGCCCAAGAACAAACCCTAGTTAAACGTTCACGGCCCTCACGGCCGACATATCTCTATTAATCTTCGTTTCCGCTCAGGTTGTGCAAGCTCAATCTTCGATTCCCGAGTGCTGCAGCAAATCTCCGGTACGAAGTCACTGACTTTCTCTCTATCTCTCCGTTAATTTCTCCGATTTTGTTTCCGTCTACTACTTTTTATGAATCCGATAGTTGTCTTCCTTGTTTCCGAGAAGCTTGTTATGATAGACAGTGAACAATCTGGGCTTTGTTCGTGGGGTAGTTAACTTTAATTGAATCTCTTAATTTGTCTGTATATGCCTACACTCTGTTTATAGCTTTTATCTGTTGAATTCTCTTGAATTTCTTCCTGAGTCTTTTGAATTGAATTTATTTGATTTGATTCAATTGAGTCGTCTTCTGTATGCTAGACTCTGTATGATAAAAAGTTGATCTTTTTTTTTAATTTTCCTCTTGCATAATCGTAATCCTCTGTCTGCTGTGAAATTGCAATTCTTTGGTATCAGTGAAATTTGTGCTGCATGTTTTAGAACATAGTAGTATTTGCGTAAGGAAGATGAAAAGGGAAGGTGCATGAGTCTATGTTACATGATGTCATGACACATGCTTTGTTTATGATAGATGGCAAGCGCTTGGAACATGAGCATTGCAATGGTTCATAGGGATATAGAGAGGGAATGGGAGATCAATGTTGTTTTTTGTTATTATTGGAGATTCTTGCTCACATTGGGAAAAATCATGGGGGAAGATGATCTGGAGAAAAATATAGATTTCGAAATTTATAATAGCTTTTGGAGCACATTGGAGCAAATATGCATTTGGAGCTTGTGGAGCACTGCTCTTACCGAGGATTGCTCTCACTTGGTTTGCTTCATATATATATTTTGGTCTTTAACATGTTTCTGCTAAATGGAAAGCTTTCTGTGTGGAGATTCTTTGTCTACAGCTGTAAACTTTGGTCTTTTATTAACCTGTTTCTTTTTTATTCATATCTGCAGTTATCTCTTTTGCTTTGTTTTAACCTTTGCAAACAATGAGTGGTCGATTTTCTCGGTCCATCTATGTTGGTAACTTGCCCGGCGACATAAGGGAACATGAGATTGAAGATATCTTTTACAAGGTTAGTTCTGGTTGATTAAATGAGTTTTTGGATGGATTTTCTGACTTGAATCGTTACCAATATTATACAGAATGAAGATTCTAGAGCATATTTTTTGCGATGATATTTATTATTTAATGCTCTTGTTTGCAGTACGGCCGCATAGTGGATATTGAGTTGAAGGTTCCACCTCGTCCTCCATGTTATTGCTTTGTTGAGGTACATTTCTGTCTCTTGATTACGTGTTGTTAACCAAATTTACAAGGTATAGAACTCAACCAAGCTCTGTGTTGAATGTTTTGTAGTTTGAGCATACTCGGGATGCCGAAGATGCAATCAGGGGCCGTGATGGCTACAACTTTGACGGCTGTCGTTTGAGGGTAATCTTATTTGTTTAGTTCCTTACTATTTGGCTTCAGACATAGTTGGTTTCTCGTAGTTTCTAATCGTAATGATTGCAGGTTGAGCTTGCCCATGGTGGTCGAGGACAGTCTTCAGGTGATCGTCGTGGTGGCTATGGAGGTGGAGGTGGAGGTGGCGGCTATGGTGGTGGAGGTGGAGGTGGATCTGCCAGGTTTGGCGTCTCACGACACTCTGAATTCCGAGGTTTGTCTAATTTGCTATGAGATATTGTTAGTGATAAAAGGGTGGTTGAATCTTCACCTTTTTCTGAGAAATGATTCTGTATATTCTTGGATGGCTTTCTGCAGTTATTGTCCGTGGCCTCCCATCATCTGCTTCATGGCAAGATTTGAAGGTTTGATAACACTTCTTTTTTTTTGCTGCAACATATTGATTTCTCCTTCCTAGTCTTTGTTTTTATATATAAGAACCATTGTTACAGGATCATATGCGGAAAGCCGGAGATGTGTGCTTTGCTGAGGTCACTCGAGACAGTGATGGTGCGTAATTTTACCCTTTTTCATATATAGTTTCGTAGTAGTATCTTACTTCCTTTTAGCTTAAATGAGAGTTTTTCGATATTTGGATTAGTTATTAGTTGTGTCCTTTCTTACGCATGGACTATCTTTTATAATATGATCAGGAACTTATGGTGTTGTCGACTACACTAATTATGATGACATGAAGTATGCTGTAAGTTCACGCTGTTCTTTTCTCTTGATGTGTACCAAGTAATTTATGATTTGTATAGTTTCCAATGTTCAAGAATTGTGATTTCAGATAAGGAAGCTCGATGATACTGAGTTCAGAAACCCCTGGGCTAGAGGTTACATTCGGGTACTGTTTCTCCTCTCAGTCTTAATTGTCTATCTGTTTCTGATTCCCCTCTTTGACCGTAATCCATAGACTGAGGAATGAACAGAATTATTTAACTAGATGTGAAAGATTAGACTATAGAATTATTCAACCATTCATGTTTGAGTTAACCTTACTTTCTGCTAATATGCAGGTTAGGAAATACGAAAGCTCCCAATCGAGAAGCCCAAGCAGAAGCAGAAGCCGAAGTCGTAGCAGAGGCCGTGGCCGCAGCCATAGCCGTAGCCGCAGCCTTAGCAGAAGCAAGAGTCCAAGAAAGGATTTGAGGTGCGGAGTTTGATTTCACTGAACCTTATATATCTCCCGTTTTAAACAATTTCAAGTGGAGTTTGTTGTTTAACAGTCTTTATTTGCAGTAAATCCCCAAGACGATCCCTTTCCAGATCGATGTCAAAATCAAGATCCCCTTCTCCCGACAGGAAGAATAGCCCCCCCAGGCAAGCTCTCTCCCTTTTCTTTTGTTATGTTCTTTCCCTCTCGGTCATATATTTTTGTCCTGTGATTAAGTGTGGTTTTTTGTTCCTTTCAATTCAGGGCAATGTCGAGGTCCAAGTCCAGGTCTAGGTCTCTGTCAAAATCTCCTGCCAAGGTATAATGAGCTGCATTTTAGCATAGTTTTAGAAACGATAACTTGCGTTATAGGCAAAAGACGAAACAGAGAAATCTAAAACATTTTAATTTTTCTCTCTCAGGTGCGCGAAGGCAGTGAGTGATTTAGTATAGGCAGTGAAAAAGGTCAGGAGAAGAAGAGTACGAGAATTCTCAAGTCAAAGAGCTGCTCTGTTTCATTGTTGTGATTGCTTTTTTCGGATTTGTCACATCTCTCTCTCTCTCTCTCTCCGTCTTTCAGAATTTATCATCTTTGAACTATTATGTCTTGTCTCTCTACTCTTTCCGAAATTATCATCTTTGCCCTATTCTGTCTTGATACCTGAGTTTGAGCATTATATGGTTTGACATTTGTTCTTTAACTGATAAAATCCTAGCAACCCAAGTTTCTTATAATCTATTAGAGTTGAAGATAAGTTGCATCATATATTGTCCATTGCTTGGTCGATAATAAGAAATTTGTACTTCTCAAGTTCTCATTGCCAAAATAAAACCAAAAAAACATCAAATGCTTTTCCAATGGCATCACCACCATATTTTCTGTGAATATTTTTTTTTTAAATAAAGAGATGATGATCTAAAGGAAATAAATTTTCTGGAAAGGAAGATGGAATTATGTACACACAAAGTCACAAACCAATTGAGTTACATAAAGATGGAAACAAAATCTGGTCAAATCCTAAATTCTTAGCATAGAGTTATTTACTATTTAAAAGGATTTGCTTCCTATAAAAGTAATATTGATAAGATTTTGATTTTTTTTTGTTAACAACTGATAAGATTTTGATATTTGTCAAAACAATATTAAATCTTGTCAATAATGTAAAAGACAACTAATTGTCTAATTCAGTAGAAAATCTATTATACAACGATATAGAAAAAAATATATAATAAAATTTGGCAAATTATAATTTCCTTAAGAAACAAAAAGAAATTTGTTAGATGATGATCTAACGGAAATAAATGTTCTGGACTAGATCTTATATTCGGGCATCAGTTCTTGTTTGTTATTTGATTTCTTTTGTATCCTAGGTATTACAATTTAGGTCCAGGTGACCAGGTCAAGTCAAAATTCAATCTATGTGTGTTATCGTTGTTTAGTTCTCATTGCACGATTCTGTCTTGTTATATGTTGTGGACAGTGGATGTTTCCGTGAACTTCACGTTACCTCTAAGCTTGTTGGTCCTGTAGCTTACATTTTCATAGTTATTGTGAAATAAGAATATCTGACTGATACTTTTTGAGAGGCTGCTAGATTCATAAGAAATGCAAAGTATTAAGATCCAATGTGTCAAACAGATTAAGGTGATTCGAACATAAGAGTAAAAATGTGATTAAGAGAAGAGTTTTTAAAAGTTTAAACAGCTTAAACTTAGAACAACAAATGTAAACAAGAGCAAGGTACCATCAAAGAAAATACAACAACGATAGTCAAGTCATACAATAACTGAACGAAAAGGAAAATACTGGATAAAACAAGGACTTAGCGAAGAGGCCACTTATGAAAACACAGGGGGAAAATGATTAAGTCGAAGACAAGAACTCATACGGCTTCACATTCTCGACATGGTTGATAAACGAGTAAACACTTTGACCTTTAAAGGGTCCAATCCCTTGGATCTCAACTCTCCTGAAAGTCTTCTTCTCGATATTGTAGTAGAAGATGTAGAAAGGGCTGCTGGACATGAACCTAGGAGAAAACACAACTTCACTTGTTCCAATCATTCCCATAATGCAAACAGCAGTCCCCGCAAGTACATCTCTCCAAAGCGGCGGCAATATGAGAACACGTCTCGACCATTTCTGTTTCTCAATATCGTCTATAACCCACAACTCAATGCTCTTAATTCTTGCACTCAGAAAACTGTAAGGTCCACAAAGTACACCTACTTTTCCCTTGTAGTCTATCAGAGTTGATGAGCTACCTAAATCCTTGAGTTCTTCGTTGATCATGAACTTGAATGTCTCAGACTTGACATCAAAACATACCAGCATGCAAGCGTCCAGAGACACTTCATCCTCAGCTAAATAATATATAACCCCGTCTATGCATATCTCACTACTGTATTGAGGCATATGGGTTACAGGACAAGCAATCTTTCTCCATTTCGGTTTTCCCCTTCCTAATGTGAGAACTTGGTGTTCTTCCGTTTTGTGAAGCAATGGCTTCGCAGAAGATGTCATGCCCAACACCTTAAATGTTTTCTCGATTGGATCATAACCAGTAAAGGTGTGAATCCTAGACCTCCTCGTTCTCACATTGGGTAAAGGTTTGGACAGACCTACACTAGGGTTACATATCCACAAACATGGACCCCTCTTCCCACTTAAAAGCCCCTCGTCTTTACTACAGACCAATCCACAGACAGGACGACAAACGCCAAAGGAACTATTACTAAGGACATGGGTGTAACTATCGACAACTAGAGGAGACGAGTTCTGGTCTGGATCGGGAGAGTGAGGTGTCGAGAAGAAAGACCACTTACCATCAGCTTGGAAAGTGAAAAGGAGACGCGGACGAGCTGAAGACATGGTGGAGAAGTGGTTGGTGAAATCTGGACGGCGGAGAATGGAACACCAATCCTTTGACACGCAGCGGAACCTCGCTATTGATTTCGCAGGCACTCTTGAAAGTATCTCCACGAGGAGATCTGTTGGGATTGATCCCGAGTTCTCTCTTAACCCATTCACTGGAGGGATGGTTAGGCGAGGCTCTTTCTTGGAGGTTGAGAGGTTGTTCCTCCGACGTTTCTTCATGGCGAGAATGTTTGAAAATGACATCGGAACAACAATCTCTGGTTTATGTTTGTTCAAGGATCTTATCCATGTGTGACTTATATAGTTAGAACTTAGGAGGTGATTTTTTAGTTTCTTACCTTTTTAAAATATGGCAATGCATGGAAATACTTTGACCAGCAGCAAAGCAATGCATGTACTTTTTTTTTTTTTTTACAGCAAGTAGTGTGTATACAATTCAATATCTCAATGTATCTATTATTTTATTACCTATGCAAACAGTTTTGTGCCTTTTTGTATTTTGAATAACAGGTTGGTCAGTAACGTTTTTGGAACAAAAACAAGATTATGTAATATAGTTTCGTGTTTCTCGTCTTTATGTCTTCTGATAATATGTTAACTATATACTTAGCTTTTTTTTTTGTAAAATGCTTTAGAAGAAAAAAACGCCAGGCAAAATTGAGTTAGGCTTACAAAAATAAAAATCTATAATCATATCACATATCATAAATTTAAGTTGACTTAAGATAGGTTTTACGCACAAAAGCAAAGGATAAATAATAAGTATACATAGCCACACACACACAAAAAAAAATAAAAGAAGAACAAGCTAGCCCTTCAAGTTAAGTGTAATTAATGATCAAGCCGAATACCATAGGTATTCCGAATCCCAATTCCAACACTCTTCCTTGACCTCTTCCTAACATGATACAACACAAGAAGACAAACAAAATAATACATTAGTTTAGAAATATTGGTTACGACCATAGTTTATTAGTAGTAACAGTGACATGTGCATATATATCAGTTTCTATAGAAGTATTGAGCGAAGGACATACCTTATTTTTCTTCTTAATTATAGCTGACGAGAGAACATAGAAGCCAAGCTATTGTAGCGATGTTGTAGAAATCAAAACCAGTACTCACGCATACGCTTCACATTCTCTAAGTGGTCTATAAAAGTAGAAATCCATTGACCCTTGGCGGGTCCAATTCCTTGGATCCTAACTCTTACGATGGTATTCTTCTCCACATTGTAGTAGTAAATGTAGAAAGGATCATGCAGACGACGCTGAGAGAACACAATCTCACCATTACAAGTCATCCCGACAATGCCTAAGCTGATATCACCCACAAATAGATTCTCCAACTGAGGCGGCAATGTGTAGCTGTGGTATGACCATTTCTGCTTCTCAACATCATCCAAAACATGTAACTCAAGACTTGTAGTCCTTCTACTGATACCTAAACCATCATTGCAACAAAGCACACCTAGTTTACCCTTGCAATTTATCAGAACCGAAAGCCACGTTTTCTGAACATTTTCAATAAATCTGAACGTCTCATGCTTCACGTCAAAGCAGACTATGGCATAGGAAAATGGAGACAATTTATCAAAAGAGGCACAATAATACAAAACTCCATCGATACATATACCACGACACATACACATCGGTTTATGGGGTAGGGAACATTCAATCATTCTCCATGACAGTTTCTCCTCAGTTCCTAATGTCAGAACTTGATATTCCTCCGCAGTTTCTTTACGAGGCTTTCTACAAACCGTCATACACAATACCTTGAACTGTTTGTTGATTGGATCAAACCCAAAATATGTTCTCACATCAACCCTCCTTGTTCTCACTTTAGGTAAGGTTATAAACTGACCTGTGCTAGGATTGTATATCATGCCCCTTGGATCTTCACAACCACTTCCGAGCCATAGATCTTTAGCACAGAGAAAGCCACAGACAGGGGCATGGATATAAAGGGAACATGTTATGGTTGGGGAAGACATGTGACCATCGACGGCTAAAGAAGATGAGTTCTGGTCTGGATTTAGAGGCTGAGGTGCGGAGAAGAAGAGCCACTTACCACCGACTTTGAAAGTAAACAAGAGACAAGGACGGGAAGAAGACATCTTCAAGAAATGGTCAGTGAAATCTGGACGGTCGAGAATGGAAGTCCATTGCTTTGAGACGCAATGAAACTTTGCTATCGATTTTGCTGGTAATCTCGAGAATATCTCAAAGATAAGATCAGTTGGGAGTGAGTTATCAACTGATGTCGTTGAAGAAGATTGACTACGTGGTTTCTTCGCCTTCTTGTGCCGCTTTCTTCTCATGGTGGAAACACTTTTATGTGTTGAAAACCCTAGATTGTTGATTCTCCAAAACTTTTTTGTTATCATTTTTTTTTTTTTTGAAACTTTCCAAATTCTCAAAGTTTTCTTGTATATGTAGCGATTTGTGGTATGCGTTTATGTAGATTTGATCAAACCATCGATACGATACGATTTCTTGAGTTAATGAATCGGATATTATTTTTTAATTATTTTCTAACAAAGAGTCAGATTACTTGACTGGAGACTAGAATACCCCAATCAGATTTCAGAAAGATGAATCGACACCGGGAAAACACAACTTTCAATGATTTGAGGTCTTTAACTAGGTGCGCATGCAACACAGTAGCCAAGATAAAATAGCTACGGAGATAATTAAGGCTCTCTCTTGTGAATGATTCTTGTGCTCGATTACAACAAAAGAAACGAGAGAGAGAGAGAGAGAGATAACGTGTCTAGCAAGTTTAATTAAAATGGGAGAAACAAAAACCAAAGGAATTAAACTCGACCTGAATTCGAAAGCAGACCCAATAAAAGGAGAAAAGCCCAATAAAAGGCCCATTAGAAAACGACAAAACAAACACCTATGTTCTTCCGGAACTGTCACCACTCACTCCACCGCACCGATCCTTATCCATTCCCAAAATTCCATTTTCATCCCTGAAAATCTCTCTGGAAGCCATGTCTCCTCCTGCTGTAGTCACTGAATCCGCCGATGGACAAACTGAACAACCTACTGCTGCTTCTGCCATCGCCGAAGAGCTCGAGAAGAAGCTTCAAGTAACACTACCTTGGTCCAATTTGTATTTTCTTTGTCATGGTTTTGTAAAGTCTTACGCTTGGTGATTTATCTTACATTTTTCAGACCGATGAACCAATCGTAGAAGATGTAAAAGATGACGAAGACGACGATGATGATGACGAAGAAGAGGAAGACGACGACGCTCAAGGTGATTCTTCCTCTTTCCTTCAATTCTGTTTTTAAAATAACAAACATTTCAAATCTTCAACATCTGCTAATAAGTTTCCTGATAGTTTCTTTAGAAATGGTGTGTTTAGTGAAATAGTTTTGTTTAACATATAGAGGTTTGGCTTATAAATCACATTTTGATATATTGATGAAAAACTTGCCTCTGTTTCTCAGTTTCCGTTATATAATTGTTCTTGAAGCTGATTGAAGTTTTGTCGCAGGTGCAAGTGGAGGTTCGAAGCAGAGCAGAAGCGAAAAGAAGAGCAGGAAGGCAATGTTGAAGCTCGGTATGAAACCAGTCACAGGTGTTAGCCGAGTCACCATCAAAAGAACCAAAAACGTAAAAACCATATTCTCTGTTTTTTCACTTTACATGTTTTTTATTTATGCGTCTTAAAGATTCGTTAATCTTTTGACAGGTACTCTTCTTCATCTCAAAGCCTGATGTTTTCAAGAGCCCACATTCAGAAACATATGTTATATTCGGCGAGGCCAAGATCGAGGACTTGAGCTCTCAGCTTCAAACGCAAGCCGCTCAGCAGTTTAGGATGCCTGAGATCGGAGCCACGTCGTCCCAGAGGGCAGATGCATCAGCAACAGCCATAGCGGAAGCACAAGCGGAAGAAGATGAAGAGGAAGTTGATGAGACCGGCGTGGAGGCACGTGACATTGACTTGGTCATGACTCAGGCTGGAGTTTCACGTAGCAAAGCTGTGAAGGCACTCAAGGGTCACGATGGAGACATTGTAAGTGCCATTATGGAACTCACTACTTGAAAAGACAGAAACAAACTCTCTGCTTTCTTCACTTTGCATATTGTTTTTTTTAATTACCTTTTTGTACGTTGACAGAACAAAAAAACGGATTATTGTTCTCTCATTTGTTTGTTTAATTATCATTCTGCGTTATTTTGTTATGATGATTCTGCATGATTCTGCGTTATTTTGTTATTTTTTCTCTCGATACGTATGTGAAAAAGTACAAAAACAAAACTTTTGAGAAAGCTAATTGACCATTATACTATATGAAAGCATACATAACATTTTTGCAGAGAGACTTAACCAGTGACCGGATCGCGGGTTTACCAGTCCCAATGGGCGGGTGGGTCGGGTTTCAAAACACTGGTTAACATCTTAGGCATAGATTTCAACTCCTCAGCCATCTTCTGTTTCTCTTCAGGATCACATGAAAAATTTAAATAAACTTCCGCTTTTTTTAAACACTTGGAGTGTTCTACAATGTACCTTATGAGTTCTTTCTCGTCTTCTCTTCCTGCATATCCTGTCCATCTAAACCACTCCAGACGAGAGGACAAGCACTTGGGAACAGAACTCGGCTGGTTCCACAAAACCGGAACATGATTCTCCAACCGATCAGTCTTAGACATGGATTCGACCATAAAGACTTTTAGTTGAGGACAATTGGAGAGCAAAACCACAAGTGATTCGCACTCGTCTGGGTCAAAACAACGTATACGACACTCAATAAGCCGAGAGTAGTTAACGGCGTTCCACCATGGAACCATTGGATCATTCAGAAATAGCTGAAGATAGTTGATCGAAGCAAGAGAGCGCAGCAAATTGTCGTCAGGGTAAAACTTAACACTAATGGATGCATGCACAAGATGGGGCATATACTCCGTGGAGAACGAGCTGCTTCCCCAAAGATAAAGGATGCATAAAAACTTTAAAGCAGGAGTGTCTATAACCAGAGACCAATTAGTTTCTTCCTCGTTAACTTGCCAAAAAGTGTACTTAAAATTCAGTAAAGAAGGCACTTTCACACTAAACTTTCTCACATTATCACCCCCATACCTATCCTTACCAGACCTATCCCTACCAGCACACCGAAGCACATCCAGATGCGTGAGAACGGGGCAACCTGATAAAAGCCTAACATGAGATTCTTCGTCTTTGTACGCAACACGTAAAAGTTCAAGTTTCTCAAGTGATGGGAGAGAAACCGGAGAAGGGACATCCACAATAATTTTTCCGCAGAGAACCAACCTCACAAGCGTTTTGCATGTGTAAAGGGTTTTAGGCATTCTAATCCGCTCGCTTTCCCACCGGAGCTTGAATATTATGTTACGTACGCAGCAATCAACCGCTTTTGCAACCCAGTTTACAACATCAACGTCAACGGGACATTGTGAACCGAGTTCAATACACAAACTTTCTAATATAGGCGCGTCGTACAATCGCATGGACTGGTCAAGAAGCCACCAAACGCTCTTGCGATCGCTATCGGTTTCTTTGTAGTCAAGTCTCGGCAACATGGTCCAGACATATCGCCACCGTTTTGACAATAGCGTCGTGGCCACCGCTTCTTTGGTCGGAAGAAGCAATAATATCTGCAGGAGCAAATCGTCAGACAACGAGCTGATTCTGTCTTCACAAACTCTCTTTTGAATTTTCAGAGGACGTTCGGCTTCTAGCATGATTAGAAGAAAAAAAAACTTTACCCTAGACCTTTGTCACTTCTCGTGTCGGATTTGACTTGTGACAATGACTTCTATATCTCCGAATCACTGGTTTTATATATAGTAAAAAAAGGCATAACTTAAGTAAAAAATAGGAAATTATGAATCGTTTTTCTGATTGGAGGATGAGAGATTTCATCATCATTGAAGTTACGAGATATTGTTGGGATATATGGCAAGATACTATGCCGAGAGTTTCCATTGTCTTGTAATTATCTCTTTGTAAATTAAAGGTGTATTTAATTACTTTTCCTAGGTTAAAGAATCAGGTCTATCGATGATTTTTTTTCTTTTAACACTAATTGACTAATCGAAATGCAAATTACGATTCTATCCTCTTCAAAGGCAGCAGATCTTCTATCTTCTTGTGTAGAAGCATTACTTCCTTTTAATCACTAGGCTAAGGAGCTTCCACATCTATGGATAATTAATTAGATGATCATGTGTGTAGTTAAACTTTACTACTTTTTTATTTAATTACTCAACCATCGCTGTCAAAAAAAAATTAAACTTTACTACTTTAGAAAAAGTAAAGTCTGCGTTTTTTTCTTCTAAAGATATCCTTTCAAAAAGTCGTTATTTTTGTCCCACAAATCCTTGCTTTTTCTTAATCCTTACAAGTTTCATAAAAGGTATTGATCACTTCTTGTCCAAGGAAGAGTTCCACTACTCAGTCATCATTGACACTGTAAGTGTAATAATGCAACTCACTACTTGAAAAGACAGAAACGAACTCTCTGCTTTATTCACTTGCATAATGTTTTTGAATATACTTTTTGTAAGTTGCCAGAAAAAAACCGGATTATTGTTCTCTCATTCGTTTGTTTAATTATCATTCTGCGTTATTTTGTTATGATGATTCTGCATGATCTGACTTCTAATGTTTTTTTTTTGTTTGTTCGACAAAGACACTGAATTGGAGAACAAGTACGTATGTGAAAAGTACAAAAACAAAATTTTGGGAAACTTCTCAACCTTAGAATTAGAAACACGAAAACACCAGTCTTCTAACATATAGGCAAAGCTAATTGACCATTACATGAAAGCATGCATAACAACTTTTGCAGAGAGACTGAACCAGTGAGTGGGTCGCGGGTTTACCAGTCCCATCAGGCGTGTAGGTGGGTTACAAAACAATGGTTAAAACCTTAGGCATAGATTTCAACTCCTCAACCATCTTCTGTTTCTCTTCAGGATTGCATGATAAATTCAAATAAACTTTTGCCCTAACTAAACACTTGGAGTGTTCCACAATGTACCTTATGAATTCTTTCTCGTCTTCTCTTCCTGCATATCCTGTCCATCTAAAGATCTTGAGGTGAGACGATAAGCACTTGGGAACAGAACTCGGCTGGTTCCACGGAACTGGAACATGATTCCTTGACCGATCAATCTCAATCATGGACTCGACCGTAAAGACTTTTAGCTGAGGACAGTTGGAGAGCAAAAGCACAAGTGATTCACACTCGTCTGGGTGATAATAACGTATTCGACACTCAATAAGCCGAGAATAGTTAACTCCGCACCATGGAACCATTGTACGTGGCAGATGTAGCTGGAGATACTTGATCGAAGAAAGAGAGCGCAGCAAATTGTCGTCAGGATAAAACCTAACACAAATGTATGCATACACGAGATGGGGCATATACTCCATGGAGCAAGAGCCTCCCTTAATATGAATGATGTCTAAATACTTTAAAGCAGGAGTGTCTATAACAAGAGACCTTGGAGTATCATCCTCCTTCACTTGAAAAAATGTATACCTTAAATTCAGTAAAGAAGGCACTTTCACACTAAACTTTCTCACATTATCATCATCATGATGCCGAACCACTGTCAAATGCGTGAGAACGGGGCAACCTGATAAAAGCCTAACATGAGATTCTTCGTCTTTGTACACAACACGTCTAAGATCAAGTCGTGTAAGTGATGGGAGAGAAACCGGAAAAGGAACATCCACTAGAATTTTGTCGGTGAGGCTCAATCTCGCAAGCGTTTTGCATGTGTAAAGGCTTTGTGGCATTCTGATCGGCTCGCTTTTCCACCGGAGCTTGAATTTTAGGTTACGTACGCAGCAATCAATTGCTTTTGCAACCCAGTTTACAACGTCAACGTCAACGGGACATTGTGAACCGAGTTCAATACGCAATCTTCTTAATATAGGCGCATCGTATAATCGCATGGACTGGTCAAGAAACCACAAACGCTTTTGCTATCGCCATCGGTTTCTGTGTAGACAAGTCTAGGCAACATGGTCCAGACATATCGCCACCGTTTTGACAATAACGTCGTGGCCACTGCTTCTTTGGTCGGAACACGCAATAATATATGTATAAGCAAATCGTCGGACAGAGAGCTGATTCTGTCTTCACAAACTCTCTTTTCAACTGTCGGAGGATTTTCGGCTTCTGCCATAACTTATTAGAGAAAAACTTGGCCCTAGACCCTTGATCACTTCTCGTATCGGTGTGACGTTTGAGAATGACTTTTATTATCACCGAATCACTGGTTTTATATATTACGGGAATATAGTTAAAAAAAAAAAAAAGGCATAACTTAAGTCAAATTAGGAAATTATGAATCTTTTTTTCCGATTGGAGGATGAGAGCTCATCATTGAAGCTACAAGATATTGCTGGGATATATGGCAAGATACTAAACTCGACAGTTTCCATTTTCTTTTAATTCTCTCTTTGTAAACTAAAGGGGTCTATCATAAGTAATAAAAATGTATGTAAACTTAAGGTGCCATCTCCATACATGGCTTTCCACATGAAAGTTGCGCAAGTTTGGGTTGTGTATTTTTCTTTGTAGCACCAGAGTTTAACAAGTTCGGTGTCCTGTCTTCTGTAGTTGACTAATTCATGTGACAATCAATATAACTTTATAGGAAATGTCTTTTTGTAGGTTAAAGGGTGTCTTGTAAGAAAATTATAAAAGGCTTGTCCGTATATCATGTGTGATTCGTGACAATACTGACTTCGTTCCTGAGGGAGATCAGCTAATTAAGTTTGTAAAGATATTCCGTAATCTGCGTTTTTTTTTTTCCGTTTCTTTTTATAAAATTAAAGAGCTAACAAATAGATAACATCCGTCTCCCACATCACCCACCAAAAAAAAAAAAGAATCATCAGTCTTCTAACAAATAGGGAAAGCTAAATGACCATTACATGAAAGCATGCATAACATTTTTGAAGAGCGACTGAAAAAGTGACCGGGTCGCGGGTTTACCACCAGTCCCGTCGGTCGGGTTTCAAAACGCTGGTTAAAACCTTAGGTATAGATTTCAACTCCTCAGCCATCTTCTGTTTCTCTTCAGGATGAGAGGATAAATTCAAATAAACTTCCGCTTTTTTTAAACACTTAGAGTTTTCCACAATGTACCTTATGAGTTCCCTTTCATATTCTCTTCCTCTATATCCTGTCCATCTAAACAACTTCAGACGAGACGACAAGCATCTGGGAACAGAACTCGGCTGGTTCCACAAAACCGGAACTTGATCTTCCAACTGATCAATCTCATCATACATGGATTCGACCATAAAGACTTTTAGCTGAGGACAATTGGAGAGCAAAACCACAAGGGATTCGCACTCGTCTGCGTAAATATCATCTATGCTAAACTTAATAAGCTGAGAGTAGTTAACGGCGTTACACCATGGAACCATATCAGGCGGATCTAGCTGGAGATACTTGATCGAAGAAAGAGAGCGCAGCAAATTGTCGTCAGGATAAAACCTAACACAAATGTATGCATACACGAGATGGGGCATATACTCCATGGAGCAAGAGCCTCCCCAACCATGAATGATGTTTAAATACTTTAAAGCAGGAGTGTCTATAACCAGAGACCTATCATCAGTATCATCCTCGTTCACTTGACGAAAAGAATACGTTAAATTCAGTAAAGAAGGCACTTTCACCCTAAACTTTCTCACATTATCATCCACACGGCCCACATTATCAGACCGAAGCACAGTCAGATCCTTGAGAACGGGACAACCTGATAAAAGCCTAACATGAGATTCTTCGTCTCTGTACACAACACATGAAAGTTCAAGTCGTGTCAGTGACGGGAGAGAAACCGGGAAAGGAACATCCACTAGAATTTTGTCGGTGGGGCTCAATCTCGCAAGCGTTTTGCATGTGTAAAGGCTTTTAGGCATTCTGATCGGCTCGCTTTCCCACCGGAGCTTGAATATTAGGTTACGTACGCAGCAATCAATTGCTTTTGCTACCTAGTTTACAACATCGGCATCAACAGGGCATTCTGAACAGAGTTCAATACGCAAACTTCTTAATACAGGCGCACCGTATAATCGTATGGACTGGTCAAGAAACCACCAAACGCTCTTGCTATTCTGTTTGGTTTCTTTGTAGACAAGTCTGGGCAACATCGTCCAGACATATCTGTGAGTGAAGTCAAGAAACAAGATGAGAGGTGTATGGGCCAAACAACAAAAAGGAAGAGAGATGAGCAAAGCCCACACAAGTCCACAATGTCATCTTCTCAGAAGAAGACAAACAGAGGAAAAGAAGATAAAGCAGAGAACGATAAAGAAGATCAATGCCGAAGAAACCGCTTCTATCCGTTGGCAACGGATCTAAATACGTGACCACTTTACAGCTGTGTATAGATAAGATCTAGAGGATTCTCAGCTCTCTTTATATAAGTCTTGTATTCTGTAATGTAAAAACTATCTCTCGAATAAACATTCAAGTTCAAAATATCAATCTTTGTCTTTCTTTCACAATATCGCCACCGTTTTGACAATAACGTCGTGGCCACTGCCGCTTTGGTCGGAACACGCAATAATATATGTATGAGCAAATCGTTGGACAGCGAACTGATCCTGTCTTCACAAACTCTCTTTTGAATTTTCGGAGGACGTTCGGCTTCTAGCATAATTATAAGAAGAAGAAAAACTTAACCCTAGACCTTTGTTACTTCTCGTCTCGGTGTGACTTGTGAATATAAAGGAAATCACAGGTTTTAATATCCGGGGAATAAAATATATAGTGAAATAAGTATATAATTTTAGTCAAGAACTCAAAAATCAAAATATAGGAAATTATAAAATCTCATCTGAAGTTACGAGATATTTCCATTTTCTTGTAATTTTCCCTTTGTAAATTAAAAGTGTGTTTACTTTTCCAAGATTAAGCAATATAGTAAGAAATTATCATAAGTTCGATATTATTAAATTCTAGAGATTGTAATTAAGTAATAAAAATGTATATACTCCGTATGAAAGTTGCGCAAGTTTGGGTTGTGTATTTTGTAGCACTAGAGTGTAACAACTAATTAACAAGTTATGTGTTTTCTATAGTTGACAAATTCATGTAGAGTCAATGTTTTATGTTCTGGAAATGCTTTTTGTAGGTGAAAGGGTGTGAAAGTCTGGTCTGTATATCATGTGTTCTGATCCGTGACAATACTCTTTTTAGTTTGTGGTGTTTCTAAAGACATCCTGTAAATTAATCTTCGTTTTATTTTCCTTTGTAGAAACATTGAAGAGCGATTCTCTATAGTTCTAAATTTTAAAACTACCCGACATTTTAAATTCCAGCAGTACCACTCCACGCATGTTTCATCACTTATCATAAACAATTGTTTTGTTATGGCGTTCATGTTACCCCACAAAACCAAAACCATATTCTCTGTTTTCACTTAGCTTAGATGTGTTTTATTTATGCGTCCAAGATTATAATCATACGCATCGTTAATGTTGACAGGTACTCTTCTTTATCACAAAGCCTGATGTTTTCAAGAGCCCACATTCAGAAACTTAATGATATTATATCGATCCGGCGAGGCCAAGATCGAGGACTTGGGGTCCCAGCTCCAAACGCAAGCCGCTCAACAGTTTAGGATGCCTGAGATCGGAGCCTCGTCTTAGAGAGCAGAGGCATCGAGAGCCACAGGAGAAGCACAAGCGAAAGAAGATGAAGAGAAATTTGATGAGGCTGGCGTGGAGGGTCTAGTGTGTTTTCAATTACCTTTTGTAAGTTGTCAGAAAAATACGGATTGTATGATCCTTTCGGGTATTTAATGATGCTTGATGCTTCTGCATGATCTGACTTCAATTGCTTCTTTTTTTTTTTTTTTTTTTTTTTTTTTTTTTTTTGACACAAGAACAAGTATGTGAAAAATAGCCAAAAGTTTTTGAAGAAACTTCTCAACTTTAGAATTAGAAACACCAATAATAGAAAAAAAACATTTTGATGTAAAAAAGGAAAAATGAAAACAAGAATAAGAAACATCATCTTATAATAAACAGATCAAGTTATTGACCATTATATGAAAGCCTGAATAACATTTTTCTAGAGATATAACCAGACTGAACCAGTGTCCGGGTCGCGGGTTTACCAGTCCCATGGGGCGGGTCGGGCGGGTTCCAAAACACTGGCTAAAACCTTAGGCATAGACTTCAACTCCTCAACCATCTTCTGTTTCTCTTCAGGATTGCATGATAAATTCAAATAAACTTCCGCTTTTTTTAAACACTTGGAGTGTTCTACAATGTACCTTATGAGTTCCCTTTCGTTTTCTATCCCTGCATATCCTGACCATCTAAAGAACTCCAGACGAGACGACAAACATTTGGGAACAGAACTCGGCTTGTTCCACGAAACCGGAACATGATCTTCAGACCGAGGAATCTCATCAGATATGGATTCGACCATAAAGACTTTTAGCTGAGGAGAGTTGGAGAGCAAAACCACAAGTGATTCGCACTCGTCTGGGTCAAAATCAGATATGCTACACTCAATAAGCTGAGAGTAGTTAACGGCGTTACACCATGGAACCATACCTGTATCAGGCGGATCTAGCTGGAGATACTTGACCGTAGAAAGAGAGCGCAGAAAATTGTTGTCAGAGTAAAACGTAACACCAATGGATGCATGCACGAGATGTGGCATATACTCAATGGAGAAAGAGCATTCCGGCTCCTCAAGGATGCGTAAAAACTTTAAAGCCGGAGTGTCTATAACAAGAGACCTATCAGTCTCATCAGTATCATCCTCCTTCACTTGAATAAAATAATACCTTAATTTCAGTAAAGAAGGCACTTTCACACTAAACGTTCTTACATTATCATCCACGTGATCCACATCATCAAACCTAACCACAGTCAGATGCGTGAGAACGGGGCAACCTGATAAAAGCCTAACATGAGAATCTTCGTCTTTGTAAACAACACTTCTAAGATCAAGCTCTGTAAGTGATGGGAGAAAAACCGGAAAAGGAATATCCACAAGAATTTTCTCGGTGAGATTCAATTTCGCAATCGTTTTGCATGTGTAAAGGCTTTGAGGCATTCTGATCGGCTCGCTTTTCCAGTAGAGCTCGAATATTAGGTTACGTACGCAGCAAGCAATTGCTTTTGCAACCCAGTTTACAACATCAACGTCAACGGGACATTGTGAACCGAGATGAATACACAATCTTCTTAATATGGGCGCATTGTATAATCGTATGGACTGGTCAAGAAACCACCAAACGCTTTTGTTATCGCTATCGGTTTCTTTGTAGACAAGTCTGGGGCAACATGGTCCAGACATATCGCCACCGTTTTGACAATAACGTCGTGGCCACTGCTTCTTTGGTCGACGGAGCACGCAATAGTATCTCTATGAGCAAATCGTCGGACAGAGAGCTGATTCTGTCTTCACAAACTCTCTTTTCAATTGTCGGAGGACTTTCGGCTTCTATCATAAATAGAAGAAGAAGAACTTAACCCTGGACCTTTGTCACTTCTCCTGTCGGTGTGACTTGTGAGAATGACTTGTGTCTCAAACCGATAACTTAACCCTAAAGGAATCACCGGTTTCGATACCATGGGAAATCAAATATACAATATCGTAAAAAAAAAAAAAAAAAAAGTCAAATTAGGATTTTTTTTTTTTTTGTTAAAGGGTTTTTTTAGGAAATTATTATAAAAAAAAATTCCGGTTGGAGATTATATTTCCCATTCTCTTTGTATTAAAATTTAAAAGTGTAGAATTTCTTCTATTCCTAGATTAAGGAATTAGCTCTATCGATAATAGAAAATTCATAAAAATTCATAAGTACGCATTCTTGTATAGAGGTTAGTAACTTGAGTGTATGAAAAGTTGCACAAGTTTGGCTTGTATCTTTTGTAGCACTAAAGTTTAACGAGTTCGGTGTCTTCTGTAGCTGACAAATTCTTGTCAAGGTGTCTTCTTATAAAATTATAAAAGTCTGATCCGTATATAATTTGAAAATCAGTAATACCCTACTCCAAGCAGTTTCATCACTTATAATTACACAAAACGTTTTTTTTTTTAATATGGCGTTCCATGTTGTCCCACAAATCCATTTTTATTTATACTTACAAACTTCATAAAAGGTAGTGAAACTTCTTCTCCAAGGAAAAGTTCCACTACTCAATCATCCTTAAGGACATGTTCCCAGTCCGAGGTCGGGCTCTCGTTGCCTTTGCCGGGTGCAGATGGTTTGGTATCGACGCATGTCTCCATCTGAGAATTGAATCCGCAGAGCCTTGTCATCAACGAGGCTGACCCGAGAACACCACCATGCATCAGTGTTTTGCTTCTCGGCTGGTCATTGTCTCCATCTGAATCCGAATCTATGTTCAAGCTGTTGAGAGACTTCTGCACTTGTTCAGCTTCCCGGCGTTTCAGTATCTGGAATCTATCCATAACATCACCCGCATGACTGCTTCTGCCAATATTAGCCATCTTCGAACCTTCTTGATCGTCTTCCTGGACACCAACTTTTGTCTCTGGGCAGTTTTGAGTCTCGAGTATGCGATCTGTTGCCTGCTGCTTCAGAATCTGGAACAAGTTTGTAACACCAACGTCTGAATCTGGGCAGTTCTGTGACTTGAGCTTGCGCTTTGTCTCCAGATGCTTCAGAATCTGGAACCGGTCTATAACATCATCATGTTTGTCCTCTGTGGTGGATTCCTTATTTATAGCAGCATCCAGTATCTTTCCAGCGGTTGCATCAGGCGTGAAGTTTCCATGAATGCTTGGCTCTAAAGCACACGTAAAGCTTCTGGACATGAGTGATAACACTGCATCCACGGGGTCTGCGTTGAATCTAGAGCTCTGTGGTGCATCATGACTCATTGTTACTGCATTGTTCCCGCAAATGCTTCCATGTTTGATGAGAGATTCAGTTGTCTCCTGCTCCACATTGTTCATGATGGGAACCGATTTCTGGGGGTTAAGGAAAGGTTCCTGCATAAAGGTTGATGCATCTGCAGAGATCTCTGCAGATAAGAAAGCAAAAGATGAACGGTTTAAACAAATATGTTTTTTAAGGACATTTGCAAAATGATGTGCAGGGTAAGCATTTCTAATACAGGAATTAACCATAGCAGTGGCATCTATGACAGGATTGTGGACAAAATACTGTTGCAAAGCAGCTCTAGTTACTAATACTATTATCAGACTACGAAGACGGTTAGTTTGGAATTTACCAACCTCTATCCTGCAATTCGAGATTACCAATCTCGTTCTTGATCCGATGATACCGAGCCATGCAAGTTGTGGAGCATAAGGCAGCTTCAGTTTCGAGCCAGAGATTCTTGTACAAGAGAGTTTGTGGGTGATTATCTTCACCATCAGGAAAGTTGGAAGCAAGTATGTTCTTAATACCCTGCAAAGATCAGTTTTAGTAAAGAAGAAAGAGTTTACAAATATGGCAAAAATACTGAGCAAGTAAATACCTGGGTCATCTCATTCTTATCCGCCGCTTCTTTGAAGCCAAAGCTGTCCAGTGGCTTGACATTAAGACCTTGTAAGTCTTTAGCGAATACACTTGAGGCCTGAAAAGGGTACCGTTAAGCAACTAACAGCAAACAAGAACAAGCGATGTGTTTCAATCTATCGAAAACCAAATAGGTTTCATAAGAACCGTAGTTATGACAAATGGTGCTCATAAGAAAGCAATCATCAACTCATAGAGCATGCAAAATTGTACTTTTTAACTTCTACCTAGGATATAATTCACAAAATGCCAGGGTCAAGCTGCGTCAAGTACCTCATTAAGATCGACCACGTTTGGACTGGAAACAGGCATAGCTTGGGTTGGAAGTGAAGCTACTCCTGCTGCTGCTACTGCCGTGTTACCGGTGATTCTCTTCAAGCACTTGGTGAGATTGTCTACTACTTTATCAAGGTTCTCAAGTTGTTCCAGCTTCAGCCCGCTTCCCTTGTTGAAGCATTCATAAACAAGCACTTCTGACAGATTATACATGGCATCAACCACGGAAGATATCTTTGGAGAAGAAGTCGGCGATGGGAAATCTCCTTGATCACATAAATTCTTTTCAGGTGATTGGCCAGTAGAGACATCATCCGCATTCGATCTACAACTCCCTTTGAGACCCATATCTGTCAACAACGTGGTCTTCTTCTCTCTGTTCATTATACCAAACATTTGTTCCTGTAGCTCACGTGGCTTTTGATTTGCTTGAACATCTTCAGTAGGTTGATTAGCACTACCTTCCAAAAAGGTCTTAAAGTTGACAGCTGACTGAGCATCCCCACTACCCGCTTTCACCTCACCACATGACTCATTTCCCATAGAAAACATAGTGGGAGCTGAAGGTCCCTCAGAAGATTCCAAGAAGTGGCTCCTATATTTGATGTTAAATTGCGGCGGGTGGGAAGATTGGTGACTCCTCGAACTTGGCGAGCCAACTATCTGATTACAAAGATTTGGATTCTCAGACATAGGCTTGACATGAGCAGTGGATTCACCCAATCCAAGCAACGCATCGAAGTTAACTGGCTCAACAGAAGAGCCAGGCACGTTGGATTGAGCTTCTACAGGCGCATGATGATGACAAACATCATTGTTAAACAATCCTCCATCTATTAAATGAACCCCACTCTGATTTCCATCAAAGATAGATTGTGTTTCCAAGCCTGGCACAGGGAAAGATGGAATGCTATCTGTAACAGATGTGTAAGGCTCCACACGAGGACCAGGGACAGTATTCATACTCTCAGGTCTTTCATAGCCAGGATGGTAATGCCCTGGACGGTTCTCATCGAGAGCATTGCTTGGAGAATAAACATGAGAAGGCGAGATCGAATGATAGAATGCTTGCTGTCTATTTCTGTTTAGCATATCTGCTAAAGCAGACCCTGGAGCTGAGGTAGCTGAGTTATAGGTAGGAACCGAGTTTAAACGTTGCCTCTCTGAGAAATTCTCAGTGGGAAGTGGCACAAAATCAGCTGATGATTCCCTTGAGGAGTGTAATCCACTCGGAGGGAACATGTCTTTATAAGGGTCTTCACTTCTAGGACCACAATTTCCTGCAATCACATATCAATTCTGCCGTTAAAGCGTAGATAAGAAGATCCAAAAAATTGTATTTCACGGAAAAAAACAATCAGAACCAATGATCCAATACACAGTAAAGTAATCCGACTTTCAGTACTACAAGATCATCATCATATCAAGCTTCTGACGCAAAACAAACATGACGAGTGAGAATTCTGAAGCCGATCTAACTATCACTATCAATATAATTCTTCAGAGATAAACATCAAAGTAAACCCAAAATTATTTTGATCTCTCCTTGAATCCAAAGTTCGAAACCATCAGAGTACCAGACTACCAGTAAACAGTTCAACCCAAAATTTTGAAGAAGGGATTGAAAATCATACCGGGCCGGCTATTGTCAGCCCAAAACGATGAAGAAGGAGTCTGTGAGCGAGAATTTTCACGGTACGATGGATTATTCAACCAACCGGCCGGCGATCGGTGATAAGAGCCATGAAACATCATCGGATCAAACCTTGTTGGATCATAGGATTCAACCAGATGGCTAGCCAGAAACGGCGGCACGGAAGCTGGAGGGTACGGAGCCGGAGCCGGAGCCGGAGCCGGATACGGAGTAGAAAGCCAAAACGGGGACGGTGCTCCAGAGAAACCGCCATAGCCAAAACCATCTGCCATCGTTTTCTTCTCTTCAAAAAGTGGAAGAGACTGGTGAAGAGAAAAAAAGTGTTGCTTCTGCTCAAGTGTTGAGGTTGATAATGTTAATGTTAATCTGAATAGAAGCTTCTTAATGGGTGGGCTTTCAATAATGGGCTTATAGTAATATTCTGGACCTTATAAGGAATTATTTACTTCTGCTAGTGGATTGGTTGATTATTTTTTACTGGAATTTTTCTTTTTTTCTTGTGGGATGATTTGTATATTTTAATAGGTTTTCTTATCTAATATCACGAGTTGATCGATCCATACAAATATATAATTATTATGTGATATATTTTTCTAACCATTAAAGTAAAATTAAAAGTAATTTTTATCCAACTTAGAATTTCATTTGATATTTTTGATTAAAAATCAATTTATTTCATTTCACTTTTACGGTTATATCATTCGAATTTCTTGTAACACAAAATGTACTGAACATAAAAATATTCTTTTTTAAAAAATGATAATAATACAAACAAATGGTTCATAATTTTATTCAGACATCAAATCTTGAAGAATAAAACTAATTCCGGTTCTATAACTTTTTGGTGCACTTGTTTGAACAAGAATCGACACAGGCTGAGACTCTCTCCACATCTGTCCATAACACAAACACCACACACACACAAAACTTTAATCAGGATCACAATATCAAATACTATATACAGTCATGAATGTAAAGATCGAAGGCAGATATATAACCATTTGGAGTTATGCATTATGTTAAGAATATTAGTAGAGTACCCGCACGTTTGTGCGGTGTGACGTTGTTGTTTTGTGTAGAAAATTTAAACCCTAAATCCGAACCCGACAAAAAACCCTAATCAAAAAATTTAAAAACCCAAACTTTTTTAATAGGTCTAAACATGAAAATCCGAAATCAAAAAAATCCCGAAAACCCTGACTGAACAAAAAAAATCTGGAAACTTTTTCACCCGGAACCCGACCCCAATACCTAATCAAAATTTTAAAATACTCAATTTTTTTAATATATCTAAACCCGAAAACCAGAAATCTAAAAAATCCGGAAAACCCTAAACTGAAAAAAAAAATTGAACCTAACCCGAACAGAAATTTTCAAAGAAACCCGAACAATTTCTATATCTCTATAAAATTATGTCTCAGATTTTCACCCAAACCCGAACTTGTCTATAAAAACCCGAAAATCCAAAAAGCATATTCTATTGATTTGGAATTATCGTTAGATTATGTTAAGTTTTTTTTTTGCAGATTTTTAAGAGATGGAAAACGGAAGTTTTCTAAACCATCGGTTTATTTTAAGTTATTATTCTTGTATCCAAACAATTTTTTCCATTTATTCTTCTATCCAAATAGATTTTTCTCTTATTCTTATATCCAAACAACTTTTGTTTCCATTTATTCTTCTATCCAAATAGATGTTTCTCTAATTCTTGTATCCAAACATTAGAATGTACTTCTCAATTAAATATAATAATAATAATAAAGATATATAACACGAACATGTGGAAGCTTAAATACCTAGTGTTATATATATACTATACAAAAACTTGAAATCTTACACTAATTAATTTAAACTCGTTTTGAGATGAAAAGTCATCGACAGGAGATATACAAATAAATAAAGAAGAAAAAATACATGTACAAGAAGTGTAAACTTACTGGGGTTTTGGATAGAGGAAAGGGATGTACAATGATGATGAGTTACACAACCGAGTTTACAAAAATAAGTAGAAACGTCGATTGTGTTTGAAGCGAAAGATTGTAGAGATGGTTGTTCAAGACAGGTTTTGGTACATGTGAATGGACACGAAAGATACTTTGGGAACGTTGATTCAGCTTTACATGTCACAACACAAGCTGGATAACATTCTTGAAAAGGGATTTTATGATCTTCTGCTTCTGATTCAACCAGAAGGTTCATCACAACCACCATTGTCACCAACATTGCCACTCTTTTGCATTCCATATTTTTAAATAAAAAAGGAGGCAACGATTTTGTTTTTCTCTAGATATATAAGAAAAGTTTCATAATAATGTTTTTGTAAACTGTGAATGTCGATCATTGTGTTACATGGTTTGTTTATATAGTGACTGTGTATTATGATAGTGGGCAACTATTTGTACATTCCTTTTGTTTATGATTTGGAGATCTTTATATTTTATAATTATGATGATAACAAATTTCACTAACATAACTACTCTTTAGTTTTTTACCACTTTGATTGTATATGTACAAACTATTTAATACATATTTGCTTGCTCAATCATTCTATGATAGAAGTGGTAATATGGAGCTCATATTAGGTTCTAGGTATGTTGATATCTACATATAACCAGAAAATTTTGTCCAAACTTGAAGAGTAGTAGTTATGTTAGTGAGATTTGGAGGGGAAAAAAATCATAACTGTTTTTCATATTAGGTTCTTTAAATTTTAAGCATGATATCTCCATATAACCAGAAATTTTTGTCTAAATTTATAAAAGGATAGAGTTTGTATGTCAAGTACACTTGTTTTTAATATTGAAACTGTTATATACTTTTCATTCAAAAATGATTTTAGAATTTTATTAGAAAGAAAAGTCAAGAATAAAGTTCATAAATGAACTATGTCCCAGCATCAAAACACTTACAGAGGAGAAGATATAAGAGAAAAGGAGATTCAAAATGCCAATCCATTTCTTTCCAGAACATAATAACCACAAACAACGCCAAGCAGTTTAACTGTTCAAACCGCGAACGGCAAGCATGTTTTTTTTCCACCTAATCACACACACACAGACATAAAAAAAAAAGTATCCCAAAATCACAAATCACATTCAAACTAGCTAATATAATACATTGAAAAGCATCTCTGAATTTCCAGAGATACATGGCAGAGTGGCCTTGCGGCTCCGAACTTATGTTTACTTCTTAGAGACGTTGAGAAAGATACTTAGCCAAAGAATCAACAGGCTTGGCTAAGTTGTCGTTACTGTTTCCCAACCCCCTTGACCGGATTTTGATTCTTGCAAGATAATCAGCTGCAATCCAAGCAAAGCTCAGCATCACTGCATGACAAGACGACTCATCTGGATCTTGAAGCTCTAAATACTTCTTCACCCATTTCGGATGGTAAGTGACATGATACCAAGCTGAAGCCTTCTTCTCATACAGAAAGTTATTTTCCTCTTCGCTGAGCTCTCCGTGGTCCGGCTTCGTTTCCTCGAATACTTTTCTGAATTCTTTCTTCAGGGAGTTATAAGAATGCTTCAGTCTTTCTTTCAGCTCGCCTTGCTTCTTGCTTGTGTATTTAGGCATGGACCAGATGTGACCAGTCACAACCTCTTCCTCTTTCTGCACTTTGTATTGCCCGAGAAGACCAATAAGCTGTCCATCGTAAGAGCATTTATGATCCCATGCCTCGGGGACGAAATCTGCGAATCCTGGTATTTCAAGATCAGTGTCGTAAGGTATGTCGCTCGGGTCTGAGCTTTCTTCAGAGGAAGCTTCTGCGTCTTCGTCGTAGACTTCTTTTACACGTCTGTAAAGCCGACCCAAGATCTTGGTCGACTTGTAAGTTTGATATTCTTCTTTTCCCATGAAATCTGGATAGAGTTTTGGCTTCAGGTGGAAGGGCATTGTCACGACTTTCCCTGTCTTTGGGAAATCGACTGCTGTTGCAGCTAGTTCTGCTAGTAGCAAACATTCTTCGTCCATGGCTCCATACTCACTTCTATCAGCATGAACGACGTGTGCGTTGCAGATTGTGCCCAAATGCTCGTTCGCCATGTTCCTTGCAAAGAAATCGATTATATCCTGTAACAACAGCGATCAATTACACAAGAATTGTTTTACAAGTGAAAAGAAAATGAACTTAACAAAGAAACCACAGCTAAATTTAGAGACACTAGCATCATGATACCGTTGCACTTGATAATAACTAAAGAGTAAAATCAGGATCAACAATATATGACGACATTTTCTTACATATAATCATCTTAGCTTCTGCAGGATGAACACAGTATGGTGTTAATAGCCCATACCAAGCAATCTATGAACTCAGAAGCAAGCAGAAATAATCACTAAAAGCATCCGAAGACAAAGTATCCAGCACTTTCAGAAATATCACAGAGTTTTTACTGGAATCACCTATCCATCTTATTTTAGGCGTGATTAATCTCAGCTAACGGAAAAAAAAATGAGTAGGGTAAGTAGTTACTGACCTGGTGGTTGACAGGGCGGCCCAAACTCTTCTCTTCAGCTGCATCATATACCATGGCGGGGAAGCTTTTTCTGCTGGGAGGGATGAGTTTCTGATCCCAAGACACGAAGTAAAGGTCCCCATCAAGGTCACTGCCAGAAGCTTCGTTTGTATGGGGCCTATCGCCTTTCTGAGGGAAAACAAGGCAGTCATACATGTGATGAAGCTCGGGTACATCAACAGCTTCTAGAATCCTTACATCCCCCGGGTGAAGACAAGGATTCTTAGCAATGGCTACATAGCCTTTCACTACTTGCAGATCTGTCTTTGTCTCCTTAAAACGAGACCCATGTTTGGAGAAACAGTTTTCTATAGACGGTTTTGAGACTTGGATAAAGCATTGGCCCTGATCAAGTACCCCTGCTTCGTCTAGGCAACCCATTAGCCACCTTCCTGAGGTAACAAAGATGCGAGATTTTTCTCTGAGACCCCAGAGTTGTGCAATCCTGACTGAAGACAACATTCCACGTAGATGTGGCTCCGTTTTTGGTTTGAAACCTGCACTTAACATGATAGCTGCAGTGTTTCCCTGTTCAGCACATGATGCTGTGAGGACTTCAAATGCCACGTCTGTATCGTCAAGTATGCGGTTCAGTTTATAGAGCATGGATTCCTGCATCTCCCAGAATATTTCATCCGGAACACCTAGTACAGAGAGGAGGGTGATTATCTGCCGGTTTAAGAAACCAGGCTGAAACCTGGTCCAGGAACAGATCTCCAAGATGGTATGCTTTGACATGAATTTCCTCATACTGGATCGAAGGGCTAGCCGAATTCCATCACCTTTTGATGGCCAACGAGCAACAACTCCTTTAAACCCTGCATAACGGATCTGATAAGCACAAGGTGTGCAGGGCACATCCAGCTTAAGCTTCTCCATTACTTCGGCTGCGAGGTCAGGTGTGATTGTACCTATTCCATCAGAGAAAACATACCCATTTCTCTCGATTTCCGGAAGATCCTCGTCAACCTCGTGAGGCATGACATCTACACTGGCGTATGTGGAGGAGAAGCACAGGCCCATCCTAGCAGCACATTTTGCCACATTCTTGTCTTTGAACTTCCCCATCCATGCCTTAATATTTAGCACGCTCGTTTTTCCGTCTTCAGCAAAGAACCATGCAGAGCGGTCTCTCAGTTGATTGGCTGAGAATGCTAGGAAACTGTATCTTCTCCCACACAGCTCAAACCCCTCGGTTAATATGGTCTTCACTCTTTTAAAAATGTGGGTCTTCTGGGAGAAAGAGCTCGATGTCATATTCTTCACAATCGGAGCAACAAAGTAAGAGAGAACATTTGAATTCATTGTCTGCATGCTTTCGTCCATGAAAGTTACACGCAAAAACCTATCAGCAACAGCTCTGTATTTCCTGAGTACCCTGTTGGAGAGCTCAACTTCTGGGGGTAGGCAATAAGCTCTAGTTGGGGTAATCACTAGCCTTCTGATCTCAGAGATATCCTCAGACTGTTCATGACTCCCTAAAAGCTTTGGATTCTTCTGAATCCATTCCTGAACAAGCTTCAACCTCTTGTACGCATCAAAAACCGGCCGTTTATAGGTACAGAGATGCTTGAGAGAAGCCATATTGACATCCTTGGGTTGGTTTCTGAGAAGATCAAAGAAACGCTCAGTCAACTGAAACTGGTTAAATATCCCCTTGTGCATCACTGAGTTTACTAGGAACATTATCTCAAAGGAGATCCCTTCTCTGTGATGAATGCAGAAGAAATGATCCGACATAGGCTCCCCAAAACCGGACTCATCACGAATACGGGGAGGCCACCTCACACGTTCCTCTTGCACCCTCCGCTGTCTTATGTAATCTAAGGTGGTTGTCAGTTTCTTCTCATACCGAGGAGATATGAGCACTCGATATGAAAGGCATCGACCAATTGCCCCACTTTGAGTAAAGTCAGTGGTACGGATCCAAGGGTCATCATCATCCAAGAGATCGACAGGGACGGTTTCATATATGTCATCATCAGCAGTTCTGTACCAGACACGGGGTGACGAAGCTAGCTGCAAAAGAAGCACAAAGCAATCCAGTTTTTTGTAATGCCTCACTGTTCGTATGTCTCTCACCAATAACTCCAACTTGTAATCACAATTGATCACAGCATGCATCACTGTGTCCTTGAAAGCGAACGCAGTGCTCTTTGTGAAGCAAAACTTGCACGTGTTGTCAAAAGGATCTACCAGGAAATCAACCCCTTCTGCTCTCCAAGAAACAAGAAACTCATCCCGGGAAGCCAAGGTCCCAATCTCAAGTGAAACTCCGATCAACTTAACTGGTGTGGTTGTTCTTCTTCTTTGGTTAAGGGTATATGGGTTCTTAGGCCCCAAGCTGGCTTTCAACGGCTGACCATCCAGGATGAGATTGCATTGCCCCGCAGCATCCATAGCACGAGCTGATGATTCAGGAACTGCAAAATGTACGAACGCATGAGGCTCCACCTTCTTGTAATCATCAATTCTGGGGACATTTGAAGTGTCGTCGATCTTGAAATTAGGATAAGAACCAGGAGGAGTCCAGGAAGTTTTCAATCTGCATCGCCAAACGAGTCCTATTTCCTCTTCAAGGTAATCTGTAAGTTCTTTTGCAGTAGTGGACTCCCAAAATCCACCAATGCTTACTTGTGTCACAATTGAGCTCTTCTTATTTCCCTCTGACCCCATTCTCCTGAATATAATGACCAATAAAACAGTCATGTCACCTCAAAAACTAAGAGAAGCTTCTAAGGGGTAAACCCACTTAAGAAATCAGGAAATTGCTGATAAGTAAACAGATCAGACTACTCAACTACACCATGAAGACACGACCCAAACACAAGAAAATGTCATGCAAAACACATTAGAATTATGCATCAACAACCAAACAGGTGAGATCATCATAGTAGAATGAAGAACAAAAGGACATATGTATCTTTCCGCACCTTGATTATGCTAATGAGGAATAAGTCATGCTAAGAGTCACTGACTGACTATACACAAAAACTCCTAAGACATATATCAAGTTCTCAATGGAAAAGGAGAAGTTAGCATCATTTACCAACATCAGACAAAGGAGAATTTCTGAGTGGAATCTAGTCAGTTTCTTCCATAAGAAAAGGCAGGATTCTTTTATATACCATTTTAACAGCATTTGAGTTACTGGAGAAAGCGAATTTAAGCCACCATTACTATTTGCAGCCTACAATGGATGTAATTCGAGTCTTTCCCAATGTATATTACGATAATAAAGGGGGAAATTCCAGAAATCAACGCCTTAAATAGAATTACGGGGAAAATTACCGAAATCTAACATTCAATAAGAACCTCGTTGACCCTCAGCGACCACTATTCTTCCATATACATCGTATAATCGAGAAAACATTACAATCATGGCGTTCAAAGAAAAGCCCTATTGCACTGCTCCGTTGGAAGTTCAAAGAGAAGATATATCAAATTAGGAGACGATATCGATGGCTCCAACTAATTAATACTATGATATGATTCAATGGCACTTATCAAACCAAAACAGTCATGAACGAATTGAATTTTGAATCAAGCGGGAAAAGCAAAATTTATACGAAGAGACTTACACAGTAAAATCTTCAATCTAAAATTGGGAGTGAGATCGCAAGACACAGCGACATGGAAGCAATGCGGAGACCGGGGAGAAGAAAAGAGATGAGGGAAATACAGGTTTAGTGTACTCTACACACACAAAACCGCCATAGCTGAAAACCACCAACCAGCGTCTTCTCTTCTCCCAGTCAAATGGAAGTGAAAGAGCAGGGAGTGTTTAGAAGCTTCTTAATGGGCTTTTAAATATGGGCCTTTGTCTTCTCTTCAATGCTCCAACCATATTTTGGACTATTTAGTAAGAACCGGTATGTTCTCACTTCTCATCATGTAGAGTAATTGCAACAAAGAAGACGACGATGAATATATCTGAGAGTGAGACTTTGATTACAATTTCATCTACACCCTGAGAGGTGGGTGATTCTACAACTACCACTTAGCTCAAGCTCTCTCCTTCTAAAGCAATATTTACAAATAGAAACAAAAACTTATCTTCGATTAAAAACTTGACAAGAATGAAAATAGTTAATAGTCATATTTGCTATTTCGTTCATAACTCATAATGTAAAAATACGAAGTCGATACAGTAGCTAGTGTTATACACGTAAACGAATATCCTATAAACCGGCCTTGGTTTAATATGAAACCAACAACAAACTCAAAAAAAATAAACCGGTTCGGGACACTCTCTATACACAAAGGTTTCTTCAGTTATCAGATCATCACAGAAGCTCGGAAGTCCGCGGTTAGACTGCAGACCGACATCAAGAACAAAACCGCCACTACAGCCGCCCTAAGAAGTCCTCCGTACGAACATCTCACAGACGCAATCTTTCTAAACAAGAACCCGGTTTTGTTCTTTGATCTCATTAGCTTTCCACGTCCCTTCTCCATAGTTTCTCCAACCGTGTTGTCCTCAACCTGTTGTAGCATTTAATTTGTTAACATACTAATCTCACGTCTCGATTTTAATTTGCTACAAAATTAGTAATTTCATTATAAATGTGGTTGTTGTTTCTCTCACCTCTCTCTTGACAGTTTGAAGCTCTGGATTGTCAAGGTTACATTGCAGACGCAACCTTCTCGAGGCATCTCCATGCATTATATGGTCATTGTTACTACCACCTGAGGGCTGTTCCCGCCGAGTCCTAAGCATGATACCTGTTTTCGAAACATCGTTGTTCATGTCACATGCTGTTCCCTGTTGAAACGCTGCTGCAATCTGCAATCAAGTATAGATTAATTAATATTATGATCTGTCTTTCTTAAAAGACTATACACCAAATGATGTAATGAGTTTTGAGGTAACTCCACGAACCTGATCTGGCGCTGCACCGTAGAATTCGAATCCACTCTGCAATTCAAGCACCTCCTTCTCTGGAGCCTCGTCCGGGTTCTCAAGAATCGAATCAAGAAACTCGGAGATATATGCATCTACTTCATTTGTCCCGTACTGAGACTGAACTTGGAAGCTGTTGTTGCTCGAGCCAGGCTGAAACGCGTTGAAAGAGGAGCCGAGCTCGAACTCGGACTGAACTTGAGAGTGTAATGGCGAGAACAGCGTGTAATTCAGAGGCTCCAACTCTGGATAAGACAACCAATCAAGGTCTCCAAGCTACAGATAAACAAAAACAAAAAAAAAAAAAAAAAGTCTTTCATTTGCAAAAAATGGACACTACGACAATCATCTTAAAAAAACTCTGCAATGTGCCTTACCTTGGCGGTTGTAGCCCCATCACAAGCATCACTATGAGAATCTCCTGAGATTACAAGAGAAGATTCCGCAATGTTGTCATAACGCTGCTTCACGTCTTCTGTTTTAGTCACCAAAGATACTTTAGACTTAGTCTCTTCAACAGCTGGAGACGAGACAGCAGGTTCAGCCTCATCGGACTTGGAATCTTCTTCCGTTAAACTCAGGTCTTGTTTCTTGAACAACTTGCATATGACAAACGGACTCTGCATAACACAAGTACATGATTAAGTCACATAGCCGATTTAAGCCTTCAAAAGTGTTACACTTACACATCTACATGTGTGCCATTATTTTACCTGGCCAGGATCGGTGCCGCTAAGGTCATTCTCGGTGGCACGATACTCGTGCATAACCCAATTGGTGCGTGTTCCCTTAGGAGCTCGACCAGAGTGGAAAACCAGAGTTCTCTTCACGCCGATGATCTTGCTCTTACTGGATTTGATCTTCCTGTCTTTCCCAGTCGCTTTCCAGTAGCCTTTGATTGTTGCCCTGTTCTGTCTACTTCCGTTCGGGTACTTCCGATCCAACGGACAGAAGAAGAGCCACTCTGAGTCTTTTGTTTTTATCACAGAGAAATCTACAATAAACAAAACAAGATCTTGATCACCAAAAGTGGCAAAAAAAAACAGAACTGTATTGATAACATTAAAATCCAAAAGTTGCTAGATACGAATAAATAGAAACTTTAGAAAACACATATAGTAAGAATTAAAGTCCAAAAGTTGTTAAGTTTATTCAAGACAGAGAATAATACTAGATTTGTGAAGTTTCAAACATTTCTGATTTCCCATCAAAACTTACTGCAAACTGCGAAAAGCTAAGCTCAAATTCAACACAATGCTAGAGAAATCACAGTGTAGAAAATTTTAAATCCAGTGAAGAAGAAGTACCAGGTAAATCCCAAGGTTCCCATTTGCAGATATCAATCTCTCGGATGGCTTTGACGTCGTCATCGTGGCCGTTGATTTTCCTACGGAGATAGTAACGAACTAGCTCCTCGTCTGTTGGACGGAATCTTAGTCCCACCGGTAGTGAATCTACCGATAACACTTCAATATTCTGATTCATAGATGCGACTTTTAAACGAATCGGCAGAAGAAGAAGAACCCAGTATCGAAAGATTCCTCAGAAATACGAATAAGAAAATCCCGGAATTTTTATAGACCAGAGATGCGATTGGAAGGTATCAATAAAAATTCGGAGATATTGAAAAACCCTAAGATCGGATACGATTTGGTAAAGTGAAGAAGAAGATGTGTGAAAATTTGCTTTTTCTCTCCTCGGGGTCTAAAGAAGAAGAAATATAGGAGAGAATGATGACGATGATGGTGATGTGATGATAGCGGCGCGTGGGGTCAATTGGTATGTATACACACGCGCCTAACCAAGTACGTTACGCGTTTTTGTGGAAATTATTAATGGATTTATGGAAGTACTATGATTTTGCCCTTACCAAGACGTGAACAAAGAAGTTGGTTCGGGTAATGAGATAGGGTAAAGTAGGTAAGTAGATGACATGTAAAGTAAACTGATAGTGTTATGTCAGATGACAAATAATGTGATGACACGTGGAAGCGGGAAAGGAAGTTTCTGTGTCTGTCACTTGTTGAGTTTCTCGGATGGTTCGTTTACTTCGTTTTTGTTGATCTTGACTTTTGGAGAAATTGTCTTTCGATTGATTCTCGGAACATTCCGACATTGCCTTATCTATATAAAATTGCGTCTAAACAAAATCATGGTTTTGGGCCGGAAGTCACGATGAACCATTTCTAGCCGAAACAAGACCGACTAGTCCATCATGTGAAAGTGAAACATCTCAACAGAAGCTCACTGCTCACGATCAACTGGTCCACGCGCATTGACTTTGCTTGGACGTTGGAAGTCTTCGATTTCTCTTCCTCCATATCTTGTAAACGGTTGCATTGCATGCCACTCCAGATGAAGATCCTTTATTGATTATTGAATGCCAAGCGGTTGCAAGAGGAGTGAGATGCTTCTAGATATGTGGTCTCGAGAAATATGTTATGTTAGACAAATCAAACCACATTTTATTGTATTATGGCTGTTTTGCAACCCTAGATATCAGATTTTAGCGAGCTTGGTTACTTCATCGTTTACTTGTACAATATGAGAAATTCTTTTGTAACAACTAACAAGGGTTAATACTGGATATGATATTCCAACCATTATCTTTAACTACAAGCTATAAAGAAAATATGGTTCTGGTTAAAAACAACATAAATTGTGATTAGCAATATCATTTTGACATGTACCATCGTTAGACGGCATAATCTTTTTTTTTTGCAATCTACTAATAGTCCAATTAAAAATGTAGTTCATTTTTCCTATTTTTGTTTCAACCATCGAAATTTTATTATTAGAAACCGCGCACAACTCACAAGAGACGAAAGGTCCACAAAAATCCCTAAGCATACTCCTTAATTACTCATTTACTCTGCTGAATTCTAAAATAAGTTCCTAATCTTAGCCAAAGATAAACATTCTGTAAATAACTTTGACCAACAAGAAAAACCTTATGTAAATAACTCTAATCTTAGCCATCTCCAATTTTAAACAATCACCACAAAAAAAGAAAAGAACATACTAAAGACTCTGCATAGAATTCGGAAACATCTTCATCTATATAATCCTGACTATGTTCTCTTCATTTGCTCAAGCCTCGGGTCTACAATAATACATCGAAGAGAAAAAATAAAAAAGGTTGTGTAATTCACACTCCACAGCCTAAACCCAACCAAAATCACAAAAACTAAAAACTAAATAATGGGTGGCTGTGCGAGTAGACCCAAGGAATCAGACATGAACAACGAAGAAAGCTCAGTTCCTAACAAGACTGTGTCTGAAACCGTAGTAGCCAAGGTAATATACAACATAAAAATCTAGGCTTAATAAACATGAAAAATTAGGTTTTGTATGTGTGTTTTAAAAATCAATACCAAAACCGGTTATGATATTTTGATATGGTAATACAGGAGATCAACACAGAAGAAAGCGGTGCTGAAACAACTGCTGTGGAAGCTAAGGAGACATCTCCGGTCGAACCGACCGAGGAAACAGCTCCTGCTGCTGAAGCAGAGGTTGTAGCAGCCGTGGAAGAGTCATCTTCTGCTGATGAGGCTGAACCAGCACATATGAAAGTAGCGGCTGAACCAGAAACCGTTGAGTCAGTGGTTGCGGAAGCTGCACCCGAAAAGGTGGAGGTTGCTGCAGAAGCTGAGAAAGCGGCAGAGGTTGAGCCAGTAAAGGAAGAGAAAGAAGTTGTTGTCGCCGCTTGATTAATTAAATCTGTGAAAATGTTTTGAATGTTGTTGTATACAACTATGATTTCATTTGCTACTGCCTGATTTATTTGGCTTTCTTTGTTCTTTGTAATTCAAAATGATTCTTCTTTGATTCATTTAAATATAAATCAGTTTTGCTTCATGGAAGTTTCTAATCAAGATCTCTTCTCTTATCACTGAAACACATAATTGGTAACAGCAACAAAATATAATGCTATTTTGAATAACTTGATTGGGGAGATATAAAAAGAGAAACTTGAAAAATCCCAACCAAACAAAATTTTGAATTCTCCAAAACAAAATTGATTTGAGCCATTGCTCTTTATTCTTGTGATTTGACTCCGTATTTCGTTTGATTGTATCCGCAATTCCTAGCTATTAGTCTCTGCTCGTTATATATTTTATTTACATGACAATGACTACTATCAGTGATAATTTGAGTTTTTCTTGGTCGGGGGTAAAGAAAATGAATGAGAATGTGAAATGGCAAAGGTGGCGTTAGGTGGGCCTTTGTTCAAAGGCCCAAAGACATCGCCTCTCGTTCTTGGTTCTTACTATGTCACTTCACGGCGTCACCCACCGTTACTTTCTTTCTCTGACCTTTTTGTCCTTTTCTGTCGTCTTCCTCTACAAATATCCAGTTTCAAAATTAATTATTAAAATACCGTTTACTTCCCACGCCTAATAAATATCAATGGGTCTTTATTATATGTAAGAAACGAGCAGATCTAAGCAATAAATGAAGTGACACGTGATTTCCCCTCTTTTACCGCCAAGAAAATACAAAATTAATTGTGAAAAAATAATGAAATTAGCTAAAGTAAAGCATTATCTATGAAAATGTCTAAAATAAGCAATAGTAATAAGAAATAAGATGACGTGGCAAAAAGCAGATGAGGTAGGCCCCTCTAAGTGGAACCGTTTGTCTAATAACGGAGTTATATTATATCCGTTAGAAGACAGTGTTGAGTCTCATCTATAAAATTCATCGTCTTCTTCATTCACTTTGTTCTTCAGCTATCATATACTTCGAATCAAAATTAGGGATACGAATTTGCAGCTGCTGATCAGGTATGTGTGTGTCTCTCTCTCTCTCTATCTCTCCATTCTTCTCTCCATTTCCCTCTGTATTTTCTTCTTAATTCTGTATTCTCTCCTTCATACTTCCGTCGGATCTCGTAGCTATTCCAAATGCGCTTCGATTAGGTCTCATTGATTGATTTTCTGCGTTCTCATTCCAATTAGGAAAAACAATAGTGGATTGATTTCGTTTTTAGGATATGGAATTTATATGGCATATGTGATTTGAGCTTATCTCTGTGATACTATTTTATCTGATTATGTTCTCTTTTAAAACGAATCTTCATTTCTGGAAAGGGAATTTGTGAAATTAGAGATTGCAAATAGCGCTTAACCTCATAATGATATTGATCGCTTCATCGGATTTCTTGGATCATGCAGAGGAGCTTTGAGAATCAGAAGAAACTGCTTGACAGAAACAATGGAGGTATTTGGAAAATCACCAGTGGTTGGTTCCGCAAATGTAATTTACTTGTCTGCCTTACTTGGTCGCGACGGACCAACCCCGTGTCACAAATGTGACTGGAAATGCGAGAACGAGAATGTTTGGGGCAACATGTACCGCTGCAAACTAACCGGATTGAATCACGTCTGTGACAAGAACTGCAACCAGAGGATCCTCTACGATAACCATAACTCTCTCTGCCGAGCCAGTGGCCGGATATTCCCGCTGTCGTCGGCGGAGGAGAACGCGGTGAGAGGAGTCCGGAGGAAGCTTGATGATGAGAGTCAGCCTTCCGAGAGCTGCAACAAACGTCGTCGCCGTGACGCTCAGTTTCATTCTTCTCCTTTCGAGAGGTCTTTCGCTGCCGTGAGCCCAATCTGCAGCCAAGCTGGAGATGGAATGGAGATGAACTAGATCTCTGTTTCGTTATATCTCACCTAGAATGAATAACTACCGTTTTCTTTTCTTTTTTCGTTTTGGAAAAACTATGCAATAAGAGAGTGACATTTATTCGTGTGCTCTTCCGGGGAGACTAGGTGTAGCTCCTTTGTATGAAGAAGCATTTTTATCTTAATATTGTTGAACTCTATGTAGTACTTAACATAGGAGAGAGAGACTTTATAATTCTGCTGCTCTTTTCTGGACGTTCTTGTGACCATATTATTTAGTGAAGTAGAATAAGACGCTTGTTTCAGCACTGTGTATCTTGTTTTGGTACAAGATACCATTTGTGATTCCTGTAAGTTTATTGTGACAGGATTATCAATTATTGTTGGCCAATGGAGACATTTCTTTATCCTCTCAGTGGAGACATGATCCTATGCTTTGTTCGAAATCAAGTTTTCTTCTTTTTCTTGATTGATGAGCTCTAGTGGTCCTGGAATTATCTTCTGTTTGTGCAGGTTTCTTAGTGTTGCCATGCAGGAAATTTAATTGCCATTTGTTTTTGTGCAATGACTTGACTGTTATGTTTCTCAGTTTTCCAGTGTTTGTCTGAGGAGTAAGTCTAACAATTGGTAGCTTAAACCTTTCTTTGTAGGTACATCTATGTTTGTGCTCAGCAGGCAACTACGCGCTGGTGTATTCATAAGCAAGTTGTAAACTAAAGGTCCAGACAGCAGAAGAAGGACGGTAGAGAAGAAAGATACTCTCAACAAGAAAGACCTTAGCAAATAGCATGGCATTTTCAGTTTGGTAAGACTTAAGTTGCTTTCTTCAACCTTGGGGGAAAAAAATGTGCTTATGCTGATTTATCTTTGATCTTTTCTTTATCAAATCCCAATTAAGTGTTGTCCTTCTGTTTCAAATCCAGGTTAAAAGAAAACCGAGGAGCCAAATCATATCATACTCATAATCAAAACGGCAACGCATGGTTCCCCAAACTCAACAGCATCAAAGTCCAACCTACTGCCTCAGCATCTTTATGCTATTTCACCATTAATCATCAATCGATGGAGTCTCCTTCACATTCAGTGAGCGTCCATTTGTCATTTTTAGTAACCACTAAGCAATATACAGTTCTTTGGTCTATAAATGTAACTTGTAAGCAAGAGAAGCTCTTCTCTACAGGCTTCAAAACATCATCTGTATCCGGTGTACAAATAAAGATGATTTACACTATCGCAACATAGGTCCTTTTGCAAATTGTGAACTGAAGAAAATCTCCTAAAGAACCACAGATTTAAAAACTCACCTAAAATTGATGAAGAGGTTGAGCAAATGGGACACTTATATATGGGCCTGAAAAAGCCCAATACATGTTATAATAAGTACCCAATAGAGAGGGAAGGAGGGAGATAAGACGAGTACGAGTCTACCAGAACCGAAAGGAAAGAGTCGTAAGAGAGAAAAAAAACGACAAAAATGGGTTTAGGCGGCGAAGGAGGAGAGCAGAGGAGAGGAGGCGGAGAAATGATGGCGATGGCGAGCTTGTTCAACGATCAGCAGAACCCAATTCAGCAGCTGCAGGTTAAATTCAAGGAAGTGGAAACTGGTTTCAAGGCGTGGTTGTCGAAGCAGTCGCTGCCGGTGGAAGCCGCCGTCGTCTCAACCATGAGCGGCGTACAGGGAGCTTTCATCGGAGGTCTTATGGGAACACTGTCACCTGAAATGCCTCAGACCGGAGTTGACCCTCAAGCCATGGCCTCTATGAAGCAAGCTCAGGTTTTCGCTTCATAATCCTTTTATACTTCATCTTCTAAATACGTAATAAATCCATGTGATTGGATATTCCATTGGAATCGAAATTGATGGAAGAGACTGTTTTGTTGTGAAATTTTGGTAGGCGCTTGTGGGTGGGCCATGGGTCCAAGCTCGGAATTTTGCTGCCATTACTGGTGTAAATGCTGGAATTGCTTGCGTTATGAAAAGGATTAGAGGCAAAGATGATCTTGAGTCTGCGTAAGTCTCTCAATTCAATTCCAAGACTTTACTTGTTTGTTCATCTGCTGAAGTTTCCTTTTTATAGTGTAGTACCTCTTTAAGTTCATCATCACGGTAGCTGAATCTTGTCCCCCTCTTGAATCCTTCTAAGCTTGCCTCAGTTTCGTAGTTGCTAAATTCTTGTTTTTGACAACAGCTTACTACTTAATCAACCATGTTGGTAGCACCACACTACTTAAAACTCACATTTCGAAGGCAGTTTTAGGATATATAAGAGCTGTTTCTGTTTTGGCTATTGTCACTTTCTGGTCACTGGTTGCTTAGATTTGATTAATTACACACGTTATAGGGTGTGGATGGCAAATAAGTTTCACTGGTCAGTCTTGATTAAACCTGTGATCGTATCATTCACATGATCATGATCTTTTGCTTGTTACAAGTTTTTGAATGAAATCCTGCGATTTGGTTATCATTGAGAACAAGGTGGTTGTCCCGCACCTTGTGCGGGTACAATATTTTTTAAATACAATTATTAATTAAAGATTTAAATAATATAAGTAGTACAACTTTTTATTGTATTCATCGTTTTTGTTTTCGCAAACTTCTTATTTGTAATCTTGAGGTGTCTTATTTTTATCTTCTCTTTCTTGTTCTTCTACGTAATATTCTTCATTTGTTTTGGAATTTTCTTCACATTCCATTATTTCTTCTTTCCTTTCTTTTTCCTCATGTTCGACTTTTCTTTTTCTTTTCTAAATTTTTCATCTTCTTTTTCACTGTTTTCTTTTCTTTTACTTATGTATCTATTATGTCTTGTTTGTGTCTTGCATATCACCTACCAATTCATTTCGATAGTTAAAATTTTCAATATTTTTGAAATAGATTCTATCTTTATATAGTTGAGGTCTTTTAAAAATTTATTAGTTTTGTTATCTTTCAATTCTGGATTTTCTTTAGTTGTTTTAGTTTTTTTTTCTATTTGTGAATGTAATTTTGAAAGTAGATATAAATTTCAAATAAATGATTTTTTATTATGAAATTCTTCTGTGATTTTTTATTATGAAGATTTAATCATAGATTTTCATTAAGGGCATCTCAGTAATGATTTTTTATTCCGCGGCTGAGAGTTAACGTGGTGCCTTCATTTGAAACTTGATGCTAGGATCGATACTATCTGCATCATAACTCCTCGGTTTTTCAATCAAAGCCTCTTTCCAAATAGTAGATTCACTTATATTGACAACCTCTCCTATCAAATCTTGTAAGAAAATAAAACAATAAAAGAGGGGTTAGATAATTAAACGGTTTTCGAATATGAGTTTAACTATACTTGAATATAATATACGTACCTACTAAATAATCATCACAGTGTGAACCATCTATGATTTTTTCAAAATCAACGAAATTGAAAAAGTGTCTTACGCTAGCGAAATAGATCTTTGTGATGATTGTTGTTGGCATCAAATATATTCGATTTAGATGCCAAGTAGCTCTACAATGTCCTGTCTGAGTAGTGACATCGAAATTCTTAATGACAATCCAATCTCCCTCGTTGACCTTGCAATCATAAGCCTCATAAACGGAAACATGCACAGTTGCTTGAATCTTCTCTCCCTGAAATATTTATAATACAATAGTTACAAAATCACTAACGTATCAATATTATCTATCAGAGTTTTTGTTTGGCTTTATCCGATACCTCTTCATCAGATAGTATGAGCTCTAATCTTTTAGCAGAAGTTGGGTGATCGTTTAGCCAAAAGCGCAAAACTTTCACCAAAATTTCAGTATCGTGAGTCCTCGGCCCAAGTCGTGAAACTGTATACCTCTTCCTCAAGTCCTTATCATATGTAATAAGCTTCTTGTAGGTGCCTGATTCATTGACGTAACCACTCTAGATCTATTATTATTGAGGAAGCAAATACTATGGATATTAAAAAGAAAAAAAAATCGTCATAGATTCGCTATTAGTATTAGGGTTTCATGAATAGATGTTAATACCTTCTATTGCTGGAGTTGAATATTTCGCGCTTGAGACCAGATCTGATCCTCTAGATTCCATTAGCTTGGAACTAACTGTACCAAAGCGAGAGAAGAAGAAGATAATCATTATTACAGTAAATAGAACTTAAATCAAAGTAAAACCATAAAGATGCATGAGAAGAAAAAATATGAGACCTAAGAACTAAAATTACGTATAGAAAGAAGAGATGCAAATAGTAAAGAGAATTGGGTTGATTATGGTTGTAGCTATCCCTATATATAAGAAAGAATCGGAAAAACAAACCTAGGTTTTCAATTTTTTTATCTTTTACTTTTTTCTTTAATTTTTTCCATAAATGTGACGCGAAATATGTTAGGTATGTGGTATATATCCAAAAATAATTTATGTAAATATCCAAATTGACGTTTTTTATGTCGTATATATCCAAAAATAATTTATGTAAATAACCAAATTGACGTCTTTTTAAAAAATAAAATAAATTCGTTTTTAAATAAGATATTAAGCAAATTGAAAGATTTAATAAAGATTTTCATTAAGGGTAGTTATGTAATTCGTGGCTGAGAGTTAACGTGGTGCCTCCATTCGAAATTCTGACTTTGCAAATAATAGTACGACTAGTAGAGTACCCGCACGTTTGTGCGGTGTGACGTTGTTGTTTTGTGTAGAAAATTTAAACCCTAAATCCGAACCCGACAAAAAACCCTAATCAAAAAATTTAAAAACCCAAACTTTTTTAATAGGTCTAAACATGAAAATCCGAAATCAAAAAAATCCCGAAAACCCTGACTGAACAAAAAAAATCTGGAAACTTTTTCACCCGGAACCCGACCCCAATACCTAATCAAAATTTTAAAATACTCAATTTTTTTAATATATCTAAACCCGAAAACCAGAAATCTAAAAAATCCGGAAAACCCTAAACTGAAAAAAAAAATTGAACCTAACCCGAACAGAAATTTTCAAAGAAACCCGAACAATTTCTATATCTCTATATATATCTCTATAAAATTATGTCTCAGATTTTCACCCAAACCCGAACTTGTCTATAAAAACCCGAAAATCCAAAAAGCATATTCTATTGATTTGGAATTATCGTTAGATTATGTTAAGTTTTTTTTTTGCAGATTTTTAAGAGATGGAAAACGGAAGTTTTCTAAACCATCGGTTTATTTTAAGTTATTATTCTTGTATCCAAACAATTTTTTCCATTTATTCTTCTATCCAAATAGATTTTTCTCTTATTCTTATATCCAAACAACTTTTGTTTCCATTTATTCTTCTATCCAAATAGATGTTTCTCTAATTCTTGTATCCAAACATTAGAATGTACTTCTCAATTAATAATATAAAGATACAAGTGTTAGAGAGTAATAGCTTTTGATTTTGGCAGCGTGGTCGCAGCATTAGGATCAGGATTCGCGTACTCTTTGGTGAGCCAAGGTTTTCAAGGACAGCCTCTGAATGCAATCACCACTGCCGCTGGTTTTGCTGTTTTCCAAGGAATATTTTTTAAAGTGAGTGATCATCAATCATATTGGGAACTTTACTTGTGAATCATAGATAAGCAGCTGTTCTTAATCTTACCACGGTTTTTGTTAACTCAGTTGGGAGAAAGATTCTCTAAACCGAGTCCTGAAGACCCGTTTTACACGCGATCAAGGACCATGCTGTTGAAGCTTGGTCTACAAAAATACGAGAAGAACTTCAAGAAAGGACTTTTGACAGATCCCACATTGCCATTGCTTACCGACAGGTATGTTGTAATCTGCATAATCCCCTTTTAAGCTTTTTGAGCTTTCGTTTTATGTATCAGCTAAAGCTGATGAATTCTGAATTATCCAGCGCGCTAAGAGATGTGAGCATCCCACCAGGGCCAAGACTTCTGATACTAGATCATATCCAGAGGTTTGAAATCCAACTTCTCTTCTCGTCCATTGATCAAAGAAATTTACTTACAGATGTTTGTTGGTTTGAGCGCAGGGACCCTGAGATAAAGGGCAAACGAGGAAAGTAGTAATTGAGCATTTTGTTTACATATGGTCATCACCAGAATCTGTATCTGTTTCGACGGCGAGGATCTTCAAACACAAATGTAATGTCTTCTTTTTGTTGGTGCTGCTGTGTTGCTGGGAAGAACTCTTGTTAGATTCTTCTGCTTGTACTACTAATGTTTGATTCTCTTTTAAAATTAAAAGTATTTCGCCACAAGTCCAAATGGAGTATATATTCTTAATAAAGAAAACTGGAATATGGTTGTCCAAAAAAAAGAGAGGAATATGCTTTGTAATAAGATGGTAATATATAGTTGGATGGGTATAACGTTAAATTTGTTTCATGTATTTTTTTTGTTATTACCGTCCAACTATATATTACCATCTTATTACAAAGCATATTCCTTTTTTTTTTTTTTGGACAAGCATATTCTAAAATAATTATCATAATTGACTGTGAAAAGATTGGTGTATGGATCGGAAGTTTTCTTTTAACTTTCACTTTGATAATTATTTTATTGTTGAGCTCAACTCTCTCTCAACATCTATGCGCCAAGTCAATTATGGGAATACCAAAATAATACTGACAGAGAGAACTAGAGAAGATGGAAAATATAAACAAATATTCTACGAACAGTTAAAAACTTAAAATAATATTGACATAGAAGATGGAAAAATACATGTCGACGTCGCCATAAATTTTGTATTTTGAATCCGTTAAAGTTGTCTTCCAAATGCTTTTTTCAGTTTTTTTATTTTCTGTGATTTTCAGTTCAGGATTTTATCTTTTTGATGCTTTTTGTTCTAAATCTTGATAGTATTTATGGGCGTATACAAACTCTTGAAAATTGATTATTCTACGATGAAAATGAAACAATTTAATCTTTCACTACAAATTTCCTATTATTATGTTTAATTTACATTCAACAACATTTCCTCCGTTAGAGGTTTTGGAACTCCTAAGTCCTAAAAACTGGCATTGATCTTAGCCAATTTTACAGACGTATATATATTCATCTACCTACGAATTCGTAACAACGACTTCAAGGGAGGAGGAAGAGAGACGAGAGATTTGATCCATGAGAAACAGTACACGAGATTGATACTCACGCGCCTGATCTAGAGACTCGACCTCCAGCTCCGCCAGCTGTGAGCAGAGTCTCTCCTCCGCCTCCTCCGCCACCACTGCCCGCCGCCACAACTGAACCATCTCTTTCTTCATCTCCTCCACGTCTCTCTCCAGCTCAACGTTCTTCCTCCGTAGCTCCTCCACCTCTTCTGCCGCCACCGTCACGTAACCTCCTCCTTTTCCCATTACTTTTAATTACAATTTCTAAGATACAAGTGTTTTCTGGTGGTTTTGCTGCCTTTGTGTTAATTCTCTGTGTGTTAAAGAGTTAAGACTTTGAGATCCTTTTAATAGGCATCTTTGTGATCAAAAAGTGTCCAGGTTCAATGTATCTCGTGTTCTCGTATTTTTCGGAATATTCTTTTTTTCTTTGATGGTCATATTATTATTATCAGTCTTTCCTGCCTTAGAAAAAATAAAACCACGTGGCGCATAATCATATGCATTACTATTACAACAACAATTTTTAAAACACTTGGATATTTTGCCCGGATGACGGAACAAATATACCAACACTCAATTTTCTCTAAAATATTTGTGAATATGTACCCTAAATTGTAATTTAGATAACAACTAGTATGTTTCATGTTTGTTATATAAATCATCAAAGGTAGAAAATAGTCTATGCAAAATCAAATATGTGAAAATTTAAGTTTTGACTTCAATATTAATCTTCAAAATGTAACATGTATATCCATATATTGGTGCATGTATATCCGCTCTACTGTTACTGATATACCTGTATATGAGATTTCGGATATCCCAAAAGAAAGGCTCATCGTCATATACACATCAGCCTTTTTAAAAAAAAAAATTATAGCATTGTTCATCCAGATTACAAGTATTTTGAAATGTTATTGTATCGGTTTATTAAGATGATATTGTTCTTTTATCATCTTCGGCATGCTTTAAACACAAAAAGGTCAAAAATCATGCTAAATACAAAAACCAACGTCATATGCTAGTCTTTGTAGTTTGTTCCCGTCTATTGTTTTGTAACCTTAGCTTTTATATTAATAAACAAGTAATTACATGCATTCGTATAGTAAGAAAAATCCTATATGCTTTTAGATAGTAATTAACTTATCTTGATATGAACCGGTGAATATCGTGGAGTAGTATTATTAGAGAAAATGATAGGTGACGTCACATATCACGTCGACATAATTGTCAGATTCCATTTGGTCGTGCCTCCGTTGGACCACTTATCTAGTTATCCCCAAGGTAATGGCCATCACACACACCAATTAAAAATAAGCGATTATTACAAGTAATTTTTAGTTTCTTGTATGAAAACGTGGTCACAAAGAGTACTGATTACTAGTATTATTTATTAAAGTGGGTATCCTTGTCGCGGAAAATTATAATCGTTGTAAAGTTATATTCTGATAAACAGTCAAATACGACGGTCGATATCGGAGAAAATAGTTATTCCAATAATGGCAGAATACTTTTTGAGAGAAATATCAAATATCATGGATTTGTGAACATAAGAAAGAAGCCATAAAAAGAAAAGATAAATTGGTGAATAATTATTTTCCTCAATTATTAAAAAATGCCAAGAAGAGTCACGACGTGACAAATTCGGAGTGAGGGATGATTACGGATTACCACACAACTTAGATTGAGCTACTTTACGTCCAGGTTCAATGTATCTGTTTTCTTCGCCGGTTTACTCATCCATTTCTGTCATGCTCGGTTTAGTCCGGTTTTCGTTTTCAACAACATTGTTGTGATATACCGTCATCAATTATATTAAAGATGCTCAAAATTAAATAATTTAGATGTCAATTGTCATAAGATTTGAATGTCATACTTCACGTGAAATATTAATCTTTGCCAGCACCGCATCATAATATTTTGTTTTTGGTACTAAATTAGTTTTATATAATACTCCCTCCATTTCAAATTAATTGTAGTTTTGGCAAAATGTATCTGCAAATATTTGGACGTATCTGGACGTGTTTTGCATTGCAGATACATCCAAATAATTGCAGATATATTTTTCCAAAACGACAACTAATTTAAAACGGAGGGAGTAATAAAAATAGAAAATGACTCTCAAACCAATGAGAAACCTATTTGCAATATCGTGTATTACGTTCCATGAAAAATACTTTTATGGTCCCATGGAAAATCATAGAACCCTTCTCTCCTACTGTTTCCATTGACCATAGATAAACCTAAATTTATGAAACTTTCATGAAGCTCAACTACCAACAATGCAAATACTTACAAATTTCTTTGAGATATTTTATACCGTACAGATCATCGAATCATATGCATGATCTGCACTCAACTAAATCCATAAATGATAATCCTTCTATGGTTCCTTTGAAATCTATGGTATAATATACTACTCCCTCCGTTTCAAAATACTTGTCATTCTAGCCTTATTTTTTTTATTCAAAATAGTTGTCGTTTTCACTTTCCAATGCAAAATTTAATATTAAATATCTAGTTTAACCTTGATCTAATGAAGAATACTAATAGTCAATTTGCTTTTTAAGGGTATAATTGAGTTTTTAATCTATTTTATTAATCTGCGTGAAATCTCCTAGAACGACAAGTAATAAGAAACGGAGGGAGTAATATATAGGATCACACGGAATTAAAACTGAATAACATTGTTCCTCTCCTGGTTCTACAGATGATCCTGTTGGTGATACAAAATGGTAAGCATTAGTAAATGTTCAAAGATAATAATCGTGATACCGTTTTGTTTATGATTGGTAACACAAAAAACCCGACATCAAATCCATAATTATTATACGATTGCCGGTAAAGATCTTCTAACCGGTTAAACTAGTATGGATTTAGGTTATGTAAGCCATATATTCATTACTAAATATTACTCTAATATCACTCTTTGATTCGCAAGGCAACCCCATATAAATTTTGGTAAATCATCTGAAAGTCAGACTAATTTAATTGTACAACTATCAGAAATAATCATTCATTAGAAATGGATCTCAACATTTTATTTATGTTGAAAACATAACATATATAGCCATCGATCTACATATATATATATGTACATATTTAACAAGTATCTGTACACATACACACATACGCAAAGATATGTCGATACATAAATGTTTGTATATGTATGTATATCTAAATCTGCGACGAAGAAACGAGAGAAGAAGAAGAGAGGCGAGAGATCTGATCCATGAGGAAGAGTACGCGAGCGTGATTATCACGCGCCTGATCTAAAGATTCAACCTCTAGCTCCGCCAGCTGCGAGCAGAGTCGCTCTTCCGCCTCCTCCGCAACCACCGTACGCTGCCACAACTGAATCATTTCCGTCTTCATCTCCTCTACTTCTCTCTCGAGCTCTCTGTTCCTCCTCCGTAGCTCCGCCATCTCTTCCGCCGACACCGTCACGTAACCTCCTTCGTTCGCCATAGATAATTGAATTGAAATTTCTCTGTGTAAAGGATTTGATTGTGGATTTTACTTTGTTTCTTTGCAGAGTGTTAGGGTTTGGTAATGTCCTTTAATAGGCGTTTTTGTGTTGCTTCAACATGTCCAGGTTCAATGTATTTGTTCTGAATTTTGTTTTTCCTCTTCTTACGTGGGTCAACATTTTCTCCTTAACTTAAACACTAATCGCTTATGTAAATTACTTTTATAAACAAATTAGAAGTCTAAAGAACATAACTAGACGCCAAGACCACCCAAAATATATTACTTTCTCATATTAATAAAAAATGTTTCTCTTCTCAGTTTAGGTTTCATCGATACATCTATTTATAGGATGAAAAAGTTAGTTATTAGAAAATATTATATCCATCATCCATTTAGTTCATTATTCTCAATATATCCATGTAGTTAATTAGTCTAACATTAATAAACAAACTGTCGCTGTCTCGTTGATGTGACTATTATTGATGAATCGATATCTACTAATACGATCAATGTGTTGATATAATAATCAAGAACTGTAGTGCCGTGGTCTACACAAACTCCATCTAATTCTCTGTAAATCTGGTCCGTCGAATCTGTTGTAGAGAAATGTTTTCGTCTGATGAAGCAATGCGATGTACTATTTGTATGTTGTGTATATATTGACTATTGAGTTGGTAGGGCTTGTAACAGGCGACGTCAGAATCCATTCATTAATTACAGTGTTTCTTGTTTTCTTCCAATTGTAAATTAAATGACGTCCTTGAAGGGGTCAAACTAAAACATGCATTAAGATTTTAACATTGCAAAATGTTACTCCCTCCCCTTCGTAATAAGTACTCCCTCAGTTTCAAATTAGTTGTTATTTTGACAAAATGTATCTTCAAATATTTAGACGTATCTAGACGTGTTTTGCATTGCAGATATATCCAAATAATTGCAGATACATTTAGCCAAAATAACAACTAATTTGAAACGGAATGAATATCATTAAAGGAAAATGAGAATTCAATGGGACAAAATAACACTTATTATTATCCAAATACATCCAATTATTGTCCATGTACATTTTCTCCAAATGACACTTATTATGAAACGGAGGGAGTATTATTAGTTAATTAGTCTGTCATTATAATATTTCTATTTTTGTTATATATGAGTGGTGGTTTGTGTGAGTTTATAAAATATGCAAGACAACTTTTTTAAAAAGATAAAAATAAACTATTTAAATCTATCTAAGAGTATGTAACTAAAAAAATACCATTATGCTAAAAAAAAAATACATAATCTCTGTTTTAATTTTTATGATAAAAAGCCAGAGATTTCATAGCACAGATACATATATTTACATGTGGTTTCCATAATCCATGGTGAAAATTTTGTAATGTGACTCATCAAATTAAAATATGTTCCACAGCATATACAGATGAAGTTGAATAAAGGGCCTAGTGTTTGAATCTTAGGCCCATATTGTAGCCGTCAGCATTAACTGTCTCTATTTCCTTTTGTTATTCGTAATAGAGGGAAAACGCGAAGGGTAAGATCGTCAAATACGGAGAAAATCAAGACGTGGACGTTCCTCATTGGATATCTGATAGTATACTCCTAGACGAAACTCGAAACTAAAAAATTAATATTTATAGTTTCTTATCTTCGAATCAGCAATAGATTATTGTTTAAACTTTACAGTATTCTCTAAAATCGTGTGTGTTTTTCTTCCAGCTCTGAAACTCTTTTATGTTCATCATCATCGTCGTCTCTCTGCAAAAAAAAAACTTTACGCTACCGTTGACGTCTCCGATAAGCTTATCTCTCTCTCTCACGGTAAACCTAGCTCTCGATTTCGCTCTCAGTTTCGTGATCTGTTAATCTCTTCACCTTCAGTTTCTGCTGCATTCGCATCGAATTTGTCTTCGCATTCTCCTGAATTTAGATCCTGTGATTTTTATTCTCTAAAACAACGATTAGTGATTAGTGATCTCCGTTTAGCTCGATCAGCTGTGAATTTGGATAAGGGATTGTGGTATTTTTAGAAATCTGTGTGTTAGCTCGATTTTGGGGGTTTGTGTGCGACATGGATTTTCCGGAGAATATTCCCTCGGATACTGGGAGATTAGAGCAGATCGTTTCTCACTTCTTCCCAAAGGCATTGCACATCGTCCTCGAATCTAGAATCCCTTCGATGCAGTCTCGCAGTCGTACTCGTGAGCGTTTATCGGGTCTCAATGTCAAAAAGAGCGATAAATGGTTCAATCTCGTCATGGGAGATCGTCCCGCAGCGTTGGAGAAGCTACATTCTTGGCACAGGAACGTCTTGGATTCCATGATCATTGACATCATACTTGTTCATCCGATTTCAAGTGATAATCTGGAAGATGATCATGCCAATTCTTCTTCAACAACCGAGACTGTGATCGAGCGTTGGGTTGTTCAATACGAGAATCCACTGATCATGTCTCCTCAGAATTCTGATCCTTCAACGCGTTACCAGAAGGTTTACAAGAAATCAATCATTCTATTGCGTTCTCTCTATGCGCAGACGCGGCTTCTCCCTGCGTACCGTGTCTCCAGGCAGCTGAGCTCGTCTCTCGCCTCCTCTGGTTATGATATGATCTACAAGGTTTCCTCTTTCAGTGATATATTCTCTGGTGCAGTGACTGAGACTATGAAAGAGTTTCGTTTTGCGCATGTTGAAGTGCCTCCTGGTCATCTCTGCGCTTCGGTGACTTACCGGTCTGACTTATCTGATTTCAACCTCGGTGCTCACATCACATTGCCTCCAAGAATCATCACCGATTACGTAGGGAGTCCTGCAACGGATCCTATGAGGTTTTTCCCTTCTCCAGGGAAAAGTGTTGAAGGCACATCCTTTCCGGTTAGAGCTGGACGGCCTCCATTGACTAGTTCAGCTGCTGAACGTCCGCATAGCTGGAGTGGCGGCTTTCACAGACCTCCAGGTCATTACGCAACGCCGAACCAGTCTTTCTCGCCTGCTCATTCGCATCAGTTTTCACCAGGGTCGTACGATTTCAACTGGTCACGTACAGATGGTTTTGGTGACAGTCACCAGCTTTCACCACCTTTTTCGCCATCGGGTTCTCCTTCTACTCCAAGATACGTTTCGGGGAGTAACAGTCCGCGGATTAATGTGAGGCCAGGGACTGCTCCAGTGACCATTCCTTCTTCAGCCAATTTGAATAGATACGTTTCATCTAACTTCTCTGAGCCAAGTAGGAATCCACTCCCTCCTTTTTCCCCGAGAAGCACGAGACGCTCCCCTTCGTCGCAGGACTCTTTGCCTGGGATTGCATTGTACAAGAGTTCAAGAAGCGGAGACTCTCCTTCTGGATTAATGAACAACTATCCTGCTCAGAAGGTTATGTTTCTTATTTTTTATATGTCTTACTTAATGCAAGTACGAGAACACAATGTTTTGCATTGCCTCACCTGACGTCTGTGTTTTATTTTGAATTAAATCTTTTCAGTTGACAAAGGACAGCAAATACGATTCAGGACGCTTCTCAGGACTTCTGTCTTCGAGTGGCTCACCCAGATTCGGGTTTTCTAGGAGCCCCAGTAGATTATCTTCCCAAGATGACTTGGATGACCCTGATTGTTCATGCCCTTTTGATTTTGATGATGTTGACGAGTCAGGACTTCAGTACAGGTATTTGGCTTTACCCCGTTACCTAACTTAAGTCATTTGAGTCATATTATATATTTGGATTTGTTTTGTGAAATCCCTTGTTGGCTGTTTTGTGTAAGGCCTAAAGGTGTAACTCAATGTGAAATTGATGAGACTGATTTTGCAATATTTTTGGTGCAGCCAAAGTCTTGACAGGAGGAAAACTTCAAGCTCTATATCACAGTCGCTACCTATAGTGAGAAAGTCGTCACAGGACGCAGCTGTTGGTGTTCTAGTTCACATGCTGAAGACAGCACCACCGTTACGACAAGACTCAAGCACTTACATGGCGTCAATGTCTGGAGTCCAGAGAGAAGGGTCAGTCTCAGTATCAGTGTCTGGTACAGAATCTGAATTTTCCATGGCTCGAAGCACATCAGATGCACTAGAGGAGCTGAGAAACTACAAGCAGCTCAAAGACTTGCTTCTCTCTAAATCCAAGAGTGTTGGTGGAGCAACTCGTGTCCACTGAGCCAAACCAAACAAGCAATCAAGATATGAGTTAACCAGATGAATGTTTGTATATATGGATTTGATGACTAATACTTTTAACTCTTTATGTGTATAATGCGGCACGCTCACGTTTTAGTTTCTGTAAAAGAACTTGCCTTTGAATATGCACACAAGCACTAATAAAGTTTGGATCTTTTCATTTTTAAATAGTTAGACTTTTTTTTTTTGTAAGCACAAGAACATCGATCTTTGTATAGAAGCTTGCCATTGTAAAGGTTTTGTGTGATAAGCCGTTGGATCAATTTTTAGACATTTATCATATTTGGGCATAAAGTCAGAAGATGAGCACAAAAGGTTTTTTTAAGACATCGGCTTCAACAAGAGAGAGACAGAGAGGAGTTTAAAAGGCAATTTCCCATATAAATAAAGGGTCTAACAAAAAAAGTACACACAAGAGCCTGAGTAGCTTCAGATATCCATCCACAAGAACCCTGAAATTCTACAAATTCGGCAAGTGCAAAGCCTTCACCAAGTGTTTGCATTTGTTTGTACACACAAAATTAACCTCCAAAAGCCCTTCGCCTTGAGAAAAACTGACCCAAAAATATGTCGCCCGTCTCCTGCACAGCTACTGAGAAACAAGCATCAGACACAAACGAGAGATTATAGTTTTGAGAAAGTAGCTTATGAGATCCTTTTACCTCTAGACGTCCAATGACTCTCTCTCAGGCTTCAGAAGAGATGTCTGCAGTCAAAAGCGTCCCACGAAACCCTTCTTCGACATCTTGAGCCCCCGCTTTCTTATCGCATAACTCGTCTGTTGAAACATAAGGATGAATATTTGTTTTAATGGACAGCTCACTAAGCAGAGTAATTGGCTACACAGAAATAATGGTAAAATTTGGTTACCAGCAATATCGCGGTGTTCATGTATCTCGCTATCTCTCACCCAAAGCTTGTCGCCAGGAAATATGTTCATGTCTGCAAGGGTTGCAGATTCCTCATCAATCAGTTTTGGGCCTTTGTGAAGTTCCTGGTTTTCCTTCATCACCTGCATATTATCAAATCCCCATGTTGTTGTATATCTGCAAGTGATCTACTAAACAAAAAAATTGCTCGTCTAAAAGGACCTTACCCCAAGCAATTCCCATATCATCATCTTTAATTGGTACACGGTCGTTGTCGCAGAAACTTTAAAACTAGTCAGGCTTCCAGAATTTGTTCTCCGAGATCGCTTTGATGCACGCCGATCCACATCAGCGGTGGTATCAGATACCTCTAACATTGCTTTTGGGGCTTCCTTTCCACGCACAAGATAGACAAATACATCTCCCTCGGAGTAACTAAGTTTCTGCATCAACTCACAGCTTTCCCTATCTCCTATGCATTCCTCACAAATCTAGCCAAGATAAAAAGATCCGGTTAAATGCAAATGATCACATCTGCACCTCATATATGGACCAATGCGAAAAGCTATCCCAACATTGCCATTCAATGTAGTATCAAAAGCTCAAGATGCTGACAAAATAAAAGGCTCAAGATAAACATAGCTGCTACGTGAATTACACAGTAATGCAAATACCTCTGGGGATGTCCTGAGAATAAAGTGTTGAGCATCGCTGTCCATATTATCACCGGGAGAAGAATCCTTCTCAAGATCAATGACGTTTTGTGATGAGCTTTGATCTTTATTGTTACCAACCTCAATAAAAGCAGATACTCCATTCTCCATGATACCTCCCCACTCCTCACAGAAATATTTCCAATCAAGCTCAGGGATGATTGTCAGCTTGTCTGTCTAAAAAAAGTGCAAGAAAACTAGAGATTAGATCAAAGTCAGAGTTCGCATCTCATGTCTATGTTTGATGCTAAAAACAGCCAGGAAACCCGAGAGAGGATGTAATCTGAATCGACAATCACAATACCAATTTGATAAATTCAGAACATATATCTAATTATTTCCCTCACTGAAACGACAACCACAGCACAGAACCAGTAACAAGGGTTTAACCTAGAGACCTTAAACCCTCCCAAGCCGTATTACCAGTCCCAAAACACTCAAGACACGTCTCTGCTCATGCTTAATCCCTTATTTATACAATCTTTACTAAACAAGTTAGTTATGCTCTCGTGACAAGTGTTAGTTGAAGCCTCTCCTGTGTTTGTGATGAACACTTCTCAGTTTAACATTCCGATATTGGCTTTATTGTTTTAAACGGTTTCAACATAGATTAAGAATCATCTCAAGGTATAAGATGCACTTACAGATGGATTTTTTTGAAAATATGAGCCACGTTTGCAGACAAGTTCAGGGAGCCTTTCAAGGAGTCGCGTGTGCTGAAAAAGAAAACCAATAGTTTTAAGCTCAAAATTGGTAGTGGAAAGTAAGATAAGGCCTGCTGATATACAACAGGTTATATTCACCCGCGTTTACGGATGCATATAAAAAAGGTGTATAAGAAGAAACAGAGAAAGCAGGCAGGAAAGCCGATTTAGAATAACCACTTAAGTCCATAAATAGCTTTATCCAACTGCCAGTAAATTAGAAACCCACTCACTGCCAAGCAACGGATCTTACCTTATTGCATTTGAGAGTACTGATGACTCCATCAAGAAGTTCAGGCTCTGGTGCTGAAGAACTATTTTTCCCAGTCATGTTAATATAGCTTCTCCATTCCACTAGCCACGGAGAAGGCAACAAGAAATATTGACTCTGTGCCGTTAATGGTATACCCTTTCCTGCGGCTAACTTCTCGTGATTTTGGCGCTGCTTGACCTTTAATGTTCTGTTGCATCAGATAGAAGGTCAGGGAATATTTAAGAGTACTACGACTAGCAAACATAATAAATAATCATGGTTAACCTTAGTGAATCCTCGTGGCATGCAACCTCAGAAATTTCCTCTGTGCAATGACAACACTGTCTGGAGTCCAAAGTGAAACAAGGGCAGCCCGAAGGATCTTCTGGTTGCACTTTTAGAGCATCTTCAACAAGGAATGACCAGAGGTTCTCTGGAACTAGAATTCTTTTGGCCCCTGGCGCTTGCTCTGGCAACAGCTCTCCATGATCGCAGGTAATTGCATTTGTGGGGCCCGCATCTGCTTCACTGGGAGCGTCAAGGTTTTTTCTTTTTACCCATTGCTGCAACCTGGAAACATGCAAAAACGCTTTGCATAGTTAAGTGCTCCATAAAATAAAGGCAGCATCTGCATATGCATCAAGCTGTCAACATGCTCAAATAAGCAAAAGGTTTTATCAGAAAGCTAAGAGTTACAGGAAACTTGAATACATACCATGCTTTAGAGATAATATAATTTCCGTCCTCACACTTTCCTGAAAGAACATCACTTGCAATGTTTTTCATGAATGTTCTTCGATCTCTATAGCTGTCAGAAGAGACAACCATGCGAGCACCATCCATAAGGCAGTCCCTGCAATAGTCCCCTTTCCCTAACTTTGGTCCACCATTGAACTGAACAAGAGAAAGAATGATAATCGAATCAGATATACAGACATAGATAGCCTTCCAAATAAAGTCTGGAAAAAACAAGGAAAGAATTCTAGCACATGATACCAGAACACAATCCCCTGGAATCTAGAAACTACGAATTTATCTGACAAATGGTAAGCAAAACTTGAAAACAAGAAAAGTTTCTGTACCGAGAAAAGGAAAGGAATAAAGGATCTAACCATAAGCCAGAGAGTATTATCGCATACCTTTGATTCTAACTTGGCCCATGCAAGTTCAGATATTCGCTTCATGCAATTAACTTTTGAGGCAAGCACTTTTCCATGGGAACACAGTAAAGGGGTATTGTCCAAAGCGCTGCATCGTACAAGAACAAATATAATCAAGAACACTTAAAAGAGTGGATGTGATCTGATGTTAAATATAAAACCGTACTACCAGTTAGAGCTGAAAACTGAAATCAAATATAAACTTTCAAAGGCAAAACAATCTCTAAGAGTTTGGGGTGTGGTACAAAAACCGTCATCATATTCTGATAATCATAAATTATGCATTTGCAAGACGTGATTTTATGTTGCAGAATTAAATGCATTGAATGTTGAATAACAACATTTTCGTGTGTAAAGAGGTTTACTTACGGAGGCATAATGGTATCTGCCCATAGACGAAGCCAATCTGTGGAGATCCAATAGTATTGTTCTTCAAGTGACTGAACAGCAGCTTCTGAAAGTATTGTCCGTACTTCTTGCCTCCTTTCAGTCAACTCATTCAACTCTCTTTCCTTTCTTGAATCAAATTCCGAGCAAACCTCAAGGAATGATGCATTCGCGTTATTGATCCATTCATAAAGATGTGACGGAAGATCACCTTCAAGTTGTTGAACACTATCAATAGGATTTTCTCTTTGGCCTTCCTGCTGATTTTCCTGTTTACCGCATCTAAGACTATACATCAGCATATAAGCATCAGTGGATGAGAAAACCTCCGACTTAATAGCAGATCCTGATTGAATGACATCTGGTGTACTCCCACTACTAGTCGTACCATTACTCTCAGATTTTGGAGTTGAAGAAGAGCCTTCATCAAATGGACGTTTACCCAGTTCTGACACACTTTCATCATCAAATTTCCACCACAAGCCAGTCTTTTCATCTTTTATGTGAGCAACATAATGTCCACTGTTGACAGCGCTTCCTTTGTGGATTAACACAGCAGAGAGATCGTATATCAGCTCATTTTGAGAAGACTCTGCCAATCTCGATCCCATATCCAGCACTTCAGGAAAGGAAAACGAGGAAGTAATTTTCTTCTTAGCCGTAGTCTGTTGACATTAACCAGCCATAAAAAAAAGGAATTACGCAACTTTAACAAGGTTTTATCTAAGATTAAATAGGACGAAATGATGATTTTGGTTTAACAATGAACACATGCAAGTTTATAGCAGGAGAAGGAAAAAAGGAAAAGCTATCAGAATGACCATGAGCGGAAAATCGAAAACTGAATCAGCCGAAGATAACATACAAGAGGTAAAGATGTTGGAAAAAAAAAATACGCAGGAAAATGATTGAAGTTTTCTTCAAATCACAAGAAATAATTTTTCTTCACAACTAAATCATGAACCAATGCATATTAAGATCGAAAAAAGCACCTTAGGAAGGAAAACACATCGCTTGAGCTGAAAAGTGATAACAGGAGGTAGTGTGCGCAGTTTGATGCAGCGTGTGGCATCTACTCTAGCATTGCAACTTCCACAAGAATACTGATTATCCCCATTGAGATGCTCCAAGCTAAGGTAATCATTCAAACTAGCATCCAAACTTTTGAGGCCTTTGACATTCAACTCAAGGGCATAGAAATCTTCCACCTTTGAAGAAGCCTCGGACTCCCTGCCACATTTCGAGCACCTACAAGACAATAAAATGAAACAAAATAAGACACCGAAAAGCATATATATATTCTTTTGTTTCAATGTTTCATCACATTTGCAATTGCGTCACTGAGATGTAGATATTATTTTGCCTTAAAACCAAATAAATCTTCTTAAACGAAAGATAAGTCTCAATCTTACGTGGTCACATGCGAGACACTACCACGAAAGAGATCCTGCACTATTGTTTTAGCTTTGCAAACACCAGAATGGCATAAGCAACGCTCAAGCAAGGACAGAAGCAAAGTCAAGAACTCATGGGTATCCTGCTGAACCCCATTATCCAACTCTAACGTCTTCACAAAAGCATCTGAATCAACAAAGGATCTCTTGCTAGCATGCAGCTGCGCAAAAAGCCGAGCAATCTGATCCAAGACTGGATACTGTTTCAACACATCAACCTCGACAGAGAAAACTCCTTCCCGGAAAGCAGTATTCATGTACAGACACTGAAGTATACTGTTGGCATAGCAAGTAGCGCCCAGATTGGTGAGACCAGCCGGTGTAGAGTCAGAAGCACGACGTTCCGAGGATAGATCTGGACCAAGAGCCGTAATGATTTCAGACATTTTCTGCCACAGCCCAGATTTCCGGCTTCCATTAACCGGCGGAACAAGCCCACAGAAGCAGTTGGGATTGTCACGGGTGTTAACACGGCAGCCTTGACAAACTGGCTTGCATATCATGAAAAGTTGGTTAATGTCATCATCAGTAACATCATTAGCCTCGTGAATTTTCCTGCAAAAAAGCGACTTTTAGATTGAAATCGGAAAATGCAAGAGCTGGGGGAAAAAAGGAAGCTAGTTGCATGACGGTGGGTTTTTTTACCGGAGAATCTGAGAAGAGGAATCAACAGTGTCTGATGGTCTTGCTCTTTTGTTTTTGTTTCGGGTGTTAGGTCTAGTCATTGTGTCACCACCACCAGCAAAATCACACAGTAGCAATCGAAAACCCTAGAAAAAATAAACGGAGACACAGCACATTATTAACCTCATTTTGATCCCACGATTAAACGGAACAAGACATTTTCTCGGCGTTTCTAGAAAATCCCTAATCGAAAATGCGAGCTCCGGGTGATGAAATCGCATCTAGGTTAACCGATTCAACTCGAAACCCAGATCGAAGAAAAGGAACACTGGAAATTGACGAAGAGAATACAACAAAAGGGAGAAAACAAAAAGAGAGAGAAAAAGCGAAGCAAGAGAAAGTACCTGAGAATCTACGAAAAAAGGAGCTGATAGAAAAAGTTTAGCAAGTAGAGAGCACCACAAAGCTCAGCTTCTCCGTCATCCTCAACTCCCTTCGTCTTCCCGTCTCTCCACAGCGAATTTCTCTCCTTTTTATTTAATTATATTTCTCGTTTTTTTTTCCCTGTGCTCTCGACTCGTCCCGCGCGCTCTCATTTTAGATTATAATAAAAGATCTCCCAAAAAAGACGAAAATCATCAATTAACTGAGATTCTATTTAAATTTTCGTTTAGATTTTATATCCATAGATGAGATTTCATACCATAAACCCACAAAGCTTGACTTAGGTTTTTGTATTAAATGTCCCCATAACTCGAAATGTGACCAATTGATTAATATCACTCCAATCTTTGACCAACAACATATAACCTTAATTTAATGTCTCATAGATCATTTTGCAAGCAAAACGTTTGTTACAAACTCATAAAAACACAAACATTTTGAGAAACTTAAGCAAGAGTGCAACACAAACGGATGAAACAAAGTCATCAATCTCTATCACCACCATAGGACGATCTCTTCCCGCTTGATCGGCCATCGTGGTGACTTCGACGCTCTCTGCTAACTCTTTCATCACTTTCCTCGCGTCTTTTACCAGAAGCATCACCACCTCTATACCTGTCCTCCTTATCGCCTCTGTACCTGTCTCTGCCATGCTTATACTCTTCATCGTCCTCACGTCTCGGTCTGTATCTATCCATGTAATCATCTCCTTTGTCTTTCTCTTCTTCCTCAATGACTCGACCTCTTCTATGCCTATCCATCTTCTTATCATCATCATCAGCATCCTTAATTGTTCCACGTCTCTGACCAGCATCATCGCCTCTTTTATACCTGTCTCTTCCATGGTTGTTGTTGTCATCATCATCCTCCTCTCTTATGTGCTTCTTTCCTCTTTCATCCCTTAGCTTCCTCCTGTTTTCATACTCAGCCTCACTGTCATCAGAGTCTCTTGCAACTTTCTTGCCACGATCATCACTTCTGTAACCGTCCTTGCCGTGCTTAGACACAGGCTCTTCCTCCTCGTATCGTTTCTGCGTCATTCCTCCACTGTACGCTTCTACTTTACTGCGCAGTTTCTTCTTGTTTACAAACTCAGCATCACTGTCATCAGAGTCGTCTCTTGCAGCTTTCTTGCGGCCAGTATCACCTCTATGCCTGTCCTTCAAATGATCAGACTCCACGTCTTCCTCATCTCTTTTCTGCTTCCTTCCTCCACGGTGAGCTTCTTCTTTCTTGCGCAGCTGTTGTTTCTTATCCTCAGATTCAGGCTCGCTAACATCAGAATCATGCCTCTTTCGTCCAGCTCTCCTTTCTTCATCAAGTTTGTTATCCCTTACTTCTTTAGAGCTAGATCGAATGGAGGGTCGACTCTTTTTGTGTGACTTCCTATGTTTCTTGCTGTCATCACTGTCAACATCTTCAGACTCAGAAGAGACGCTTCTCTTGCTTCTACTGCGCTTCTTCGTACCCTTCCTTCTTCTCTTCTCTCCACCATCACTATCAGAGTCAGAATCCGAGCTGCTCGAGTCGCTTTCGCTTTCACTTTCACTGACTTGTTTACGCCCCTTAGCCTTCTTCTTAGATCGCCTTCTGCGGTCACGACCACTTCCATCAGACTCAGATGAATCATCACCGTGCCTTCTCTTCTTGCTCTCTTTCTTCTTCTTGTGACGCTTCACTTCACCCATATCATCATCATCACCACCAAGCTGCTTCTTACTATCCTTTCCCTTACCCTTACTCTTACCATCTTTCTCGTTAACATCCTCATCTACCTTCCTCCTCCCACCATCTCTATCCAAGAAAGAATGTTCCCGCCTCTCTTTCAGCCTACCTTCATAAGCCTCCGCCGTTGGCTCATCATCAATCATACCTTCCTCAACCTGCTTCTGATCAGGTATACCCAACGCAGCTCGAAACAATTCCATCTGCTTCTCTTTCCTTGCAGCAACCTGATGGGTCTGTGTATCAGAGATCTTCGACCCACCACCACTCTCTTCAGAAGTAGCAGCAGTAGCTTCAAGGTTTAACCTGGTTTCCTCAAGCTTCTGAGCAATATCGGCATCTGAATAACCCAGATCAGCAAGCTGATCTTCAAGGATAGCGAGCTTAAGATGAATCTGACGTTTACGGTCATGCTCGAGGATATCTTTGTTAGGTTTCTTCGATAAACCAGCAGTTCCCTGATCATCCTCGAACCCTTTCCCACCATTAACGGGCTTACCACCATTCCTAGGCCTCACGAAGAACTTGTTCGTTTGAACATAGCCATTAGTCCCTGATCCTCTAGCAGTCTGTAACCCTATTCCGTTGTACATCTTTCAAATCTCTCTCTCTCAATTAACGAACTGCAATCGAAAGAGATGGGTTTCAGATTCAAATCGTAAGATCTGTGGATACGAAGGAAAACCTAAGCAAAACGAATCACAACCTAAAGCCAAAGGGGATCTAAGGAAAACAGATCTTCGATTGGAACGGAGAATAATGAAAAGCTCAATTACCGGTGCGTATGAGAGAAGATGATAATCGCCGATGCGTGACGACACAAAGGAGACGACGGTGAAGATAAGACCTATCTCTCAGATGAAGAGGAACGTCGTCGGTAGTGTAGAGAGGTTTAACTGATCTCGATTTTGTTCCGCAAAGACTAAAAGGCCTAGAATTAGTAATAGATATTATATGGGCTTAGGCCCAATACACGCAAATTCTAATGCATGGAAGCAATGTAGGATAAGAATTGGGATGCTTAAAGTTTGACATTACCACATGTTCGTTATTACTGATTAAGTTAATTTTATATTCCGGAACTCTTAAATTATACAGTAAAACCTCTATAAAACAATAATGTTGGGACTTTGAAATTTTATTATCTTATAGAGTTATTATTTTATCGATAAAACAATAATTATTATTTTATAGAAATATTCTATCAAAAACAAGAAACTTTATAGAAATATATTTTTTCACTTTTTTATTCAAATTTTCCTTATACTTTGTTATTTACATATTTCATGCTCAGAAGTTCAAAATCTAGAAGAAATTATGTCTATGTTCTTAATGGTGAAGATGAAGTTGAAGATGATGAGGAAAGACATGTGCAAGTAGTTAAGCAATTGTGGCTTCGAGAACTCTTCACAACTTTTGGCTGCATGTTGAGAATACACCACCAGAAATTGTAGATGCAATAAGAAAAATTCGAGATGAGCTCCAACGGGAATCCAACTTTCAGAAAAGACAAACTACATTGGAGTCATATTTTACTAAATTGTCTTAGATATATATGCCTTAGTTTTATAATTATTATCTTAGCTTATTGTTGGGACTATATTTTTACATAGGAGTTTCAAAAATATTATTGTCTTATCATCTTATCGCATTATGCTATTTTTTACATTGGCCCGAGTTGGGACCGGAGAAAATTATTATCTTATAGTGTTTATTGTTTTATCGAGTATTGTTTTATAGAGGTTCTACTGTACTAATTTTTTATTTTGTTTTTAAATTTTCACAGGTACTTCAAACATGTGATATCTGACTCGACCATTTTGGAATTTATCAATAAAACAATCGATCATAACATTGAGTAGTACTATAATACGGATTAAAGATTGTTCACTGTAGAGTTATCCCAGCTGGAGCTGGGGCAGGCTGTTTCGACTTTGGACAACTAGAGATCGAAAGGGATAATATATGTATTTTGGCCTGGGTCATGTGACTTTTTTCGTATAGAAAATTAAATAATACTCGTTGCAAATGCTGTAATCTTTTTGTTTCCCCTGCAATATATATTCTTGTGTTAGACCAAAGCGTTTCCGTCAGTCATCTAAGAATCTGAGATATGGCTACAGACTTCAAATCACTACTACCAGTTATCGGTACGGACATAACCCCTTATTTTCATTGTTTCTAGCAAACCCCATTCTGCCGAGGGAACTAAAATGAGACAATTAATGTTGTTGCAGACATCAGTCCTCTCCTAGTCAAATGCGATGATTCCCACATGATGGAGGATGCTGCCGTGGCGGAAGTTGTGGAAAAACTCGACAGGGCTTGTCGGGACGTCGGATTCTTCTACTTGGTACGTAACAAAACGTTTGATTTGATTTAACTATCAGTTTCCTTTGTTTTTTTTCCTTTTGTAAAAGGGCTTTCAATTTAAGTTTCCTTTGTTTTTTTGCGTGGACTTATAAAATGTAGCTGATTTTGGTCGGTGAATGGAACAGATTGGCCATGGAATATCGGAAGGTCTTATGAAGAAGGTGAAAGAAATGACACATCAATTCTTCGAGCTTCCTTACGAGGAGAAACTGAAGATCAAGATTACTCCAGCTGCTGGATACAGGTTTGTTGCATGTATCTGAAAATATGAATTAAAATGTGTATAGTGCTATTTTGTTAATAACGAAAGAAATAATAATATTGTACTGATAATGTTAGATTAGGAAAGTCAATGATACACTCGATAAATTAGAGATGTGTATAATTCTCAATTATGTAGATTGATCTCTTGTACTCTATATAAGTGAATACAATATCACAGGGAAAGGGCACCGATTGTGCTTCTGACCATTCAACAGATAATACATAGATCTAGTTAAGTTAAAGTACGTGTGGAGGATCAAAAATTAATTATGGGTGTTTTTTTTTTGTTAAACAGAGGGTATCAGAGAATTGGACTAAATTTTACGGGTGGAAAACAAGACATGCACGAAGCCATTGATGTAAGTGTTGTTCGTGACTAGCTATTGGCTTGAACAAATGTTTCCAGTGTGATTATGCTGATATGGTTTTATTCTCTTATGGTTATGGACCTCGATCGACGAAAACAGTGTTACAAAGAGTTCAAGCGAGAAAAGTATGGAGACACCGGAAAGATCCTGGAAGGGCCAAACCAGTGGTACTATAATTAGTTTTGGTTGATTTAACTTCGTTTTTCTTTTCCATTTATTATGTTTGTGTTGGGAAAAAAATAGGGAAACGAAATTCCACCGGCTTTAATTACGTTAAAAGGAAAAATATATATTTTGTTTTATTAACTGTAAGTTCATATGAATTGTAAACTAGAATACTGAAAACAGGCCAAATGGTCAAATAGCTACAACTTGAATAGTGTGGTAATCATTAAAAAAAAAGTTTAATACAGTACAGAATTATTTTTAAACATGAAATTTTGATGAATATTCTGAATGATAAAATGATATAATCATATTTTAGAGTCGTGCTAACGTAAAAAACAATAGTATACATATATAATTCATCACTATAATATTTTAGGTTGTTACTGAGCTTTGTCTTCTTGTGACTATTTTTCTCTTTGTAAATTTTGGTGGCATTTTACTTTGAAGGCCAGAGGATCCTCAAGAGTACAAAGAGTTGATGGAGGAGTATATTAAGCTCTGCACAGGTGTTTTTATGCTTTTACTGTTTCATTAATGTGTTTTGTTTCCAGTTGGGTTTCTAAGAAAACTCTTACTTTGTATTAATTTCATTCATGGTTAATTTCAAGATCTTTCTAGAAACGTCCTGAGAGGAATCTCCTTAGCTCTTGGTGGATCACCTTATGAGTTTGAAGGAAAAATGGCTGGAGACCCTTTTTGGATAGTGCGTATTCTTGGTTATCCAGGTGTAAACCAAGAAAATCATATCGGATGGTAACTTTCCTCAATGTTATTTTACTATACGACATCATTTTATTTCACTTTCTTAGCTTAAACAGTAGTAATTCGTCTCATTTCTTGTCGATTTCAAATTTTCCAGTGGAGCTCACACTGACTATGGTAAGTAAAGCTTGAACTCTAATCAAATTTCTAGTTATACATTCGTAGTACATTTTGTCTCAAAAAGAGAGAAAAATCTTTACTTTGTAGGATTGTTGTCGCTTATAAATCAAGATGATGATAAAACTGCTCTTCAGGTAAATATATATTTTTACACTATTTGTCTCTCTGAAGAAATAGCTAATTAGAGATTTCATGTATCTTTGAAAAAGGTGAGAAACTTGGCCGGAGATTGGATACCAGTAATTCCGATTCCTGGATCATTTATCTGCAACATCGGTGACATGCTAAAGGTTTTTGTTAATTCTTAATCTAATAATGTCTTTCTTTATTTCGTCTCGACAATCTTGATTTTTTTTTTTTTTTTGGAAAAATCAAAAACGTATGCAGATACTTTCAAACGGAGAATACGAATCCACGCTTCATAGAGTGATTAACAACTCTCCTCGATACCGTGTATGCGTTGGATTCTTCTACGAGGTAATAAACCATGCAATAAGTCTTTGTGTTAATTTCCTCATTCGGATTTTTGAATCATGTGAGTACGTACTCTTGTTCGAACAGACTAACTTTGACGCGATGGTTGAGCCATTGGACATCTTCAAAGAGAAGTACCCAGGAAATAAAACATGTCAAGAAAACAAGAAAGTTGTCTATGGAGAGCATCTGGTTAACAAACTCAAGACCACCTTTGCAAATTTAGTGGAGCACAGTTAATTAATTTAATTGGCTGGAGGGCCTTCGATCGCAATTGTTTTATCTGGATTTGGAGTTGCAATAATAATAAAATAAATTATATAAAATATACTATTACCACAATATAATTTGTGACTTTTGTTTTCAGTATTACAAAACATAATGCATGTAATGTGTGTCAGGGCGATTCACGTAGTAGTTAGTTTAATCTCTTTAGGTTTGTAATTAAGGATCCGCTAAGGTTAAAATGGAGATATGAAGAGAGAATTTAAGTAACTTGTGTCTTAAGTCTTTGAGACTTGTCTTGTTGTTCTTGATCATATCTTTGGTTTGTCCTAATCTGGGAATTGTTAGGTCTTTCCTAAACCGCTTAGTATTGAATGTTTCCTTTTTTCAGCAGTATTGTTTCCTTTAAACTAGAGGACAATTGCATATATAAATAAGTAATAATTGAAGACACAATCAGGCGTTCTAATTAGGTTGTGTCTCACATAAACAGAAAGCCCTAGCGCGAGAAGAGAAACTGATCCCATGGGCAATCAATCAATCAAGGGAAGAAAGGCAAGTGCGATTCGGGGATGGAGTCAATTGAAACTGAAGACGAAGAAGAAGAAGGAGACGGAGGTTTGTGGGTTATGGTCGGTGCCAGATGATGTGTTTGTGGACTGCATGGCTCAGGTGTCGAGACTGGACCTCGTGGCCTTGGCGATGGTCTCCAAGAGATACCGGAGTGTCGCAGCGTCCCGTGAACTAACGGACAAGAGGTATCGGAGGCGTAGCGTGGAGCCATATTTGTACGTATGCATGCAACTGTATCCAGATCCAACCCCGGGGTGGTTCGTCCTCCACCCCATGCAACGTCGGCTGAAAGAGGTGAATTTGTATGGGGTTCCGGTAGAAGGATCCTGTTTCGTGACGACGAGAAGGGGGATCTACACCATCGGCGGGCTCATGAACGGCAAACCCACGTCGGAAGTCACGTTTTGGGACTGTATCGAGCACACATTGTACAGCGTTGTGCCTATGAAGATGGCTCGAAGCGGAGCATCGGCAGTCTTGATAGACGACGAGGAGAAGGAGAAGATATACGTGTTTGGAGGGTGCTGGGATGTCGCTGATTCCTCAAACTGGGTTGAGGTGCATGATATCGAAACCGGAACTTGGGAGTTGTTGTCTATGGCTACGCCGAAGACGCCCCTCAAAATCAAACAAAGTGTGGTCATGGACGAGAAGCATGTTTACGCGGTGGATGAGGATGGGGAATGCTTTGCTTTCTCAACAAGTGAGTGTAAGTTTGAGGCTGTCGACGGAAGAAGAGAGTCTAACGTAGAAAATAGACACGATTGGCTTATAGGTATAGGTGTTGGTGCATTAATCTGCCGTGGTATCGGCGGGAAAATACTGTGGCGTATGCCAGATGACTTGGAGTGGAAGGAAGTGAAGGGTTTGGAAGAGCTGCAGCAGCAACACCCTGGTCTTGAAATCATCAAACTCTGCCCCTACTCTGTTGAGAGATTGGCCATCTTCTGGGAAGCCCGGCCTCAAGGTATTTTGGAGCTTTGGTTTGCCGAGTTGACCCTGGTAGGACGCATGGACGGCGAGGTATGGGAGGTTAATGGGAACATTGAGTGGTCCGGTCCTGTCCTCTCAGACTCATCATATACTGGCCTTAACTTGTTATGTGCTGGTTCTCTCTATCTCTGAATATTCTCACATATACCTTGTCTTTTTTTTGGGTCTGATTTATATAACTAAATCATATTTGATTGGATGGTGTAAAATCCTCACCTTGGATATGCTTCTCAAATTGTTAGAGAACGTGGGCTGATAAGTAACCACATATATACCCACCCAATTCTAACTTCATTCTCCAATGTTCTTTTTCTAGCTGTTTAAAGACTTGCTGTTCAATATTTTTATAACATATATTTTGCCGAAGATCAATGTAATGGATTATTTATCTTATTTTTTATTTTTACGGAATACTTAGAAGCTGGTGACAAACGTAGTGAAATTGTATTTCGTAGTTTGACAAACTTAATGAAATTATATCCTTTAACAATTGAATTGGTTTTCACGAACCTATTTTCTACACTCAGCAGCGGGCATGATGTGCATCAGCACATGTGATGTTAGTTGATACTTGATAGCAATTCGCAACAACTTTTAGCCGACTTGCTCTTCATTAAGCTTACAAGAAATAGGAAACTGAAAGCTTTGTTTGCTCGTTGCCAACATATAAGGTTATAAGGTTTGGGATATATGAATTAAACATCTTTAAAATCTTATTATATAAAGCAAAACACATATTTATAACAATTTAAATATAATGATGACATTTCGTTTTTTCTCCAAAATTTCACTAATTATTTTATTTTTACAAACGGATCAATATGACAATATCCCCATCAAATATTCAAAGTTTTAACAGATATAATTTTTTTTTTAAAAACGTGATAGATGTGAGGCTGCGACTCGTTTTGGAACTTATCAATAATACATTGGCGTGAGTGTTTTGTCCATATCTTGATGGATTAAAGATTGTCCACTGCAGATGATCCCCACTGGGGCAGGCTGTTTGGTTGGCCACTAGAGATCGTAAGGGACAATCTACAGGTACAGAAACTAATATTAATAACCATTTAGGATCATATTCATTGGATCTTCACATTTGCACCCAAGAAAAAAAAAATTATATTCATTGGAGTATATATAGTTTTGATGTTAGACCAAAGCGTTTCCGTCGTTGTCAAAGAATCTGAGATGGCTAGAGACTTCAAATCGCTATTACCAGTTATCGGTACGGACAAAACCCCTTAATATTCATTATTGTTTCAAGCAAATGCCATTCTCATATTCATCAAAGCTTTCATTTCAAACTAATTCTGCCAAGGAAACTAAAATGAGACAATGTTGTTGCAGACATCAGTCCTTTACTCCTCAAATGTGATGATTCCGACATGGCGGAGGATGCCGACGTGGTGGAGGTCGTGGGAAAACTTGACAGGGCTTGTCGAGACGTCGGATTCTTCTACGTGGTAACAAAACGTTATGATATGATTTGACTTTCGAATTTAAGTTTCATTTTTTTTCCGGGGTTTTATAAAAAGGGTTGGTCGGTGAAAATGTGGACTATGGAACAGATTGGCCATGGAATATCGGAAGGTCTTATGAAGAAGGTGAAAGAGATGACACATCAATTCTTCGAGCTTCCTTACGAGGAGAAACTTAAGATCAAGATTACTCCAGCTGCTGGATACAGGTTTGTTGCATTGCATATTTGCATGTTTCTGAAAATAATCTTAACATTCATACCAAATAATTAAAAAAAAAAAGTTTCTAAAAATATTATCTACGAACATGTGCGTCGGTGTCGGTTTTTATCAAAAAAAAAAAAAAAAAAAAAAAAACGTGTGCGGTGAAGGAAACAATATTCTTGTCTGATAAATATGGATCTAAATTTTTTTTTTTTTTTTTTTTTTTTTTTTTTTTTTTAGGATCTAGTTATTAAGTTATGTTAAGAGTACTATTACGTAAAATAAAATTATATATTCAAATCTAGTGTTTTGTGGAAAATCATTTTTAATTCACAATGGGTGTTGACTTAAAACAGGGGATATCAGAGAATTGGAGTAAATTTTACGAGTGGAAAACAAGACATGCATGAAGCCATTGACGTAAGTGTTTGTCCAACAAGCTTTTGACTTGAACGATGTTTCCAATATGTGTTTCTGCTGATATGGTTTTATTCTCTTATGGTTATGGACCGCGACCAAGACAGTGTTACAGAGAGTTCGAGCATGAAAAGTATGGAGACACTGGAAAGATCCTGAAAGGGCCAAACCAGTGGTAAAAAAAAAACGTGACCATATTATTTTAATTTGTTAGTGAGCTTTCGTCTTCTTGGTGCTATTTCTCTCTTTGTAAAACTTTTGTGGCGTTTTATTTTGAAGGCCAGAGAATCCGAAAGAGTACAAAGAATCGATGGAGGAGTATATTAAGCTCTGCACAGGTGTGTTTAAGCCTTTTCTGTTTCTTTAATTAATACGTTTTGTTTCCTATAGTGTTTCTAAAGAAAAATCTTACTTTGTAATTTCACTTCATGGTTTCAAGATCTTTCTAGAAACATCTTGAGGGGAATCTCCTTAGCTCTTGGTGGATTACCTTATGAGTTTGAAGGAAAAATGGTTGGAGACCCTTTTTGGGTAATGCGTATTATTGGTTATCCAGCTGTAAACCAAGAAAATGTTATCGGATGGTAACTTTTCTCATATTTTACTTTGACAGCTTTTTATTTCACTTTCTTTAGCTTAAATATATAGTAGTAACTCGTCTCTTCTCTTGTCGCTTACAAAATTTCCAGTGGAGCTCACACTGACTACGGTAAGTAAACCTTGAACTCTAATCAAGATGATGAATATATCTTCATAGCCTTTTTTGTTCTAAAAATTCAAAAAACCCATAACTTTGCAGGATTGTTGACGCTTCTAAATCAAGATGATGATAAAACTGCTCTTCAGGTAACTATTTTTTACACTATGATCTTCTCTAGCACATTTTGTATCTCAAGAGTTTTTTATCTATTTTTGAAAAGGTGAGAAACTTGGGTGGAGAATGGATATCAGCAATTCCGATCCCTGGATCATTTATCTGCAACATCGGTGACATGTTACAGGTTTTGATCGTACTCTCTGTAATTTCTACTTCTTCTCTTTGGTATCAACAGTTCTTGAAACATTTTGAGAACCAAATATGCAGATACTTTCAAACGGAGTATACAAATCGACGCTTCATAGAGTGATCAACAACTCTCCTCGGTACCGTGTATGTGTCGCATTCTTCTACGAGGTATAATAAACTAGTAGTAGTCTTCGCTTCGTGTGTTTCCTCATTCGTATTTTGAATTATGTACGTACCCTTGTTCGAACAGACTAACTTTGACGCGATGGTTGAGCCGTTGGATATCTTCAAAGAGAAGTACCCAGGAAATAAAACATGTCAAGAAACCAAAAAAGTTGTCTACGGAGAGCATCTGGTTAACAAAGTCACGACCACCTTTGCAAATTTAGTGGAACACAGTTAATTCATTTGATTGGTTGGAGGACTTTCGATCGTAATTGTTTTATCTGGATTTCGAGTTCTAACAAGGAACAATAAACAGTACAATATGATTTGATTACTGTACTAATAAGGAGAAATCGAATCTCGTTCAGGTAAAAACAATGAGATCTCTCTATCTATAAACTGAAAATGCGATTTAGGCTTTTGTTTCAGTATTACAAAATACAATGCAAGTCATGTGTCAGGGGACGAATGTTCTTCACTGTCCAATAGTAATCTCCCAGCTCGTAAAGCTGCCTGAAACATCAACACCAATTAAACAACATTAGACAGTTAAACTAAACCAAACTGGTATGAGACTCGAGCCACTATAGTGTCCTTAAGATCCACGTGTACTACAGCTTCGGTTCGGTTAGGTCATTAGCGTTTGTGTTATTAGTATAAAGCAAGTTTGAAGTAAGAAAGAAAGCTTACGCTAGATCTTCCAAAGTGTCTGCTTTGTTGATAGACTTCCCTTCGGGTAGTTCAAGACAAGAATGATGAGCTATCATCTCCTTTATCGTGTATTTCGTGCTCTTTACATCGTTGTTCCACAATATGCTCTGCAACACAATACCCCACAAAAAATCTGCAAATCAAATTCTGTCCAGGAAAATTGATCTTGCACTCATTAAGGGAGATTTTTGTATCTTTACCTTTCTAATGTACTTCTTTTTCACATCTTCCCAGTATGATTTCCCTTTTGGAGAGAAAACTGAAGCATTCCACATAGCTCCTCTTGCAACCATCACCGATGCAGCGCCTTTGCAAGGAACAAAACACAAAAACAACATCAAAGGGAGATATTTGCTAATCTTCTGGATATAAAATCAAGAAGTCTATTATATCATACGTACCAGTTGCAGTTTTAATGCGAGAAAAATCATCGTATTCTAAAACATCTCCGTTTGCAATAACGGGAATGGACAATGCCGAGACCACATCTGCTATCTCATCCCATTTAGCAGGATCTCTTGGCCTGTCTTCAACTTTCCTATATTTATATGGAAAGAGAAATCATTTACTCAACTTTTAAACCAAAAAAAAAAAGCTGAAAGGAGTGAGAGAACTAACTAACAATGGTGTATATTATTTTTACCTCCCATGTACAGCAAGAGCTGGCACACCAAGTTTCTCGATTCTCCTAGCCAATTCAACAGTATCTGCTGGTGATTTCAATAGACGAATCTTGCAAGTAACCGGTACGTCTAAGTTCCTCCTAAGTGTTGCCAAAATCTAACATGGAGAAGACACCACATGAGGAAAAACTCAAAATCCATATGCAAAGAAGAATTCACAGAGCCATCCATACATACATCATGAATTAGCTCGGGTTTGCTTAACAGAGCAGCTCCCATTCCTCCTTGAATAGAGAACGCCTTGGGGCAACCCATATTAATATCAATAGCTGCAACGTCTTTGCACCTAAACGATGTAACCAAAACAATCACTTTCAAAATTCGTATAGCTTTGACTACTGTTTTCAACCTTCTGTAAAAGAATATGACTAAACTAACACAATCTCAGCTGCCTTGAGAGCCCTAACAGCATCAGAAGTTCCCATTTGGAAAACAACCCTGTTTCTTTCTTCATCGCATGTGCTGAAGACGACATTGTCTGTCCCTTTCTCCACAAACTCAGTTGTCCCGGCAGCAACTGTAGAGGCACAACTACAATAAGAATTCCAGAATCAGGAAGAACCACACAATAGCAGCCTATATGATTCATGAAGGTAAGCAAAGGAACACCGAACACTAAAGACACTATTTTGTATAAGCTTTACAGTTCTTAACGTATAAACACAGTAGTTGTATCACTCTCTCAACTTTCTCTTCAAACAATACGAAAAAGGTGAAATTGATAACGCAATACACATAACCCAGCAATATGAAACTCAATTGACATACGAGGCTAGCTAGCAGAAAATTGAGAACCAAATGAATCAATTCAAAATTCACACAAACACCAAAAAGTTACCATTAATTCGGCGTTCGCATTTAACAAGCTTATGATCGATAATCTCTTCGCCGTAGGTGATATCGGCGCCGTACTCCGCCGCTAAAATTCGGAAAGACAGCGTCCCCTGAACCACAAAACACCTCCATGAATAAGCAAAGGCGAAAGCGAGAGCAACGGCAAAAAGTAGGAACATGTTTAAGGCTTTGGACTTACCACGCGAACCATGGGAGCAAGGACAAGCTTGTTCTGGTAATCCATCATCTTTGTCTTATTCGTGGCAACGTCAAACGCAGCCACGAAAAATTCGAAGATGACGACGCTAGCTAGATCTGCGCACCAATTCCTCTGTTTTGCTTCCTGAACCTTTTTTCCAGTTTTCTTACTTGATGGAGCTTAAGTTAAGCAAATGGGCTTAATACGGCCCATTATAAATGTTATTAGGTGTGGTTGGTTTAGGTTTATGTGAAAAAAAGATCTTCTAAACCGACTACGATAAACGAATGGTTAAGAAATACATTTGCTTTTGGCTTTGGTGTTTGGTCAATGAATAGACAAAATTGTGATGAGACAGAGTTTCAGTAAATACACTTCCATGCTCTATTAATAACTTCGTCTTCTACAAATGGACGCAATGACCACATCATAGTGTAAGTGTCTAGTTCACCAGATGATGACTTCAAACTAAGCGATCTCACAATCTTTTCCTGCAAAACAGTTTCCATTTTTCTCTTCAGAAAGTTTTTTAATTTTTAAAGATCAAACATGAAGAGTATCTAATGGGATCAAATTGCACACCTGCATCGCATAGTTCTGCTTCACCATACTGTAAACCACTGCAATAAGTGTAGCGTACTCTGTAACTTCAGGTTCTTGAAGGAAAGGAACAGTCTCGTTCTCCTGAATGAAACAAGCACATCCAAACAACATTATGACTCTTCTCTACACCATTTTTCAGAGGTACAAGTTACCACTTACTCGGAAGAAACAAATTTCTGTTGATATCTTACCTCGTCACATGTTACTTGTTCCAATTCATCACTTGGTTCTTTACCTAGCTGCGGCTGTGTGGATAACTTTGTGGCAGTCTCAATAGCAATGGCTGCTTCATCAGTGAGACCCTCCAGCTCAATTAACAAGCTTTTGGCTGCAATGTTCACATCAAGATTGAAAAAAGGCATGAGCTTATTACACAAACGGAAAATGTCATTCTGTATGAGTGACTGATGACATGAAACATTTACCAACTGATAGAGATGGAGTAATATGGCGATAAATAGTAATACATTACCTTTGATTAGGTGGTCAGAAAGTCCTGCTAGGGATGTATGCACTTCTTATTCCGGTATTATTATTTTTTTCAGATCAGAAACGGAAGACCAAGTCGTGAAGAAGAAGAATAAGACAAAAGGAGCAATGTGTAAGCAGAGATTAAAAAATGCTGAAGAGTGTAATTAAAACATGAAAAATAACCAACTTTGAGACTTAAATCAAACGATTGATGAGTAACTCACAAGCTCTTGTGCTTTGCGCAGCGTCATGGGTGTTAACACAGCCTGCTTCTATGTACGATTTGAGCCGTCTTGTTTCATTGTTCTTGATAATGTTCTCCATCAACTTGGACGAAGTTACTATTGGAGGGCGTTGAAGAAAGCCTGAGATAGTAATTTTTCATAAGAAGCAATGTCATATAAGAAGGATTGCAAATTCACAATACACAGTGAAGATAGTAAACAAAGCCAACGTACTGAGTCCTTGCTGAAACCTTAGAAGGTAGCTGTTTGCAGCATTCTCTAGCTCCTCAAGCTTCGTGATCCTGTTATCATTACAAAACATGTAAGAGAACATACTTGAAAACACATATATGTAAGAGAATCTCAAGCTAAACAATTTACCCTGTCATAAACTCTTTGAAAATATCGTAAATTTGCTTCTTCAGTTCGCTTCTCTCTTCCATCTCTTTGTCTCTCATTCTAAAAGACACACATAACACCGCTTAGAGCTAAATTCAGAAGATAAAATCAGAGAAAGAGACGATTTTGCCAAGCAAAGCTTATACCCAAATTTTCCACAGATAAACTCAATTTGACGCACAACATGCTAACCAATAAAATGCAATTTTGATTTAAACGAAAAAAACTAGAAGAAGAATGGTGCTTCACCGGTGAAATCAGAGAATCTAGAGGCTCAAAGCAGAGAATCAGCTAGGGGAGAGAGCTTAACTAGACAAAATAAATCTTACACTGAGATTTCTGAATTAAGCATAATGAAAAGTTGAGTTTGAAGACTTGCCGGTAGAATAAGACGGCGACGCCGGCGACTTTGTGCTCTCTGTGTTCGGAAGAAGAAATCAAACGAAGGTAAAACGACAACGTTTGGGCATCTAGAATTTTAGTAGATCAATTGAAACGACGCCAAATTGCAGTGTAATTAAACTAGGGTTTAGTTTTTAATTCGGGTTGCCATTCGGTTTTCCGGTAATACCAAAAACGAAGCCGAACCGAGCATACCGAGGATGGCTCGGTTCGGTATTTTGGCCTAGGTGACACTGGATTTTTCAGCGGGAGATCGAGCCTTTAAACTTGTCAGTCCTTGAATATATCATTCTACGTACAAAATGCAACACAATGGATTTCAAAATCAATGCTTAATTGATCAACTTTTCTCATATATATGTACACACATCAACCAAATAAAAAAGAAACCAATGCCGTGGAAATTTCTGTACAAACCCAAAAAAGAAGACTCGTGTGAGTATGAGGCGTTTAAAAAACTTGGCCTCGGAAACTGACTTGAAAAATCGAACCCATGTGTCATGTCATTGGTGTTGACGTTGAGTTTTGTTTCCTTTACTGTGACCTTTACTGCCTCCTCCTCCTGCTCCTCTGTACAACTTGGTGTGGCTGTTCTGTCCGTAAGACGAGTTCTTGACGCCATTGGTTCCTGAAAGCGGGCTTGTTCCATACACTCGTTGCTGGTTTCTTGCACCATTGGATGATGAAGATACTGCAATGGCGGCGCGTGGGCTGTTGTATGAACCGTTTCTCACGGCAACGGCTCGAGGACTTCCATAGAAAGGTTGCACGGGTGGGGTGGTGGTGGTGCCGCCGCTGATGCTTCCAGCTCGCGGACTACCATAAGGACTCGATGTGTTGACCAACATTTCCTGCTTGAGAGCCAAACAAGTGAGATTTAAATTAACCGTATCATCAATGAGAAAACTGGAAGAAGAAATGGGAGTGTGTTTTCATACGTACCCTTTGAGGAGTCTGGTAGAAATTGGGAGCCATATGGGAAGAGACCATCCGTGGAGAAGAATTCTTTACAGTTTGTGGATATGAGACTCGACGATGATTGCCTCCTGTGTCGATCCGTGAAGCTGGTCTGCCACCACCAACCCAACCGTCATGGCTTTTCCTAAGATTGACAAACGCAGGTGGCTCGTGTCCCATGAAGTAGTAAGAGCTGTGATGTTCCTCTCTGCATAAAGTAGGAGCTGGAGACCATTGTTGTCCTTTAGAAGAAGAATCCTGGTTATAGCTCTGGAAAGTGCAGGAGGATTGAGAGTATGCGTGGCCCAAGAAAGGGATGTTTGCAGGTACGAAACTCGGTGGCTGTTTCCGGTAAGGAAGTCCCGGATACGATGCCATAGTCCAGTCTTCGATTGTGATTCCTTGTTTTGCAGCGAGGTCAAACACTTGTTTTTCTTCGACTCCTAAACCCATGAGCAAGTTCCATAGGTTTCTCTGAGCTTCCCTTTGGTTGTAGATAATTTGGTCCCTCATTGCCATTTCGAACTGTAGTTCGGTGTTACCCATTCCCTATATTTATAAAAAGAACAAAAGTGTAAGAATCTCAGGGTCATGAAAATGAGACCTTGCTTTGTTTGTTCTACTCACCAGGAGCTTATACTGATTGAGGATATGCAGATAAGTTTTGTTTCCGTTGTTATTTATTGCTTCATTAAGCATATCCTGGAGTTTGCAACGATGCTTTTCATTTTCTTCAATTTCCTGTTAAAACAGAGATATGAGTATATGACTAACTATGTCAATGATTAAATGCAGAGTTGAAATATGTGACAATAAAAAGGTTACTCTTTGGTAGTTAACGCCGGCTTCATCATTGTCACGGATATTGTCAAGTATTACTTGTCGTCTGCTACTTAGAGCTTCAACTACATCTTTCTCTGTCGCCTAAAAAACCGAGAAGAGGTTACAGTAATCCAAACTCATTGCCCCTGGATGAGAAGAAGCTTTAACACCTAACCTGTTTCGCAATGGCATCATCAAGATGCTGAAGTTCGGTGCGGTTTCTGAGGTTAGTTTCCTCAAGCTCAAATAATGCCTTTTGTAAGTTGATACGTTCCTGAACATTTTCACTGATTTGGTGGCTTAAACCATCCAGCCACGAGAGTTCACGTTCAACACCTCTTTCAAAAGGTTTGATGCTTAGCTGCGACTCCTTTTCTGCTAGTTGCTTCTTCAGCTGAGAAACCTCACTCTGTGAAACCAAAATTTCTGAGTTATATACTGCTCTCATATTCATTTTGTAACAAAAGTTGATCAAAGTAAGTAACTTACTTGAAGATTGTCGATCATCCGTTGGTAATCTGACATATGAGTGTCGATGGTACCAATGTTTTTCTAAAAATGCATGAAAAGTGAATAGTAAGTACTTCTGGACCAATTAACAATCTCGTGGACTAAGCTTATTAAGAGGAAATTCAGTGTCACCTGAATGTGTGTCTTAATCTCTTTTGCTCTATCAGCATATTTCAATGTGTTCACAGTATGATGATACTGACTATCAGCAGGTGACACCGTTGCAACCATCACCGTCTGGGAGTTACCACTCAGGCCATCTTTAAGAATCCGCGTAAGCTTGCTGAAATCACACATGTCTGTCAGCCAAAAAAAGATGACCTTCTAAGATGAAAAAAATCATGAATATCATCGACACATACCTGTTTCTGTATGGGACATAAGCAAGACCCTTTTTGTGTTGCTTCCCCAAAGCGTTTATGCAGTTTGCTAGTGCAAGGAGTGAGCGATTAATATTAGCTCCATCCCTTAGTTTTTGACCTCCATTGTTCGTCTCCGCTGCTCTTTCACTGCCAGCAAGATCTACAAGGGCGAGTTTCCCTCTCATGACTTGATTTGGATTCTTTTGCTTTCTTTTTACTGCAATCTCCAGAACTGCATGGGATCTGGTAATTGACAAGCAAATTCATATACGAAATGAGCCACCGTAGCTGAGACTTCAAACAAAATCAAGAATGTTTCCTATACGATGCAGGAGATTACTCAAGCATAAAACCCATTGCTGTGAGATGTAGCGATTTGGAAAAGATAGGCATCGAACATTAACAGCTTGTTTTCGCGGTATCATCACTCACCTTGATGATGTTCCATTCATCTCCGTGCTCTCAGTTTTTCGTCTACTGTTCCCTAAGTTCAGAAGCTCAAGAATCCGATCTGCAGAATAGACCTACAAAAGAAGCAATTTTTTAACTAAGTCCGCAGATGCAAACGTCAAGAAGATGGTGAAAGTTTTAAACGAAACGGTTTTGCTCAAAGTATTGGATAACATATTAGGAGCCAAGAAGGAAGATAAAAAGTTTGGTTATCCTCTTCATGAGCACAACATTCTAATAAAAAAGTCACATAGACAGAACTAGAAGGCAGAGGAAGAACTTTCTTTCTTTTAAAAGGTTTCGATATTGCAAACAAAATTGCTGATAAATGTGAAACAGCAACATGATATGATCCAAATGATATCAGAATGGAAACCTTAAGGTGATCTTTTGTAGTACAACAAATGGTCCTATTGCATCTAGAAGACAAGAAGAGTATGGACCTTGATTGATCGCAGGCCTGCAACTACTATCCCTTGCTCTGGATCCTCTCTGAGCTCCAAATGACCAGAGGATTTTTCAAGCAAATCATAGATAACCTAAGATCCACAATGACAGAAAAGAGTAATACTCATAAGGGCAAGAACATACACAAAAACAAACAATAACGAGTTTTATCAGACCGAGCCTTACTTCATTGTAGACTTCAAGATATGAGCAAGTCACTTCAAACTCATCTGAGCTGCTGTCACTCTTAATCATATCAAATATGGTATTCAGGCTGAGAACCATCAATCCAGGATCACTCCGAGTTCCAACCATTGTATATGTTTTGCCGCTAAGAAAAGATTGCATCACTGAGTCAGATAACAAAAAGGAGACCATTATGCATCACTGTTCGTGGGATGCCCTTATCAAGCCAGTTTAATGTCTAGTACGTAAATCCCAAATCATTTCGTTAGATAAAAAACGTCTGCCATGAACTTTCTTGTAGCCTTTGTGAATCATAATATTAGAGATCATTTACATAATTGCATACCTGCCAGTGGAACCATAGGCAAACACTGTAGCATTGAGTCCATGGACAACCCCAGAGATCACAGAAGACATACTCCTATAAACATTCTGAAAACCAATACATGTTTAGATTCATCATTCATACCTCTACATCCAAAATCACAAACCTTAAACCACAAGTCAAATAGCCCACAAGTTCAGTCACTGAGAAAGTCACATTCACACTACGAACCTAAACATTTCCAACAAAGTTCTGAACGGAATAAACAAAAAGCATAGATCCTGGGAATCACAAATTTCCAGAGAGACGGACCTTGTTGGTGCTCTCAGGGCCAAATGCATGATCAAAACAATACTTCTTCTCTTTGGTTCGATTCTGAATTCGGTCAAGGTAATCCTTCGATAAGTCAGGATCCAACACAATCACCTCCTGCAATCGAAAACACAATTAGGGCGAAAATTTCAAATCGAAACAACTGGAATCAGAAACTGTGGGAAATGATGAACACACCTTAGAGTTATTCACTCGAACAATGTCTCTTCCTCGTTCTTTCTCCATCAACGGTCTACATTTCACAGCGACCTACCGGAAAACACGGAGAATTCCGTCGGTCGAGAAATTCAGAGACGGGTGAATGTGGGAAAATTATAAGGGATGAAGGAGAGCTAACCGTGAGTGTGGTGGTCTTCTTCGCAGCTGGAGCTCTAATGCTCGGCATTTCGTCAATTTGGAGCGAAACAAAATTCCCAATGCGAGGTCAAATTTTCCTGGAAGGTAATGCAGATTTTCTCGGGGAAACAAACAGAGCCTCAACGATCAAATACAAACAGAAACTGACCGCTAAAAATATGCGGAAAAATTAAAATCTGAGTGAAGACGAGAAGAAAAATTCAGCTGAGCCAAAGGATAGAATTCAAAAGTTTGATAGTTTCAAGATATTTTCTCTGTATAAATTCACCGTTTCAAAATTTATTGAATAGATTTAAGTTGGAAATAAAATTCAATAAATGCTTCGGAGATTTCTGAAGCATTAAACGAAGGAACAAAAAAGCATTTATTTTTGTATAGAAAATCAGAAGAGGGAAAAATAAAAGATCGTGCGGGAGGGATATCGTGGACTGATCACATGCATGACGGTGCATCTTGTTTTTGATGTGGTAACGAGATCGGAGCCGTTGAATACTGAATCTGAACGGCAGAAATTGACCTTTACATAAGTAGAGTGATTGTGGGTCCAGATTTTCATTTTAAGTTTTGTTTGCTTATTAAAAGGTCTAACAGCAATTCAATATTTAATCGAAAAGCTTTCTAGTTTGGATTTTTGTGGCAAATTGGTTGTTTAACAAATTAATTTGACGAAGTTGTGAACTCTTTACACGACGTGCCATCTAATACCATATGATATACGATATTTGCTGACATGACGTTTAAAACAATTTCGTATAAATAATAGTTTCATAAATATATTCTCGATCGTTGTTGACAAAATATCTTTCTTCTTCTTTGGTTACATGAGTAGCAATTTTTATCGGATAACACAAATTATGATCCTCCAAAACTGTATGATTTAGTAAAACCCTGCAAAGTCTTATAACTTGGGTGTTACTTTGCCCATCTTGCACATTATCAACAAATTCATTTTTAATGAAAACTATAATTTCTTAATATGTATGCATCACTACTACCCACATAGAGGTATGGGTTCTCACATACAGTTGATCTATAATTTAATATGCATGTTCCATAGACTCAACATGAAGTTTATCTTACCAAAGAACCTCTCACTTCATCGATTTACATAAATTAGTATGGAACGTGTTCATAGTTAGTTTTTTTTCATTAATATAACGTATGGGCTTATGGCAATGTCGCAGTTGAGTTGTAAAAAACATACTTTAAGGTTTACCAAACGTTGTGCGATCCATACATATTTGAATGTCCGTGAGAGATAACGCGACTTTTTTCATCCGCCAACGAGTTAATGAAAATCTGGCTTCTCTCAATGTGATCTTGCAAGTTTACAATTTTTACAAAGAGTTCATGATATGACAAATTTTGCTTTGTAAAATTCATCCTTTATTCACACGAAATATAAAGTTAAATTTGGGCAGTGGTTGTAATTGTAGTCTGGTTAGTGGATTTGTTGCTTTGTTTGATCAAGTTCTTAAGAATAAAGAGGAAAAATCTCACTAAATACAATTTTGGATGTTGCAGTCTTGCAGAATACGAAACTTACATGATATTTTTAGATTAGTTATTGGTCTTCAATTTAGATTTAAGAACAATATAGGTCAACCGTAAATACTAGAATGAGTGTTAGTCTTAAGGTAAACTTCAAACAAATTTACATTTTAAGTTTGATTTGTGTTCGAAGAAGAAGAGATTAGAAAATTCCAAAAGATTCCAAAAACTCGGACTTACGCGGGTTTAAGCTTGAAAATGAAATGCGAGCACGTGATCCGCTCGTGAGATATTACTTTTCAAACGAGCCTACCTTTAAAAAAACCACTGATCATCTCTCCCCTTTCCAAAACCCTAATCAGCCAAATTCAATCCGCAGAAATTTCGTAATTCCACTTTGATTTCCACGAAAGAGCATTTGTATCTCGTACCCATGGCAGAGGAAGTTCCAGCAACAGCGTCTTTCACTCCATACGTTCACTCTCAAACCCTAACTTCCCACATTGGCGCCGTCTCCTCCGTGAAATTCTCCCCCGATGGCCGCCTCCTCGCTTCAGCCTCCGGCGACAAGACAGTCCGCACTTACGCTATCAACATCGACGGAGATCCAATTGCCGATCCCGTACGGCAGTTCACCGGCCACGAGAGCGGCCTCTCCGATGTTGCCTTCTCTTCAGACTCGAGGTTTATCGTCTCAGCTTCCGATGACAAGACCTTAAAGCTCTGGGACGTTGAAACCGGTTCACTGATCAAGACGCTTAACGGGCACACTAATTTCGTCTTCTGCGTCAACTTCAATCCTCAATCCAACATGATTGCCTCTGGATCATTCGACGAAACCGTTCGGATCTGGGATGTGAAAACCGGAAAGTGTTTGAAAGTCCTCCCCGCGCATTCCGATCCCGTCACCGCCGTGGATTTCAATCGCGACGGCTCGCTCATCGTTTCGAGCAGCTACGATGGTTTGTGCCGCATTTGGGACTCAGGGACTGGACATTGCGTGAAAACCCTAATTGACGATTGTAATCCTCCTGTTTCCTTCGTTAGATTCTCTCCCAACAGTAAATTCATCCTCGTTGGCACTCTCGATAACACTCTGGTGAGTTCTTCTTCTCTTTCCATTGCCCCCAGTCGATGCTTCTGTAACGCTCATTGTATTTATCTTGCTGAATTCATATGTTTGCTATGTGACTAGTGCTATAATCAAGAGTGTTGATAGCTTTGGTTTAGTTAGTTTTGTGATTGAGCAAGATTTCAAGAGTGTTGAATGGTAGAATCTTAGAGAATTGTAGCTTGGAAGATTTATATTTTGTTGTTTGATCTATTTGCTTGTATTGGGACTTGGAGAAGATGCAAGTTCTCATGATTTGTTATTAATTCACTGATCTCTCCACGACTTTCATATATACAGAGGTTGTGGAACATTGCTTCTGCTAAGTTCATCAAAACATACACTGGTCATGCGAACGCACAGTACTCCATTTCCTCTGCGTTCTCCGTGAAAAATGGGAAGCAAATCATCAGTGGATCAGAGGACGGATGTATATACAGGTGGGAGCTGAACTCCAGGAAGATGATTCAGAAACTTGAAGGTCATACTGAGCCCGTCATGAGCGTGGCTTGCCACCCGACAGAGAACTTGATGGCATCAGGTTCACTCGACAAGTCTATAAGAATCTGGACACAGAAGAAAGAATGAAACAGGACTCTTTATCTTCAAAACTCATCCATGTAGGTATGTATATATACCTTCTTCTACTTCATGCTGTAACCATCCGTTTCTTACTTTCTTATTAAACCTTGTTAGACTGATTCTAGCTTTTTTATGATAAATTCCAGTTTTCGTCTGGTGTAGGGGAAGTGAAGCAGTTGTGTGACTCATATAGTTACTTAGGTAGGTCTAAAGGCAAAGAAGAACTTTTTTTGAGTCTTGCAAGTGCAAAGGGACCTGAGAAAGCGAGCAGAGGTTTATCCATTTCAATTCATTGTTTGTAGTTATGGGTTCTGTATGTTCCTACAATACAATTGGTTTTAAAGGATTTATGGATTGAAAATTGTTCATCCAAATCATATATCAATAGTAGCTCATGGGTCAAAGCACGTATATGTAGATAATGTATGGTAGTTTGGTTGGGCCATGATGATGATGAAGCCTATGGTCCCCGGGTCCTGTTTTTTTCACTTTTATTGTAAAGTCATTGTTTTTCCTTCAGATTTTGAATTGGACCACCTGAAAATATGAACCCACTCTTTTATTTCAATTTCAAAACCAAAGAAACAAAAAGATGACTTTGTGTTGTCTTTTAGCTACACCAGTGGGCTGCTTTTACAGCGTGGCTTTCTGTTTACATGATTCAACAGAAAGCAACAGAAGCAGCACTTCCTAAAGACCGAGTCATGTTTGTGTCTCTCCCGAAACAGACAAAGATCAAAATATAGCTTTAATTCTTGAGATGTGTTTATGTGTAAGATAAGAAAACCTTTAAGAGAGTAAAAGATTGAATTCAAGATTGTTATAGTGGATGGGTCATAATCAAAACCAGAGGATCGTTACCCGAGACATGAAACAGAAGAACAAACTATAGAGTGATATGTTTAAAGCATTTCGGTTTGTTCATCTCCTCTGTTTTCTTAGATCTAATGTTTATAAAATTTCGAAAAGCTTTAAAATATAGTAGGGTGGAGAGAAAATGAAGATAGTCGATTATATTATAATGCTTACAGAAGAACTATATTCAATGGTCAAATTGTTAGCTTTTACACTTTAGTCACTGTTGTGCTAACATAATCATACCAAAAAAAAACATAATCTTTCTGTTAAATTATTTATATATTTGATTTGGTATACCGAATACCAAATCAAGCTTCAACAAACGAATCTTCAATTCTTCACACACACCCATCCAAACGTTATCCTTCCTCCACGTGCTTGGCAATTCTCATCATTTTCATTGATCAGATTTTCACTAATTTTATGTTATGATTTAGTGCAAGAAGTGCGTTCCATATGAAGAAAATTATTCTATTGGTTCGAGTCCATAAAGAAGACAACAAAATTTCACCTAATGTGAGTACGACTTTATTACAGTGGGCAGTGGCTAATATTTTCAAAATTTTTGACATTCCATATAAAAACATAAAATCATTTTTAGCGTAAATTCCATATGTAATACTCCCTCCGTTTCATAATAAGTGTCGTTTTGACTCTTGACTTATCCAATGTATATAGATGTAACCTCTATAAAGTAATACTCGATAAAGTAATAATCACTATAAGATAATAAATTTTTCCGGTCCCAATTCGGGCCAATGTAAAAATAAGCAAAATGCGATAAGATGATAAGATAATAATATTTTTGAAACTCTATGTAAAAATATGGTCCCAATTATAAGTTAAAGTAATAATTATATAAAATTATACATTGTATATGCCTAAACCAATTATTAAATTATGAATTGAAGTTTATCTTTAACTTTTTCTTATATAAAAAACTCATAATGCAATTTTTATATGCATGTAAAATTGTTAAATATGTTCTAAACATATCATTTTCAACTTCATTAGTAGCTATAATTATTTATAAAATTTTAACATTTATTATGTATCAAATTTTATATAAATAAATATTTATAGAAACTAATAATATATGTTTTATTATGATATCCAAAAGATTTGATAATAATTTCAAGTTTATATATGTCATATTAATGAATAAATAATTTTCATTTCTTAATATATTATCATATCGAGAATAATTTTCGAAGATTATGAGAATACATGAATATTGAATTTATTCATAAAGTAATACCTCTATAAGATAATAAATTTTCAAAGTCCCAACATTATTACTTTATAGAGTTTTACTGTATTAAGAGTCAAAACACATCCAAATATATTAATAAATAATTTAGATTTATTTTGTCAAAACGACATTTATTATTAGAGTACGAGATAAAAAAACAAAAATAATTCCAGGAAAGTTAAAATAAATAAAAAAATCGGAAAACGCACATAATTGTTCACTGCACAAACCATTATTACTGATCAGTGAAAGTGAACTCTGGTAACTGGCAAAAGATGAAAATGATGCACATAGGATAGGGACTGATTTTGCTGACTGCCTCCCACAATTCAAATTACGATCGCGTCCTTACCCTTCTTTCGAGGCTCTTAACTGTTGCCGTAGCATCATCTCAGGGTTGTTCTCGTCATTTTCAATTGGTCATCGCTAGTAACAGTGACCGGCTCTCTGGTTTTTGTTGTTCATGCTTGTCGTTGTGGTCCTAAGGGTAGAAATGTGATTACCAGGACGTTGAAGGAGTGCTTTCGTCATTTCATTATGTTTGATTAATTAAGGTCCAATTAGTAATATTTTAACAAAAACGGGTCCCCCGATAAATCGGTAAGTTTGTCAATCCCAGTGCGGCTTCACATTTTCCCTCCAAACTATGACATCAGGACCGTTCGTTCAGGTTTTAGTTTTACTGTGGATTTAATTTTTAAAATTTTAGTCCCTTTTATCTTTAAAACATCGTTATGAATTTTATGGTTGGCTTTGAGCCTTTGAGCCTTTGAGATATTTTTTCTCCAAAGGCTACATTATTGGATGGGGTTGATAGTGAGATGTATACATATTAGTATAGTACTATGTCCATATCATCAGAGGACTTGTCAAGATTTGGTAACATCACGTTTCAAAGATTCAGAATTAGAAACAACAACGCTCCAAATGAAAATTAATGAACATTTTCTCATGATAGTTTGTTCTCTAACCCTATGTTTCATTAAACGTCATTACATGCGTACATATATAACATGACTTTTCAAGTTTCTTTTGTTATGTCTTCTACCATATTTGAACTATTTTAAGTTTTTGTTGTCTGGTTTCTACAAATCAAAATTTCTAAAAAATCTCCCTCCATTTACATGTTCGGTATAAAAGCGTACAGTTCCAAGAAAATGAAATAATTGACAATATTAAAATAAATAAAACTTAACACGCCATTTTCATCTCATCATCTTCCTCACTTACCCTCACCACACTATCACCCTTTTTAAACCAAAACCTAACTTACCCAGAAAGAGAAAAAAAAGAGAGCCATGAAGCTTCTTCTTCTCCTTCTACTTCTCCTCCACATTTCTCATTCTTTCACCGCCGCTCGTTCAATCTCCGAGTTCCGTGCTCTTCTCTCACTCAAATCCTCCATTGTCGACGAACAGTCACATCTCAGCTCATGGAAGCCTTCGACGAGCTTCTGTTTATGGTCCGGTGTCACGTGCGACGTCTCTCGCCGACACGTGACCTCCCTTGACCTCTCCGGCCTGAACCTCTCTGGTACTCTATCCTCCGACGTAGCTCATTTACTTCTGTTGCAGAATCTATCAGTCGCTGCTAACCAGATCTCGGGTCCTATTCCGCCGGAGATCGCTAATCTCTCCACCCTCCGTCACCTAAATCTCTCCAACAATGTCTTCAACGGTTCGTATCCCGACGAACTCTCCGCCGGATTGGTGAATCTCCAGGTTCTCGATTTGTACAACAACAATCTAACCGGAGATTTGCCGGTTTCCATCACTAATCTGACGCAGCTCCGCCATCTTCACCTTGGTGGGAACTACTTCGCCGGCCGAATCCCGGCGGTGTACGGAAGCTGGCCTGTTCTCGAGTATCTAGCAGTTTCCGGCAACGAGCTAACCGGAAAAATCCCTCCGGAGATCGGAAACCTAACGAGCCTTCGGGAGCTTTACATCGGATATTACAACGCTTTCGAAGACGGTCTTCCACCGGAGATTGGAAATCTATCGGAGCTCGTCCGGTTCGACGCCGCTAATTGCGGTTTGACAGGAGCGATTCCGCCGGAGATTGGGAAACTTCAGAATCTCGATACGTTGTTCCTGCAAGTAAACGCGTTTTCAGGGACATTAACTCCGGGGCTGGGGATGATTTCGAGCTTGAAATCAATGGATTTATCTAACAACATGTTCACCGGCGAGATTCCGGCGAGTTTCGAACAGCTGAAGAACTTAACGCTCTTGAATCTCTTCAGGAACAAGCTCTACGGAGCTATACCCGAATTCGTCGGCGATTTGCCGGAGCTCGAGGTGTTGCAGCTGTGGGAGAACAATTTCACCGGTAGCATTCCTCAGAAACTGGGGGAAAACGGTAGACTAGTGATTCTCGACCTCTCCTCCAACAAACTCACCGGAACTCTGCCGCCGAATATGTGCTCCGGTAACCGGTTAGTGACCTTAATCACTCTCGGCAACTTCCTGTTTGGCTCCATCCCGGATTCGCTCGGCAAATGCGAGTCCCTGACCCGGATCCGAATGGGTCAGAATTTCCTCAACGGGTCGATCCCGAGGGGGCTTTTCGGGTTACCCAATCTATCTCAAGTGGAGCTCCAAGACAACTACCTCACCGGAGAGCTACTAGTAACCGGAAGAGTCTCTCCCGACCTCGGTCAGATCAGTCTCTCAAACAACCAGCTCTCCGGTCCATTACCGCCGGCCATCGGAAACTTCTCCGGCGTCCAAAAACTACTCCTGGACGGTAACAAATTCGCCGGTCCAATTCCATCGGAGATAGGAAAGCTTCAACAGCTATCCAAATTAGATTTCAGCCACAATCTCTTCTCCGGCCGGATCGCACCTGAGATCAGTCACTGTAAGCTGCTAACGTTCGTTGACCTGAGCCGTAACGAGCTCTCAGGTTCGATCCCTCACGAAATCACAAGCATGAGGATCTTGAATTACTTGAATCTCTCGAGGAACCATCTCCTAGGTTCGATCCCCGTGACGATAGCATCAATGCAGAGTTTAACATCTGTTGATTTCTCATACAACAATCTCTCCGGTTTAGTTCCCAGCACCGGACAGTTCAGCTACTTCAACTACACATCCTTCTTGGGAAACTCCGATCTCTGTGGCCCCTATTTGGGTCCTTGCAAAGACGGAGTCAACAAAGGATCTCATCTCAAGCCTTTATCCGCTACCACGAAGCTCTTGCTCGTCCTCGGACTGCTCTTTTGCTCGATGGTGTTCGCTGTAGCAGCCATAGTCAAAGCTCGGTCGTTGCGTAACGCGAGCGAGTCCAAGGCTTGGAGACTGACTGCTTTCCAGAGACTAGACTTCACCTGTGACGACGTCTTGGACTCGTTAAAAGAAGACAACATCATCGGCAAAGGCGGAGCCGGGATTGTCTACAAAGGCGTGATGCCTAGCGGCGAGCTGGTCGCGGTCAAGAGGTTAGCTACGATGTCGCATGGATCTTCTCATGATCACGGGTTTAACGCAGAGATTCAGACGCTTGGTAGGATCAGGCACAGGCATATTGTGAGGCTGCTCGGGTTTTGCTCTAACCACGAGACGAATCTGCTTGTGTACGAGTACATGCCTAATGGTAGCCTTGGAGAGGTGCTTCATGGGAAGAAAGGAGGGCATTTGCATTGGGACACACGTTACAAGATCGCTCTTGAAGCTGCTAAGGGTCTTTGTTATTTACACCATGATTGTTCTCCGTTGATTGTTCATAGAGATGTTAAGTCCAACAACATCCTCCTTGATTCCAACTTCGAAGCTCATGTTGCTGACTTTGGTCTCGCCAAGTTCTTGCAAGATTCCGGTACTTCTGAGTGTATGTCCGCCATTGCCGGCTCCTACGGCTACATAGCTCCAGGTATTAAAAGAAAAGACTCACACTTTATAAATTGACATTTAATGACACATCTCTGTAACTATTTTTGTTCCTTGTGGTTTGCAGAATACGCATATACGTTGAAGGTAGATGAGAAGAGCGATGTGTATAGTTTTGGAGTTGTTCTTCTGGAGCTTATCACGGGGAGGAAACCAGTCGGAGAATTCGGCGACGGTGTCGATATCGTTCAGTGGGTGCGTGGCATGACGGATTCAAACAAAGAGTGTGTGCTCAAGGTGATCGATCTAAGACTCTCTTCCGTGCCGGTACACGAAGTAACGCACGTCTTCTACGTGGCGATGCTCTGCGTTGAAGAGCAGGCGGTGGAGAGGCCGACGATGAGGGAAGTCGTTCAGATTCTCAGTGAGATCCCAAAGATTACTCCTACGAAGCAGGAGGCGGTGGAATCAGACGTGACGGAGAAATCTCCGGCGTTGAATGAGTCTTCGCCGGATTCAGGAAGTCCGCCGGATCTCCTCAGTAACTAGAGTTCACGGTTTCAACCAATGAGAGTTTGGTGCCTTCCTTCTCTAATTCGGTTAAGACAACAAGGAGTTTGGTCAATGTGGTTTTAACTCTTTGAGGTTGTTCCATTTTTCTTACCGCTATTTTTGTTTCTCACGAATGTTCGAGTAGTTTTATCCCTTTGTAGGAATTTTGAATATGTACATTAACGGGTCATTAAGGTTGGATTCCGTAAGGTAAATGTTAGTTTCAAGAAATTTCGAATTACGAGAGCATTGCATACATTAGTACAAATGACTTCGAATTTTGAAGTTGGAGAGCAGCAACCTGCGAAATCATACATGAATACACTAGTTGTTGCATTTGGAACTTTAATATATTTTAATCACTAAAATGTTCTTGCTTGTTAGCTGTTAGAGATTCGATCAAAATAACAATCGATCTGTATACTTTCTCACGTTTGGTTTTACCCTTTTGGAATGTAACTGATTGTGGCACAAGAAGACATTCCATGTGAGAGGAAACAGAGAAGGAAAAACTAAGGTATGATGAATGTGTGTGTGGGACTGATGATCAGTTCTGCTGAGAAGGGAGAAAGTGAAAGCTCACTCACAATTTGCCACAATTATTGCAAAATGTATGTGTAGCGTCTTTAATGAATCAAATGGTCCTAAGATTTCTTTCAACTCTTCTGCCCTTGTCTTGAAGCTAAAAAACTAATTTATGTGAAGCATTTATGACCTCTCTCACCATATCTTTCATTAATACAAGCCATATATCCAACTTTGATTTTGACCCATCAAAATAAAATCCTTAGGTGTTGTGGCTTTCCTTGGTTTTTGTTTTTTATAGTCTTCATTGGTTTTACTTTACCAATGCAGTTGTATTTCACACTTTTGTAAGATAATCCTTTTGCATATTCGTTTTGCTTCATAATTCAACAATATGAGAAAACAACAGCAATGATCCAAAAAATCATTAAAACAGAAAATACAAACCAAATAAGGTTGTATAATAAACACATCTGATTAAGCTTACGCACGCCCTCACCGTCCGATCATCAGTTCCTTAAGGCTTGATCAGCCCATACACAAAAGTATACATGCCCGTTTCTTAAGTCATTTTACATTGGCCTGTTTGGCTCGTCATGTTGCAATTATGTCTGTGCTTAGTTTTGGGCTCTATCCAAATTCGTGCCCGGCTAGGTCCATTTGTTTTTCGATTGAAGGATACAAACTACAAAGTTACAAACGCATGAAACACATGTGGTCTTTTTAGAGTCGCGGAAGTAGTTGGTGAATAGACATTTTCGTTCTTTTTCTCTGTAAACATTCTCCGTCTCGAGTCAAACAAGAAAATGGTAAAATTTTGGTCATTTTTCCGTTATTTATCCACTTTTTAGTGAACAACTATAACGTATTGATGGTTAGATTGTTACGCTTTGTCATAGCCTCATAGGTTAGGTAGATAAGATAACTATGTAGTTTCCATTCAAGTTTATAAAGAGAAGAAAATGAATGACATGAAAGAAAGAAAGAAGGTTTTGTACGCATGTGGGTCTCTAACTCTTTATGGGGTCTTTCTTTTTTCAAATGTCAACTAACATTTTCGGGTCTTTTTTTTTTTTTTTTTAACATTTGTGTGGTCTTATATTTGTATATCGCTTTATGTCATGTTAATATCTCTATCGCTTTCCTCTATTTGTAATTTTTTTTATGTCTCCTCATGTAAAGTCTACCGACAAAAAAACTAATATTTTCTTTTGCCATTTATAGAAATAAAAAAACTAATCATTTGCATTATTTTCCCCTAATATTATTCGGAGTACATTTCGTTGAGTTTTATTTTTATTTTCCATTTAACAGGGAATCTTACGAGACTAAACATACTATTACGTAGTAATAATCATGATTCTTAAAAACAAATGCATGTCAGTAACTGATTAAAACGTAGCCGGTGATAGAAGCCAAAAGCGCAACAAAAATTTGGTAAACTAATTTAGTTTTTTATAAGAAAGAGACGAATTGTGATGTTGAACTGACGAAATGTTTTTGTAACACGTTTTAAGACTAGACTCAACAAATCACTAGCTTCCGCTGTTTACATAAAAATAGTTTATAGAATTTTATTGAGTGGAAATGGCGAATCCCGTCGCGACAGATTAGGAAATGTGTTTATTAATATTATGTGGAAGAAAATTTGATTAAAAATCGAAATCAAGTGTTTAGGGTAAAAAGAAGCACAAAGGAAAACGCCGAAGAGCCTCCGTCACTCATTGTCGTCGTCTTATAAACTCCGAAAGCAGAAGAAGTAAACACTAACATAACACATTTTGAGAAAAAAGATGGAGCGAGCAACCATTTCCCCGAGTCTCAATCAAAATTACCTACTTTCCCCTTCACGCGCCTTCACCACGCGCCTCCACTCTTTCTCCTCCTCCACCCGGAACTTATCGCCGTCGTCTTCCTCCATCAAGGTCAACTCTCTTCTCACACTGGTTATCGATTTCTCTACTGTGAATATCGTCGTCTGCTCCATCTAACTCTTCACCTAATTTATATTCACAGCTTCAGCATTCTTCGCCTCCTTCCTCTGTTTTATCCAGTGTCATTAATGGCGGAATCAATACTCGATGCAACGCTGTGCTGTCCAATTCTTCCAGGTTTGTTGAAATCATAATCAATTTTTGGGGTAATTGGATTTTTTGTTTTTGATGTGATTGGTGTTTATGTGGAATAGTACGGAGACGACTGAATATGCGGACATAGATTGGGACAGCATCGGATTCGGGCTTAAATCGACTGATTACATGTATGTGATGAAATGTAACCTGGATGGAGAATTCTCAAAGGGTGAATTGCAACGTTTTGGGAACCTTGAAGTTAGCCCATCTGCTGGTGTTCTCAACTATGGACAGGTTTCGTCTCCTACTTAATTTTTCTTCAAAGTCTTTTCCTTTACTGTGATTGAGTCTAATTAAACAAACAAAGCTTAGATTTTGATGCCCATGCCTAAAGTTTATAGATTTGAAAGCATTTGATAAAATTAGCAGATTTTGTGTCCTAGTTTCTCCGAGTCCTGTTTCTTTGATGTACTGAGTCCTACGAAAAGGAGCTTTCATCTATGCTAATCAAGAATCTTATAGGGAGTTAAGATGGTGTGAAAGTATGGAGAAATTTGTTAGATTCTTGACACTGAAACACAATCTGCCGATGGGTTTGATCTCTTAGTTGCTAAGTTAGTTGCATCTTGTGTGCAATTCCGTTAACTACTGAAAAATGTTCTTTTTTTGTGCAATTGATGATGAGAGATGTCAAGCAATGTGTAGTGGTAGTGATTGGAATTTAGTGTTATATGAGTCTTATTAAGCGTGTGTACTTTCTGTTGCGACCATTTTGTGTGTAGGGATTGTTCGAAGGGATGAAAGCGTACAGAAAGCAAGACGGTAAAACGATACTCCTCTTTCGTCCCGAGGAGAATGCAAACCGTATGAGATTTGGTGCTGATAGGATGTGTATGCCTGCTCCTACCGTTGAGCAGTTTATTGAAGCTGTGAAAGCAACTGTCTTAGCAAACAAACGATGGGTAATTGAATGAACACAGTTTCTTTTTCGGATATGTGCGTCATGCATCAGGTTAACGCCGCTTGTGATGTCTTTTTTTTTTTTCAGATTCCACCACCAGGTAAAGGTTCTTTATACATTAGACCGTTGCTTATGGGAACAGGAGCTGTTCTTGGTCTTGCGCCTGCGCCAGAATATACTTTCCTTGTCTATGTGTCTCCTGTTGGGAACTACTTCAAGGTCTTTCAACGTTCCTAATTTTGGCAACATCCAGTTGTCTTCTTTCTTTTTTTCCCTCCTAAATGATGATATGATTTTTATAATGATGTCAGGAAGGTGTTGCACCAATCAACTTGATTGTTGAAAGCGAGTTTCACCGTGCAACTCCTGGTGGTACCGGAGGTGTAAAAACCATCGGCAATTATGCTGCAGTAAGTGAAAGATGATTTCTTGAACAGATATTGATGTTCTCTGGAATGGCTTCTGTTACTCACGCATGATTACTTGTATTATAGGTCCTGAAGGCACAGTCGATTGCGAAGGCCAAAGGATATTCCGATGTTTTGTACCTTGACTGCGTGTACAAAAGATTTCTTGAGGAGGTATCGTCTTGCAATATCTTTATTGTCAAGGTAAAAAAGTTCAATCTTTTGGAGTCCAATGATGATGTATAGCTTCTATAAGATGTCTTTCACTTTATCAGTCTAAATTCCCAAGTCTTAGGAGATGAGATTAAGACTCTTGACATTTGCAAACATCTCAAGCTACTGATTCTGTTCTGTAGAAACCTTTTGATCAAACTTTGTTGTTGCTTACTCTCTTTGGCAGGACAATGTGATCTCTACTCCTGAAATAAAAGGAACCATCTTACCCGGAATCACAAGGAAAAGTATAATTGACGTGGCTCGGACTCAAGGGTTTCAGGTATAGTAATCTCTCCCCTTCTTCAAATTCTCAGCAGTAGTCACATCTTTAAAATTGGACTAGAGCACCACTATTGGAATGTGATCACTGATCACAGAGGATGTTATAATTGATATCATGCAGGTGGAGGAAAGGAATGTGACAGTGGATGAATTACTAGAAGCAGACGAGGTTTTCTGCACAGGAACCGCAGTGGTTGTCTCTCCTGTTGGAAGCATCACTTACAAAGGCAAAAGGTAACACCTCCAAAGCCGTAAAGCTTTCCCCTTTTTTGTTGTATGTTGTATGAGTTTGCTTTCTTAAGAAGATCCACAATATACACACGCAGAGTATCTTACGGAGAAGGTAGCTTTGGACCTGTGTCGGAGAAAGTGTACACCGTTCTGACAAGCTTGCAGATGGGTCTGAGCGAGGATAACATGAACTGGACTGTGAATCTAAGTTAAGCCAAAATGCATTCATCAACTGTGGCTGCTTGGTTTTTGTTTTCATTTTCGTTGTGATTTGTGAAACTATAGATGTTATGGATTGTTTAAAATGTGGTGGTCTAAATAAAAGCTGAGATCTTACGCCTTAGCTGCTTCAAGGTTTGTAGATGTTGTGACCTCATCATAAGACCAGTCTTGTTATCTTTTGTGTATGAAAACTGATACAAAAATAAGAAAAATTCCAGTTTACGCCAATATGTAATTATCAGAAACTAAAAATCAAAGCAATAACTTTTTATTTACGCCAGATTCTAATAATAACTTATCAGTCCATGAAAAGTTGAGCAATGACAAGCCATGGTTTCTTAGTCTTAGGTTGGGGTCGACCTTTGTTATTTCTTCTTCCATAAGTCGGATGGATTAAGCTAAGTTGGATTCGAATCTCTTGGAAAAGTTGATATATTATGACCTAAAAGGATGTCATGATTGTCTCATGATTACGAGATAAAAAACATGTTTATCTACTAAGCTAAAGTATGAAATTATTGAGGCTGATTTGAATTACTTTGAAGTTTCGAAATCAAATTCTTCCTTTTAAAAGAAAAAGAGATAAGAGGTGTGTTTTTCACGGAATCAACTTTTTTACCTTTAGATTACTTCAAAAAGACTGGGTCCTAAAAAGGGAGCCAAAGCCACCAAATTACATCATTAGAGAGAAATGAAAAAAATGGCTACACAAAATAATATAAACAATTTAAAACTTATAATCTCTGTACAATTTCCTGGTTGTGTCTAACGAAAATTACACAAAATATAAGTAATTGCTTACTTCAAACACCACAATTATATATAGGTATGTTTGTATACAATATTCCTGTGACTTACGAGCGACATTATATATAAAATAGCTCATCATAATCTCTCATGAAATTATGGCCTACGCTGCTACAAGACCAATTCCTACCAATGGTATTGAAATCTGAATGGCATTATTTTCCTTTGTTTACAACCCTTAGCTCCAAAGTTCCAAATTTTATCTACTTTTTCAACAATATTTTTTTATAAAATCATACAAACAGTGTGAAAAACTCAATAATTGGAATCGCTCATGACTTTATTTCTCCAAGTGCTTTGACTTTTGAAGCCTTTATTTCTAATCTCAACTCAAGTCAACCTTTCTATGTTCTAGAAGCGTCGAACCGTAGTCAGTAATTTATTGTAGCTTCTTTCTTACTATTCACACAATTGATCAGATTTCGATATGGATCTATATGGGACAGCGTCATATTAAGTTCATATCTATACTACATGATTACTAAATGGCTATATAGCTAATTTGAATAATTCAAATATGCATGATCATCTTCATCTATCACTCTCTCTTTTTTTTCATTCATTTTCAGTTTGTTATTATTTTATTTGGGATTAACTAGTTTACCGGAACCGGGGTAAAATTTCTTCAGTTTGGCCATTTTGCTCACCTACCATAACGAATTTTTACTCTTATAGTCTCAATCTACTTTTGGTACATATCCTTTCACTTTCAGCTGCAATTTGCAAAGATGTATTTATTTCATATTTAAAAATCCAATACATAATTTAAAATATGTTGAAGCGAACATTAATCAAGTTATCACGGATGAGTTTCTGTAAACTACTGTAAAAATATCTTACTCACAGAAACAAACAAAAAATTCTGTAGATGGTCAATATATTGTTAGGAAGAACCTTAGATAAATTTCTATCAAGACTTACGTACATTACGGTAGACGATAGTCTTCCATATCTTCTCTGCCATTTCTTAATTCCGCTATTGTACAATATTTAATTATATTGAAATTTCTAATAATTATTCATTTCCAAAAGTTACTTTTTGAATTTTGGATTTTTAAAATTTAAAGTTTCCTACTTTTTGACATCTTTTCTTACAAAGACTTTTTGACATCGTCCATCGCATGAGAAATACTATCTCCTCCAGCTATTATATAGTCTCCTTTTTTCTTTTCCGCTTTCACATAATGTTTCCCCTATAATCCACACACATATCCACACCATCATTCTCACCAACATAAACAATCTTGATCACATAGAGTTAAATAGAGCAATATATCAAGAACAAGACCAACTAAAGATCAAGAACAAGAAAAAGCAAAAAAACTTCACCAATAAATGGGAAGAGCACCGTGTTGTGACAAGGCTAACGTGAAGAAAGGGCCTTGGTGTCCTGAGGAAGATGCAAAGCTCAAATCCTACATTGAAACGAGTGGCACAGGAGGCAATTGGATCGCTTTGCCTCACAAGATTGGTATTAATTCTTACTCCTTTTTATTCATATACTTATATAAATATTTACCATATTTTTTCTAGAACAAACTCGAAATATGTGAAAGAGTGTTATGTATCCTTTCTGTTTTAAGCGGTTAACCATAATTATATTGTGATCCTTCTTTCTGATCTATCATTTTCTTTCTGATCTTTCTTGGTTGCGACATGACTTAGGTTTGAAGAGATGTGGGAAGAGTTGTAGGCTGAGATGGCTTAACTATCTAAGACCAAACATCAAACATGGTGGCTTCTCCGAGGAAGAAGAAAACTTCATTTGTAACCTCTATCTTACTATTGGGAGCAGGTACTATTCACAGTCATTATATTATTCATTTATAAATGTCAAATATCATGTGGAAACTCTTAATTAAGTTATATATAATGTCTGAATTTGATTAAAGGTGGTCTATAATCGCTGCTCAATTGCCGGGACGAACAGACAACGATATAAAGAACTATTGGAACACGAGGCTCAAGAAGAAGCTCATTAATAAGCAACGCAAGGAGCTTCAAGAAGCTTGTATGGAGCAACAAGAGATGATGGTCATGATGAAAAGACTACAACAACAACAACAACTCCAAACTACTTTCATGATGAGAGAAGACCAAACAATGTTCACATGGCCTCTACAAGACCTTCCTCATGATCCTCATCATGATCAGGTACCAACTCTTGTCATGAATAAAACCAACTTGTTATGCGACCAAGAAGATGCTAAGCCAGCGATCATCAAGGACATGGTCAAGATCGAAGATCAAGAACCGGAGAGAACAAACGCTTTTGATCATCTCTCCTTCTCTCAACTATTGTTAGATCCTAATAATAACCTAGGATCAGGAGAAGGTTTCTCCATGAACTCGATCTTGAGCACCAACACAAACTCTCCACTGCTTAACACAAGTATCAATCATCAATGGGTCGGAAATAATTTCCAGGACGAAGCCATCAACTTGTTTTCAGGAGCAACAAGTACTTCAGCAGATCAAAGCACCATAAGTTGGGAGGACATAACCTCTCTTGTTTATTCTGATTCAAAGCAATGCTGATAATTAATTAATTATTCCGAAGATGAAACGTACATCAATATATACTAATTAGGGTAATACAAGACTAGAGAGTACGTACCTGTATGGAATGAGAAGGACGATCGATCGATCTATTTTGCATACATTTTACTTTGGTGGGTTAAAATAATATGGATTTGAAAAGTTTAATGGAGATGTCGAACTCATATTCGACAATACTAAAACAGTTCCTAACGAACTATAATCGCAAATGGATAGACGAATTTTTGTTTTTGTTACACATATTTTCTTAATAGAAAACCTATAATGTGCAGTGCCTGTATATAGTATATATGTATGGATGCGCGTAGTTCGTTACGTACCAAGGAGTATGCAATTGGGCACATGTTACGTTTCTGTCTAAATGACAATATTTAGATGTGCACGCATGTATATACATACACTGACACACAGCGATGTGCATGTGCTAATACTGTTGTTGTGTGACCATCCGAATTCAATCATGCATGTGTGTTACATTTTACTGAAAAAAGTAAAATATATACATAGACGAATATGAAAATATTAATGGTGCTTCTGGGTTCTTGGCACGCACAATGCTCATCTGATACATACACAGATATGATATAACTGAATGTCGAATTGTGCAAAGTAATTTAGCTGGAAACTATTAGGGTTAATAATAAGAATTAATATCTATGGATTTATGAGGGCAACAATACCTAACATTTTGACTAAAAAAAGGTTTTGATGACCAAACAAATGAATGTGTGCAACTTTCAACTTCTCAAAGACATGACCTCTCTCCCTAGTCAGTAGTCTGTTTCTTGTTTCCTCACAGAATCAAATGATGTCATACGAAAATTCTGTTCCCTTGTGAGTTAAGCACATTCATTGCCTATCCAAAAACCAAGTCAAATTGACAAAGTCATATATAAAGTTATAAACTGACACTGTCGCTTAAAATTTGTATCAAAACTAGAAGTTACGTTATCGTGTGTAATTTTCAATAAAAATATTTGAATTTAAAAGACACACCTAATTTTCATACACCATTTCGATAGTTTGCTTTCTAAAAAGGCATTTGACTATTATCTTCACGTTTTAAGCGTTTCAAAAGAGATTTGCAAGTGTAAAACCCTTTCTTGTCAAGTGTAAAAGCTTTTCTTTCAAAAAGAATTTCGAGTTTTTTGCTTCTATATTTTTTGGCCGGCTTTTGCGTCTATTATATTAGCAGAAAATATGTGATTGTATATACCTTCGTATATATTTAAAATAGATAAAAGACGAAGAAATTTCCTTTGTCGATCAAACAATCCGTTCAGTCTAGAGTACTTCACAACTACACAAACGGTATTTTGTTAACTTCCGTATATTCACTTGTATATGGACAACTGGAATAAGTGTAAATGACGTTTTCAAAGAAGAATATTACAAAACTAGTCTCTGAAAGACAAGTCATTTGAATGTTCCAAACATTCTCTTCAAACCGCAAAATGACAAACATAATTAGTATGCAATTATTCGCCTTTAAATTAATATTTATAAATCAAGTGTACCCATTAATGAATAGATACTAAACACCATAAATTTTATCCAAAATGAAGAATCTTAGTGTTTCAATACATACTGCCAAAGTGCCAATATATAAAATCGTGGCTATGTTCAAATATATCGAGAATCTTACTTTCTTAAGAAAATCTTATTATATGTTTGTATTTATAAAAATGTATTTGAAAGTTTCAATGTACACTTTCTTATCAAAACTTCAAAATATGTACTCTAACGATGACCAAATTTTAAGACGCGCGTGGAAAAATTCTTATTCTAGTGGATATATATATATATATATATATATATATATATATATTTCAGTATTTCATATTATAATTTATCGTGTTTTAGGGGAAAAGGGACATAGGGATGAAAATCATGCACGTAAGCCACTTGCACTAGTTCAATGTAGAATGTGTCATAGAAGATAATTATTATATTAGTTATTTAAAAGCTAACAACTTCTTTGTCATGCAAATTTAACGACTTACAAAAATTGTTCAAATGAATTAACTTAACCGTTTAACTTATGAAACAAATTTTTTATAAAGCATAAAAAACACACAAAAGAACATCTTCTTTTAGTTTCTAGTTCTAAAAAAATATTTATCTATTCATATTATTCATGGAGTTCCAACATGGTTCGGATCTTTTATATAATACTATTATATTCTTGGACCAATATAAAGCAATAAAGAAGGAAAAAAAGAGAATAATAATGGAGAAGAAGAGATCAAGGAACAAAAAATCAAGAATATAAGAACCAAAACTATTAGTTATAAAACTAATGAGGATTAGATAAAATACTGTTAGTAATAGAAAATTAATTGTACATTCTGTCAAACCTCCTCGACCAAAAAAAAGCTATACAAAACCTTGATTGGCTTGGCTTGACGACATATATATAGCTCCAAGACAAACAAAAATGATATTTATTTATGTTACTTATAATAATAAGAACTTCTTGCAACATAGTTGATCTTTATTCAATAACAATCCACCCGATGCCGACACTCACTAGTCACTAGCCTGTTAATAATTCCTTGTCCAAAGTTCTCCTTTCAAAAAATGGTAATCAGTGTCCGTCTCATAAAAGAAAAAGTATCTGTTTATGCATAATATAATGATTTTTTTTTGCCGTTGTGGAAACGGAACAATGGAATTGTTTCAGTCTTTGGCGATTTCTTGTCATCAGCTTATGGCAAAAAGAAGATAATATCATCTTGGGAAAACTTCGGTTTACAAAGAAGATAATATCTTCCTGGATGGCACAATTCAACCATCTACGAAATTTGGGCCTGAGAGAGAATCAACAGAATCCATTCACCGGTTATGCATTTTACAACTCATATCTAAGAAATGGCCCAATGTTATTTGTTTATGACACTGATATTTATACATGAACTATATATGTACGAGTAATACGCGTTATTGCACCGCATGTGGAAATAGGGAAATTTGGCAAAATACTCCAGAAAAAGAGAAGAGTTGTCCATCTACTCTTTTTTTGCCAAATCTTGTCCACTTACCCTTAATTAAATTTTAAATCCAATTTTAACCCTCAAATTACGTTTTCATGATTTTTTCAAATAAATAAATAATTAATAAATGAAATTAAATGATTAGTGTAATAAACAAATAAATAATTAATTATTTAAGAAAAGAAAAATATATTTCAAAGCAAGTAATCTAGTTCCTTTTGCCTCACCAACAACGAAATTCCACCATTTGATTGCACTCAGTCTCCATATGTTATATAGATATGCAACAGAATAACCTGAGAAAAATAGATTAAAACAAATAATCTAAAAGAAAATTATATAAATGATAAGAAAAAGCAAAAAAGAAGAAGAAGAACGTGATGAGAATTCTTTTTTTTCTTCTGGCAAAGTAGATTAAGGAAATATAGTTTTTGAAGATATTTTCTAATATTTAGTTACCATTTTTACTATATTTTTTAGATTCTCGTAGAAGTTGAATTCTATCATTTCGTAGAAAAATGTGTTTAATGTAGATTATAGTTTCTACAAACAGTAGAAGACATTGTTTTCAGGAGAACACAAAGTCTACAAATAGTAGAAGATAGTATTTTGTGTAGAACACGAATTCTCCAAATAGTGGAAGAAATTGTTTATGATAGAATATAGATTCTAGAGATGGTAGAAAACAATGTGTAGGTTAGAATATAGGTTCTACCAACGGTAGAAAACCGTATACAACGTAGAACAAATGTTCTACAACTCTACCAACTCGTAGAGTATAGAGTATTTAGTAGAAAGCAAATTCTACGATGGTAGATGGCTGAACAGTTGGTAGATTTTATGTTCTACGAGGGATAGATGTGAGAGTCTCTAGTAGAAGACAAATTCTACTTTGAATAATGAATTTGGTAGATGCAAATTTTATTTATTTTTCTGAGGTTCAAATTTCAAAAACAAATTGTGAAAATATTCTCTAAACCTTAGAATCATTTTACTTAATTTATTTAATTTTTTAAAACTTTTAAATATATTTATATCATATTTCTAGCATATGTAAGGGTATTAGAGTCCAGATTTGATAAATTTCAAAAAAAGTGTGGGGGTATATTCACAAATTTCCCGTGGAAATAAGTTATGGCCTGAGCTAGTTTAAACCCACGTGACTACATTCTTTGTTCAAATTTGACGTGTTATAGTGTGTTTTTGTTTTTTTGCTTTTTCAATCTCTTTTTGGTATCAAATATAAAATTCACATTTAAGTATGTTCATAAGAATTTATTTTATCTTGGACAAATGTCAATCGATGACGGGAAATTCCTAATTAAAACTTACGTGAATCTACGATTCCGCTCTATCATTTATGAAAACAACCGACCAGATTGCTTTCTGTAATAGATATTTGTGATCTAAATCATATGGAGACCAGTTCACAAATCTCAAAATTTTATAATTTCTTGAGTCTGACCATATATATAATATGGTCGATGATACAGTCATACAGACGACAAGTTCTGGATGGGTCGCATGCAGCTAATTAAGAATAGCATTGGCCGCCAAATTCTCAAATCATACGAATACCAACCAAAATTCTCAAAATCATTTAACGTGCTATATAACGTTTTTTATTTAGAAAAATACCTTATGTTGTTCAACCCAGCGACCAAAACAATGCCCTTCACATGTAAGTATGTAATGATTATTTGTCGTTACGGCTAATTTATCCGCGCTTCTTACGAAAAAGGAACAAAATCGTCATCTTAGATAGTTAGATATGTTGTTAAAATTCGACCCCCCAAAAAAATTGTCATATCATCGACGAGTGATATTTTATCGGATTTAGTTAGTATGAATACGACTATTTCATTCATAATGGAACCAACGAAGCACATGGAATGTTTTAAATTATTTATTTCGAGGATATTAACGATATCATATGTCTACTGATATGTTAGAATATGATATAATTAATAATTTCTCGATTCATAATTTTTTGGGGGATTTCAGATTCATTACTTACTATCAATGAAAAGTTCACAAAAATATTTATTTGGTCGATCTATAAATGTAACATAAAGGACGTATGTAAAATTTTAGGATAAGTTTTCATGTTTTTTTTTTTTTTTTTTGGAACAACTATGTAAGTTTTCATGTAAAAAAATAAAATTGTATGCATATTCTTTCATGATTTCAAATAATTTACTTGATACTGGTGCTCAACTGGACCCTTAAACTAAAAGTATCACTTTCTCCCATTCGTTCCGTTGACTAATTGCGGCATTGCAATCTAGTTAGAAACTGTTAGATGCTTAACCAACGGCAATTAACAGTTATTGGAGTCAAACAAAAATGTAGCTGTCGTCTGTAGATACGTGAAAAACATACAAACTTACAAGATTTAATGAATGTTGACAAAATTTGTGTGTGTACACATGGTTAATATATGTATTATTCTTGTATTGTATACTGCAAAAGATGTCAAACTTTATGAAAATATGAGATATAAAAATTTTACGAATGTACTTTATGTTACATTTCATAGATGCACATACAAACAGCTTTCATTGACATTACAAGGGGTGTACATATAAATAGCCATTGCAAACCAAATTTGGATTCAGTGCACTTAATTTAAGTGAGACTGTCCAAACAAAAAGAATTGCAACAAAATCTCAGCGAAACATATAAATATATATGGGATAAATGAATGAAATAAAGTAGTAAAAAAAAAAAAAGAATATAGTGATATAAATACTTTGGAAAATGTATTTTCCAAAATATTAAAAAATAATTATTATATATATAAAATAAATGAAAAAGGGAAGATTTTCTTTGCCTTGAACTTGGGACGACGATGAATTAGTTTCATCGTTCATCAGGTACACGGTCGGTCCATGAAACCCGGAAAACCCAGTTAGAGACAGTCCTCTTCCTCAAACTCTTGATCCTTTCATGGCTACTCTTTGAAATCGATCTTCTACTATCTGTTGACTCTACGTATTCTTTGACCCTCTTCATCGCCAAAGCGAGTGTCTCTTCACTCATGTTGGCGAAACAAACCCTAAACCAACCCGGTTCAGTACAATGGCACGATGAACCGGGTGAAATATTCAGCTTCACTTCGTATACAATCTTCTTCCATAGCTCAAGCTCTGCTTCGAATGTGTTCGTGTCCAAGAGATGCCTCATGTCGACCCAACAAAACAAACCAGCGTTGCTTTTGAGACAAGTAACCCCTGCAGCTTCAAGACCGGACACGAGTTGCTTCTGACGAATCTTGAGTCTTTTCTGGTTTTCTTCAAGGTACGTACTTGTGAACTTCTTGTCGGAAAGCAATGCTGAGAGAAGATACTGTGTTTGGGAAGAAACGAGGCCGAAACTCGACATTTTGGTAGCAGCGGAAACAACCATTTCGTCGTTGGAGTAGATAGCTCCAACGCGGAAACCCGGTAAACCGAGATCTTTGGAAAGACTATAAACGACATGAACTCGTTTGGAGACTTCGCTGTTCTCGAGTTTCTTGTCTTTCAAGACATCCATGACGCTAACGAACTGTTCATACCCAAAAACAGTACCTGAATAGATCTCGTCGCTTATGAGATGAATGTCTTTGGAAGTAATGAAGTCAACGAGAAGGTTAAGCTCTCTTCTTGTCAACATTGTGCCAAGTGGGTTAGACGGGTTTGTAACAAGAACTCCTTTGACCTTAAGATCAAGCTTCTGAGCTTGTTGGTAAGCCTGTTGAAGAGCTGACTCTGTTATTTGGAACCCATTAGAGCTCATGCAATGAATCGGTACAATCTCTGCTCCCGTTCTCCATTTCAAATCCCTATCGAATCTGTACGCATAATTGAATCAAATACTGTCAGCCTTGGGATACAAGTAAACTACATACACCAAACCTATCTAATTAGGGTATATAAATTTACCCTGGATAGTAAGGAGTGGGTAAGAGGAAAGCGTCACCGGGTTCGGCGAGACAAAACATGAGAGTTTCGTTGGCAGAGGTTGAACCAGCAGCTAGAACAATCTTGCTTGGATGAAATGTTACTCTATTTCCTCTTATTTCTTCCATAAACTCTGTCAAAGCCTATGAAAAGAACCCTATTAAGTTACTTGCGTCTTAAGTTAAAATATCTTTTTTTTGTTTGGAAATGTGAAGAAGAAAAATGTAACTACTTACTTTCTTAAATTCGGGTAAGCCATGATAGTCTTGGAAGAGAGCAAGCTCTTTGAAAATGGATTGGCCGTCCTTCTTTAGTCCTACCGCGTCCGGATTCTTAGCTAACCATGTCTCAATGAGATCAAAACATAGCTGCATTTATAACAAAAAAGTCAAATTACGTATCAAAAAGAAATAGAATAAAGATTTGTAGATTGGTCGAAAACTCGAAGTTAAATAGCTACCTGATTTTCGGCAAGACCCATTTGAATAATCCCATTAGGGTTCTTGTTTTCGTCGTAAGCGTTCTTCTCGTATTCTTCCCATCCCAAGAAGTAGGAAGAGTCTTGTCCATGAGCATTGCTTGTCACTTTTGTCGACAGTTGTTTCATTTTATTATATAATAAAAGGGAATTTTCGGTTTAGTGAGAGAGATGTTGAATAAGAGTTTTTGTTTTTTTGATTTTTGTTGAATAATGGAATGAGATGTGGAATGAGGATGCTTGATGTATGTGGGAGGTATTTATCTATATATACATTTGAAAAATGTATAGTTAGATTGGTTTGTCATGTGCGAGACAGAGGGAGACAACTTCCGTTTTTTACTTACGTCACTAATAATTTAGTTTAGAATTAATATGTTATAATCAAATCGTTTCTTGAAATGAACTGAGCTATTAATAATTAAAATATAGGTACAGCTAAAATATGTTAAGTACACATGGATTTTTTTTTTTTTTAATTTTAAAGAAAAAAATTAAGTAAACATAAATTACATATGACACGACATATGAATATCAAGACTTTGAATTTCTCTCTGTATTCACAAAATGAAATTATTCGTATCCGTTAATAATTGTTGAAACAGATATCAATAATAAGATCGAGTCGGATATGTTGAGGCTACCCGACAACAAATATTATCAGAAAAGGAATTTGCTCAACACATTTAGTGAGAGAGTACTCATCAAAATAAATAACAAAACAATTAGATAATCAGGTGAAAGATATTGAAATCAAATATGTATTGCCAAACCATTGGATATTCCAGATTTTTAGGGGTCGTTGTTCGTTTCTAAGTTTGACTTGTCAAATAACTGAGCAGAGAGAAACAAACCAATTTAAAGAAAACAAAAGTTGTTAATATTACGAGATCTTACACATCTCTACAACTATATACTACAAACACTAGCTCGCAACACTTTATATTATCAAACAAAATTAAAACTGGATAATAATATTATCGGATTTTATTTAGGGTTTTGGGATTGTAGCATCTTCTATACAGACGAAACTATTTGATTCTCCAATTATTTGTTCTTGTTAGCTTAACAAAATTAGAATTTAAAACATGGTCTGGTAAGTGGTAACCATTCTGGAGGATTAGATAACTGCTTAGATGTATCCTTTGTTGTCCAAAGTCTATATCTAATTTCAAAGATGTTTAAAACAAAATGGCCCAGCAATAGGCACTACGTAGTTTTGGGTCTAGACTTGTGAATGTTTGATAGCAAGGCGTTACAGTTAATTTTTGAATCCCTGGAGCTCATTCTCAGTGTATTATGAACTACTTAACCCTTTCTCTTTTCCTTTCTCTAATAGGTTATATAAAGATAGAAGAAGTGCTCATAATTGCAAACTATGGAATGACTCTTGCAAGTTATATATCCAACTGTAGAAAGAAGCTTTCATGATAAATGCAAAACTTTATAAAGGTGTAACAAAAAGGTTGGATCTAATTCTCAAAATATAACATTGCATTAAAAAATTTGCTTATTTTAGTGTCTTAAAGTACTTTACACATTAGGTTTTTCCAGGGAAAATGGCATAAAAATCCATTAAAGTGGCAACCACTCTAGGGGTTTAAAGTGTAAGTGGTTGCCAATCTGATGGTTCTTCATTTACCAATTTTGCCACATCAAACAAACATTTGAAAGTACAAAAATCAAAATGCTTCATTCCCATCATGATTACCAAAGTATGTGCACAACGACGATGACACCATAAGCAAATCCGTCGAGTGTTAGCATCGTTACGAGTAATTTCAACTTCAAGATCACCATCAGGTGTTTCCATGATGATCTGCTGAGGCTTTATGTAGGCAGCGTCGAGTAAACAACTTACATGGAGAGTGATCCTACAATGGCCACATTTATAGAACCATATCTTTGGATCCACTTTTGTTTCACATACCTCACACCAATATAGACCACCTGTATCTTCTTCTCCGTAACAAAGGGTGAGGGGATGCCTGTCATGTTTGTAGTGTGCCACACAAGGTAAAGTGGCACATTGCATACCCAAACAGGTTTTGCATATAATACATTCCAGATAAAACATTGAACACGTCTCACCACACCCCATGCAAGAATCTAACGTCAAGTTGAAGAAGAGCTCATGTGGATGACAGGCATGGATAAAAGGATCAGGAATGGAAGCGCACCTGACATCTATCTGAAACTCACAACCTCTTACACCGCATACGTACTGGAACCCACAACTAAACCGATAACAGCAATTACAAATGAGTATGCCTTTGAAAGACGTGTCAGCAAGTCTCATACCAAACTCAGTGATAGAGAATGGGTTGAGGGTAAGCGGGTGTTTATGAACTGGGTGGTGTTTTATGCGAGGAAGAGATGCACATTCTTCATCAAGGACAAATTCGCACTCCATACACCCATAGAATCTTTGAGATACTACTATTGGAAGGGTGCATGCTTCACAGAACTTGTCCTTCTCGCAAATGCTTTTCTTTTCATGGAGTCTTAGATAATGTTGTTGATGGCTGAAATGTTGGATTGTCTCCGAATCAATCCTCACAAATGGCTCGACAACTTCTTCCACCTCTTCAGGCACATCTTCGAGATCTATACCATCCCACACATCCTCCCTCGTGGCACATTTTGAGTGGACAGCATAATGACATCCTTTGTTGCAAGGGTATGCCCCATAGTTTACGTCGATGGCCTTGCGACAAACTCCGCAAGTGTATTCTCCTGGAGGAAGGGAGGAAGTGAAGGAGAGACGGTGTTGATGGCGGGTGATCTTAATGACACGAGGTAGATAGATACATTTTCTATGGATCATGTGGCTGCAAGGGAGACAAGAGTAGACGTGGTCTTCTGTGTCGTCTAGAGGCAAACCACAAGCATCGCATGGCAACGGGAGTCGTATAGGGAAAAGTGTGAGGGCGTGCTCGTGGCTTTTAATGTGTGAGATAGTGGGAGGTGTTGGTGTCATAGTGCAAGACAGATTAAGACTGAACTTGCAGATAAAACAATGATAATATCTGTTGTCTAAACGTTTCCGACAACATTTGCATGTACGGTTTTTTCTGTCTGGTGGAGAATCAGCAGCTTCGTAGTCGTCTTCATCACCGTAAAAAGCAATATAGTCAGCTTCATCCATATCGTCGTCATATAAGTTGTCCTCGTCAGCATCATCATCATCTTCGTGTATCGATTCTCCTGAGGAGGAGGAGTCCAGGTCTGGGCTCATGGCCATAAGGAGCATGAGCAACTTATAGCTGTTAGGTCTAGGATGTAAGAAAGTGAGGGTGAGAGGGTGAAATGGGTGAAAAGGGTGTCTTATCTCTGGCGGAATCTTGTGACAACCTCTGTGGAATTCCAAATTGCAAGTAGCACAGTAGTAATAGTACGGACTGGCTTTGAAAACTTTCTTGCCTTTGCATGAAAAGCAATTAGAAATTGGAGGACTGGATCGGCGCCGTCGGCAAAGATTGTGCCGCTGAGCCGGGTCAGACAAGAGACAAATGGGTGTAGATCTAGAAAAATACGGAGGTGGTTCCATATTGGTTTCTTTGAAAATGAAGGACGAGAAGATAATGAAAGACAATATAAACAAAAGGATTCAACTCATATACTTATCTTTCTTTGGCTCCCAAGTTGTGTCCATTTATTATCTCTGTCGAGAGTTACACCAATACGATTGTAAAGTCAACTACTCAACTGTTTTGTTTTTGGTTTCTTTTTGTCCTCACTTAATCCAGCTGTAGTTAAAGACAAAACTAATCCCCACCTTCCAGCCATAAACAAAACACCTTTTGTACTTTATTTGCAGCACACGTAACTCAAGAAACTGTAAACATATTATTTCAATATTTTCCGGTCGTAATATAATGAATATAACCAACTCATGATAATGAACAAAGCTAACTCATGAGTAATTAATAAATTAGAGCCTACTGCCCTGCATGAATTTTCGAAAAGAAGTGTTCCGATTCTTCAATAGAAAATGAAAAACAAAAACTAATTCAGTATTTTGCAGTCAACTTATAATGAACGATGAATAAAGCAAACTAACGAATGATTTTTTTTTTTTTTTTTTTGTTGTATATAGTACATAGAGAGACAACTACTATTCAAGTCTTTAATTACGATATAGTCTTTCTTAACTTATAGTAATGAACAAGAACAACTTCATAATGAACACAGCCAACTAATGTATACAATACATAGAGGCGAGCCAACTACTTTTCAAGTCTTTAATTAATAATTACGATATAGTCGTTGTTAGCTCAATACCATATGGTAGCCACGTCTAAGACCAATATTTTTTGGAAGAACTGAAAAATACGAAGAAGACAGTTTCACTATATGCTTATGAATCTTAAAATAAATGAAAACTAGAATTCATGCTTCAAGCGGGTTAGAAACTTAGAAATATAACTAGGAGATAAACCTAAGCCTATATTAAAGAAAGTGTACATTAGTATAGGTTTGGTAACAGAATTGTTGTAACATATCATATTCTATACTAAATCTTAGGGCCTGACTGGTTTAACCGCTGCGGTTGCGGTTGCGGGTGCGGGAGTTTGCGGAAGCGGGCGGTTGTGATTAGTAGCGTTATTAAGCGGTTTGTACGACTGGCATAACAATTGAAAATGGATGCGTTTGCGGGATACTTATGACTGGTTCACTTGCGGATGCAATAGCGGTTAAACAATAAATTAATAATATAAACACATTATATAATTATAAAAATATCAAAACTATATTATAATGAAAATTTTAAATTTATGGTTCAACATAATTAAAAATAATTTTTTTATAAAGAATAATATGTGTATAATACTTACGTCTATCTTTTAATTTCTATAATTTAAATAAAAATGTGATTTTATTTTCAAAATATATATTTAATGTGAAAATTAAATTTATATTACAATTTTATTTATTAGATATATATGTATTAGTATGAAAAGAATATTTATCAAGAGAATTTTGATTTGTAGAACTTATAAATATATAAGTATATATGATTTTAATGAATATTGACTAAAAGTACTAATTTTTTATTTATATTGTGATTTTATTATCCAAATCTTATTTTTTAATAAATATTATTATTTATTTTCGGATTTTATATAAGTTTGTGTTTTTTTTTTTTTTTAATTATCCACCCGCAACCGCAAACGCTGCTGGGAAGGAGCTTTTGATTTTGAGGGATGTTGAGGGATCTTGAGCGGTTTAAAGCGGTATAAAGCGTTTGTGGTGATTGTTGTCAAACGCCAATAACCGCTACTACCGCAAACGCTGCGTTTGCGGGTAGCAGCGGGTGAACCAACCAGATCCTTTTCCTATGACTATATAAACTATTGGGCCGGGCCTCTTTAGCAGACATATTGTATGTGTCAAACAATCCGTGGCTTCTCCTCCCAACCCAAAGCCAATAAAATGGTCTCTGATCATCATAGCGAATAAACAATTACGTTAAGGTTTGGATACAACAACTGAATATAGACAAAGCTTGATGATACTTAATTACAATTTACATAGAGAGACAACTACTATTCAAGTCTTTAATTACGATATAGTCTTTCTTAACTTATAGTAATGAGCAAAAACAACTTCATAATGAACATAACCAACTAATGTATACAATACATAGAGCCAACTACTTTTCAAGTCTTTTATTGCGATATAGTCTTTCTTAACTCAATTACCATATGGTATCCACGTCTAATTAAGACCAATATTTTTTGGAAGAACTGAAAAATAATGAAGAAGACAGTTTCACTATATGCTTATGAATCTTAACTAGAATTCATGCTTAAAGCGGGTCAAAAACTTAGTAACTAGGAGATAACCTAGCCTATCTTAAAGAAATCATTAGTAGGTTTGGACCGTTTGGTAACAGAATTGGTGCAACATACTTTCATATTCTATACTAAGAGGCCCCAAATCCTTTTCCTATGGGTATATAAATTATTGGGCCGGGCCTCTTTAGAAGACATATTGTATGTGTCAAACAATCCTTGGCTTCTCCTGCCAATCATATGCTAAAGCCAATCAAATGGTCTCTGATCTATCATACTGAATAATTTACGTTAAGGTTTGGATACAACGGGGGCAACTGATTATGGACAAAGCTTGATGATACTTAGAGCACCCACAACGGTGAGTTTTAGTGGGTTTCTTTAGCACAAAAAATAAAAAAACAAATCAAAAGAAATGCACATGTGGCAAGCTCAAGCTCCAGAGACGTCTCTCCCGGAAGCGAACCAAGAGACGTTTCTACTCGCCACGCGTCAGACGCAGAACGCTCCAAAAAAAAATCAGTGTTTTGTAATTAACTTTTTTTTTTTGCTTTTCTTTGACATTTTTTTCTCCGTTTCTTCTCCGATTGAACTTCTGCTCCAAATCCTTCCTCTTCATCTCCGATTCGTCGTCTCTTGTTATAGTCTCATGCTCGATTTGCCTCAAATTGGTGTTTGGCGACGGTACCAGATCCACAACTCAGCTCTAATGTGGTCACCAGTTCCATTTGGGTATTTCAATCAAACTTTCCTTCACTTGATTGTTTTCGCTCTTTGATAACTCAGTTGAGTTTTTTGTTTTCTGGGTAATTTAAATTAGTGTTCTTTTTGGATTTTCGTACTTGTGTGCTGTTTCTCTCTCTCTTAAGCTTCTTCGGTCTTGCTCTTGTGGGGATTTTGTCGATTTCAAAATCAGAATTAAGTACAAGAGACTGGTAAATCTAGTTGCTTTCCTTCTATCGTACAAACTAATCGCTGGATTATTAAAGATTTAATTGTAAAGTTTTTGATTTGGGAATCAATTTTGCTCTGTGATGGTTAGATAGCAGAACTCAGCTGTAGAAATCCTAATTCAATTGTTTTTTTTGCACACTCGTATTGATAAGAAACATGTTTTGTGTGCAGAAAACAATGAGTAGCTTAGTTGAGAAGCTTCGAATACGATCAGATAGGAAACCAGTTTATATTTTGGATGATTCTGATGATGATGATATTTTCCTTTGTAGCTGCCGATATTTTCCTGTGGAAGAACAAGAAGGTATCTGCTGCTGGAGTATTTAGACTGCCACTTCTCAGAGCATTTCCTCACATACCGGAAGTACACACGGATTGAAGCTCCCTGATGATCTTGTTCTTCAACTGGCCTTTGGACCAAGATTGAAGCTAACCGTGCCTTAACCGTTCTTAGAAGTTGCATTAGGAAAAGATATTAGGAAAAGATCTCAAGAAATTTTGTCTTGGTATGTTCCTTGTTATCTAACTCAATGCAAAACATTGTTGTTTGGAGAAGTATGTCCCTCGTAAAACACTAACTCGTGCTTGCTGGTGGATCATTGACCAATTCACGCTGCCAAATTATTAGTTTAAAATAGTTTTTATGGATTGGTGGTGTTCATGATTTTCTCATCTTGCTTGTTTTGGATTGAATCAGGCGACACAAACGGAGATGGAGTATAGTGTGGAACTCTTTAACAAGTACTAAATCAAAGACCCATTTTTTTTTTTAACTTTCTTTTCGTTTCGACATTTTTGTATAAGAGATTAAAAGAGATTTATATTTCGATTGCCTCTATTGATTTCTAAAAAATATTGAAAACAAAAAATTGTTTTTAAAGAAACTCATATGGAACTCTCCATTGTTGTAGCATAGTTTTCAAATTTCTTATCAAATCTCTTCAATTACAATATTAATTTTTTTAATATATTATAAGTTTAAAGAAACCCATATGGGTATGACCATTGTATGTGCTCTTATGTTACACTTGCTCAGTTCTCTGAAATTCCACGAAAGTGTGGATTTTTTGCGAGAACATAAACTCTTCCTGTTGAACAAACTTCTCGAAATTAGTATTGGAAGAAGCTCAGATATTTGTTGTTTAGGTACAGTTGAACAAAAATTAAAATGAAATAGTAATACAAACCAGCTTAGCCATTATTTAGCCTCTCACAACAAATCAAAGTAGTTAGTGTTAAAACAGTTTTTTAAGAAGCATAGAAAGTTGGAAGATTTATCCAAAATGGTTACTTTATACAAATAAGATTTGTTTGTGAATCATCAGAGTCGAATCAGAGAGTCAGAGAGATGTTGTGTAGCTTCTTATCCATTTCCAGATTCCTCTCCAGGAAGACGACGACATCTTCTTCTTCTTCTTCTCTCCTCTCCCGCAATTTCCGATTCCTCGTCTCCTCCGATTCTCTCCCTCGCGTCCCGCTTCTTCGCCCCTCTTCTCCCAACACCCTAACCCCTCCCTTCTCCCGCCGTATTTGGGACTCCAGCGGCGGCGGCGGCGGTGGCGGCGGAGACGATTACGACCACATCAGAAGCGACGTCAATTGCCCTGTTTGCTCCGCCCAGATCCTCGTCGTCTTCTCCAATCGCCCACTCTCACTCACCGCCAGAGAGCCAGGGATCTACCAGGCCGTTAATTTCTGCCCCCATTGCAAAACAGCTTTCTACTTCCGCCCGTTCAAGCTCGCTCCGCTTCAAGGAAGCTTTATCGAGCTCGGCAAGGTCAAAGACGGTGACCATCACGACGATAATGATGATGATGACGAAACTCGCCAGAGATCTTTCCCTAAGAATTGGAAAATTCAGGGTCTTAGAAACGAAGAAGAAGACGATAATGAGGAGGCAGCAGAGGAGGAAGTAAGTAATGGCGGTGATGATAAAGAGAAGCAGCCAGTGATGAAGCTTCCTACACCAAAGGAAATCTGTCAGGGGCTTGACGAGTTTGTCATTGGTCAGGAAAAGGCAAAGAAGGTCCGCTACTCTCCTAAGCTTCCTATTCCTACTTCCCAACTAGTTTCTTGTTTTCCATTTACAGATTAACAGATATCTTTTGATTGTGTAGGTGCTCGCTGTGGCTGTTTACAATCATTACAAAAGAATCTATCATGCTTCTCGGAGGAAAGGGTATGTCTTTTACTCTTCTTCTTCCATGCCATTTTCATTCATACACAATAGGAAGTTTACTCTTTTACTGTTTTTGAATTCCAGGTCGGGTTCAGCATCAGATATGGAGGATGATAGCATTGATCATGTGGAGTTGGATAAGAGCAATGTGTTGTTGCTTGGCCCTACTGGTTCAGGTCTGTGTGCTTTAGCTGTTCTTTGAAATTATTAAGAGCTAGTATTGTTTAGTATGCTTAACATTTCCTTCTTTTTTGTTTCTTGCTTTGGTTATAAGAACAGGAAAGACCTTATTGGCAAAGACTTTAGCGCGTCTTGTCAATGTGCCATTCACCATTGCTGATGCCACTTCTCTAACTCAGGCAAGCTGTTAAAGTTTGTGTAATTGACAATGATAAATAGTTACTCAGAATTGAATGTTAATGAAGTGATATTTTTCTGGCTTTCTTAATGAATCCTTACACAAGTTTTTTCTCTTAAGAGTAACCAAACTACTATTCTTGTCCAGGCAGGTTATGTTGGTGAAGATGTGGAGTCAATTTTGTACAAGTTATATGTGGTATGACTTCTATCACCTCATATTATGTCTCTGGTTTTAGCATACCTTTATAGTTTATACCATCTTTTGGAATAACTTCTAAAAAACTGCTTAGTTGATAGTATTTGGCAGATTACTTCAGAAACTACAAATGTTCCTTTTCTTGTCTTTCGTATTGATACAAAATAGTTCACAACAGTTCAGAAACTTTGTATTTAACACTTTCGTCTTGTTCTGCTATTTTTTTAATCCGGAAAACCTTGTTGCACATGATTGTTGTTTGTAGTACTCATGTTTCTAAAATTTCTCATAGATACCAATAAGAGCTGGATGTTTTGTTACTGCAGGAAGCTGGTTGCAATGTAGAAGAAGCTCAAAGGGGTATTGTGTACATTGATGAAGTTGATAAGATGAGTATGAAGGTATTCGTTTCCTTCACTCCTTACCTTGATCCTGAATTGATTAATACACAATACTTAGAAATATATTTTGCTCTTTCAGTCTCATAGCTCAAATGGAGGTAGAGATGTCTCTGGAGAAGGTGTCCAACAGTCATTGCTAAAATTGCTGGAAGGAACTGTAAGCTTTTCTACTTCAAAAGCTTTTATTTTTCACAACTTCGTATAGATGTGAACTGTTGACAGAAACAATTAGGAATTCCTTGTTCGCCTTCTTATTGATACAGATTGGATCATGTTTTGCATTTAGTGTGAGAATCTCAGGATAACATTTGCCATTCTAGGTTATCCAAAAACTGAAATTTCCAGCTTCTGTTGAATATTGAATGTGCAGGTGGTCACTGTCCCGATTCCGGAGAAAGGATTACGGAGAGACCCTCGAGGAGATAGCATTCAGGTAGCGTGGAATATCTCCTGCTTTAAGTTCTGCTGTTTTTTCCGAGAATATCAGAAAGCACTTTGGTGACAAGTCAATCAAAATACTCCATCTCGTGATAAAAAAAAAGGTTGAATCTTTTGGCCAAAAATCAATATGCAGATGGATACAAAAGACATCCTATTTATTTGTGGTGGAGCATTTATCGATCTGGAGAAAACTGTTTCCGAAAGGTAACTAGTCTTATAGATTCGGCAAAGTCTTTAATCTTATCCTATTCTCTGTGTACTACAGGGATTGAATGACATATTTATATATATCTCTTAACCAGGCAACACGATGCATCTATTGGTTTTGGTGCTTCCGTTCGCACAAACATGAGTACTTCTGGATTTAGTAGTGCTGCAGTAACATCCTCCTTGTTGGAATCTGTAAGGAATACATTCTTTCATGCTCATTAAAATGTATTCTAGTCTTCCTCTGTATACTTTACTGTCAGATTTTTGCAACTTAGATTAATTGTTGATCACTTAAATATTTTACTCAACTTTGTAGTTACAAAGTGAAGATCTTGTTGCGTATGGTCTCATTCCTGAGTTCGTTGGAAGGTTACCCATCTTAGTGAGCTTATCTGCATTAAACGAAGACCAGCTTGTACAGGTACGAGATTGTTTCATGGAGTTTCCTTTAGATCTCTTTATTTCAGAGAGATTTTTTTCTTTTACGAGTTCTAATTTTGCTCTCATCTCTTATGTAGGTTCTCACAGAGCCTAAGAGTGCATTGGGAAAACAGTACAAGAAGTTGTTTCGTATGAACAATGTAACTCATCTCACCACTACAAATTACTTACATGTGCCTCGTAGGCTCTGCTATAACCCTCTTTGCCGTCCGGATAATGTGTCATAGGTTCAACTGCATTTCACTGAAGGAGCAACGAGGCTAATAGCGAGGAAGGCCATGTCAAAGAACACTGGTGCACGTGGCTTACGGTCTATCCTCGAAAGTATTCTCACCGAAGCAATGTTCGAGGTATGAGGAACGCACCCTATATAGTCCTTGTCCTTGATAATGATACTTAAAACATAGATGTAGGGAGAAATCTATAATACTTATTTTACCAAAAAAAAAATCTATCATACTACATACATGGCGTTTTGTGGTTATTAAATGCTAAAATTTGAATCCTAAACAGGTGCCTGATAGCATAACAGAAGGATCGCAAGGTATAAAGGCGGTTCTGGTGGATGAAGAAGCTGTTGGTTCAGTAGGAACAGCAGGATGTGGTGCCAAAATTCTTAAAGGAGATGATGTGATGCAACAATTTCTCCAAGAAACAGAATCAAAGGTAAATTTTAGTGTAGCTGCAACATTTGCTTAAGTTCACACACCTTTATGAGAGTATAGTTTCTGCGAAAGCTTAACAAGGCGTTTGATGTTGCAGGAGAAAAGGAAAGAGGATGAAGTTAAAAGAGCTCAGAGAATATTGTAGCCGAACATTTGTTATGAGAGGTGTGACTTGTGTGTTATATATATAGAGAGAGGACATGAAATGAAAGCTTACTAGTTTCAGTTTTTAGATTGTTAGCAAAGAAATAAAGATCAACGATATTACTCAATCCAACAAACCCAATTCTATCTAGTAATTATGAGAACATATATATGAATATCAGGACATCATCTTTAGGCAAACCTGATATTCATATTCGAAATCTTATTTATCTTAAAATCCTATTTTGATCGGATCAAAATGATTTCTATTTTCTATATAGAATTAAGAATGTAGGATTCGATTTTTTTCTATTTATTTGTTTATATTTATATATATGTAATAATATATAGATACTATCATTATTCCTATTCTTAAAATTAAAGTTGACATACAAGCACTCAATTTGATCTATTTCTTGATTTCCTCGTGAATTGTATGTTTATAACAATAGGGACAGAATTTTCTCAATTCCAATCGACTGGGGGTGTTATGCCGATTTTTTTGAGTAATATATCTGGAAATTCCCGCGGATTCTTTCTTAATATCATTTCGAACACAACTGGTACATTCCAAAATAATTGTTACTCGAACATCTTTACCCTTGGCCATGAAACCTCCTTTGGATTTATGATTCACCCGAATCTTCTATTTTCATTTTAGGATCCAGAAAGAACAAAAAAAATAGAAGTTGTTAACTAAAAAAATTTCTGAAATATTGAGTTGCAAGGAATATTAATTACGAATTAAAATAAAAAAAAATAATAAGCAATATAATTATTTTTTGAAAACTATATTTAAAATCTTTGTACAGTATTTTTTTAAGTATCTCGTAGGATACTCTTCCGCAACCGGACACAATCTCTTACAACACCCTCATCTCCGGATACGCCGACGCTAGAGAAACCGTTCCGGCGATGAATCTGTTCAAGAGGATGAGGGAATTGGGATTTGAGGTAGATGGGTTCACGTTATCAGGATTGATAGCAGCTTCGTGCGACTGCATCGATTTGATAAAGCAGCTTCATTGCTTCTCTGTCTCCGGAGGTTTTGACTCTTACTCGTCTGTGAACAACGCGTTCGTCTCGTATTACAGTAAAAGCGGGCTTTTGAAGGACGCTGTGTCGGTGTTCTATGGGATGGATGAGTTGAGAGATGAAGTTTCATGGAACTCGATGATTGTGGCTTATGGGCAGCACAAGGAAGGAGCAAAGGCTTTAGCTTTGTATAAAGAAATGAGCTTTAAAGGGTTCAAGATCGATATGTATACGTTGTCGAGTGTTTTAAACGCCTTCACGAGCTTGGATCATCTGCTCGGTGGTCGGCAGTTCCATGGTAAGCTTATCAAGGGTGGATTTCACCGGAATTCACATGTGGGAAGTGGTTTGATCGATTTCTACTCCAAATGCGGAGGTCGTGAGGGTATGTCTGATGCTGAGAAGGTCTTCCGAGAGATTCTCTCGCCGGATTTGGTTATCTGGAACACGATGATCTCTGGATACTCATTGAATGAGGAACTCTCTGAGGAAGCTGTGAAGAGTTTTAGACAGATGCAACGTGTTGGACATAGGCCTGATGATTGCAGTTTCGTCTGCGTCATAAGTGCGTGCTCAAGCCTCTCTTCTCCTTCTCAGGGGAAGCAGATTCATGGACTGGCGATTAAATCTCACATCCCTTGGAATAGAATCTCTGTGAACAACTCGTTGATTTCGATGTATTACGAAAACGGAAATCTGCAAGACGCGAGACAGGTGTTCGATCTTATGCAGGAACGTAATGTTGTATCTTTCAATTCTATGATCAAAGGCTATGCACAGCATGGTGATGGAACAGAGGCTTTCCTGTTATACCAGCGGATGTTAGACTCAGGTATTGCGCCAAACAATGTAACCTTTGTAGCCATTCTCTCTGCTTGTGTACACTGTGGTAAAGTCAGCGAGGGTGAGAGGTACTTCAACACCATGAAGGAGACGTTCAAGATCGAACCAGAGGCTGAGCACTATTCTTGCATGATCGATCTTTTGGGGAGAGCAGGGAAGCTAGAAGAGGCAGAGAGATTCATAGACGCAATGCCGTATAAGCCCGGCCCTGTAGCTTGGGCTGCGTTGCTCGGTGCTTGTAGAAAACACAAAAGCTTGGCTCTTGCGGAGAGAGCAGCTAAGGAGCTTATGGTGATGCAACCGTTAGCTGCGACGCCGTACGTGATGCTAGCGAACATGTACGCGGATGCAGGGCAATGGGAAGAGATGGCGTCGGTGAGGAGATCGATGAGAGGGAAACGGATAAGGAAGAAACCGGGATGTAGTTGGATCGAAGTGAAGAAGGAAAGGCATGTGTTTGTCGCGGAAGATTGGTCTCATCCGATGATACGGCAAGTGAATGAGTATTTAGAGGAGATGATGAAGAGGATGAAGGAAGTTGGGTATGTGATGGACAAGAAATGGGCAATGGTGAAGGAGGATGACGCAGGCGAAGGAGAAGAAGAGATGCGGTTAACGCATCACAGCGAGAAGCTAGCAGTGGCTTTCGGGTTGATGTCGACGAGAGATGGAGAGGAGATAGTTGTGAAGAAGAATCTAAGGATATGTGGGGATTGTCACAATGCGATCAAGTTCATGTCTAAGGTCGCAGGGAGAGAGATCATTGTAAGGGATAACCTTAGGTTCCATTGCTTCAAAGATGGGAAATGTTCATGTGGGGATTATTGGTGATAAAAACTGATAATTATGATTTTAATTGAATAGGGAAAAATTGTGTTGACGGATACAACATTTGTAGGAGAGAAAAAAAAACTGACCTGTTACAGAATACAAGGAGAAATATCGATTACGCTATAAATTTGTTTTTTGTGTTTTCTTGCGTGCGGCTCTACGTGTGAATATGCTTTTAGTGTGGACGGAACAGTAGGCTTTGGTGGTGGTTGGCTGCTGATTAATGTAATGGCTTGAGGTGGAAGACCTGGCAGGCTGGTTTGTATAATCCTTTGGACACAGCTTGTTCGAACTTCTTGCTTGGTGCTTCGTTTTCTTCCAAGTTTGTCTGCACGAAGAAACGGTTCCACCACGATGCGCTACGCATTTTAGCCTGCAATCAAGAAACAGTGCCAGTGTTAAGCTTTTGTATACTTACTCTCTGTCTTGAAGAGCTTTGTGAAAATGCAACTATCAAGAGTCACAGAGTTTGGATCATGAAGAGAATGCTAATGCTACTTATACACTAGTGGAGAAGATTTGTTTCGTTTATAATCATGCGGAAAGGGTATAGCAAACTTACAGGTCGACCGAATTTAGATAATTCAGCAACTTTAGCTCTCTGCTGACCAGGCAAACCTAGAAGAACAGTGCAAGAGTTGGTTAGAATCCGAAATTTGTACGGAATACTTTAGTAAATCAACACCTTTTCTCAAGTTTTTAGGCTAGATACCTGCAAAGAGAACAACACCATCTGAAGCTACTCTTGCGAGTTCAGGGACGGTCTTGTTCAGGTACTTGGGTGAGAGATAATCCAGAGCATCTGAGACGATGACAAGAGAGAAAGATTTGGCCCTGTAAGGGAGAGGGAACTTGATATCAGCAACACGTACAAGGCCTTTGCTCACAAGACCCTTGCAGTGAGAGTCTGCATCCTCGATGTCATATGGTTCCACACCCCATGCTTCAGTCTCTTCTTCTTTCAACAGACTGGAGACCACTGAGCATGTCTCAGGACCCACATGCAAGACTTTGCGCATCCCATCTCCGTAAGCCTTCTTAAGAACAGGAATGGCTCTTTGGATTTCTGCTGTGCATGAATAATAGTCACCTAAGAATTCACACAAAAAGTAAGTGTCACGCATTTGCATAGGTTAAAGAAGCTGATAAGATGGCTCAATGTGGATCAATGGATTTAAGATATGTTAATGCTACATGTATGAAAACGAGAAGAAGGATTACCTGTAACTTTGCTGACTTCTTTGACACTTTTAAATATACCTGTATTCGAGAGAAAGCAAGGCAGTGAGTAAATTCGCTACTAGAAGTGCATAAAATGCAAAAAGACCATACATTAAGATGATCATATACATACCTGGACCACTGAAAGCATAACCAATGAGTAGGCAAGCACCCTGAGAATAAGAAAAGATGAACAACAATTGACTTTTAGCAACATATTTTAGTACTTCATAACCATTAAAGAAGAACAATGAAGCACAGAACTCATACCACAAGAACAAGGCAAATAGATAATAGTGGAGAAGATCGAGACTTTGAGTTTAACGCTCCTGCAAATGGGAAGCTTCCACCATCCCCTACACGTCGTGTAGATCCTACTTGCCTTCTCGCCATTGCTAAGATCCCAGTAAAAGCTCAAGCTATTAGACCTACAAAGCAAAACACAAATTTGGATTACCACATAGAATAACTCGCTTGCCCTTTCATGATGTGGAATAAACACCACTCTTGCTCAGTGATTCCAACATTGAATAAACATATGCAACCAATCAATGAAATCGAAAAATCTAGATAAATTTTCCAATTCAGAGATCCCATACAACCATCAACACCGAAACAGATCCATTAAACAAACACATCACCCAAAATCTACCAGATTCCACCACAAATTAGCTGCGTTCGTATTCCCATTTTAGCAACATCTTACCCAAATATCACCGACAACTATGAATTGTAACCAAAAAAAATCAGATCACCGACAGATCCCTATAACAACAGCTCGCAATTTACCCGAGACGAATTCACATCAAACCCAAAAGAAAAAAATCCGACGCGAGAGACGAAATCAATAAGCGTAAGGGATGATTAACATTCTGGGGAAATCAAGAAGAAGAAAGCAAATCTACCTTGGATCAATCAACGTTCTACAGAAGAGAAAGGAGGATTGGTTTGGGATCTAAGATCTCAGATCCGAGAAAATGCGCCTTTAACAGCTTCTCTATACACCTCACTTGAATTTTTTTACTAAAGAGAAAAAGAAGAAGCTTCGCAAGTGTTAATTTATCACTCCAACATCGCTATCTACTTATTTATACTCGCGTCAGAAAAGCGCGTATGGCTATAACGCGCTGTCTCGAATACGACGTCGTTCCAAAGGCTAATTAAATAAAAAGAATCAACACACATCTTCCCGTTTTTTTTAACACGTAAACGACACTCACTTCTGTAGTTATTATTCAAAGAAGAAAAATACAGCAGAAGCAGTTTGACATAGAAAACAGAAAACTATTGTTCAGCTTCTAAATCTTCATCATCTTTACGAGGAGGTCTCCATTTACGGCTCTGAAGCTCGTTCCTGTCGACTATTGTTGGAGACTTGCGCTTCTCGTCTTCACCTTTCAATCTTTCATCGATAAGATACATCAGTTCCTTCAGACCAACTCCTGTCAATGCAGAAACTTTAACATGTGGTTCAGTGTTCAGAACACCATCTACTTCAGCATCTTCCGGAACTTTCCAGAGCTCAGTGTCACTATCATTTTCATCTTCAGATAATAGCCACCCATCAGAGTCATCGTCTTGGTTTTGGATTTGCTCTTCATCGACTGTTACTTCAGATGCTTCAAATGTTTCTTCAGCTTTTAAACCGTCGCTTAGCTCAGCTTCTTCTTCTTTGCCATCGTCTAGATAAAGCGCGTCTACCACTTCCTCCTCTTCTTCTTCATAATCAATCTAACAGAAAAAATCCAAGTGTGAAAAAAAACGAGGATGCTTCATCTACTTAGATAGATGGTTTAAGGAATTCTTACTTTGTTCCAGACTTCAATCATATTTTTAAGCTTCTCTTCTGGTACTCCAATTTGATTAAGGACGTGAAACACTGTTGACCGATGCTCCTCGATATTTGGAGCCGTCGAATCAACTACATGCTGCAAGGAACGAATCACATCAAGGCCAAGGTTTCTACACTTCTCCACTTCTAAATGTAACTCAAGATTAGAGTTTTTAGATTTAGTTCTTACCAGAAGTAGATCAGCTTCTACAACTTCTTCCAGAGTAGATTGAAATGCTTCCACCAGCTGTAAACATTCCACGACCCCTTGGTAAGTATAAAAATACTTAGAAATGAAAGATGGAAGTAGAGTAGGTATCAGTTACCTGTATAGGCAGATCAGATATGAATCCAACAGTGTCACTAAGAAGCACTTTCCTTCTGAAAAAAAAAATCAACTCATGCAATTTAATACAAGTTCATGTGTATCATAGGTTATAAACATGATCCTTGACGTGTATTAATCCACATACCCAGAAGGAAGGATGGCACTCTTAAGTGTAGGATCCAATGTGGCAAACAATCTGCAGAGTCCAGAACAATCATTCAGAAGCTAAGATTTCTGTTTCAAATTTGACAGCTTAAGATATTTTTGAAAGCTTTGGAATCATACCGCTCATTGCAGTAGAGAGCAGTCTTTGTTAAAGCACTTGTCAAAGTTGATTTTCCCTAACAAAAAGCAAAAACAACAAAATTCAGCAAGTAGATTAAAAACAGTTGGTTTCTGGCTGAGCTTCCTTGGTGGAGAAAAATTCAAACACTTACAGCATTTGTGTAACCAACGACAGCAATGGTGGCTAAACTTTTACCCGCTAAGCTACCTTGTCTCTTACGTGCAGCACGCTGCAATAGCCGTGTTCGTCGGGCTTCTTTAATTTGGGCTAACAACCGAAGCTTCCGGTCTGATATTCTGGTAGATCAAGATTTTGTTAAGAGAATAGAGTAGATATACGATAAAAAAAAAGCCCTGCACCGAGCCTTTCGGTTGAACAACGATAAGACACCAAATATTATAAAAGTAATACAATCCCAATTAACCTTCGGCGTTGAAGCTGAAGCTCAGTTTCTCCTGCACCACCTACGAAACCAGTTCCCGTACCTGCTGCTCTCCTACATAATGATATCATAACATTTTCTTTAACGGATCAAGCATCAAAAAGGTTAAGGGAATTTACACAAAATAGCAAGTTGAGATAATTTACCCTCGAGCACTAACAACTTCAGCTTCTCCAAACTGCCCAAAAGTCTGTTTTCCATCACTACCACGCACTCGAACCAGCCTGCTCTTTTTGTACATCAGAGATGCTAACTCAGCCTGTGAAACGGATGATCCAAACATCTAATTAGATAAACATTTCTCATATGTAAAATAAAAGACGGATCTTTATTGTCACAGTACCTGTAGTTTAGCTTCCTTTGTATGCGCATGAGCATTAAATATTTCGATTATAAGGCCTACACGGTCTAGCACAGGTTTTCCCCATATTCTCTGAAAGATCAATTGCAAAAGACACAACATTAGCTTACACAGAAGGGAAACCAAAAAAAAGAACAAGAAATTTCAGGTTTTGGAGCGTTACCTCCAAATTCCGTTGTTGAATTGCTGATAAAATGGCGTTGACAAAAACAGCATCAACTTCTTCCTAAGCATCATAGCGCATGATCCAACTTTTCATTACTCAAAGTAAAAAAAAAAAAAAAAAAAAAAAACAGAGATTGATAATGGTGAAATACATAGCGGCAATTTAGCTGCTTGCCTTGGAATCCTCAGCATTTAGATGGCATTTGATGTTTTCTACAGTCCCAGACCCGAAATAAGTATCTAAAATTTGAAAACCATTTCACCAATCAGTCTCTCAGGAAAATTATCGAACACTTGGAAGGCATGATTCTGAAAAACATCACACTTTAGGAAGAAAATGAAATGGAGCAAGGAGAGATTCCACAAACGCACCTGCGCGAGGTTTACACGATCTAGCAACAGGGTTTTGAACAACAACATGAGGAGGCAATTCCTTGTCATAGAAATCAGATTCGAAGTACCCAAATCTCTGCTCTTCAAGCGAATTCGCCAGGCAAAGCGCTTCGTTCAGCTTCGCCTGCAGAAACTTTGGCGGCGCAAGACGAGGCTGGATAAGAAAGAGCTTAGGTGTGCTTGACGGATCCTTCGGGTACAGCAAAACGGAATCTTTTATCGGCGGCTCTTCTCCTTCGCTCGCCTTAGGCGCATGACGCTTCGATGAAAATGGAGAAGAGAGGACACGAAAGGTAAAAGGAGACGAAAGGGGAGAAGACGATAATGTCGCTTTGGACCTAAGACGGTCCCGAGCTAGAGAGAGTGTCCTCAACATCGAGAAGACAATTCCAAACAACGAAGATACTCTGAGTCAATTGAAAAACGTAAGCTTTTAGAGAGAAGAGGAAAAGAAATTTGAAACTTGTTGAAATTTCAGAAGATCAAATCTGATCGTCACCGGAAGTGAAACAGTGCTTCTCTTCTCGGTTCGTTATTTGCAGAGACTTTTGCCGGGATTTTAATCTAGTCGGTTATTTGGTTTGGGCCGGTTCGTTTGTCATGAGTGTGTATTGATCAAATTAAAACCGAACATTTTCGGTTTGTACGTACGGTTCAACAAAATATGTAGTGAATTGGTATTAAATAAAACGAAAAACCGACTGGATTGTATATTAATTTCCGTTTGGCCTCAGTTTCAATTCGGTTTAGTAAACCAACTTTCGCAACAAAACGGTGTCGTTTCCCGTTTAAGTCAAAAACTAAGAGAAACACCTGCAACTACTTGCACTTGCAGGCTCACTCTTAGCAAAGAGTCAAAATCCGAACTTATGTAATGAAACAAAGCAAAACTCAGAATCTAAACCAGAATCTGAATCTGCATCCTTTGGAAACTTTAGGTTATAATGTTACATTTACTTCGTTCATCTCCAAACTTATCCCTACGATGAGTAGCTCCTTTCTTCTTTCCTTCTTTCTTCCCTTTGGGTTTAGCTTTCTCAATCAACCTCTCCTCACCTCTCCTCTTATACATCTTAAAACTAATCTCTCTCTCACTCGCCATCTTCCTCACCTTCTCTGTAATCTCAGCAGCGATCGTCCGATTATACAACTTATTCAACCCTTTCATAAGTTTCGCATAAGTATCAGGCTGCGGCATCAAGTCCATCTCCATCATATCCAGACAATACGAACACGCCTCCTTCACATAACCTTTCGCAAACAGAGCATGGATCCATATCGTCCAAGCTGATACATTTACCTCACAAGTAGAGCTTTTGCTCGTTATACAACTCCACACATCTTTCGCCATCTCCACCTTATCATCTCTCACAAGACTATTCAACAACGACTTCAACGTTCCGTATTGCGGCGATGAGAATATCCCTCGGCTTACCATCTCTTTAAACCGATCACACGCTTCGATCAAACAACCTTGGCTTGTAAACCCATTGATCATAATCACAAACGTATCAACACCAGGAGCTAAACCATTCGCTTCCATCTCGTTCCATAACCTAACCGCTTCTTCCACTTCACCTAACCTACAAGCCAATCTAATCACTACATTGTAAATCAAAAGATCAGGATCACAACCTACTTGCTTCATCTTCTCAATCAACTCCAAACACTCCTCAAACTGTTCTCTCTTCTCATGAGCCACCATTATCTGCATAAACGTCACTTGCAACGGCAAGACTCCTTTCTTCCTCATTTCATCCAACACATTATAACCTTTATCAACCATTCCCCATTTGCAAAACCCGCTTATCAGTGCCGTGTAAGTCACGGTATCAGCCTCACATCCATACCTCTCCATCTCAACGAAAACCCTCATTGCCTCATCCATCCTCTTCTCAGTCTTACACAGCGCCTGTATCAACACCGTGTAGCAATTCGCGTTCGGCTCGTACCCTCTCTTCCTCATATCCTTCATGAGATCATAAGCATCCGCCATTTTCTCAGCGTGAGCGTATCCACTCAGCAAGTTGGTGAACACCACAATGTCTGGCTCAATCCCTGCTTCTTTCATCTGAGCCAATACATGTTTAGCTTCCATCAGCTTCCCTTCTCTACACCAACCATACAGCAACGAAGTGAAATGCCGAAGATTCGGAGGGAACTTGTCTCTCATGTCCTCGAAAAGCTTTGAAGCTTCCTTGACACTACCGTTCTTGCACAATGCGTCTAACAAGCTTCCGAAAATAGACTCATCAGGCTCTAAACCGTACTTAGGCATTTCGTCGAGCACCTCTACTGCTTTCTTCACCATGTTCGCAGAAGCAAACCTCCGCATCAGTACGACGAACAGCTCCGGCTCAATCAGCTCCGGATTCTGTTTCCTCATCTCTTCGATTAAACCCCAAACAGCTCCGAATTGCCGCATTTTACTAAGAATCTTCACCATCGATCTGCATACTTCGTAGCTGTGACTATAACCAGGCTGCTTCGTTGCCCAGACGAAGAATCTGTAACCTAGATTCCCGGCGTCGCCGCACCGGCTCAGCACCCGTACGATTAACCCGGGTCGCAGATCGATACCGGATTCGTTAAGAGCAAGCTCCAACTTCGGAGCCCTGGAGTGGTAGTTTCGCAGGATTCTGTATATCTTCTCGACGTCGCCGGCGAATTCATCCTCCTGCTGCCGCCTCTTCTCTGGACAAACTAAGCCAGCCCCGTTAATTCTCTCCGTCGACTCGACGAAATCGTATTTGAGAACTCTGGAAATGTGAAACCTTTTGCAGATGATATCGATTCGAGGATTTGCTTGAGAAGATGATGGTAAGAGAATATTGCGTTTCCTGAAGAAAAGATCGACTATGGTAGTGAATCTTCGCATCTCTCTCACTTCGCTCTCTGTCTCACTCTAAATGACGCCGTTTTGTTCTTATAAAGTCTTCTCCTTTTCTCAATTAAAGCGACTCTGTTTTCTCCTCTGTTTTCGCTTATGAAAAGCCATAAGAGAGATCAATTCAACAACAACAACAACAAAAGCTCATAGATGACTGATGAGAAAAGCTCAATGTTTAACAGAGAGTTTGCTCAATATCAACCGCCGACTTACCGGTCTCACTCGCTCCGGCGAGAACAGAAACGCTCTCAAGCTTTTCGCCGAGGTTCACCGTTGCACAGCTCTGAGACCCGACCAATACAGCGTCTCGTTAGCTATTACTGCTGCTGGGCACCTCCGTGATACCATCTTCGGCGGCCAGGTACATTGCTACGCGATTCGTTCGGGGATATTGTCTCACTCTCACGTCTCCAATACGCTTCTCGCGCTATACGCGAAAACAGGGAACTTAGCTTCACTGAAGAAGAACTTCGAAGAGATAAAGGAGCCTGATGTTTATTCGTGGACGACGCTTCTGAGCGCGAGTTTCAAGCTTGGGGATATCGAGTATGCCTTTGAGGTGTTCGACAAAATGCCTGAGAGAGACGATGTTGCGGTTTGGAATGCTATGATCACTGGTTGCAAAGAAAGTGGCTATCACGGAACGAGTATCGAGCTGTTTCGAGAAATGCATAAGCTTGGTGTTGGACATGACAAGTTTGGATTCGCTACTGTTTTGAGTATGTGTTACTATGGTTCTTCAGATTTCGGTAAGCAGGTGCATTCGCTGGTTATAAAGGCTGGATTTTTGGTTTCATCATCTGTTGTGAATGCTTTGATTACAATGTATTTCAATTGTCAAATGGTTGTTGACGCCCGTCTGGTGTTTGAAGAAGCTGATGTTGATATTCGTGATCATGTCACTTTTAATGTGGTCATTGATGGATTGGCTGGTTTCAAAAGAGAAGAGGCTCTGATTGTGTTTAGAGAAATGATAGAAGCTGGTCTTAGACCGACTGATCTGACCTTTGTTAGCGTTATGAGCTCGTGTTCATGTGCTGCTATGGGACGCCAAGTACATGGACTCGCCATCAAAACAGGGTATGAAGAATATACTCTGGTTAGCAATTCAGCTTTGTCAATGTACTCTTCTCTTGAGGATTTCGATGCAGCTCGAAAGGTTTTTGAGTCATTGGAAGAGAAAGATTTGGTTACTTGGAATACAATGATCTCTGGTTATAACCAAGCGAGACTAGGCGAGTCTGCGATGTCTGTATACAAGCGAATGCATAGAACAGGAGTTAAACCGGACGAGTTTACTTACGGAAGTCTTTTAGCAAGCTCTCTTGATTTAGATGCTCTTGAGATGGTTCAAGCGTGTGTGATCAAAATCGGACTTCTTAGCTCAAAGGTCGAAATTTCCAACGCGTTGATCTCTGCTTACTCTAAGCACGGAGAGATTGCGAAAGCGGAGCTAATATTCGAAACATCTTCAAAGAAGAATCTAATCTCATGGAATGCGATCATCTCAGGGCTTTACCATAACGGCTTTCCCTTTGAAGGTTTGGCAAAATTCTCCACCTTGCTTGAAACAGAGGTCTTAATCTTGCCTGATGCTTATACTCTCAGCATTCTTCTGAGCATTTGCGTAAACACTTCGTCTTTGATGCTCGGGAAGCAGACTCACGGTTACGTCCTTAGACATGGTCAATTCAAGGAGACGTTGATAGGTAATGCTCTTGTAAACATGTACTCTCAATGCGGGACTCTAGAGAAGTCTCTTGAAGTGTTCAGTCAGATGATTGAAAAGGATGTTGTTTCGTGGAACTCTCTGATCTCTGCGTACGCGAGACACGGGGAAGGAGAGAGCGCGGTTATGACATACAAGAAGATGCAAGAAGAAGGAAGAGTTGATCCTGATGCAGCCACGTTCACAGCGGTTCTCTCTGCTTGCAGCCACGCCGGTTTAGTGGAAGAGGGACTCGAGATTTTTAACTCAATGGTGGAACCAAATGTGGATCATTTCTCGTGCTTGGTTGATCTTCTTGGTCGAGCTGGTCGGCTCGATGAAGCGGAAGGATTGGTGAAGATGAGCGAGAAGAGCGTCGGGTATCGTGTGGATGTGTGGTGGGCTTTGTTTAGTGCTTGTGCTGCTTATGGGGATTTGAGGTTGGGGAAGATGGTTGCTGAGTTGTTAATGGAGCGTGAGAAGAATGATCCTTCGCTTTTTGTTCAGCTGTCGAATATTTACGCAGGTGCTGGTTTGTGGAAAGAAGCACAAGAGACGAGAGAAGCCATGAGCATGATTGGAGCTGTGAAGCAACGAGGTTGCAGCTGGATGAGATTTTGATCGAATTTCGGTTTAGTCCTTGTAAAACCAAAATTCGGTCCTAACCGGTTGACACGGATTCTTAAATCGAAAACCGGAAGTTATTTGATTAAATTGAAATTTTGTAAACTAAAATGCAGACAGTATTTTATAAAAGTTGTAGGCGGATAAGAAAAATATTGAAATGCTTTGAAATTTTTTGAAAAACATAATTATGAGCCTCTTCTTGTATAGTGGGGGATATGATTGATCATCGTAAAAGAGAGCTGTATTATTATTTTTGTTTTTAAATACGAAACAAAACGCACCGTTTTGATCTATCTGACAATCGACAGGCATCATCGTAACCAAATCAGTAACGGGTCCACTCTGTTTCTCGCAGACACAGCAGTATCCGTTACCAAGATCATATAATTTTGATCTGATTTATTTGTTTATTTCACAGTAATGAATAGTAATATCTCCACTTGTACTGTGCTAACAAATAGTTTTTGAACTAAAATTAAAGTACAATGAGATTAATATGAAAAAACCTTAATATAATCCTTTTTTATAAATCCCAAAAACAAAAAAAATTATAGGGAAAATCAAAATCCCAAAGAAAGAATAGACAGAAAACAAAAAAAAAACTCACACACATAACAAGAATCTTGAATCTTCTTGTTGTCCATTTCCAAAACAGCCGTAATTAATTATACGATTAATTTTAGTAATCAGGCATTGATTGACTAATCTTGCCTTCTTCTTCAGCAATCTTCTTCTCCGTGATCCTCAACCAAATACAAACACCTGTGAAACTAATCATCAAGCTCGCGATCCCACTTCCGAGCCCAATCCCAACGATCGCCATCACCGATAAGCCTTTGCTTTTACTCATCTCCTGCAACGGATATCCGTACAATCCCTTGTTCCCCACGAACGAGCTCGCGTTAAACCTCGGGAAATTCCCAGTCCTGTTCGACAAATACGTCGGAATCTGGCCGGAGAGTTTGTTATTCGACACGTCGAACGCCGATAACCTCGCGAGGAGTCCTAGCTGCTGAGGAATCGGACCGGAGAGCTGGTTATCGTGGAGATCGATGACGTTGAGGTAAGCGCAGAGCGCGAGCTGCGGGGAGATTTCGCCGGAGAGACGGTTAGACGAGAGGTTGAGGACGGCGAGGTTGACGAGAAACTGTATCTCCGGCGGGATTTCACCGGAGATCTGATTCGAGGATAGATCTAGGGATTGGAGGTTGGTACAGTTGGAGAGAAACGGAGAGATTGAGCCACGGAGGGAGAGATTAGTGAGGGATAGCTTGTAGATTCGGCCATTGTTACAGGTAGCACCGGGGAGGTAAGAGGTGAAGCCGGAGCAAGGGTTGGAGAAAACGTTGCTCGTCCAGTTCCGGAGATTACTCGCCGGATCCTCTAAGCTCTGCCGGAGATTCTTTAAACACGTCTCGTCGTTTGGATCAGCGGAAGAGAAACGCCGTGCCGTTTCGAAGCTTATAAGAAGGAGAAAGAGTAACCGGAAGCTAAACCGGTGACTCCTTGCCATCGATAGTCTCAATCTCTCTCTCTCTCTCTCTCTTCCGTCGCCTTCAGAGAGATTTCACGAAGGTTGAAGAAAGTGGAGCTTCCATGTGACTGTCACCAGAAAAAGAAACGGCTAACAGAAAATTTTGTAGTTGACAGAGAATTTTTGCATTGTGTGTGATATTACGGCGCGCGTTAGCAAGAATGCGCATGATATAGAGGTAGAAATATTATTAATTGAGGGGATTAAATTGAATTGATTGTGTTGTTGGGTCTGGATGTAATTATACTGCTGTTTTTCAACTTTAACTATTTTAAATGTATATACCAAACATTACAACACTCATGATTAGATCTTAATCATGTCATCCATTTTCTTAAATAGTGTGGAGATCTGATCAACTGAGTCTGACGATAATAATAATTCATCAAGTTTAGAATGGTCTTCTTAGTATGTCACCAATAATATTTTTTCATAATAAAAAAAAGATGGAGGTTTAGCTTTAAAATAAGTTTATTGGACTATACCGTTACATTTAATTAAAAATGGGTTAAAAAGGAAAAACATGACATCCATTCACTGAACTTCCTAATAAAATATCTGTTTTTGTTAGGAATTTTGGTCCAGTAATTTGGAACCATGTAGAGAGACTATAGACTAGAGTAATTGTAATTGCGAGTTTTGAAACAAGCTTTTAAAAAACCACTAGACCGAAGAAGATATGGCCACTAAAGCAATTTCACTACATTTTTTCGTGAGGTGGTCCTTGATGCTTTTACACTGTTTCACTTTTCATGAACAATGGTCAATGCCATATGTGAAAGGTGAAAAATCCTGTTGGAAACAATTATTTGTATTAATGGTTGACATTTACACAATGTAGGTGGAGATGTGTAAACCACTCGACGTTGTTTTACTTGTTAGCCCACTTTCAGCCCATTTATAACCTATGAAAAGCTAGGTCTAAAACTTAGTGCTAGCCTTGAAATTTAATCTCCCTGCAATATCCTCTCGAGTGTTTTGCTTATTAGTCGATATATGATATTTAAGTTAAACATTTTAAGTTTTGGGATGTGCTGTCTTTAAAAGTGACGATCTTCTAATTAGTGATACAGATTTTGTTATTACTCATACGTATTACATGTAATCAAATAAGAAAGGCCCATGCTGTCATGCATGCATGCTCTCCTAAACATTTATTTCAGTAACCAATGCCTTAACAAGCATGTTTTCTCATTTATTGTTTTCTCTATTTTTCATGTCTTTATCATGTTTCAACCCCATTCAAAACGTAACAAGACCATGTGATAGATATGTATATAAAATTCGCAACTCTATGTATCAAATATCTCATACTCTTAAATCGGATCATAGATTTTGATCACTAGAGTACCATGTCCGCTCACGAAAATAAAATGCTTTTGTCAGCATCGCCTCAACTACCTTTGCCACCACCGTATCCTTTATCAAAGCGGTTGGATAGATCTTCCTCGTTTGTGAAATCTTGTATAACGAAATGGAAAAAAACAGGAAAGAGACGACAAGAGAAAGAAGATCCTTTTCTTATTGCGATGAGAAAGTGTTCAAGTGATGTAGAAAGTGACGATGACAAGGTTATGTCTAAAGGGAAAAATAGTCTTAAGTCTCTAGTTTCTTGCAAAGCTCCTAGTGTTAGGGAATAATTTCGTTTCAACCATTTTATTCAATTTGAGATATTTATTCTCTTCCATTTGTCTTGCTTTTTTAAGTTTTTTTTTTTTAATGTGGATATATGCATTGCTATTAAAGATCTTATCATGGACATAAAAGGGTCTTCAAATTGAATTTTCTCCTTTATTTTCCATCTGTCGTCGTATTACAAGATCATTTAAAAGGTCACAACATTGTCTATGTAAAATATCTCAATTTGTCTAAAGATGAAAATCAGATTTTTTATGTACACTTTTTATCTTTCTTTTCTTCCTCCAATGCAAAAAAGATTAAAAAAGAGACTGCCATAAAATAATAAAGATAAAAATAAAAATGAAAGAGATAGATTAATCTTAAAATGATTTTCTTTTCTTTTTTGTTAAAGGGTTTTGAAGTTGTAGTTAGACTTTTTTTAACAAGGGTTTGTTAGACTGTTGTATATTCTGTATGATTGTACGAACTACATTTGTAACTTATGGCTTATTTTTGTTTGTTTACTGCGATCACTATTACGTCCGTTTTACACCGTCTTATTCAATGCATATTTAACCTTAACGATATTACATCCATTAAAGTTCAAGACAGATAAAAAGTATAACAAATGTTACGGGAAATGCATTTCAAAAGTTGTTTTATGACTTGAAGTTTAGCTAATGTCTACAATTAAGCCGACTCCATGTCAAATCGTGGACGACACACATTGGGAGCAAAAAGTAGAAAAATAAAGAATGAACTACATGTGTATAAAATACGAGTGATTTTGACACGCGTCATGATTAACACCGTAATATTTATTTATCAAATTAAATACTGGCCGTAACTTTATTTGTTTTTATACTAATACACACCCCCATCACCACCCCATGCATCGAAACAAATGGACTATAATATTTTAAACTTTGGTTTTGTATTGTTGATTTTAATCTTTTAGTTATAGTTATCATGTCTCCATATATCGTGAAAGGTTAGAGAGAGCCTCAAACTTCAGCTCCTGAACATATATATACATATATACGCGCTATTGTAGGGTTGACGACCTATTTCCCCATATGGTGTCGTACTATATGCAGCCCAAACTAAGACCACGAGTTAAATCTCCACGAAAACAAAGTTCTAAACGTAAATCTCCCCGAATTAATAGTTAAATACCTCTATCTCCCCAAAATCATAAAACCTAAAAATCCATAAACCTTGGTTTTAATCGGTTTACTATTTTCTACCCAAACGCCTAACCACCTAAAGCTGATACTAAACCGGATTTCAACCCCATTATGGTCCAATTACATCTAAACAACAAGCCCGAGAATGGCTGCTCCAGAGCGAATAATCCCCAAAATCAATGTTACAGAGTATGTGCTTGATTCGATCTTGAAAGAGAAATCGAATCATGTCAAATTCAAATCTGGGAATTCTGAGAAGAAGAAGAAGAAGAAGAGATATGGATAATCTCCTTCGGATGCTCTTATTCACTGAAACGAAGGAAGTAGATAGATCTAAAAGAAAATTATGACGATGAGTCTGGATTGAAAGATAAAGACGTGGCCAGAATCACGACAAAATATTTGTTGATTTTGATAGTCAACCAGAAATCGATTGAATCATAATCAGTTGGGAAGAGAAGAGATTGAAAGAAAATAAGACTGAAAAAGTTGAAGAGGCAAGTTTAACAAGGACATATTCACATTCAACGAGGACATCAATTGCAATTTAGTTTTTAAATTTCTCTTGAAAATCTACATATTATGCCGCTTATAAATATGAATTATCTGGGTTTTTTAAAAATGTATCATGATTTCTCTTCAATGTGAGTGCATCCATTTCGTGATTTCACCACAACTTTTTGCTTATCCACAAAATTCTGATTCTGAAACATGACGAAAAAAGTAATGAGAGGAAGTGAGAATCGCTGAAAAGAAACTGTACTTGGATCAAGCACATATTTAGGGTTCTTAAAAAATTGATTTGGGGATTTTTGAGAGAGGAGAATTGGGTATTAAACGTTGATTGGGTCAGGTTTATGATTTTTAATTCGGTTTAGTATGTGGTTTGATGGTTTGATATCTGGTTTAGATCATAACCCGTTGAAACCGAAATTTGGGGAGATAAAGGTATTTAACTATTAACTCGGGGAAATCTAGGTTTAGAACTTTGTATTCATGGAGATTTAACTCGTGGTCTTAGTTTGGGCTGCATATAGTACGACACCATACTTCCTAGTAGGGAAATAGGTGGTCAACCCGCCATTGTGTGTATATTAAAATTATAGTATAATTTAGCCCGGTTAGCATTTAACTAAGTGTGGTCAGTACGTACATGACTAATGGCGCTATTTGGCCATCAAACGTCCATCATTATCATAACCTAACTTTTTTCATCGCCTCTCTAATTTCTTACCATGTCAATACGTCTCATGTCATCTTACAAGTATTTTGCCTGTTTATTTTTCTTGTAGTGGCTAACACACAAATCATATTCGAAATCTTTTTCTTTTATTTACAATGCTGATTATTAAAAGCATTAAACCATTAAGAAAGACCGAAGCAGGAATTCATACTTTATTAAAGGTAATGACTAATGAGATTGAGGTGATTAGGACTGCCGAGAATTTGAATTTGACCTCCATATTCAGAATATTAGTTAATTAGGACATCGTTCTCGTATTCTATATTTTAGTCCAGGAAATGATATTTTACGATCCGAAGACCCATTTATCTTGTCACGCAACGCGTCAGTTCATCCTTTTCCTGGGGGAATAGTTTAAATTTAATCGTCGGAAAGCTTAGGAATCTTGTATAAAAACTCCTTTTATCAAAAACAAAGAAAATGTTTGATTCTTGAGTACTGGTTCAAGATATGCCTCATTATGTTAATATGATTCTCTTGTTTTCGACTATTCTATATATAAGACTCCAAACCACCTTGATGATGATCAAAGGTTGAGGAGACATTGATGTTTATATATATATATATACTGTTCTTCAAACTTGATATGACTTACGAATCAACTAGTTAAACAATCATATAAATGACTAAATTGTTTGTGATATTTCTTTAAATTATCATGATAAACAAAGGTATATTCGACAAAGTACGTTAAGAGAATAGACTCAAAGCGGAAAAAAACTGCAAAAAGATTCTCGACAAATTATGCCAGTAACCCTTTTCTTGGTTAGTAAAGTGATCACACGATAATTTAATTAATAGATAGAAAAGAAAACCAAATTGAATTAAATAACGTTACTTATAACTTATAAGACATCCATGCAATATTATTTTTCCTTTTTAAGAACTTTTTTACAAAGGGTATTAATCGCGTTAAATTTGTCCGAAAATCTCAAACTATAACATGATTTGTTATGCTCGACGGATCCTGTTGGACCGTAACAACAGTACTGTTATCGTAAGAGTAAGACCACATGGCACAGTTTGAGCTCTGTTCGATCTGAAGAAACATCAAAATTTGTCTTATGTTCATCAACTTCTCTTCGAGGATACGGTGCTCTAGACGTAGACGATCATTCTCCATCTTTGTTCGTTGACAATGGTATAAAGCGTACCCAAGCTGGTTCACTAATTCCCGGTTCTCGATATTGAGCTGGTTTAGCTGGATACTCATCTCCTCCAAGTGCTTTTGTTTCTTCACCCTTGACCGTTTAGCCGATTCCCGGTTTGATAATTTCCGCTTCTTGCTCCGCTCATCGGTATTTGCGGTGGGAATGGGATCAGCGTCTGAACCAGTCCGGTTTATTGAACCAGAGGTTACGTACTCATGGACCGAACCCGGTATTTGATCCATTGGGGAATCGAAGACCGAGAAGAGGTTTGAAATATCCCATGGAGTGAACCCGGTTCCGAAAGCTGGGACAGGGGTTAAGAGACCCGGTTTAGATGAGAAGACCGGAGAAATAGTAGACATCATGGTTTAATACTTTGGCCAAAACAAAAATTCTCGAAAATGTTATGGGAGTGAGAGATTAGAGGGGAAAAGGGAAGAATTACAATGTTGGAGCTCCATATTTATGGATGAGACAACGGGCCCCACGCGAGGTTATTTTGGTCAGACTGTAGTAAAATACCGATGGTACTTTTTCCTAATAAACTTTTTTCTTTTCTTTTTCTTCTTTTTCTTTTAGGTTTTCTCTTTGGAAGAAGACCAGAAAAGAGAAAATGACTCGAAATCAGTTGAGGGAAAATGTTGGGCACGTGTCAGCATAGGATTAGATGTATTTCACGGTAAATTGGAGAGGCAAACATCGTTTGCTCATCCAAACATTTCTTTTTAACTCAAAGCACATTGGAAATTTGGAACTAATTAATTTAATCTGACATGTCAATTAAAGTAAAGGTATTTGATTATTACATATCTGATCTTATATGAATATATCCATGATTATCATTGATCCGCCATGTTTAAGGAGATAATTTTCGTGCAGAACCAGCACTACAAGAAAGCAACTCATATTATCACCGAATTTCTCACGAACATATCCGTGGGAAAATTTATTTACCAAAATTTCACCATTTTTCTACCGATTTAAGTATCGGTGAGTGTTCCGTGGAAAATTTTCCACCAAAAAAAAAACAATCTAAAAATTGGTGAAAAACCCGTCAATGATCGGTATAAACTTTTAGAAACTTTGAGTTCTCACGTGTTTGTCCTACTCCTACGTATGAACAATTAAAACCTCGTCACTGAAACCTTCTCTGTCAACGAGAGTATTTAGCACACTTGAAGCTTTAACTTACCTTCTTCAAGTCCTCTTCTATAACCTAATTAAAACTAGATCTAAAAAAGTTTTCACACTTGCTCCATCAGAAAATGCCCACCGCCTCACTTCCGCCTCACTTCCTATTCTTGCGATTTTCCTGTCTCCATATCTCATTTCCGTCACTGATTAAATCTCTTCGTCCATGGTACAGATTCTCGTTCTGATTTTAGATTGTAGTTTCTTTCTTCTATGGTTTTCGCGATTTCATTTAAGGTGATAGTCTTAATTACAAACGGGTTTTTGATTCTTAGTGAACTGAAGAAAAATCCTCCTTCGATTAAGGTGTTATGAATTTGGGGACCTTTCCTCTCTGGACAATGATTTCTGTTTTTGGAATCTACTTTTTAGTTCGGAGACTTGAATACTTGGAGTAAGATTATGAATATACTTAGCCTAACTATCTTTCTCATGCCTCTACTCTTGCGACACAAGGATGTGTGGTTCAGTGTCAGTCCCTTTGACTTCGGTTGACGACCTTCTAGCTGCTCCTGGATGCGGAAACCTCACCCAGCTCGATAATCACAGGATTGGTAAAACTACATGGTAATTTATGCCAACATTAATTCAATCTGTAACATTTAGTGGCTAACTAGTTGTATTTATATATTGTAATTTGCCTCTATTATTTCTTTTATAGGTTTAAACATGACAATGGCAAAATCTCGAAGCAGATTTTCAAAAAGCTGAAATCAAATATCCTGCATTCGTGTGCAATCTCAAGATCCCTCAGTACCATAATGAAGTCCAGAAGGTGCTTCTAGCAGAATTTCCGAATTTGAATCCTCCACCTTCACTGGAGTTTGACAATGATGATGATCAAAGTACCAAAACGAAGGTAATTTCAAAGTTTCTTGCGTTTTTCTTTCAATGAGTGTGTCGTTCATTCATTGTCTCTGAGATTGCTTCTTAATTTGAGTGTCTGATTATGCTCTTGAGATTTGGTTTTGCAATTATATGTACATTTTCTATGTGATTTTGCTTTTCAATCCGTTTTTGTGAATCATATGTGATTTTGAGCTTGAAGTGGTTTTTTGAAACACCATGGTTTGTGTTATGTCTTCAGTTTCTCAGATTCTCTTGGAAGTTTGAAATTGCTGAAGACGTCGACGTCGGATGAAGCAAGAGTGAATCTGTTGCTTTAGGCAAAATTCAATCTTTTGTTATTTTTGTTTTTTATTTTTCTGAACTTATGTTGATGGATTTATTGTTACAATTAAATTATCAATATCATTTTGTATTATTATTGTGTATTTCAAATTTAAATAATTTTTAAAAACATAATTTCAGTTTTTGGTGTAAAATCGGTGAAAACATCTCCGTCAAATTTCGGTGAGAAAAGCGTCAATACAATTTTGGTGGTAAAATGGTGAAAAAAATTTCCTATGAATTTTTCACCGATATTTTTGACCATATTTTTGACGGATTATTTGGTCAAAACAAATTCATGGATTTTTGACCGATTTAAATTTTTGACCAGCGATTTTTGATTGATGGAATAAATTGGTCAAAAATTGGTGGATAAAGGCTGTTTTTCACCAACTTTTCACCAAAATGACCGTGGTAACTGAGATGTTTTCTTGTAGTGCAGGAGTTAATTAAGGTACTCACTCAACAAATTATCTTTGTTGTATGATAGAGTTTTTTTAAATAAATTAATGTTGTGTGTTAGCTAAAAGTTGGTCTGTAGAAAACTAAAAAAAAAATTATGTTCTCGCGCATTACAATTAATCCGTGTAATATTATCGTATATTTTTGGTTTGCGACGTACTTTTTTCTTGTTTTTTACAACATGTGCATGCATGTATAAATCTCGTTATTAAAGTCAGACAAAGGAAAGTATATACTGTTATTTTTGTTAAGATTCCTTGCTTTCCTGTTATATGTAACCGCAAATATAGTTAGTGAAATCTACGTTTTGAGACGACAGACGATAAAGTCATGGACCGGAAACGATAAAAAGGGATCACATAGCATAAAAGAAGATATATCCATTTATATCTGGGATAGATATATAATATGCATGCATTACCTTTGTATGTAAAACATAAAAAAAATGATGGAATCGGTTATTAGTAGAGGGAAAATATAATATTGTTTTTTTTTTATAACTCTGGTATCCGGCAGCCACAATCCCGACTATCCCCACAAGTGGGGTCCAGCGCCCCAATGGAAAGGATGTTAAATTCGTTGTGGTCGGGACTCGAACCCAGGTAGCAGGTACCTCAGCTGAGGGTCCTTTACCACCGGGTCACAAGCCCCAGTTAAAATATAATATAATATTGTTACTAACTAGTACCAAAGGAAAAGATATTGATGAGCTGCCAAAATCATTTTTTTTTTTTTAATATTGGATCAATCTAATAAGTGAAGTTAACTACGTTGAGTTTTATACCCCCAAAAAGGTAATCTGGAATTTAAATTCAGTTTGAGAATCTTTATAATCATCGATGTACGTCGTGTTTATTAGTTTAGACCAGCTATCATATACATATAACATATTTTAAGACATCGATAGTCAGAAGTTTCTCTTTTTCTATAATGATGCAAAGATATGTGAGTACTTAAGTTTTTTAGTGACTAATAATTTGAGTTGTAATTACCTATCACTACTGATTATTATACCAAAAAGGTATAGAGAGTATTATTCATGGTAGATTTCTTAACAGCAAAGCTGTTTTAAAGTGGCCGTTCCTAAGGAACACAATAAAACTAAAAAGCATGGCTCAATATAAATTATCAATCTCTTCCAACTTTGTAGCCATTGTTTTGAGTTTGTTATAAATCATGTTCATGTGCACGACCACTTTAGTACTTTTTCATTTTTCAGAATCGAAATTAACTAAATTAAAGTTATTTGTAACCAATAGCTACAACTTTCTTTTTAAAAGTTAAAACTGACCAATAGTTACAAACTCATACAACGACAACAAAAAACACTAAGAAGTTTTTTCTGCAATATACAAATGAAGATGCTAAGTTCGAACTAGTGGCGAAATTTTATACTCCATCCGTTTTACAATGAATGTCATTTAGTCCTTACACAAGTTTTCATACATATTAACATAAACTGCTTAAAGTATTGTTTTATCTCTTATTAATAGATACTAAATAAATTTCTTTATCTAATTGATACACTAGATTAACATAATGAAAATCGGATTCTGGTTCAAAATTACATTGGAAATATCTTTTCGGGCGAGACAAAAGTTTGATATATATATGCAGCTTCAGGCTTCAGCGTATGTTATTGGCTTTCAGTAACCCAGAAGTTCAAAACTTATTTCTTATCGAACTTAAAATATCTGATATCTCGGCCCATGTAAATTTTCAGATAGTTTAATGATTTAGTCTGTAATGTGTATCTGGTGATATAAGAAAGTCTACTGAGCATCATACTCAATAAAGCTGTAAAGTTATACCATCGTTATCTGTAAAGTCTACCTATCGATAATGTGTTTTTTTATCACTCGATATTTTAATTATGAGGAATCTCATACCAGTCGACAGAAAGATCTTTCAAACTATCAAACCAAATGGGTTATCAAAATTTCGATATTTTTTTTTCTGTTAGTGTACCATCGTTATCTAATCTTCTACTGTTCTATCGTTTCCACACAAGTCTTTTTTTTTTTTACTTCGATAGTCATTATCATCCCTCAATGTTGACCAATGTGAATGTCTTACTAATTGTGCCATTTTGTGATTCGCGTGTTCACATGCAAACAGGAGATTTCATAATGATTGTATATGCTTCTTGTTTAATCCCACTAGTTCAGTGGTTACAAATTAACATTCGCAAAAGTGTTCCCTTATTTTTTGTCCTTTGCCAGTGGTTTCTGACAAAATGTTCGAATTCACGATGATTTCTTGATCAAACCTTTAATGTTTGACCGACAATCCATATTCTCGATTTCTCTTCAATCTCACACGTCTTTTTTTTTTGTTAAACACAATATCTGACACGTTACAGCTTGATATGTGTACCCTTTCCCTCACGTCGATATGACAATTGTGGCCATATAAACAACAGCTATTTTGCCATATTAGAGCTCCGACGACGTAATTACCAAACCAATATATGAACATCACTTTCTTTCTTTCTTTTTCTTTTTTAAGGCCATCACTTTCAATAATATATTAATATATAAGAAGCTCTAGTTCTCGTCATTATACTCTGCATGCTCTTCGTATTTTGTTAAATGTATTATCGCAACTCGTTGCTGCTCATCTAATTAACATGCAAGAAGATGATATATAATCCGTTCTTGATGCCAAATAACTGAATAAGTAATCGCTTTCTGTTGATGTATTAATCTACCACACATTTATAAAAAAGCCATGTCAAAAGTGGGTTTCAACACAGGCTGAAACTAAAGTGAAGTTTGTGTGGATCACTGTTAATGTTCTTCTGAAGTACATATTTTGGCACAAAATGCTTGGTTTCGGATTTAAATAAAGTGGATCTTGAAGTTTCATTGTTTGGTTGATTGTTAAATATGAATTTGGGTTTGGTCATAAATTTGTTATATATAGCGACAATTTTATAAAGCAAAGGTATATAATAAACTCAAGAAAGTCCAAATGGATGATCATAAATCCTCATTGTGACAGTTATCTGTATAAAAATCATCAGTCCATTTTTGATTTGGGATAAGCATTTCTTTTTCTTCACTTTTTTCATGTGGTTTTAATTGTTCTCACGTATGTATATTGACCATTGAATATCAAAACAATTATTACTATTTGGCTCGATTTAAATAGTCATCGAAATTAATTTAGAAGACTATTAAGGAGATGAGATCATTATTAATTTTAAGAAGTTTCTATTCTTATTAAATTCAACGTACCATATCTAGACTAATGATGGAATTTGATTTTTATGAAACTGTAATTAAATAATGATTTCTCGATAAAGAAATTCTAGATAGATCGAGATTCTAGCATATCAAGCTAGTGATGAAATTGGGTTATATATAATTCCTATTTAAATTTGAAATTATGCATATGCAAATCACAGAAATATAATAGAGTTGGTATTCGACCTTTTCATACTTACGAAATAAAACAATGTGTTGGGAAAAAAAAACTATCCAAAGAGAATCTTACGTTTTTGAAAACATGGCCAGGAAAAAAAGAAAGAGAACTATCCAAAGAAGAATATATGTTTCAATGTTTGTTCGTTGTTGGATAAGAAGAAAGATAATCACGAATAGTTTGGAGTTTGGATCTTGACCGAAGAATGTTGGGTTCCTTTACTTAATCAATCAGCAATTAAAATGCCTTTCTTCTTTAAACTTTCGGTTTGGGAAGATAAACTCCATCTTTTCTTTATAAAGCTCATCTTCACGATAGTTGTTCAGTTTCACCGTACGTGTAAAGAACTATGGATCTGATTTTGTAAAACGGTTAAGGTTTTTAATCAATAAAAAATAGTAAACGGTTGCAAAATAGTTTCGAAAGTAAAAATATATATGGTAATAGATAAGAGTTTACTGTTAACAAAATATTTTCATCTTTACCGACTCGCTTAGTTGTCTCGTTTACACATGAGATCACAAGAATCAAATCGAAATCGTCAAGTAAGAAGCTTATATGATGTATTTATAAATGTGAATGGAATTAAATATATATCCAATACAAGTCTGAAAAGAATAGAAAGACTTTGCTAAGCTCTTTTCCCTATTCTTTTGACCGATATTTTGCAAAATGCATGCGCGTTCTTTTTTTTTGTTTCTCCGTATAGTTTGATCTATAGGCTTCTTGAATTTTAGCCTAAACCTATGCCAAGTCTCATATATGGTTAAGATTTCTCCTTAGTTTGGAAGTGTACTTGTGCGTCTCTTCTTGTTTACGAAACCTATTTAAGTGGCGCTGAAGAAGTCTATTTGAACATCCGCTGATGACTTTTAATCGCAACGGCAGTGTCAAAGATAGTTGGAACGGTTGAGAACCTTCCTCCTGACCAACCTTCCAAATATTTTTTAAATAACTCTGCATTGGATCTATAAGATGGCTCAAGCAAATAGGATTGCTCTTCTTATCGCTAAAAATGAAACTCAATTAAAAAAAAAAAAAAAATGTTACCCAAAATGATCGAATGTTATCAATCATAGGATGTTTTTAGAATGTTGTCTTTGTTAAACTTGTGTTGGACTCGCAAAAATGACCGTCTCTTTTATCAAAGTTGTTTGAGTTTTTTTATCTGTCATGAATTGTTGACCGTTTATTATCTACTTACATCATCTTATCAATAACAGTCAGATAACAAAAAAAAAACTTGCATGTTGTGATCTAGTGCATCTATTTTTGGCTATCGAAAAAACAAAAACAACAATTCAACAATGACGTGAGATGACGTTCTACCTTCTACAGCATTCTAGAATACATACGAGACTATTTTTGATAAAAATGTTTCTTATTCTTATTTTTCACATATTGGTTTTAGTACTGGTCAAATGTTATTATAAATTTATCAGTCTATTTTTCACAAGTCTTCCAACCATTCAACCGCACGTGAGAATCATTAGGTGAATTATTTCCATTCATATATATCCACCACCAACTTCTTCTAACATTTTTATTATCCAGATATGATTTGACTCTGTGATCAAATTTCCGCAGTAATATACATCTTAGGTCGGCTACTCATATTTCCTGCAAAACATGGCGCATAACAAAACCAATACAACTTTGCTTGCATTAAAACATACTTATTAGCATACATATTATGTTATAATGACCACTCAATAATTCTTTAAACTGTAAATCGTCTTTGATCTCATCCACCGGTCACCTTTTTTGCGTGGTCACATGATATTTGCTTTTTCGAGCAATCATTCACACACATACAGTGATACACATACACACACACAGCAACAACATCAAATAATTTAGTAGGACCATAAAATAATCTAACACGGCAATAAAGAGCATCTTTTTAATTTAAAACTACTAACAAAACATAAAAATAAATTCTAGCGATATGTACGAATTGTATTTATGACATCATAAAGGTACTTAACTTTACCCTTTACAAGTTCCTATGGTTCACATTCGGCAGCATCTCGCTGTTTTGTCAACTCGTGTTTCTCTATAAATTCACCTAATTGACTTCATCTTCTCTTCATCCTCACATCTAACAATTCTCCATCTTTCTTCTTCTTCTCTGTCTATCTCTCTCTCTCGCCTTTCCAAATCATTATGGCTAAGTTCACAACCATTTTCATCATGGCTCTCCTTCTCTGCTCAACGCTAACCTACGCAGCCCGGCCGGCTCCGACGACAACCACCGCTTCTTCCATAGAAAACTCCGTGAAGGTTTGTTTTTCTTCAGAACATTGCAAGCCAAGTCAAATAATACTTGTAATCGAGCTCGGAACTTCCTAATCAAAATTAAAAGGAAGAAACTCTTAATGATCGGCATATCTCTTACAAATTATTAATATGATATTTGGGACCTACGTATGTATGTTCCACGCATAACGCATTAGCAAGAACAAAAGAACTTAATTGTTTCTAGATTAAATTTTCATATATATAAGCTCCATATACCTAGATTAGTCTATATAAGCTTTTTGTTGTCAAAGATTTTCAAGTATAAGAAAAAAAACAAAGAAGTTTGCATGCATGGTCCTTAAGATATCATTTGGGTTTGCTCGTGTAATATATTCTATTTATATCAGCACAAGACTTATTAATTTGCCAAATACTGGAAGTAATTTAGATTTCGATTAATGCTGACGTGCATATTCTGTTATTATGTGTATGTAGGAAATTGAAGGAGATACAGTTGAAGAAGAAAGCTGTAACGGAATTGGAGAAGAAGAATGTTTGATTAGACGTAGTGATCTTGTTGCTCACACCGATTATATTTACACTCAGAATCACAAGCACTAAATCTATATATTAGGCTAGTTAATTAACAAAATTACATTATTAGACCTATCACCGTTTACTTTATGATTTCTGTTCTTTCTGTTTCTGAATTTTGTTATTGCTATTTTTAGTTTTGTTGTTATTATATTACTCACACTCGTTGTATAATTATGGATTTTAAAAGAGCGTTCGCCGTTTGGTATTAAATTATTATGAATGTTTTATATCAAGTCACAACAAAAAGATTTGATTATGTTTCGACTGTGGTTGTAAGTTGTAACCTCCAGCTGTATTTTGTCTTCAAATTATATAAGTTGACTGGGAAAAACGCAGTTGACTTTTATTTTTAGAAGACCTACTTTTCTAACATCTTCTAGAGAGGCTTCCGACTGATCCAATAGATACGTGAATTATGGGCTAAAGCCTTAAAACACGTAAACATACAAAATAATCGAATATTTTCTTAATAACATAAAACTAGCCTCAGATGTTTTTCCGATTTCTACTAAATGATTTGCAATGGATGATCATTTGTTTACGCAAAATTTCTTGTATCCGTACTATCGCATCACCTTCTTGGACTCCAAAAAGCTGCAAAATTTATATGTGGACAATGTGCGTGTAATTTATCGGCAAACTTGAGCCCTCTTCCGTAGGGATTCAAGTTTATAGACATCTTCCACCGGGATTTAAGTTTATAGACAACCAATAGCGGATCCAGCCTTTTACACGAGTGTGTCACTTGACCCCTGTGAATTTTAAAAAAAAAAAATTGCTAGTTCCGACACTGTTTACAACTAACCATTATTGAACAAAAACTGCATTGCCATGTTTTAGTCAAAGATTTTATCACTCATTCGGGGTTTCAGACAATCATGTTTAGTCAAACCATGTACTTTTTCCAATGTAAGCAAAGTTTGGCAGTTGCACATCATTTGTTCTGATATTCATGTTGAAAGTAAACGCATCGTCTCATACCCATGAGTTTGTACAACTTCAATTGAATCCAATTAATATTAGCATACAATGATGATGCAACTCAAGATCTCATTGATTCAACTCCAAGAAATTTTCCATGGGCAAAGTTATTTACCAAGTATTAGTCCTATGTATTTGCTCTATATTTCCATTGACGGTCTGTTTTTCTTTTTTCTTTGTTGAACATCTTGATCTCTCTAATCGTTTAGTATGCTATTGTGATAAATGTCTAGTTTTTTAATGCTGTTATTGGATCTACATTTCCTTTGGTTCATGAAAAAAATAAATGAGTCTTAAAATTGTAATGCTGATCCAACGTCTTTAACTCGGCTGTTATGCATCTTTTTTTTTTTTTTAATGAAATCTCATGTGTGAATGAAGATGTCTGCCTTGAAAGAACCATCTACAGAGGGTTTAATTCCTCCTTTCATTCTAACGTTGGATATTTCCCCATATTCTGTAGATTTTTGAGCATTGTATATTCTGGTTGGAGATTTTCAATCTGTGTCTTAATTACAAGTCACGGTGTATGGATAATTGAATGGTATAATTGACATATATGGATAATTGGAATGGTTTCAACGAAACAGAAACATTTTCCCTACAGATTAGATTTCGAATGCGACGGTGTACTAACGCACAAGATTTTGCACATCGAGCTGAAGAAGTCAGACGATCAGATCAAATCAGAATGAGAAAGTTATCAACTTTGTTTTCTAAATGACAAGTTCTTTGTTACTTATTTGACTATTTCTCGTAAAAAAGAACATATGTGGGTCTTGTCTTAACCACGTCACCACACTCACTCAGCAACTATATCCATTATCCCATACCCCATATTATCCCAAAAAAAACACAACACAAAAGCGTAACAATAATGTCCCATGCTTATCATTATCCAAATATCCATATCCAAAACCATTCAAACCCATTTCTTTCCTTTTCAAAGTCAAAACAATCATCTCTCAATATCTCCTCAAATGAAAACAAACAAAAACAAGAAAAAACAAAAGAAGCAATTTTTAAATTTTACATCGAATTTTGATTGAATCCAAGAATTACCAATACAAACACAAAATCTGTAATATAGAAATGAAAGAAAGAAAAAAAAAAAAAAACAGTTTCTTCTTGTCTTTTAGCCTGATCAGTTTCTTGGATTCAGTATCCATGGAGCTTCAACAATCTGTAAACACAGAGACAAACATAAACTATGAAGAAGAGACGATTTGACCCTCACGAATCTCCTCGTTTCGTTTCCTCTCTCTCTCACTCTCTCCACGTAACTCTCCACTTTACCATTCGCTCTCTCAATCAACACTTCCAACAACGATCTCACCGTCTCAAACGTTACTCTCCCGGTTAAATCCACCACGTATTTCCGGTTACTCGGTACGGACAACGACGACGATACCCGATCGATCCACGTCGGTTTTGATCCAACGGTCATCATTTTAGACGACGACCGGTCCAATTCCGGTTCAATTGGTCTTCGCGACGCTCTCACGAACGTTTCAACCGCGCCGTTGCATAGCGTCACGAGCGTTTGCTTAACCTTCTGCTCGTGTTTCGGGTTTGTTAAACCGGCGAAGAAATCGTCGAACACGTTGATGTCGGTCGTCTTGTCGAGGTAAACCGAAACCGCGGTGCTCACAAAACGCTGAACGCAATCGCCGATTAGTTTTCTCCCGTCGTCGGAGCAAATCGCGTCGAGTAGTTTCGGATTCGAGAAGATCGGAGATTCGCCGGAGGAGGAGTAGAGCGCGACGACTAAGTTTCTGGCGAAGCTGCCGACGATCGCGGAAGCGAAACCCGATCCGGACTTCGTGAACAGCTTATCCATGACCCGATCCGTAAAACCCGACCCGGAATCATCGTCACCGGAATCTAACCGGGAACCTCGGAGTAATCCGACGGTCATAGCTTCCGTGAATCTGATCAGAGACGAATTGAGCTCATCAGACTTCGCGATTTTGGAAATCTGCTTGAAGCTGTTCGGGATTTGATCGGAATCGGATCTGAGAAATTCCGTCAGATCTTTGCTGATCACACTAACGGCTTCGGCGGAATCGGACGCTGCTTCGACGAGATTGAGGAGAAGAGTGAAGAGCTTAGCGATTCGCTTCCTTTTCTGGGAAATTGAAGGAGAATGATAAACCCTAAAGGCCCCATAACCAGTCGCAGCTAGTAAAATCCACTTCTTGTTCCTCAGAGCAAAATCAACACCCTTTTTGCCCAACGCTAAATCCATATAACTACAGAATCAGAAATGAAGAAGATAAGACTATTTGAGAGAAATCTCAGACATGTTTAAAACCCTTAAGCTGCTGAGAGCTGCTTACAACACAATTTTCTCGGGAAAATCAATGAGAAAGGAGAAACATTTAAAAACAGAGCAAAAGTATAACAACCAAGAAGGAAGTGGGAAAATTAAAAAATCTCGGAAGGAATGAAAGGAAAAAGAAATAGGAAAATTTTCTGTGAGAAATTGGGAATTGGATAAGAATTTAAATCGTGACGTCAAAGCCAATAACAGAATTGTAACAAGAGAGAGAGAGAAATGAGAGTTTGCGAATTATCTATGGATCGTGGTCCTGAAATATGAAAATCAAGTTGATATGGTGAAGACAAAGGGATATGTGCGTGTGTATTCATGCGTGTCAGAGATGAAGAAAATCCATTGGTTTTATTGGAAGCTTCGAGCATGGGTTGTTTGTTGGGTGGTAAATCAGTTATGGAGTTTTTTTAAAGTTCCACTGTTTCTTCAAATCCTAATCCATAAAATAATGTTTTTTTTATGTCACTCATTTAAAACTCTTATCAGTAAAGTGCATGGTCATGTCTTATCCATCGTGGTTGATGCAGGTAAAATTTAATGCTAATGTTAATTGATAAACACCATCGATAGTTTCGTCCAAAAAAAAAAAAAAAAAAAAAAAAAAAACACCATCGATAGAAAATATATCGATGAGATATCATCGTTGTAAATATTTTAAAATACCGCATTTGGTAGTAGAAGCCGCAATTCAAGAGATTTGTCTCATCAAATGGAACAACCTCCTTCAGTTTGTTGAATAACATGTTCTCATTTGTTCCAAGTTTAGTTTCACACGTAATTCAAGCGGAATACTTTGAATTTCACATGCAATGCAATTCAGAAGTTACAAATCTGAGCTCCAAATTTGAAAAAAAAAAAAAAAAGACAAAATAATATTATAATGACATTATTTAATGTAAAAGCATTGAATATGATTCATTTTCAAGAACGAGCAGCAGCACAGGGCAAAAGAAGCGGTGGATTCACGCTCAAGTTTTTAAGAGGATATCAAAATTCATTCATATATTTTCAAGTCCAAGATAATATTGTAATCAAACTGCTTTTGATATTTTATTTTTCCTACTTTGCTTAACACTTGCGGTTTCTTTTTTCCAACTCTGTTCTTTTGGTTTTTGGTTTTTCTTTTTTCATCAAGAAGAGTAAAAATCAGTGGATAATGGCGGTCCACTTTTCATACGAATGTCCATAAATGGAAATGGGAAGAAAAACAAATTAGTAGTTTGATTTACATGAATCTCCGCCTAACACGTGGACGGTGAGGTGCTAACGCCTTGGAAGAGGCGAGCCGTCGCGTCTCTTTGAAGTCAGAGTTTCATTTCATCGTTAAGCGTACTATTCCACGTGGCAAGGTGTTTCAACACGTGGTATGTTCTTATTCTCCAGTCTCATGACAGTACACGTTTCACCCTTTCGACCCTATCACAGTTCCGAAAGATTCGGAGGATCAATCACCTCACAAAAATATATGCATACCAAAGTTCCAAAAAGCTGATATTTCACTTCACTTGGTTGTCACTTTTTGAAGGAAAGTTGAGTTCCAGTTTCCATGTGAAAGCCTGAAAGGGATGAATTTACACCTAAACATCAAAATGATCTCGGATACGGAAATGAAAGAAATTGTAGGTCGGAAACTCGAAATTTGTTAACTAAAAAATTGATTATTGTGACAAAAAATTTGTGACCATTTACATAACACGTGATGAAATTACGGTCCAGCGAAAAAAAAAAAGAAAATTCAATTAACTACACTGCTTCAAAAGCTTTATGGCTTGTAGGAATTTCTAACATTTCTGTCACCACAAGACCATCATCACAATTTTTGTATCACTTCATGTCACCTTATAAGGAAGTGATACAAAAATATTAACATTTCTAACCGGTTTAGTTTTCATGTCGCCTCTAAATAAAAGTTATCGTCCATCAAAGCTTATCATTTTTCTATCCATTGAAACAACACTACATTAGAGTTTCAAAAGGTTTCTGGTCAACGATTTATAAGAATTTATAACAATTTTTTGTTCATAATTATCATCATACGGTGCTGTTTATTTACAAACCAGGCAGTTTCTTAGAAGACAAGAGTACAAAAGCTATCCACAAACATAATTTGTAATAAACGGATAGGGTCACAATATAGCATCAATGTTCGTCATCAACATTCAAACCCGAAATCATTTGATTCTTCCTTCTTCTCGCTTACCTGACCGGGGACGTGGCACATTCCTCTTCCGATGCAGCCTTTTATGTAAAGATCAAGTCTTAGGTCTGAGGATTAGTCATTCATTTCTTGTAACTCACAGGTACGTCATCATCTTCTTCAAGATCACTGAACGATACGTCTTCGTCCTCATCCACAACATGTTTGGTGGCTCCGGTGGAAGTAACAGTTCCTGCATTATCTTCATCCTTCAACCAATCATCAACATCATCATCTACTTGCACATCAATAACTCTAGGCGAAGAACCAGTGACTGGGCTCTGCACCGGCTTGTCATGTTGAGCTGGTGCTGGTCTTTCTTCAATGACAGGCTTGTCCACAATTTGTACCTCCTTGCTCTCGATTGGGTGCTTCTCTGTCACAAACTCAGCTTTCTCAATCGAATCTATTGCTTCGACAATAATGGTTTTCACTGGCGCTGGTTCTGGTTTTGGTTCTGGTTCCGGTGAAGGATTAACAGGCAGAGAAAGAGGTTCCACAGTCACATCACCAGCTCCTGTATCACTACCCTCTGGCACCGTCACAGTAGCTTTGTTTCTCTTATGCAGCAACTCGTGAGATAACAGTGCTCTTGATTCAAGTACCTTTACGAAAACGCAAAACACAGTGATTCACATCAGAAAAGTTTCACTCTGTTTTTCTCAATGTTAGCTAATACTAGCTATTAAGCATTCCATCAACTTTTCAAAGCCAACTCAAAAGCTACTATTTATGTTCATCATGAGCAGAGAGAATCATCCAATGAGACATAAACCATTATCTCGGATTAGCTTGAAAACTTGTAAACAGAAGAAAAAGATAAGAATGATCAGCAGTGGAGTTGAGAACCAAGCTTACCTGAGAAGTTGAGAGAAGCAAAGCATCCTCTTTGCTGAATTTAGGATGCACAAGTACAAAGTAAATCCTCCAGAAGCACATCTCGCTCATGTACGCTGGGCAAAGTTCAATCCTCAAAGCAGCCAGACTCGACGCAAGCCTATCCACGGCCAGCGCGTGCTCATATTGAGCATCAGTCATTTCAAAGTCTGCAAAATGAAGAGTTTGAAAGAAACTCAAACAACACCTTCGAACATCAAAGAAACATGCTACGAACGAAGGAGGTCACAGAAACAAACACTTTACTCTTCTCTAAACTAAGCTACAATCAAGATATATGACAAGTTCAATTCAAATACCCTAAAGTGATCAGAGCAACAATTTACAACAAAGCCAGGAAATCTTAAGTCTGTGCAAGTCAATTTCAGCATCTATACCGTAATTTCATACTCGTGATAATCGATTCCTTTCAGATTGCAGTAAGAAGCTATAGATTAGTGTAAATATGAACATCTGGTTACAATGTGCAGCGAAATCGAAGACGTACCATCAAAGTTATCGTCCTCGTCAGGGAAGGGGAAATCAAGCCACGTCTCAGGATGCAAAGCAAGATCCCTCGCGAATCCAACTACTTCCTCCGTCACACCAATCGCATCTCCAACATCGAGCTCTTTCGAATCAGCACCGTCCGTTCCCAATTGCAAGAAATTCGAAGCGATCTTCGTAAGCCCCGATACCGGTATGTTTCCGGAGATCTTCGAGATTCCCGTCCTGAATCTACCTCCGATCTCAACAATATCATTCCTGATCCCAGCAATCAGATCCTCATCACCCTCCTTTAGATCCGAAGACCTCCGAGTCTCATCCACATGATCTCCCGTCTGATTCTTCTCCGGAAGATCGGAAGAATCAGGCGGCGGCGCGAGGAAAGAAGCCACACCCCATAGCTGGCTTCTGAAGGTCTTGGTGAGCTCAGAGATATCTTCCTTCACGCCTCGTGGAGACTGTGCTGCCAGCACCGACGGCGAAGACGGTTTATCGGAACCGGAATCTTCATTCGAATTCGACTTGATCTTTTCCTTTCCATCATCATCGTCTTCATCGATCTTCAGTGAATTCGCAATGGATCTAGCAAGCCATGCCATTTTTTTTTCTATTTTGGATCTCTCACAAGTCACAAGTTATCTCAATCGCGCGTCCTTAAACTACACCATTGACGCTACATCCAACCTCGACAAAACGTAGTCGTTTTAGTAATGAAATGGGCTTCATAGCAAAAGCCCATAAAGTTCAAAACTCTAGCCCATTTTGGTTTTTAGCTTACTGTTACTCTGTTGCAGAGTTTTATGTACAGACAAAAGCTCTCACATCAAAACTCTGATGATACACAAACCCACTCAAAACAGAGATTTTGTGCTCAGTCTCATTTCCAAAACAGACAACCAATATAAGCCTGTGTTTTTGTGGGCAATGAATAGCTGAGTAAATAGTTGTATGATTCACATGTCAAATCTCACCATCTTTTCAATTGTTCACAAAAACAGTGTATAGCTCAGATCAATGTAATGGGAGACTTTTGGTCTCCACCACAGCTTATCTTCAACTTATTAGACAAGAATCAGATTCATCACATCGTACTGTACTTTGAGATGTCACTCCATGGAAACAACAGTGTTTGATTCTCCAAGAATCACAATCTTTTCTACTTTTTTCACATTTCAATACAGTAAGGGAGTCTCGGAACAAAGATTGAACTGATGAATTACGAGTAAAAAAGACATTTGTCTAATTTCCTAATCTAAGAAAAGCTAATAACAAAAACAATGAAATTATAAAGAAGGGAAAAAAGACTCAAAAGCTTAAAAAGAGGCTACAAACAAAAGTTCAAGTCAAAAGATTTTTGCTTCTTTTCTGCTGTTTGTGAGTGAGTGGTCAAAAAGCAAAACAACCTCTCACACGAACCATATGAGAGAGTAAAATGGTTCCTTTCTTTCTTCAAATTCTTCTTTTTTCTTTCTGAAAATTGATTGAACCAAAGGCAGTAACTTTACACAGATTTTGCTAATTTCCCAAATGATTATTGTAAAACCGAACCAACACTAAACCGGTACAGACCCATCTTCCCCATGTTTCCATCTGCGGATTGCTTGCTTTCTCCTTTGAATCGTTACCGCCAAAACCAATTGCCGGATCTTCAAACTCTTCATCTCTATATACACACCAAGGCAGAGGCGGATTCACAACTCACATTTCCCCATTCATCATCAACATTCCACCGAAACATGTGATCAAACGGTTACCAAAGATTTGAACTTTTCTTGCTATTGGATCGTCCTTGTGAGTTTGCATTTGGAGATAAACATGGTATCCGAATAATGTAGACTACACAGCTTCAGCAGCTCCGCAGACCGCTGCTTCAACGCCGGATCACACCCGCTCTGAATCACAAGCAAGAGCTTCGCAGCCAAACCAACCTCAACAGCACGAGGAGAACATTCCTCCGGAGCCAACTTACACACAGACCAAAGAATCGAAAGCGCATGGTTCGTGCAACTCTCAGAGACTCTCATCAGCACCTTAACCGTATACGGTATAGTATTCGCAGAGTCTTTCACAGCGACTCTTCCTTCAACATCCGAACACAACGCATCAATCACAAACAGAGCCAACTCCAAACACTCAGGGTCCAAAGACGGTAAAATATCCACTAACTGAGGCACTGCTCCAACCCTAACCATCAAGCTTCGAACTTGCTTATGAACCGAGATCGGTTTAAGCAAACCAAGCGCAGGCGAGACTCCGTTCCTATGTCTCTTATCCTTAACCAACCTCATCAACCCAACGAGCAAGCTATGACTCGAAACCAGCTCCGCTCTAAACCCTTTCTCCTCCACCAACCCTCGAATAAGCTTCGCGCAATTGATCTTCGTCTCGTTCGATCCATCATTCAACATGTCAACAATCAGCGAGACCTTCGCCGGCTGCATCAGCCCGGATTTCGAATCCGAATCAAGATCAAGGCTCACCAGAATCGCAACCGCCTCAGATCCAACGGCGTGGGAAGTGAACGGACCTAAGAGAGAAGAGATCACAGAGACGCCACCTTCTTCCACAACAGTCTTCCTCGCCATCGAATGCGCCACGACGATCTGCTTCAGCTCGCTCAACGCGTGAACCCGAGCTTGTCCTTTCGCTTTCTTCAACGTTCCCAGAATCTCAATCGCTCTTCCCTGAACGTCCTCGGATCGTTTCTTCATCAGCACATACTTCTGAGAGAACCAAGTGTAGATCAAATGGTGGAGGGTTTTGTTTGGAGTCACCGCGTCGTCCCAAAGCTCCTGCATTGTCGTCGGGCAAGTCAAGTGGCCGAGGTTAAACCATTTGTGAATGTTTGACCGCTCGTAGGTTTGACCCGTGCACAGGGTCACAGGATCTTGCATCGGCTCCAGCGAGATTGGGCAGATGAAAACAGAGGGGATTTCCGGTAAATCCAGCTCCTTTATCATCTGCTTCAGATCTAATTTCTCGTCGACTACTCCGCCGCCGCCGTTAACGCCGCCGAGGAGTCCGTCTTTCACCGCCGTGTCCAGATCTAGGACTTGCCCAGCTCCACCGCCTTCGAATCCAATTAGCCCGTCTCTCCTCAACGGCTGAAACATCGGCATTTTCGCCACAAATCTAATGATAAATTCGAGGAAAAATCTAGAAATCGAATAGCTCCTCACAGCATTTGAGAGAATCTAAAATCTCTTTGTGAAGCATTTGATGGTGAAAAAAGAAGAGAAAGAGAGTGAAGAAAAGAAACGCATGTCTTTTTCTGAGAAAGAGAGTTAAGCAAAACACAATCTTCTTCTTCTTCCTCTTTGCCTTTTTTTGTTGTTGTTGGTTTCTTTTTCAACGGTCAAAAAGAAGGTTTCATTCAACTCTAGTTTAATAATTCAACATCATAAACACATGATTGAAGCCCAACCGCACCCAGAAATGTGAATTATACCCACAAATTTCGAGAAACAGAAAAAGGAGAAATCATGAAGAATGAGAAATGGAAAATGAAGAAGAAATTAGAGACGGAAGTACAAACAAATCTAAAGACTTGCACTTTGCACCCAGAAAAATCTCAGAAGGTTAAAAAGAAAGAGAATTTGAGAGAAACCCAGATGACGAAAGGGAGAAAAAAAAATCACGAATTCGTGAGAATGACGAAGAAACCCGTACCCTCTTGTTTGTTTGTTTCTCTCTTACCTTCTTCTGGGGTAGTGAGTGATTGTGTTTTGTTTTTGTTTCCTTGAGAAAGAAAAAAAAAAAACAATTATTAAAAAGAAAAAATGGGGTAAATAAATTAGAAAAGGAAAAGAAAGGGAGAAGTTAAAGATTTCTCGAAAGATTCGGGTTGAAAATTGAAAACAAATAAAGATAAGGTGACCGGTGAATTCACTGGCTATAGCCAGTCGTTTAGTCCTCTCGACTCGCGCACCACACGTGCAAGCTCCACCACATGCCCCCACCTCCCGGTTTCATTTTAATATCAACCTTTTTTAATTATTTTTATTACCTTTGAAAAACTCAGCTGGTAATTTTTAGATTCCCAATTTGTCCCTACATTTTAGATTACAGAGTAATAAACGTTACAAAACATAAAACGTAAGAATAAAGGCACAACTGATAAAATTCTTCTAACACCCTTTCCCAATAAAGAATTAAAAAACTGTTCCTTCAAATAGTATACAAATTATACAATGGAATTTGGAATAATCGGGTTATGTGACTAAATAAATAGTGTATCACTTTTTGTAATAAATATTTTGGATTTAAAACTGAAATGACAGTGAAATTCTAAATCATCTTCTTAATATTCACGCTAACTAAGTTATATACTTTCCCAAAAAAAAGAAAAAAATGTTAAGTAGGGTAAAGTCGTAAATAAAAGAGTAAAGAAAACCCCGCACGTAGTCAAAAAAGCTGATAAATTTCACTAAACTCCAAACACCCACGGGGCAGAGTAACCCGTACAGGTCGGGCACGTGCGACGATAATTTCTAGGTTTAATGTCATAATTAATCTTTTTCATTTCATCTCTTGTTATTAACACCAACAAGTCTTGATTTTGTTCAACCAATACCCTTCTTTATCTTTTTTTTTTTATATATATAAAATTCATATCTCTGTAATAATTCGAACAATTATTTTTGCTAGTGTTATTTTTCATTTTTGATATTTTATGTAGAATACATTATCAACGAATTACAACTTTTCTTGTCCTAACATTAGTATTGGAAAAAAAAAAGGAATAGAAAACGTTTTAGTCATTTCACTGTTTCGCGGATTATTACTAGAACACAGTAACTTCAAAAGAGTTACATACAAAAAAGGTTTAATAGAAACAAAATAAATGTGAAAGAAGGAAATTAAAAAGAAAAAGAAAGAGTGAGTAGGGACCACAAAGCAAAAGCTCCAGCTAGACATTTGACCGTGACAGTGTCTTGCTTTGACTGTAAGCCTCGATCGTCTCTGGGCTGGCTTCTCTAATGTTTGCCTTTGACTGTTCCTTTCACCACTCACACCCCACCACGTGTCCACATCTGCCTCGGCCTCACCCAAACCTTGATTATTTAATTAATTGTTTTCAAATCTTTCATTTTTTTAACAATCTAACCAAATCAAGATAATTTAATAATAGGTGAAAATTGATGGGAGTGGAGAGAGATCTGAGAGACCATGTGTTGTTTTTGTTGCAGTTGAGTACTGACCCATAACTGCAAAGTTTGCTGTCCGAAAAAATACATATTTTTCCATAACAATTTAATACGATTATATTAATTACTGGACCCAAATTTTGAATTGAAAATTGCAGATTCAAATGAAATGGTTTTTGATTTTTTCAGAGTTGGTAATGCTCAAAATGTATTTTATTTTATTTTTGTGGGTGTATGATGAAGTTGGTTCTAGTCAAACTAAGATACTAAAGTGGACCGGCAAGTGTTTTAATGTGATATGACGTGTTTTGTAATCAAGTTTTTTAAGCCTTTGGGATGGGAGATTGATAGGGATGTTATTATCAGAAACTAATAACGAAAATAAAATTGATTAAAATTGATTTTAAGCTGTAATAATACGGACCGAATGCTAATGACTGGTGTGTGAATGGTGGTGGTGGACTAGGGGACCTACGAATAAAAGCGCGCGTAGCAAATTCATGAAAACGAAATAACGAAATTTCAACAACTGTAAGTTAGTTTTTCGTTAGTGGAATGAATAATTTTCAGATAGGTGTAAATAATTAAAAGAGAAAACATAAGCTCAAAGTTTCTAAGCTAAAAATTTGGCATTTTGAACATCATTGTTATTTGAGTCATTTTTTATTTTATTTTACAAAAAATAACTCGAATCTTTTTACAAAACAACAATTATATATTTTTTAGAAAAAACAACAATTATATATTGAATTTATTTTTAGACTAGATGGTGTGATCCATGGTTTTTACACCCAGTTTATATTTTAAAGGTGATTGTAACCGTTGAATAGTCTACTTATTAATTCTCATAACATCATCGTTAATCACTCGAGTCTTTTAATAAAAGTAACAATAATATACAAGAATTTTAGTAATTAGTCAGTGATTCATGCTTTTAACGTCTGACTTATATTTTCAAGGTGATTGTAACCGTTGAATAATTTATTCATCAACTTTTTAAATATTAACGTTATTCGAATCATTATTCTTTTAATTTTAATAATATAACTCGAGTCTTTTTACAAAACAACAATAATATATAAGATTTTATATAACTAGATGGTTATCCACGCTTTTAACGCCTCGCTTATATTTTCTAGGTGATTGTAACCGTCAAATAGTCTATTCATTAAGTTTTTTAACATCATTGTTTTTCGAGTCATTTTTATATAAAATATATCAAGTCTTTTTACAAAACAACAATAATATATAATGATTTATTATAAATGGTTATTCACGCTTTTAACGCCCGACTGTAACCGTCGAATAGTCTACTCATTAAACATCATCGTTTCTCGAGTCACTTTTATATAAAATAACTCGAGTCTTTTTACAAAACAACAACAATATATAAGATTTTCTATAACTAGATGGTTATCCACGCTTTTAACGCCCGATTTTATATTTTCTAGGTAATTGTAACCGATGAATTGTCTATTCATTAACTTTTTTAACACATTTTTTTTTAGTCATTCTTATATAAACTATGTCGAGTCTTTTCACAAAACAGCAAGAATATATAATGATTTATTATAAATTGTTATTCACGCTTTTAAGGCCCGAGTTATATTTTGTAATGATTGTAACCGTTGAATAGTCTACTCATTAATCTTTTTAACATCATCGTTTCTCGAGTCATTTTTATATAAAATAGCTTGAGTCTTTTTACAAAACAAAAATAATATATAATGATTTTCTATAAATGGTTATTTACGCTTTTAATGCCCAACTTATATTTTGTAATGATTTTAACTGCCGAATAGTCTACTCATTACCTTTTTCACGTCATCTTTTCTCGAGTCATTTTATATAAAATAGTTCGAGTCTCTTTACAAATCAATAATAATATATAATGATTTTTTATAAATGGTTATTCACACTTTTAATATCATCTTTATATTTATGTGGTGTTTGTAACCAGGCCCGGCCCTTAGCATATGCAGTGAGTCTCCAAAATTAATGGACCAAGACCTGTTTGTAATCATGCATTAGTTTACTTACTCACTAGCTTTTTTTAATAAACTATTTTTAATAAGACTAAAACATCACACTTTTTCAACTAGCTTAATGAAAATGGTTTAATAGTTATACTTCTACACTTAAGAATTGATGGTTTGCCTATATTTAAAGGACAATTCCTCAAAAAAAAAACACTGACCCCCTTACCACTTAGTTTATAAAGAAAATAATTATGATAAATTTATTGGTCCAATTCCTAAGAGTGTAAAGGTTTATACTTATATTAGGATTTGATTTCTAGATAGCGTAGTTTCTATATGGATTAATGGATATAATTTTATAAAGCTTGACTATCCTGTAGGCAAAGCTTCCATCGTGGTCTCGTCTGTTGTGAGAAGAATTAACATGAATGTGTTGCAAGTAGAATGGTTTGTCGTAGATTTGTATGTTACATAAGAGGCCATGGCATCGATCAACATGAATGTAAAATACTGCAATGTTTTTATCTTTGCGAATTTAGCCAATATGTTATAGCAATAAAGAGGAAGTATGAAACAATTGCGAAGAAAATACAAAAGTAGAAGCACGAGAGAATAAAAGAAGGTATATACTGCATTACTACGCGTATTCTAAATTATTTATTCATCATCTTTGATTCTTTAGCGTTTCTAGCCATCGATTGTCACGTGACGCTCTACCCCTAAATCTATATCTATATAGTGTGTAGTTGTACATTCACATGCATGATGCACCTATATATGTAAATTATACATGTTTGAATTCAATTTTGCCGATACCAAAAGTTTTTGTTGGTACGCTTTTCGAAACCCACAGGCTATGATCTAAATAGTAAATAATGCGTTAAACTTTACCCTCAATTTTAGATTTGATTTTTAGTACGTATTAGGCTGGTACATATCTTCTATGACATCATGGTATTTAAATCTTTGTACAAATTTTGGAATAGTTTGAGATAATCTTGCTTGATGTATGTATCATTTTTATTTTTGAAGCTGTCGCAATGGCTAGAGAAGTTTGGATAAAACAAAAAACAAGAACTAATCCAACCGGGTTTATGCATGATACGTGAGTTCCAAAACAAAGGGATGATCTATGTGTATGATTTACAGATTTAGTCGTGGATTGGAGCCATGAACCATATTGATACAACGATGCTGATCAAATGGGATGTCTTGGGCTAAGTTCATATATGGGCCAAAACTACTACCACACTAAGTAGTGGCATGGTTCATGCTCTATAACCAACCTTTTAATTTTCTAGATTGAAAAATTGGTGTCGATATTTATGAAATGATCATTTCGGAAAACACCATAATAATTTTAAACATCTAATTACAAGAAATGTATAACTAGACACGTTTAAGAAGATATATCACATTCATAATTTTGTTATTAGAAATTCATTGATCAATTATGGACTTTGTCTTCTCTTTGATCATGTCTAACTGATTAACTGTCTTGAAATATTTGAGCTTTTCTTCGTCTTACATCTCTTTCGATCCCATATAAACCTTATAATATAAATTCTTGTATATATCTTTGATTTCCAATTCTTAGAGAATCCAATAATGAAAGGGAGGAGCATAAAGAAAGAGAACATCTTCGCATGGTTGGTGAAGGCTCCTTTCCGTTTGTTGATCAAGGCACGTGACGCCTACATACGTAGCATTACGTCATTCTCCGGGGCCGGAATCCTTGCCGCCGGCGGATCCTCTGCTTCTGGTCAACTCTCAGGAAACTTCCAAATTTGTGATCCTCCCAACACCGACCTTCCCCGGAGCTTTACCTTGACCTCGACGTCACGTGGCAGAAGATCTCTAACGGCGATGAGACAATCGCCGCCATTGGATCGCCGGAGGAACTATAGATGTGTTGTCGTGATGGGACGAATCGATGAGGAGATTTCTTGTGATGATGAGTTTGACTTTGAAGAAAATGACACTTTTCTTGATTATGGTAAATGCGAGATTTTTCACAAAAAGTAAATAACACAGAGATCATATGTTGATCAAGAAATAGATCATATTGTTGCAATGTTATTAATTTCGAAATTCGAAGTACGGATCAACCGGAAAAAAAATGTCAAGTACAGTGTGATGTATAAGAAAGCTTTTAGGTTGTTCCAAAATTTACATTACATAATGGAATTATAGCAGAAAGTTTTACTTTTAGCTAAAACAATGACATTGATAACACTACGTAACAAAAGTTGTGAATTAAATATAACTTTGACATTGACCATTACGCCATAAACCATGTTCGTGTTAAACTTGAAATTGAGAAAGAAGTCAGAGACCAAAGAAGATGGAAGAAAAACAACAGAAATTAGACTGATATCGTTAGCACCTCATGGTATAATACGCTGCAATGATTACGATAAATGGGCCTATTTTATATCTACCAGGCCCAGGCTCATAATATATTCACTCTCTCTTATTATTACACAAAATACACCGATTTTAATTTGTTTTTGATTAATAATAAATCCGCGCCTTCCGATTGTTCATCCAAAAACAAAACCCAGAAAAATCGATGGAACACTCATCAGTCTTTGTGCGAAGAAGCTCCGATTTCATTGTCGTCATTCTCTTTCTCAATCTCATCTCCGTCGTCTCCTCCGACGAACTTGTCTTCCGTAAGTTTTCTTCCTTCTTCTTCATTCTTCTCTTTCGCCGTCTAGTGTTGGAGAATGGTTTAGACTTGACAATCACCAAAATGAATAATTTTTTCGAGAGATTTAACAATACCCAAAAAGATCCAATTTTGATTATTTCTCCCACAAACAATTTCTGGTTGTATCGTTGTTACGAACAGTTGTGGGAGAAACTGTGTCACAGCAAGTGACTCCGAGAACAGAGGTGGTGATGGATTCTTCTAACAGAACATCGATATGTGAGAGGTTACATGTCAATGGATTACAAAGGCTTGAGCACATTGATAAATACGCACATTCACTTAAGTTGATCCTTTCGAGCAACATATCCAACAATCCAAGAACAAGCATAGACGTTTGCTTCCACAGGTAAAAAAAACAAACAATCTGTATCAATCTCAAGCTTGAATATGGCTTAAAACAAAAACCAATGTTTAATTGTAGAAACTCGTCGCGTGGGATTGGAATGTGCCCTCATAATCAGTGGAAGAGACTATCCAAAGGCTCATGGGTTGGGGTAATGTCACCATTCGACTACAAGATTCTCGATATAAGAACATTTGGTGGCTCAGGCTCATCTAAAGCAATCACCTTGGAATTTTCTGCCAAACAAGGTAGAGACTTTGTCTTTTTTTTGTTCTTGTTATATAATCTCTTGTGTTTTGCAAATTCTTAAAAACTTATTTATCTATTTGCAGAGTTCTTCATGTACCGTATAGTGTTTTTAGTGATGGGGGTTGTGTTGCTGAGTTTTTCTTCTACGTTGAGTATCTCATTGGCGTTTTACTACTTTTGTGCCATGTCTATGGGGATTATCATTCTTGTTACTCTTTTCATTTCTCAGGTAAAACGTGCAAATTTTTTGCTTGCAATGTCATGATTTCTCTCCGGCTAAACTGATTAAATGGTTGTGACTAGGGGGTTAAGAGACTCCCAAGTAGAGGGAAGAGTCGGCTTGAGTTGTTTCTTTACTCATCCATGGTGATTTGTCTTGTCTTCTTCTCTTTCTCAAGATTTTAACTGAACATTTACTAAATAAACCCTTTTTTAATTTCTCAGATTGGTGTGGGAGGTTACTTTCTTCAATACATACACGGTTTAATTCAACATCTGCTAATGCAGATAGGAATCAGTGAAGATTTGTACAACACTGTATGTAAGTTTAGATTTTTCTCAGTTGCTGTTACTACACATATACATAATTGATGAAACTGAAACGGATTATGTTGAAATTGGCAGCTGGTGACTCTTCTGGGTGCGTTTGTGTGTTTGTTTGGAGCATGGTCAGGATTCTGGACTGTCAAGAGACTTCTTGTGACTAAATATGGTTCTATTGACATTACCACATCAATCTTTGTCTCTTGGACCATCCGAGCTTTTGCCGTTCTTCTGATCCTTCAGGTTTTTTACTTTATTTCTCATTTCTACAACTTCTGATTCCTCTTTAGTTAATTATAACCAAACATGATCTTCTGTTAATTAACAGAGCTCTGTAGATCCTTTGCTTGCTGGAGGAGCGTTGATATCTGGAATTCTAATCTCACAGCTTCTAAAGAGTATCAGCAGAAAGATGTTATCGCAAAGAATCTATGAGCAAGATGATGAAACTGAGAGTTGTAGCCATGCTACTACCACCTTTGCTTCTCCTTTTCCTAAAGGTTGTAAGTTATTTGCCCTTAGTGTCTTTAGGGGTCTATCATTTACTCTGTAGTGTTCTCAAAGAACCGGTCTTTTTGCAGGAATCAACAAGAAGTTGCCGAGGACAATAATACCACTATCTGATTCAGATACATTTCCTTCTTCATTCCACAAAACACCACAAGGGAGAAGAAAGTTAACCAAGGAAGAGTTGGAGAAGTTCAGTAGAGAGAGCACGGAAAAGGCGGTGATGGAACTGGTTTCTTCACCCGGTTTTGGCGAATGGGCGGCGAAAAACGCTAAAAGAATCAGCGTTAATCCAAGAGAGGAATCGTCCGGTGAATTGACTGATACGGTTAAGCGGCGGAGATGGCTTCTGAAAAGCTGAAACTTTTGAACCAGTAGAGTGTAGAGACTCTTCACCGAGTCTTGTAACTTTGTAGGGTACAAATGTTGTAACATGTAAAAGCCCTTTATTGTGTTATTTTCTTAGGTTGCTTGTCTACAAAGCAACAAGCATCTCTTACAGATTTCTTAAAGAACAAGAATGAGTCTTATTTATGAATGGATTGTAAAATCAACATGATCTAAGTTTCGTTCTCAGGTTTCTCAATGCTGATTTTTAGCAGAGTATTAATCAAGGCTATGTTTTTTTTTAATAATGGGAGATTTAAGATGCTTTTAGCAAAGAATAATCTTGATTCTTGACCAGTAAATTAAGATGATACTTTTCCATGTGAAGCTCAATACATAGATTAATATCAACTTGAATAATGGAAGATGATGTCTTATGATATAATAAACGATGGAACCAAAAAGTCATCTTTTTGGTAATGGGGTGAAAATTTCTATAGCAATGTAATTTGAATGATTCCATAAAGTTAGTTGGTCTCTCTCACACTTGTAATTTAAGATTAGTCCTTGGAGAGAACATGTCTTTTGTCTTCTAAACCTCCTTTATTAACATCATCATTATCACTAATCATATTTTCATTCCATCTAACAGCGAATAAGAAGCAGAGACAGTTCGTTATAAAGAAAGGAAAAAACTTGAGATAAGAGCATAACAGAGAAGAAGATGAATCAAGATCATCAACATCCCGTTGGTGCTCCTCCTCCCCAAGGTAAGCCAAAAAAATTTATAACTTCTTTTTCATATTTTTTTTCTTGATTTTAAAATTTCCAATGTTGTTTTAAAGGGTATCCTCCAAAAGAAGGATATCCACCGCAAGGATATCCTCCGCCGCCACAAGGGTACGGTCAAGGATATCCAGCACAAGGCTATCCTCCGCAATATCCTCCAGGTCCACCGTATTATGGTAAGGCTCCACAAAAGGAGAAGAAAGACAAGGACTCAGACTTTCTTGGAGTATGGTGCGTTGACCAAATCTCTATATCTTCTTCTTTTTTTGCATTCTGATGTGGCTTTGAATTGAACGGATTGATTTATTATATCTTTGCTTGCAAATGTTACGTATAACAGTTTGGCAGCGCTATGTTGCTGTTGTCTCTTGGATGCTGCTTGCTTCTGATTGGAGGATGAGATGATATATTTGCTGTCGAAATGTATTTTTTAAAATGTTGAAAAGACGTGTTTGATCAATATTTAGATGTATTTTCTTTTGGTTTTGTGTGTGTGTACGTATATGTGTCTTCACGTTCTGTGTGTTTGTGTGTGTTTGTTTGTTGCTGTTCTTTATTTTTATATTTTTGGTTACGAATTCAAATTTGACTTGTTTATTTTATTTTATGATTCAAGATATGCTGCGCATCTTTTTTATATGTTAAAATATGTTGTCACTTGTTTGAAAGCAGTTTGATGTCTTTTTAATTCTCATCAGATTCTAAAGAGTCTCAGCAGAAAGATGTTATCGCAAAGAATCTATGATCAAGATGATGACTCTGAGAGTTGTAGCCATGCTACTACCTTTTCTTCTCCTTTTCCTAAATGTTGTAGTTATTTGCTCTTAGTGTCTTTAGGGGTCTATCATTTACTCTGTAATGTTCTCAAAGAACCGGTCTTTTTGCAGGAATCAACAAGAAGTTGCCGAGGACAATAATACCACTATCTGATTCAGATACATTTCCTTCTTCATTCCACAAAACATCACAAGGGGGAAGAAAGCTAACGAGAGAAGAGTTGGAAAAGTTCAGTAGAGAGAGCACGGAAAAGGCGCTGATGGAACTGGTTTCTTCACCCGGTTATGGCGAATGGGCGGCGAAAAACGCTAAAAGAATCAGCGTGGATCCGAGAGAGGAATCGTCCGGTGAGTTCACTGATACTGTTAAGCGGCGGAGATGGTTCTGAAAAGCTGAAACTTTTGAACCAGTAGAGGTCTTGTAACTTTGTAGGGAACAAATGTTGTAACTTGTAAAAGCCCTTATTGTTTTTTTTTTCTTAGGTTGCTTGTCTACAAAGCAACAAGTATCACTTACACATTTCTTAAAGAACAAGCTATCATTTATGAATGGATTGTAAAATCATCATGCTCTAACTTTCGTTTTCAGGTTTCTCAATGTTGGTTTAGCAAAGAGTATTAATCATTAATCAAGGCTATTTTTTTATTATTATTATGGGAGATTTAAGATGCTTTTGGCAAAAAATAATCTTGATTCTTGACCAATAAAGATGATACTTTTCCATGTGAAGCTCAATATAAAGATTAATATCAACTTGAATAATGGAAGATGATGTATTATGATATAATAAACGATGGAACCAAAAAGTCATCTTTTTGGTAATGGGGTGAAATTTCTATAGCAATTTAATTTGAATGCTTCCACAAAGTGAGTTGGTCCCTCTCTCACACTTGTAATAGTTTTTTCAATATTTGTTAATCTATAAAGATATAAGATTGGTCCTTGGAGAGAACATGTCTTTTGTCTACTAAACCTCCTTTATTAACATCATCATTATCATTAATCATATTTTGTTCCATTTAACAGCGAATAAGAAGCAGAGAGTGTTCGTTATAAAGAAAGGGAAAACACTTGAGATAAGAGCATAACAGAGAGAAGATGAATCAAGATCATCAACATCCCGTTGGCGCTCCTCCTCCTCAAGGTAATTCCCAATTTCGTTTTAACTTCTTTTTCATATTTTCTTCTTGATTTTTAAGTTTCCGATGTTGTTGTCTTAAAGGGTATCCTCCAAAGGAAGGATATCCACCGCAGGGATATCCACCGCAAGGATATCCTCCGGCAGGTTATCCTCCGCCGCCACAAGGGTACGGTCAAGGATATCCAGCACAAGGCTATCCTCCGCCGCAATATTCTCAAGGTCCTCCGCCACAGTATCCTTACCAGGGTCCTCCTCCACCACATTATGGTCAGGCTCCACATAAGGAGAAGAAAGACAAGGACTCAGGATTTCTTGGAGGATGGTGCGTTGACTAAATCTCTATATCTTCTTCTTTTTTGCATTTTGATATGGCTTTGAATGTAACGGATTGGTTTATTATATCTTTGCTTGTGAATGTTACTTATACATATGTGTGTGTGTTTGTTATTACAGTTTGGCAGCGCTCTGCTGCTGTTGTCTCTTGGACGCCTGCTTTTGATTGGAGGATGAGATCATATATTTGCCGTTGACCGTCTTTGAGGATGGATGCTGTCGAAATATTTTTCTAAAATGTTAAAAAGACGTGTTTGGTCAAATATTTAGATGTATTTTCTTTTGGTTTGTGTGTGTGTATATGTGTCTTCACGTTCTTTTGTGTGTTCGTTTGTTTCTGTTCTTTATGTTTGGTTATGAATTCAACTTTGACTTCCGGTCTTGTTTATTTTATTTTATTGACTATGATTCAAGATATGCTGCGCATCTTTTTTATATGTAAAAATGTGTTGTCACTTGTTTGAAAGCATTTTGTTGTCTTTTTAATTCTCATCAAATGTAGGAGTGAAGTACCTAAATTGATCAATCATTGAGGAAACAACATATACCACAAATGATTTTGTAGCTTATTTGGAATCAAAATCGATTAACTACTTCTCAGTACGAAAAATAATAACTAGCATAGCCAAATTTACACTTCTTTACTCATATGGAAGATGAAGATTAATGAGCAAGTGTTTGTAGATAAGCTTATAAAACTATCCTAATTTCATACTTCCATTAACACAGTTCGCCTCATGATTAAAAAGTATTTAAACTAATCATAAATGTCCATTATATTCAAACTAGTTCCATTTAAGGTCGTCTCAAACATTTATATGGCACATTCACCCTTCCTCCAGCCGGAAATTCAACTGAATTGGTCCCTCTGTCGAATTCTCGATGCCCCATTTACGAAGGTTACCATACAACTCAGATAAGATTAAGCTCTTTAAACTCAAACAAATTACACACTCTCCAAAAGGCAAAAATTTCAAAGGGGTGTGTTTTTGTAACTGAGTTAAGTTTAAGGCGAATTTGTAAACCAAAGAAAAATAAAGGGTTACGGTCAAGCAACCTCAAATTAAGCCAGGGTACGGAACGTACAAGTATCCGTTAATTTTCAAAGTACTTGCTAGTTGCTACCTAGTTTGGTTCATTCAAGACTTCAAGTAATCATATGTGTTACTTGAATCTGAAATATTTAAAACGATAAAAGAATTCCAAAATCTTTTTTTTGGTTACTAAGCTCTAATTAAAATGAATTTCAACATTTTAGACATAATTTTTTTGTTGGATTTTGTATTTATGTTGGTAGAAATAAACATAGTAACTTTTTAAGTGTAAGTAAAAATTGTACCAAATAAGAGTAACAAACAACAAGACAAACAATGGACTAACTATTAAAGATACTTGATACTTCACCCATACTTCTAAGTTGTAAATAAGAATTTTGGTTACTTATTTACCCTGTTTGACCATAATAAATATAGGTTTAGTAAGCCGGATACGAATTAAGTAGCAATTACAAGCTGACGAATAACGTATCATCATGTTTGTCAAATGACAAAACTTATCTTTTTTTTTTTCAAACCGGATACGAATTAAGTAGCGATTACAAGCTGTCTAACAACTTATTACCATGTTTGACAGGGATTTAAACTTATCTTTTTAAGCCGGACACGTAGCGATTACAATCTTTCCAACAACTTATTACCATGTTTGACTGGATTCGAACTTATCTTTTCAAGCCGAATACGAATTAATTAGCGCTTACAAGCCGCGCCGAATAACGTTTTAGCCGGCTTAACCATGATTAGGTAGAGATTACAATCTAATGGTGCTCAGCCCTTATCTTAAACACATCATTACCCTACAACCTCCATCTCTCAATCCAATATAAAGCTCTTAACCTTTTTTATTCTCTCTTCTTCTTTATTCCTGGTGGGCGTGCGTGCCGTTCCTTTCCATGGTCATTCGTCCTTGTAAGTTTCGATTTCCCCCCTTGATTTTAATCTTATCTCTTGCTGAATTTTGCTTAGTGAATGGTCTCGAATTGTTTACGTAGTCTCTGGCATTTCTGAAGAAACTTGGGATGATTTTTGTCTTCTACATCTGATTTGTTTCACGTTTTCTAAAGTGTGATCCTTTTTGTGAATGGTTTCATCTGTTTGACAGAGACATTAGAAGTTTACTTGTCGTTGTCGTGTCTGTTTCTGGAGAATTCTTGTGAAATGGGAGGCCCAAAGCAGAAGTGGACATATGAAGAAGAAATGGCTCTTAGAGCTGGAGTTGTTAAGCATGGACCTGGAAAATGGCGCGCTATAGTCTTAGACTCTCAGTTTCGCTCAGCTTTGAAGTATCGCACAAATGTGGATCTCAAGGTATGAAACAAAATAACAAGAACTTGAATGAGAAGGTGAAAGCTAAAGAGAAAACTTACATAACATTTGTTTTGGTTTGAAACACTTTTACAGGACAAGTGGAGAAATTTAAATGTATCAGGTGGTGGATCTAGGAAGAAGTCAAAGCCTGCTCAGAAGAAGACTCGTTCGTCGAGATCTAAGAAGAATGATGATAATGATACTGATACAGATATGGATGAGGCTGATGGTGATGATGCAGGACAAGAGATTGTTCCAACACCTCCTCCTTCACCTCCTTCAGGTTCTGTTGACCCACCAACTGATTTTGACGGACCATATGCAAGGTTTGGGTCTTCTTCTTGTTTTGTAATGAGATATCTAAATTATGTGTTTGAAATCTGAGCTCTTATTTATATGTGTTTGTAGTGTGGATAAGATGATAGTGCAGGGCATTAACATCTCAAACGATGGTCTCGACAGAAATTTAGTCTTGCGGTATATAGAGGTACACACTAAGCACTCCGTCAATGTCTATTCGTTGAGTTTTTGTTTAGGCAATGGTTGCATGATTGATCAATCATACCAAGGACTTAGTGAAGATGTAAAACTTTTTTCAGATGATTCTGCCGGATATGAAAAATGTTGTGACTTCAAGACTCAAGTACTTGACCAACGCTGGAACATTGCTTAAGGTAAAAAAAAAAAAGAGATACCCTTTGATCTGAAGTTTCTGCTGACAAAATCAACATTTAACATTTTACTCATTTTAACAATGTGTTTCTTGATTTTGGTCTAATGCTTCAGATAAACGGCAAATACAAGATGCCTCCGGGCTATCAGACTGCAGGAGCAGAACAAATGTCTCCTCCTCAACTCCAAAACCTTTTGGAAGAAAACATGGAGAATACTCCAAACCCTGAGGAGAATGGTGTCCAGAGTCTTACTAACGGAGTGTTAGATAAGACAATGGGCATGACAGTGGAAGAAGCTGCTGCAGCCGCTGCAAGAGCAGTGGCAGAAGCTGACTTCGCAATCGCTGAAGCTGAAGCAGCGGCAAGAGAGGCGGATGAAGCAGAGGCCGCAGCCGAAGCTGCTCAGATTTTTGCAGAAGTGGCCATGGAATTTTTGAAGTGTAGCATGCATGGCCAAGCTTGGTAAGAAGTTAGAAACTCACTGATGGTGTAAGATTAGTTCTTCTCAAACAGTGTTAAGTTAGCAGCTTGTTATGTCTCCTAACTTAGACAACTATGTAGAACCTCATTTCTTCCCTTTTCTTTTTCGTTTTGTAAAACCTCATTTCTTCCCTTTTCTTTTTCGTTTTGTGAAACCTCATTTCTTCCTTTTTGCTTTTTCTTTTCTGAGGATCTGTTTTTGCTAGTAACTTTAAAGGTTTCTTGTGACCCATTATTGAAATTGGTTTGAAGAGAAATAAATAAGATCTTTGATCATAAACACTGCTTATATCCTAATTCTTGGGTCTAAACTCTAAACTTTATAATGAACGCCCTAAATGTTCAGAAGATTATCATAAACTGAGCCAGCCACTTGTGTAATTGCTGCTTCCGAAATTGCAAATGCTTAATTATAGAAGAGGATCAACATCTAATATACAGAGACAAGACAGGACCAAACAAGGCAGGACAAGAAAACAAAGACAAACTCGTGTTGCAATCATCATCAACCAGACAACACAGGAAGACTAAGAAAATCTTGGAAGAGAGAATATACGTTGTTTTTAGTTCTTAGATTTTGAATGCTTTACAAGCCAATCAATCACCTGATCAATGTTGGTAGAGTTCTTACAGGATATCATGAAGCAGCATACTTCTCTATCTGCAAGCGACTGAAGTCCCCTGCAATCACAAAAGGAATAAAAAAACAATATCAGTTTTGATGCCTTTTACTCTGTTTATGAAGTGTTCAGATGAAGTAACAGCTATTACATTTCGTCTGTCAAGGCTTCTTTAGAGAGAGCTCCAGGTTTGTCGATTTTGTTCCCAAGAACCAGCAGAGGGATACCGTTAAGAGAAGACTTGCTCAGCAAATCATGGAGTTCACTTTTGGATACACTTAGGTTGTCATGATCTGCAGCATCAACTACGTACCTGGAAAAAGGATTCAACATGAAAACAAAACTTGTGGGAGATGTGAAAGAGAATAGAAAACATGAGTCTTGAGAATCCTTACACAATGGCGGAAACAGCGCGGCAATAACGTTCCCACATGCTGCGGAATCTTGGTTGACCACCAAGATCCCATAGTTTGATTGTAACGTTTCCTTTTGTCACTTTCCTCATGTTAAACCCCACCTGAGACAAACGAAGAAGACAAGAAGAATCTCTTTTATGTTACTCCAAGACGGAAAGACGCAATTTATAAGAAATGTGGTGTAACGCTTACCGTAGGAATCATGTCTTCACTGTATCCACCGGTCTAAGCAAGAAAAAAGATGAGAGTGAATATCAGATCCCCAATCACCATTAACTGAGTGTTGAGAGAATGTAACACTTACTGCAACAACGTTTACAAGTGATGTCTTCCCTGCATTTTGAAGTCCTATCAAAGAAAGCTCCATTTCTTGCTTGAAGAAGAGGCTGCAAAAGCATTTACAAACAAGCAAATGAATCGATCCACTCGCAATTCCAAATCAAAACACTTTTTTTTCCACATAATTAGACACCAACAGGTTTGATGAATCTTTCATGAAACTTTGAAATTCATAGAATCTGTTTGACACTATGTGCCTTGATAAAAAAACACATTTTTCCACAGTAAGATGAAGTTTCTTGCTTCCACAACTCCTTCATAGACCAAATTAATCACACCGATCACTTAAATGCTTAGTTTTCTTCTTCCCCTAAGAAACGAATTGCCTAAAACCCCAAAACTTGGAAATCGAATCGAAAAGATAGATTTTAAGGTCACATCAAATGCATGAAGAAATTTAGAGTTTGTTGCTTTAAAAGGATAAAACCTACAGAAGAATCAGCTTCAACAAATCAAATTAGAATGAGAAACGATTCCAGTACTGTTGAGCTGATTACGTTGATGTAATTTGGTTGCTATACGATTTAATTCCACAAAAATCTCCCAATTTCATGAACAAATTTCTAAATTCGGAAATTTGAGTTAGAAACAACGAATAATCCAATATTTAGAATTCGAATCAAAGTTTTTTCAGCTCGATATAATCAAAACCAAAATCAAAAGACTGAATTCGAAGAAGAAGACATCTTAAAAAGGAAGCTCTCACCTACGAAGCCAATTGAGAAAAGCTTCAAACAAACCCATTGATGATTCACAGAAGAAACTCAAAAAGCTCCGAGAGAGATTCGGAAACAGATCTCTCTGACGGTAAATAGAAGCTTCTTCTCCTCGTTCGTCGCCAACTGAATGATCCTCGCTCGGTGATATATCTCCGTCTCCAGAGAACGGCGAGCTAAAAGAGTCAAAGCCACGAGATCCGGACCGTTTGTTTTTATTCTGGTACTGCTAATCAACGGTGCCGATCTTGTTAGAATTGCATTATCGGTTTTTTTGGTTTGGTTGATAGACCGAAAGTCATGGGGCTGCTATTTTAAATAATTCGGGTTTTATTTAATTTCGGATTGGCCAATGAGAGGGGAGATATGATGCCAGATACACCAGAAGTTCGGAAAAAAGAATGGATAAATCACCTAACCACTCGCGTTATAGAAGCGCGTCTCGGACACGTACGTCCACAGTTTTTTAGCCGGTGCCGCCAAGAAATTGGCGGTGATACTGGCGATCGTAAGGTGTTTTACACGTGTCGTGACAATCTTACTAATTTGCTTATGGGTTTTCTCCATATCATGGGCTTTTAATTGACCCACCAGTAATGGTCCTACCCAGATATAATAATTTCACTGTTGATGAATTATTACGTTCTTTGAACAACATCCAAGATTTTATCAGTAAAATAGTTTGGTTTTCAAATGATAATAACTTATTTATTAAGTGATTTTGATAAATGTCTTTGAATTATGACCTAAACTGTATTTGGCATTTTTGTTTTGTTAACTAAATTAGCGTAAGATTTTTTGTCACAAATATTGGGGTAAAGTATTGACAACATTGACTAGTGTTTCTGACGATGCTACATTTACTAATGTTGTTAGATAGAAGAAGGAAAAAAACATTATGTTGAATCGGAATGTGTAAACTTGATTATTTTTTAAAACATTCCTTATGTTCTTTGCATTTAAACATTCAAAAGTTGGATTCATTACTCTCTTATGTTGGGTTCATTAACTGTAAACATGATAAATGATCAACAAGAGACAAGAAAAAGTGAAAAACGAATTGGTCAACTACTAAAGCCGTTAGGGTTAACACTTTCTTATTGCATGAATTCGGAATTCTTCAATTATTGATTTTTATAAAAAAAATAACAATACTCGAAAAAACTCACACTAAAACATAATACACCTAAAGATGTAACTTATTGAATTCACTGTCATAATTCAACGATGATGCCCGTGTGTGTTTATAGATGATTACAAAATTACATAGCTCTTAAGAAAAAGTTAGAATTTTTGAGATTTAGGATTATATTAGAAAATGGACAAACATTTAGTACTATGTGCAAAGTATAAAATTGCATAATTTGTTTGTCTCAGTTAAAAACACTTTCGGAGCTGTTAGACTTATTAGGTTTATCCAGGGATTCTAATCATTTTGGAAAAAAATGGAATCATACGTGGTGGTAAATGATAGAGTTTGTTTGGCAATTCAAGCAGCCATCTGGTTTGTGTGTCGGGGCTCTGAATATCAACATCACGCTTTCAAAATATCACTTACAACTATTTTTACAAGAAACTGAAAACTTTTTAGAATACAATTTAGCGTAATATAGAAGAAATGTAAATGTTTTCATGGATCATTTACTTACTGGTTGACTAATTTCTCTCTTAATTACTGGTAAAAAAGTATTTTAAAGCTCTCTTTAAAAAAGAAAATTGAAACTATATAATTACCATTAATGGCTTGACAAAGAAGAAGAAATTAGCATTAATGATTGTAGACTTTGTACACATGTTGGAAATATATTAACGGGACAATCATTACATTTCTTAAAATGAGATAATTAACCAGAACAGCAAGATCCCAAGTACAAAATAAAAAGAAAAAAACACAAAAACCAGAAGAAACTCATCAGACGAGTAAAAGAACTTATCGGTCTCTCGTCCTTTTGGTCGCACGTCTGAATCATCATCAAAGACTTCTCTTTGTCCCCGTGACAGATCCTTCTTAACCAATCGTCACCGACCCAATTCCTTTTTTTCCCCCAAATCTAACTCCTGGGTTCTGTAATTCACCTCCGTAATTACGTCCCCAGGCTCTACCTTCTTCACTCACCGGAGAATCTGTAACAATTGTACTTTGTACATCGCAATTTGGTGTTTTTTCTCCAGCCATTGTTTAGCTCGGAGAAAGCTTAAGTTTTTAAGAACCTCCCGGATTGTTACATGCCGGAAAATTCGTCTTCGGCTGGTCTTTCTGGTGAGATCCCGAGGACTCTCTCTCCTAATTTCTGTGTTTCATTGAACCTTTTGATGGAAATTAGTGCCTAGTGGTCTTTAGTGTTTTAGCTTCTGTTTCTTTGGATCTGGTATCGGAAATTGTGCTTACTCTTTTGCTAAATCATCTTGCCGAATTGACTCCCGACATTCTCTAAATCTCATTTGATGAATTCGCCAGTATCTGTGGAACCCACAATTTAAGAAATCTCCCCAGAGTAATTAGCTTGAATTAGGGGCCAAAACAAAATCTAGCTTGCTTATTTAGAACACTTGCTTTAAATGAAGACACTTACATTTGAATGCTCTGTTTTTTTTTTTTGGTTGGATCTAGGTTGCGTATTGTAGAGATAATAAAACTTGGAAGAAAGAAAGAAATAAAAGAAAATGAGGATGGTGAAGAACAAACACAACAAGAAACAACCAGCAACGTCATCGTTACTGCGTTGTTCACCGGTTTCTTTAGTCTTATTATCAACAGTTGTGGGATGCGTTTTCATGATTCATCTAACAATGTCATACACCAGAAACTCCAGCGTAGATCTCGAAGTCTCTTCTCCTCGCTTACTAACCCACCATCCGATCGTCCACGAGCTCGAACGTGTCGAAGAAGAGAACATCCACATGCCTCCTCCTCGAAAACGCTCTCAGCGAGCCATCAAACGGAAACCGAAAACACCAACCACGTTAATCGAAGAGTTCCTCGACGAGAACTCGCAGATCCGACACCTCTTCTTCCCCGACACGAAAACCGCTTTCGGTCCAACCAAGAACCCCAACGACACGTTACATAACTTCCTCCCCGGGAAGATCTGGTTGGACACTGAAGGCAATCCGATCCAAGCTCACGGCGGTGGCATTTTGTTCGATGAAAGATCTAAACTTTACTATTGGTATGGTGAATACAAAGACGGACCAACTTATCAAACTCACAAGAAAGGTCCAGCTCGAGTAAGTCAAAACTCACAAGAATCTCTCACTCTTGAAACTTAGAATAACTTATAACCAAAGTTTTGTTTTGTTTTTGTCTTCAGGTTGATATAATCGGTGTTGGATGCTACTCGTCTAACGACTTATGGACATGGAAGAACGAAGGAGTCGTGTTAGCAGCAGAAGAAACAGACGAAACCCACGACCTACACAAATCCAACGTCCTCGAGCGACCTAAAGTGATCTACAACTCACAAACCAAGAAATACGTCATGTGGATGCACGTAGACGACGCCAACTACACGAAAGCCTCCGTCGGCGTAGCCACCAGCGACGAGCCAACAGGTCCGTTCGAGTATTTATACAGCAAATCCCCGCACGGGTTCGACAGCAGAGACATGACGGTCTTCAAAGACGACGACGACACAGCCTACTTGGTATACTCGTCGGAGGACAACAGCGTGCTGCACATCGGTCCGTTAACCGGGGACTACCTCGACGTGAAACCGGTTATGAAGAGAATCATGGTGGGACAGCACAGAGAAGCTCCGGCGATATTCAAACACCAGAAGACTTACTACATGATCACGTCGGGTTGTACGGGGTGGGCGCCGAACGAGGCGCTGGCTCACGCCGCTGAGTCGGTGATGGGGCCGTGGGAGACGTTGGGGAACCCGTGTGTTGGTGGGAACAAGGTTTTCCGGTCGACGACGTTTTTCGCGCAGAGCACGTTTGTGTTGCCGTTGCCGGGCGTTCCGGGAGCGTTTGTGTTTATGGCGGATAGGTGGAATCCGGCGGAGTTGAGGGATTCGAGGTATTTGTGGCTGCCGTTGATTGTTGGTGGACCGGCGGATCGGCCACTTGAGTTTAGTTTTGGGTTTCCGATGTGGTCGAGAGTTTCTGTATATTGGCATAGACAATGGCGGTTGCCTTCAGCAGGAGGAGAGAAGAAGATTGCTTGAGTTCTTCTTTTTTTTTGTGCTGCTGCTCATTGTTATTGTTGTTGTTGTGGAGCTTTTTTTTGGTTATACAGGTAGAGTGAGAAAGAAATCTTATAGGACTATGTTACTTAATACAGATCAGTTTTAGGACAAGTTATGAGGTTCTGTCTGTTAAGTTCAGTTAATTTTCTGATTTCTCTGAAGAATCCAATTCCGGTTTAGTTCGGGTTCAGTTAAAAATTCGGGTTCTCGATTAACTGGTTTAAAATTTATGGCGGGTCAAATTAAAACCGACCCGAATCCGGAAATCTGATTAACTATTTGAAATTGGTCTAATAAAATTAGGTCACCCCCGCGATAAAACTCTTGACGACGTCCTTCTGCCGGAGAGTTCGCAGTTAGCCGGGATACGGAGAGAGAGATTTAACGGCGACGGATTTGAGAATGGGGGATGTGAAGAGAAGTGGAGGAGATAGTAGCAGCGAAGATGAAGATCCCAAGTGGAAAGCCGCCATTAATTCGATAGCTACCACCACCGTTTACGGCGCCTCCGCCGCGAAACCCGCAGCGGCTCAGTCATACGAAGATGGAGATTTTCGACCCAAAACTAAAAAGCTAACCCATGCCCAAATCAAGGTTAGTCATTGCTTTGACGTTTTCTCTTATATTGAAGAGCATAACGAATGCGAAATTTTCATGCGCAATTAGACTTCTTTTTAGCTTAGTTGACGATTGGTTCTGTTCACCGGAATTATAATTGAGTAGACTTTGTTTAAGAGTTTTAGTGGTTAAGGAAAATGTGAGAATCGTTTTTGTTAAGTTGTCACTGCAAGAACTTGTCAATGAGTCTAGGATTGCAGGAGTTTACTGGCTTGCTGATAGACATTTTTCATCATGGTGTTTGCTACTTTGTCTATAACAAACCTAGTCTTTGTTCATGCTATAGCTAGTTATCATCGAGTTGAATTATTGTTGCTGATCCTTGAAAAACAGGTGAAGAAGCTTTTGAATGAAATGGTGGAGAACACTCTAGACTTTGTGAAAGATCCTGTCAATGTCCCCGAGGAGAAACCCGAGGAGGAGACTGATTGTGGAGTTCGGCTATTTAAACGGTGTTCCACTGGCATCATCTTTGATCATGTAGGTTAGTCATCATCATCTCTCTCTCTCTGAGATTCCAGATCTCTAAATCTTGATTATTATTCTCATGAAACTCATTTTCCTGTAAACCAGATGAGCTTCAAGGACCCAAAAAGAAGCCTAATCTACGCCCTGGTAGAGGAGACGAAGGAAACTCTAAAGAGGTTATAATATTTTCAAGCATTGTTCTGTTTTCACCGGATCATGAATCTACCAAAGCTAATTTTCTATCTTTTTTTTTCTACGTTTACTGCAGTTGAAGAAACGAATAAAAGCAATCGCTGTTAATGGCTCTGATGTTTTAGCTGCTGCTATGGAAGCAGCTAAGAGAGCCTCAGCTAGAGTAGCGGCGAAAGAAGCAGCTGCAAAAGCTAAAGCTAAGAAGGAAGAAGAGCGAGTCGCGGAACTGAAGAAAGTCAGAGGAGAGAAATGGCTACCTTCTGTTGCACGAGAAATGCAGGTAAATTACACATTCTCATCTCTGTATTCTTAGTAAACACATGAACTTAACAAATCTCACTGCATATATGTAATTGCAGCTTAACAAATGGAGATCTGCAAAGTCGTAAAGATCATGAACAGTGGAAATCTCATTACTTGAAGAAACATAGAATCACACTCTTGGCTACAAAAATTTTAATTGAAAGAAAATTATGAAATCGTTGAAATTTCTTTTATGCAAGAGAAAGAGAGAGATCATTTGTTGTTGATGTAGTGAGAGTGAAGTTCTTCAGAGATGTTGTTCTCATCGTCGTCTTTAATCCAGACGAAATCTTCTAATCCATCATAAATCTCTTCCACTGTTAATCCATTTTTCTTAGCTCCTCCTTGTTGTTTTGATGTTGAAGTGAAAGCACTCTTTATTCCCTTGATCAGTCTTTTTCCCAGACTTTTCTCACGTCGGACCTGCATCGGAGGAGACGACGCTCTTCCTCCTCGACGGAAAGTCGTGCTCAGAGATGAAACCGATCCTCTGTCTCCTCTCTGCGTCTTGTTCACGTCACTCTGTTGCTGCTGAACGCAATGGAAACTCGCGGAACGAGCAGAATCCATCACGCTCCTTGACTTCGACTCGATGATCCGATCAGATTTCTGTTTCTCGCACTCTTTCGATATGAATTTCCTCATCGCGTCGAGCTCTTTCTCCAAGCTCTCGATCCTCGAGCTCGTCGAGTCCATGGCAGCTCTTAGCCGACAGTTTTGCCTCGCCGCCGTGTCTCTCTGTAGAAGCGACCCGAGCGTGACTGAGGAATCTCTCGCCGCCGCATTCTCTCGTTGTCGGTGTGCCACAGGAGCGGCGGAGGAGGCGACGGCGTCGGCGGCAGCCATGATCGAGTGGCGCGTGTTGAGCTGCTCCTGTAGCATCGCGCGTACGATAAACCTCAGGGGCATTTTCGGGTTTTGCACGGCGTGGAGGAGTAACGGCGGCGAGAGTTTATCGCAGTCTATCAAATTACATATCTGAAGCTTCTCCTCCTCCGTTATCTCTCCGTTATGCTCCTATGAAATCCCACCCAATCAGAAGACGACACGTATAGTAATCGAATTAATACAAATCATAATGACGAAAGCAGCCTTTTACCTTCAAATAAACATCAACGACTCTGTAGAGCAAATCGTGACGCGGGAACCGCTGCTGCACGGCGTCGGCGACCACGACGAAGTCTCCGGCGGGAAGTCTGACTGCTTCTTCGAGAAACTCGTTAACGTAGTCTCCATCTCCGACTTCCGTCAAAGCGTCGATGCTTCTCCCGATCAAAAACGCCGTCGTCTCCGACTCCGGAAGCAGGAATAGGCATGAACGGAGAACGATCTGGATGTAGTCAGCGTTGACGAAGACGACTCGTCGGAGATAAGACTCCGTTAAGCTCCTCAGGTTCTCGTTTCCTCCGGCTTCCGTCATGAGAAGAATCTCGACGGCGACTCTCAGCGGAACGACATTGAAGGGCGTCAACTGAATGTGAGCGCCGTAACAGAAAGCGGTTACAAACGTGAACGTTTCGGCCGTTATGTTTAACGGCGGTGAGAGAGTTAATTCATTGACGCCCGTTAGGTGGCGTTTTAAATAGCCGCTCCTTCTTGACAGAGGATCCTATGGAATAAAAACATCATCACATACAATAAAAATCAAACCTTTTTTGCTTGTTTGCATTAAATGTGATCTTTTCTTTTGTATACACAACATATGAAGTTTGCAGACATACAATTAAAAGTCTTTGAAATTTGTGACAATTGTGATGAAAATGGGCAAACGGTAGAACTATATTAACAAATAATGTCCAAACTTAGCAAATAAAAGTTTGAAAAATGCACCTTGTGGAGATGGAACCTTGTGTCTCCCACATGTAGCAACACATCAGGTTTAGAGTTATTAGCCAACGACCTGATTAAAAATATTAGGAAAATAAATCATAGCAAATCAAAAACTCCCAAAAAGAAGAGAAATTAAAATAGATTTATGGTAAGTTTTAGAGAATCATATTACCACTTATGGACTCTAGATTGAAGCTCCATTGAAGGAGACTTAGAGAGATTGGATTGTCGCTGAGGAGAAGGAGATAAAGATGAAGAAGAAGAAGAGAAGGAAGAAGAGTGATCCACGTAGTCTTCTTCTTCATAGATCGTATCTACAAACCCTAAGTTTGTCCATCGCTTCATGTTTCTCTCTCTCGAGGAGATGAGATATGTTTTTGTGTGTGTGTGATCTCAGAGAAGATTCGAATTCGCCGGTTAGGTTTTTGGAGAGTAAAGAAGAGAAAGGCAACACTCGCAGTAAATTGGCAATAAATGTGGTAATAGAGGAAATAAATGATTTTTTTGTGATCGTTATCATATACGTGAAAGTCTTTAAATGCGTTTTCCTTTTCTTTTCACCATAATCTTCTGTTTCATATAGGGAGATGGACCACGTCCACATGCTCTCCAGATGTGTTTGTCCTACATTCAAATTTCACAAAGTTTTCAAAATTTGATCTAGATTGTTGTGTATATATGTAGTACTATTATATTGCATTAATCTTCTGTCTAGATCGAAGTTTCATACGTGTTCTCTTGCTAATCAATTATACATATGCATGCTATACAAATAACAGTTGTTGAATTCGGATTATGATGTGACGACATTACTAACCAATCTCTTCTTCTGATTTTTCTGGCATGTTGGTGGAACCATGTTTTCACATAGTTATTGCCTTCTCGAAATGACCTTTAGGGATAAACATTGTTGTGCCTTAATTCTTCAGCTCAGCTGCAAAACAGAAATCAGCAAACATGTGGCAAAAACCAATAGGATCGCCGACTGTGGGGATCGAACCCACGGCCACGGGATTAAAAGTCACGCGCTCTGAGCTAAGTCGGCTTGACAATAAAATTTAAGTTAGGTAATTTAGCTTAATGAATAAAAGACAACCTGCTATTGTCTCTAGTCTATATTCCAAAAGTCCAAATAAATTCTGCACCAATGGTAGTGCAATATTTTTTGGTAATTATTAATGAAATAAAGCGATAACTAATTTTATCGGCTAATTCAACACAAAGTCCAAAATCCAAATTGTCCAATTCTCATGAAACCCCCTCATTTGTTTTCCACCCGTTAGCTTCTATATTCTCTCGTTTAAAGCCATTGATGCAAAACATAATTCCTCTTCTTTTAAAAAGTTAACAAGGTGTAAAAATTATGTTCTCGTTTCTCCTCTTCTCACCTAAAAAAACAATTCAAGTTACATGATAATATGATATAACCAAGCTTTTCTCCAAATTGCATGATATATGTAACTAGCCAACTATAACATGAAAGATACCAATTTTATCTACGGAATCATTTTATTGGTTTCACTTCTTACATCTAAGAATCCCTATATTTAGTATAGAACTACCTATGCTTATAAACTGAACACCTCAAATCGACCACAACGGATGTCAGTTTTTTGTCAACGACAACAAATGTCACTTTTGAGTTTCGGATGCATATATCAACAAAGATGATAATATGATATAACCAAGCTTTTCTCCAAATTGCATGATATATGTAACTAGCCAACTATAACATGAAAGATACCAATTTTATCTACGGAATCATTTTATTGGTTTCACTTCTTACATCTAAGAATCCCTATATTTAGTATAGAACTACCTATGCTTATAAACTGAACACCTCAAATCGACCACAACGGATGTCAGTTTTTTGTCAACGACAACAAATGTCACTTTTGAGTTTCGGATGCATATATCAACAAAGAGTATAACTCTGGTACACAATCTATGTAACTACTTATCTCATGACTTATATAATCACATGTCAGACTCACAATTTCCGCAATTTATTTTCTCACTAACAACTAGTAGCCCAAGCTTTAAGTTTCTCTGCTATGGACCCAAAAAGAGTAAAGTCTTTGACAGGCCCAAGCCCATTTCTAACAAAGCCCTAATTTCGACTAAAACCTAGCTAGCTCTCTGTACATACTATATAAATTTAGCTAACACTCTTCACCGCTTCCTCGTTCACAGAAACAAAACCCTAGAGAAAAGCTCTATCCCAAAAACCGGCGGCGAAGATGAAGTACAACCCCCGCGTCACCTCCTCCCGCAGGAAGAACAGGAAGGCTCATTTCACGGCCTCGTCAAGCGAGAGGCGTGTCATCATGAGCTCGCCGCTCTCCACCGACCTCCGCCAGAAGTACAACGTCAGATCCATGCCGATCCGCAAGGACGACGAGGTCCAGATCGTTCGCGGTACCTACAAGGGGCGTGAAGGCAAGGTCGTCCAGGTCTACCGGCGCAAGTGGGTGATTCACATCGAGAGGATCACGAGGGAGAAGGTGAACGGAACCACCGTCAACGTCGGAGTCCAGCCGTCGAAAGTGGTGATTACGAAGCTCCGTCTCGACAAGGACAGGAAATCGCTCCTGGAGAGGAAGGCCAACGGTCGCGCCAACGCTGATAAGGAGAAGGGTACCAAGTTCACATCTGAGGATGTGATGCAGAACGTTGATTAAACGAGATTTTCTTAAGGGTTTGTCTTAGTTTTTAAATCATCGCTCTCTCTTTTAATTTTTGTTTTTTTTTGCTGCGAATGTTTCATTTTGGTTCTGGACATGAGGACGTATTTTATGATTTCACAACTTTAAAGTTTAATTATGTGTTTGTTATCTCTCTTTGGCCATTTTGATATTGATTTATGATGCTTATTAGATGATTGTTTAGCTTGTTGGTAGTCTTTTGATTCTGTGTTTGAGTTTGATGCGGAACCTCGTAGATTCACAATTGGAAATGGTTGTTTATCGGTAGTGCGGTAGATTTGATAGTGAAATGAGTTTGATTAGTTAATGAAATGATGGGTCTTAGTGAAGCTACAATCGCTAAGGTTGAAATTGGATGGATCGATTTTATCTGAAAATTCGTATCTTGAAACTTAATTCTTTATTCTTCATTTCACAAATCTTCTCTGAAAATGCTTCTTCTTTCGCAGTAGATAGCTCGCGGTTTAGCTATTGGGTTCTAACTAATATTGATATTGTGGCTTCTATGTGTAGTATTTGCATAGTTGATTTTGATAGAACAAATCAAGTGAAAAACTGTATGTAGAACCAATCAAATTTTACATACAATACAATTAAACTTTAATTTGTAAATTAAGTCGTTTGATTATTTGTATCCTTTGTCTACCTTCTGGGGTTAAATCGTTATGACGCTTACTATTGTTTGCGTACTTGGGTTGCAATTTGAAAACTGTTATAAGCAAGCACGATATACATATTTTATCAGCTCAAAGTTGATTAGTTTATCTACTAATTTGTTGCGTTTACCTCCTCTTCCATGAGGGTTCTCAAACTGATATTCATCGGGAATAAATTTCTAAAACTGTTGCAAATTTATCAAACTCGTTGATCCAAAAACAAACGAAGTCCGAAAACGAATACACTGAATATCCTGATTCTTACGTTCTCAACTGTTTTTTCACAAACTGATAAATATGTTTACAGTAAGCGTATCTAACGATTACAAATCCGAGAAAGAATGAATCATCCGACGAAAGATTATTATTGTCAAGCAGCTAAGAAACAAGAAAAACTCAAGCTCAAGTATCATCATCAACAATGGCATACGAGAGAAAGAAGCGTAGTGCTGTTAAAACATAGAACCCAATTTTCAAGGATTAAGAGAAAGCGAGAGACCAAACCTTGGGTACTTGTCTAACGTCTTGGTATCGATCTCACCAGAGATTGTGACTATGGATTTGGGAAGGACCTCGTGATGCAGCAGCGCTCCAAGCTTACCGTTACTGTTGAGCTTAGCTTTCACGTTCGTCAAGTGATCAGCCGCATACATTCCACCAACAGTTATTATGTTCTCGTTCGTCGACAGTTTCCTGTATAACTCTCCCACTGCTGCACTTCTCGTTGACTGTTGAACATACGAAGCTTTGATCGAATCTCCTTTATCTCCCCTGACCAAAGAAAAACAGATTCATCAGACTAATAATAAACAAAGAAAACACCTCTCTCTCTCTCTCTCTCTCTCTCTCTCTCTCTCTCTCTCTCTTTCTCTCGATCTTACAGTATTATGGAGGCGCATTTATGTGGCATTGTGACACTGACTCCGACGTTGTACTTGGAGAAAGTTCGTGATGTGGTGTCATATCCAGCTTCAGCACCAAATGAGATAGTCGGTGATCCAAGAGTTGCTGTTACGTCGATTAGAGGGTTTAGTTTCAAATCTGCAGCGGCTGTAACTGTTGCGTGGTCATGGAAGTATTGAACCTCAAGCTGCAAGATCATATCATAGTTTCGAGTTTTGAATTCAGTGGAAAAGAAAAAAAAAAAGGAGAATTTCATTCTTGATTGTAAAACCTTGCTGGAGTTGTAATCAGGAACTTTGAAGGAGGCAATGGCTTTTGTCGATGGGAGGATCTCAGAGAATGTGATGCTTGTCAGGACCTGTGGCCAAGCACAAAAGATAGTGAGTTATGAAACTTCCAAGGCAAAAAGTAGTTGAGTGGATCAAACGAGAGACTTTTACATTCGAATCAGTGTCGATTTTGACATTGAACAAAGCGTTTCTGTACTTGTATTGTGTAGCAACCTCAGCACCATGTACAACCCCTTTCTTCAGAGCAGTGGAAGTAAGAACCTATAGAATAGTGGGAACAAATAAATAAAGGTCAGTGATCTAATGCAATCATTCTCTAGTGTTTCCAGGCGAATAAACACGCAAGTTAAGCAGCTAATGAAGCACACAAATGTAAAATTCCCAGGAAACAAGTTTATTAGCTAGCATTTCATGTTACGCTACTTTCAATAACTCAAAAACTGAGATGATCCTTAAAAAAATGAAAGCAGTCGACTATTCACAGAAGAGATTATACAATGTAATGTATAACATTGACAAGATCTTGCAGTCGACTACTTTCAAGAATCTATCATGATTCATGACAACATTGACAAGGTCTTGCTTCCAGAATCAAAGGTTTTGGTAACCAAGATTGACCATAAACTCACTCCTTATCAAGCATCTAACTGTTCAATCCTAAGAATTAACATCATTTTTCTGTCTATCAAAGTCACAAACGTTGACTCGTCAAAGCAGTGATAGATTTGACAGGTGAAGAATCTCATAGACCAAATCAACAACTCGTGAAATTGATTCGAACGAATGTAACCACTAACCAAGAAGATATACTTCATGTGCTGCATAATGTAAAGCAAATGATACCAAGTCTCATCAATGTGAAATCGAAAATCTGCGAATCTAAGCAACGAAGAAGGTGATTCAGATTATTAAACCGAATAAACAGTTGAATCGGGGATTTCATACTTACCAAGCCGGAGACACTGTTAGTGGAAATGCTGAATTTCTGATCGCTACTGTACTCTCTCGTCAACAGATCTAACACAAAGGAAACAATTCAAAATCAGCTCATCGGAATCTCGGATTTCATCAATTTCGTCTTCCGGAAGAACAACTTAACGCGACAGTTCACAGTAATGCACCGGCGTCTCTCACTAACGTCGCAATAATCCACTCGGAATCGAAACTACTGGAGATAGAGAGCTGAAGATTTTACCTCTCGCTAGTTTGCCGATGTCGGCGAAGAGTCCAGGTCCATTACTCATGGTGATCGGAGAAACAAGGAGAGATCGCTAAAAGTTTTGAGGAATGGACTTTAGTTGAGAGAGAAGAGAGCACAGAAAGGGAATGCAGATTGCAGAAGGTGAATCTATAGAGGAGAAATAATATATGATTAAATAACATCATGTGTTAATCTAAAACAAAATGGTTTCGTGGTGTAGTTGGTTATCACGTCAGTCTAACACACTGAAGGTCTCCGGTTCGAACCCGGGCGAAGCCATATATTTTGCTGATTTTTTTTCGTTCTTTTAAAAGAACAATACGCTTCCAACGTCGTGAGCCCATTGGGCTTTAGATGGCTCATCTGAAACGAATAACTACTATTCCTGGATAATGGAAGCATATGTTGTACTTGTATTTAACTATTTATTCAAGAAAATATTGTCATACTTGTATTTTTAGTTTTTAGTTTTTTACTACCGTACTACACAATTTGGTAGAACAAACAATTTTTTACCTTTACTCTTAGTTTTCCCAATGTTAGGTCGTTGTGGCTCAAAGAGTCAATGGTAAGCCAAGACCAGCCTTTGCCTATCGTTCTCGTGCTAGTTATAATGAGGTTGCCATTTGCGAAACTTCAATGGGTCAGAACTCAGAAGTACTAGTTTCACAACAGCTAATAACTGATTTTAAGTGTTTGGAATTTATTTTTATAGATAGGCTAATGTCCATTGCGAAAAGCTAGCTGCAAGTATCTTCTCTTAACTTCGACCAAAAAAAAAAGTATCTTCTCTTAACTTTCTTTTCTCATAAAGTCTTTCTCTCAAGAATATGATTTCAACAGATATGAGTGTGTAGAAGAAAAGATATGCAATCTAAGACTGGAAAAGCACAAAATCCTAATGCTACATAAATCACTTACGAATAATTGTGTAACAGAATGTGCAAAACATAACCATAAGGTAACGCAAAACATAACCATAATTGTGCAAACTAACGCATATATCAGATATCAAAGACAGGTTTGTTTACTCAAGTAGCGTGGCGCAAGTAAGGCAGTGTGTAGTCCGTGTAGGACATGTTGTCGATTCTAAAGTGGAATATGGTTCAAGATGGGTTGGAAGAACCATCATCTCAAGGGATCCTACTAAAATCCCACATCTAAAGATGAGACCACTAGTTATATGTATATAAAAGATCAATCCACTATTTGCCAAATGACTTTATATTGACTCTTTAAAAATGCATTGAATCTTTTATCAGAGCCAGGTTTCGATCCTGGGACCTGTGGGTTATGGGCCCACCACGCTTCCGCTGCGCCACTCTGATTGTTGGACTACTAGATTATGTCATTTTTCTATGACACATATTATAGTTTTCTCAATCGATAAATTAGATAAATTTGCTCAAAACATATTTTAGACATTTGAACATTTCTATCGAGCCAGGTTTTGATCCTGGGACCTGTGGGTTATGGGCCCACCACGCTTCCGCTGCGCCACTCTGATTGTTTGACAACAAGATTATTTTATGTTTCTATGATACTATATCTTTTAAAATATATATAATTTTCATTTTTCCAAAATATTAGAAGTAAATTTAAAATTATAGTAAAAATCGAATATCACTTTATTTCTTATATTTAATGAGAAAAAACAATCAAAATTACAAAAGATATAATAATGTGAGTTTGGATAACAACACAAAACAATATGATGAATTAAAAAAATATTATAGATTTTTTGAGTTATATGAAAATATTGAGTTTCATTTATATAATTTAAATATCAGTTATGAAGTTTCTAAGCTCTCTAAAAGCATTTATGAGAAAATTACATTTCTAAATCTTAAAATAACCTAACTTTGAGTTTTTTTTCCTGTGTGTTTAACTAAAAACACATTAAATGTTAAGACATTTTAGAATGAAAAATTGGCATTAAATATCTCTCACTCACTCCCGGGTGGGACCTCTTTTATCTCTACTTTCCGTTCTACATATATCAGTATCATCCCATGTAACTATCTCCACTTATTTTCCATTGGACTCAAATTCATCCGTTCTTTATGTATCTCTCTCTCTCTCCTCACATTTTTTTACATAATCTTACGTTGGATTTCACACTCCAAAAACCGAATAAAATACTAATCTTGTGTTTAAAAGAGCCTGTATATAAGATTCTATACTTTTTTAGTTGTAGAAGTAGAAAAAAAAACTAGAAAAAGAAAGAGAATGAAGTGGGTGATCACCACCATGTAGAAGTAGCCTGAGGCTTAAGAAAAGTCTCGTACCGTCTTTTTTAAGTCTCCACCAAATCCATCCACTTCCACCATACATAACAAACCACGTGTCCCGAACCAAGGAATCGGAACCTTCTTCGAGCCAATGAAAAGATGACAGCTCAACCATGACCCAACGCCACACATCACAAGTGAAAAGATTCGCTAACCTGGCCAAACCTTTAAACTAACTCCGAAGATATGGCAACTCATAAACTTCATCAACACCTGTCGCATTTTATGCCATTTCCTCTTTTTCAAATTTTTAGCTTTTAATAGTAAAATATAAACTTTTCTCTCAAAAAGTCATTTTAAATAAATAATACTACCAAAACCAAAAATAAAATTTGTGTATCCATGCTGGAATAGAATGTTAAATAAAAGTATTACTCCGGAAAAATACAATTTGAGAAAGAAAAAACAGCAATGCACACCATAAAGAAATATATAAAGCATTTTGTATAAATCTCTATGATTATCCTCTATTTCCTTGATTTCTTTGTAAGTTTGTATAAATGCTTTTTGCCAATAAAAAAAGGATATATTGAATAAGCTCATCAGCTCATGATTTGGACTGCTACCTATCGCCAGAATTGGCACAACTTTGATAAGTACTTTAGTTATCCATCTTTGAGGTTGTGTTTCTTTTTTCGTCTTTTCAATAAAAGTTTGATGTTAGACTCTAATACATTTATAGCTACATGATTTTTTCCCCACCGCACATCATTTTAAAATAGGCATTCTTAGATTACGCACTATAAGAAAATAAGCTGGTCCTATTAAGAAACACGAAGCCTTTGATGGCTCGATTCCATCCATTTTCTTGAAGATGCTTTTAAAGAAAAGAGAAAAAAAAACCTCTATGAGAATAGCTTCGATCGTTTTCTTGATACCAATCTTCTTTCATTCTTTATTTTCTTATACAAATTGGATTTAGTTCAATTTTTTTTGTCTATACATATAATTAAACAAAATATAGACGTTATAGAAAATTAAAATAAATAGGATGAGATATTAATGGATATGGAGAAATAAGAGAAGAAGCACCACTTGATCACTTAGAGCCCACGTTCCCACTCTTAATCACCCAAAAATTAAAACAAAGACGTGCTCACATCTCATCTCACTCCCTCACCAGCTCACTTCACTCTCTCTTTCCTTTTTTTCTTAAAAACAAACAAACTCTCTCAATCATCCATTAATCAAAAGACACCATATGGCTCTCGACACTCTCAACTCTCCGACCTCCACCACCGCCGCTCCTCCGCCTTTCCTAACCGAGCCGGAGAATTTCGAGTCATGGACCAAAAGAAAACGCACAAAACGAAACCGGACAGATCATCATCAATCAAACCCTCCTTCCGAAGAAGAGTATCTCGCTCTCTGCCTCCTCATGCTCGCTCGTGGCTCCTCCTCGGATGATGATGATCACTCTCCTCCTCCTCCTCCTCCTCCACAATACGATCATCACCACCGAGACTACAAGTGCTCCGTCTGTGGCAAATCGTTCCCGTCGTACCAAGCGTTAGGTGGACACAAAACCAGTCACCGGAAACCGGTTAGTAATAATAATAACGGCGACGGTAATAATACCATCAGTAACGGTTCCGTTATTAATAACGGAAATATTAGTAACGGTTTAGTTGGTCAAAGTGGGAAGACTCATAAGTGCTCAATCTGTTTTAAGTCGTTTCCTTCTGGTCAAGCATTGGGCGGTCACAAACGGTGTCATTACGACGGTGGTAACAGTAACGGTAACGGCAATGGTAACAGTAACGGCAACGGTAGCAATAATCACGGGTTTGACCTGAACTTACCGGCTGATCAAGTAATTTTTAGCGACGACACACTTGGAAAAAGTCAACTCTCCGGTGAAGAAACAAAGTCGGCGTTGTGATTTTTTTTCTTTTCTTGTTATTTTAATTTTACCGATCAGCTAGCTAGTGATCGATCATTAGCTGAGATGCTGAGTCTGTAATGAAAATGATTGGAGTGGACTTTGGATTATTTTTAAGTTTTACGTATACGAAAAGGGAAACAAATCTTCTAATGTTTATTCGTTGTTGGGTTTTGTTTATAGAAAGTAAAAAAAAAGGGGGAACTATTTAGATTTATATTTCATTTTGATGAATAAGAAAGAAATGGATTAATAATAATAAAAAAGAAATTCTTGGAAATTTTCCTTGTGTTTGTTTTCCATTAGTTGTTGAATTTTCATTTACTACTTCCGCCGCAAGCAAAGGAACCACTTCCACAAATCTGACTGTCACTCCCAGCTTGAAGTGATCTGTTCCTTACGATTTAGTATTTGATTACACATATTTTAAGTACAAAACAAAGCAGTTTTAATTTCGACATAACATGTTTTGATAGGAGAAATAGGTGTTAGTTTTGGTTATGTTAGTCTTAATTATTGAACTAGTGATAGATCGGTTAGTAGTACCTAACGAAGCTAATCCTTGAGTGTCTTGTCGTCTTTGATCACTATTATCTATTTGATTGGTTGGCACTCGCACTTCCCTCCACGCTTTAAATTATTTTTTATTCATTAAATCTGTATTATTTTCGTTTTCATGAGTTTTACGAGTCTGTTTCTTATAATATTTTGCTACGATAAAATATCTTACACGTCCTAATCAGTCTCGGTTCTTATGTATCTTCTAAGAAAAAAAGAGTAAAAATGTGGATATTGGGTAATTCTCTGAATTGAATGCCCACATATACAGACAAATTTATTTTCTTTGTGACACTGGAAGTTGACATCTATGAATAGTTACGTTTTATTCTTTATATTGTACCTGGTTTTGGCTTTAAAATGACCAAAATAGTGTGAGGCAAAAACATAATAACGCACAGGTGTATACATGAAATTGGTAAAAATGTTGTGAAGCTTGTATCTTACTCGATATGTAAATATAACTTTTACCTCTTTTCTGAAACAAATTTCAGCTTTGATTCAAATAACATTGATGTAAACAACTTTTGTAGCATTTGAGTTTCCTTAACAGTATGGTCTCAAGTATATTGAGCTTGGCTTGGGAATTATCATTAACAAAGAGATTTCACCTGAAATTCGAATCTAGAAACTTAAGGTTTCACCCCATTTTTTTGCGACCATACTATGAACATCTGAAAACTTCGAACAAACTATAAATTTCTGAAACGTTCAGCAAGTTTGGGAATAGGTCAAAATCTGACTAAAATTGTAAATTGTCAATGATCGTGGGTAAATTTGCAACTTGTTGTAATAGTAAGGGCCTTACAAGTGTATTAAAGGCCGAAATCACTCGTACGATCCAATAAAATCTACACTAGAGTAGCATTGGTGTCGTTCAAATGGTGTAATGCACCAAAGATTCATTGTTAGGCCCAATTATGTCAATAAGACAGGTGTTAGTTTTAAATCAGAACTCAGTGTGAAACTTGATAATCAAAGAGTAAACAAGTTTGGGAACAAAGGCCGCAATAGAGATTGTTCAACTTTTTTTTGAAGAGATTAATTAACACTTGTCAAACCTTTTGTTGTTAAAGAAGTAGAATGATTTACACTTGTTAAAACCTTTTTTTTCTTGGATCCTTACCTTTTTTTACTCCTTAATTAATTAGTAATTAATAATTACACTTATTAAATAATTTTTTTGGTTAACGACAAAAACAGAAAAAAACGTTTGCTTTGGTTAAAAAATGGCATGATTTACAATTGTCAGACCTTGACGAAAGATACATTTACACTCTTTAAATCAGTCCCTTCTCATACGACTTGATACAGATAACCTTCGAAGACATTCTTCCTCGTTCTCCGCCACGAGCCCCTCTCTCTTTCTCTCTCAAATTCCTCCCAAGTAAGCTTCTTTAATTTAGCCAGTCCTATTTCATTTCTAAGCATAAGTATTCTTTTGTTTACTATTTATAATTTGGTTTGTGTTGATCTAAAACTAAAAAGAGATTGAGGTTACTTACTTACTTGTAATGCACGTATAAGTTTTCATTGCTTGTCGAGGATTTTGTTGATTCGTTCTCATTTGTCTGTTTAATACCAATGACAATGGCTTGAGCTTCAGAATAAAAATGGCAGCCTTTCCAAACCTCAACTCTGATGCTGGATTGAAGAAGCTCGATAAGCATCTTCTCACTCGCAGTTTCATCACCGGGTTAGATACTTTCTGTTGCCCTTTTAGCATATTTCATGGAGTACCATAGATTATATTCTAACCTTTACCTTTGGGAATACATTTAATATGTTTAATATGTATGTTTCCTACAGTTACAATGCTACAAAGGATGATATCATCGTTTATGCGGCTCTCGTAAATCCTCAAACTTCAATTTATGTGAATCTTTCTCGCTGGTACAACCACATAAAGACCCTCTTGATTTTTTCGTAAGTTCCCTCCACTTGCCTTGTATGAATTCTTAAGTTTTTTTGTTTTCTTTTGGTTTTTTTAGCTGTTTGGATATTCTCTAACTCGTGTTTATATTTTCAGAGGCATTTCTCCTGAAGGGAGTGGTCTCACTATTGATGGATTAGTGGCCTCCATCACAAAAGAGGCACTTTTTCCTGCTTCTATTGTTTGTTTCCATATATCATGTTTGGCTCGTATAACATCAGCGAGAATATATATATTGGCTTATGTTATATATTAATGTTATTGCTTCCATAATATTTTAGGATGGTGTGGTTGACCCTATCGCGGAGGAGACCGTAGAGGAAAAGAAAGCTGATGAAGAAGAGAGAGTAGGTTCTTCGAAAGCATCATCAAGAAAGATAATAAAATGTAAGTTTTAGTTTTGCACTCACTCTTCGTCTTGAAATGGTCAAATAGGTTTTGTTTCATTTGATATATATATATATTTTTTTTTTGAAAAAAGCTAGCAAGTCATGGGTGATGATTATCACACCGCAGAATGATGAGACGGACATGAAGAAGCTAGAGGAAGCTGTAAGATCCTTTCGAATGGCAGGATTGTTTTGGGGAGGATGTAATGAAGTTTCTGCATCTCTAACACCTTATAAGCTTATAAATACATGTCTTTTGAAATAACAGCTTATAAATTAACGAAATGTCTCAGCAAACCTTGCCCCTATTGGTTATGGAATCAAGTTGTTGCGGATCAAATTCACAATTGTTGACGACCTTTCACATTGCTACGGAATTCTATGGAAAATGATAATTCCAAGTGCCCAGACCTATGACTTTATCCCCTTGAAGAACTGTAAGTTTTTGTTACACAATGTGAATGCATTAGTTTGTGCAGACGTGTGACGTTGTTGCTTATGTTTTTTCATTGGGTTTTTCTTTATCACCAGCTTTAATTGTTATGGAGTCGAATGCTGACGAAGCCGACGTGAAGAAGCTAGAGGAAGCTGTAAGATCCATTAAAATGGAAGGAGTATTGTTTTGGGGAGCATGTAAGTTTCTACGGATCTCACGTCTCTATGTTTGTGGGTTTACTTATTTTTGAAGTATTTCAACGTTTATTACAGCAAAGCTTCTCAAAACAAGTTGTGGAACCAAGGTCTTGGGGATGGAGTGCAGCACCGTTGAACACTTTGTGTGTCTTGACACCACTGTCAAAGAACAAATAATAGCTAATGGGTATGTCGAGCGTTGTCACATTTTCGACACGAAAGGAGTATGTAAGTATCCATATTACATTTTCAATCAAACTCTTTGAAGCTGCAATTTTCTTTTTCTTTTTTTCTTTGTATATAAGTTAATGTCCAAATATGTTCTGTTTGCATCCTTCATTAGCTGCATGGTGTGGTATCGATAAAGAGCCCCTTGCTACTCGTCTGGCAGATGATTCTGAGGTGTGTACTCAATTGTTTCTTTCTTTGTCAATAAGGGTTTTTCATGGACCATGTTTAGCTCTTATCAATATAGTTTGTACAATATATATGTTACTGGCTTCCATCATGTATTGTAGGATGTTACAGCTTCTCTGAAGGCAACGACAGAGAAGAGTCGATGTAAGTTTTGGTTTTGTACACTCTTGGTTAGATTCTCTTCGTTTTGTCTTCAATGGTTAATAGATAAAATGGTTTTTTTTTATATATTTGTAAAACAGCTGAGAAGTCATGGCTAATGCTTGTGAGCAAAGTTGGTAAAAATGAGGTTAATAAATTCATAAGGTTGACCGAGAAAGAAGGACTGATTTGGGGAGCATGTAAGCTTTTGGATCGTTAACACCCTCAATATATAGTTTTTTTTTTGTTTTTCTTGTATATATATTGGCGGGTTTATTGATAATATTCCCAAAATCTCCTGATTTTTACAGCAAAAGTTGTCAAAGTTGGCTATGGAATCGAGTGTCTGCGGATCATATTCACCATTGTTGACGATCTTGTGTGTCCCCACACCATTATCGAAGGAGCGCAAAAGTGTCTCGAGAGTATTGTTGTTATCGCCTTGAACAAGATATGTAAGTATCCAAAACCAATTTCAACTCCTTGAAGGTGCAATTTTTCTATGAGTTGGTGCAAAAGATGTTTGTTTTGGTATTGAATCTTGGCTCGAATAAATAATGCAGAGGATGGAGACAAATCTTCAAGGGGAAGTCCGTTGACTACTCTTGGTTCTGTTATGTTGGAGTATTCTTTTATGGCTCTCATTGATTTTTGATGTTTAATCATCATTTCCCATCCGCAAGTAAACAATATGTTACATAACTCTATCACCTGTTACGTTAGAGTGTGTTGTTTATATGTCTAAAACTAAAAAGATGGATGTTTAGAAATTAGAAGAACCATGAAGCTCAATGAATATTTTATGCATTTTATAAATTACTAATTAAAAGGCTTTATGGGGAACAAATAAAATATACAGAAGGCGGCATTCAGTGGAATTTTGCCTAATCCGAGTAGGTAAGAATACCACGTAAGCCTTAAGAACGGCGATGTTTCATCGCATTTTACAATAAGAGAACAGTAGAAGCCAACACTTCGACGAAAAGTAGAGATTTATTTAATAACTAATATGTATGTAACATATACCTTTTGTTTCTAAAGTAAGGAGAGAAGATGTTTTTGATTTGGTCACACACGTGAAACAACATCGTATTCGTAGTCGAAAGCCTCTCTCTTACTTCAATAACATTTTCTAATACTAAATTATCGAAACCCTTAAGATGGATTTAAGGGTCAGATGGTGGATTTGCTTCGTTGAAGGGTCAAGCTTATACTTAACAATTTTTATTGGTTTGATAAATTTTAAATAAATTGTTCACAAAGTCTACGTACATGAACCATATCCATATTGAATTTATTTAAAAGAGTACAGTAGCACATACATGATACAAAGTTACCAAAAGGCAAATGTACTTACGATAAAATAGACGTTAGCAAAAACGAACTTGAGAACAAAACCTTAGCAAAGAAAGAAATTACTTCTATTTCTCGATGTTGTTTGTTTCATTGTTGTCCTAGTTGTTGGATATCAATCCAAGTCCCACATCGGAATATTAGACAAGAAGTGTCTAATATATAACTAGTGTCCAACCTAACTAGTATGAGGCCTTTTGGAAAGAGAAGCCCAATAACAAATCCGTGAGGGCTAAGATACATGGACCCAAAGCGGACAATATCATACTAGTTAGATGGTTGGACACGGGCTTGAGAAAAGCCCTTCTGGATAAGTTATAACACTTATTGAATTTAAGTACGACATTGCATTGAAGAATCAATGTTATCGTTTGAGATAAACTGAGAAAGATGTTGATACATCAATAACATTGATTTCAAGTTTTGTCGATAAGAAGACTTGAAATTCCACAATTTTGTCAACCCAAACAAAAATTGCTGGACAAATAGTAAAGGCTATTTTAATTGAGCAAATGTGTTAATCAAATACTCGAGATCGTTCACGCATGACGCAACATTCACAAATAAACGAACTACAAAAAAAAAATGAATAGAAGATTTTTTTTAAAATATAAAAAGAAAGAAATAAAAAGAACCAATGGTTGAGGAGGCACAACTATTCGCGGAGACACGGAGCCGTTCGCACCCATCACCTTGGAATCTCTCTTTCTCTCTCCTCATCACCAACTAGTCAACAACCACACACCATTTCCTTTTTAAAATTTTAATTTCACTATCGTAAAATAACAAATTCATTTTTCTCCATACTCCAATCAAATATGAGTGTAAATTTTCTTCATAAATAAATGAGATGCCAAAACAAAAAATCCGAAATATATTTCGAAGTACTAATCATTCTCTTTGTAATTTGGTAGGGTTCTTCAACATTTATTATCCAATTAAAATAAAACCAAGCATGACCCATTCCTTAACTCAAGTCTCGTGTATCAATGTGTCTATATATACACATTGGTCTGCTTCATCTTCCAAACATTAAATCCTTTGTCCCTCTCTCTCTCTCTGAGCAAATATCTCTTTCTTGCTCCCAAAGCAAAATCTTCTTCTTCTTCATCTTCTTCCAAGTTCATGTGAATCTCCCAGATTATAGCAAACCAGGAGACAAAAAGACATTAAATTAATTGACTGAAAATCTGATAGAATGAGTTGCAATGGTTGTCGCGTTCTTCGAAAAGGTTGCAGCGAGAATTGCATCCTCCGTCCATGTATCCAATGGATCGAATCCCCCGAAGCTCAAGGCCACGCCACCGTCTTCGTCGCTAAGTTCTTCGGCCGCGCCGGTCTCATGTCCTTCATCTCCGCCGTACCGGAATCTCAGTGCCCGGGTAATTACAGAAATAACCAAACATACTTTCTTCTCCAGATCTCTCAGCTTCCTCTTGACTTGACGTTTACTGATCCTAAGGGTATTTTCGTCTTTTACAGCTTTGTTCCAGTCCTTGCTCTACGAAGCTTGTGGGAGAACTGTGAATCCGGTGAACGGCGCCGTCGGGTTGTTGTGGACGGGGAATTGGAATATTTGTCAAGCGGCGGTTGAGACGGTTCTCCGCGGCGGTTCCTTGAGACCGATCCCGGAGCTTCTCACCCGTGGCGGCGGATTCGCGGGTTTTCCGTCTCCTACTTCCGAGGAAGCATCTGAGATCTGCACGGAAATGCTGAATCTCCGTCAAGATGATTCCGGTGACAGGAATATCTATCACCACTGCCGATTCTCGAGCTCTAGATCCAGATCGACGGCTTCTCCGCCGAAACGGAAACGGCTAGCGTCGGAGCAACAGAAGCCCTCGTCGGAGCTGGATCTCTCTCTAATCCCTGTTTTTCCGATTAAAACACCACCGTTCGAGGAGGAAATGCGTCGACCGGAAACACCGTCGATGTACTCTGAGGAATCCGTGACGACGGTGTCGTTTCGGGACAACTACGCCGGTGATCGGTACGTACGCGGAGGAGGAGGAGAAACGGCAAAGTTGCTCAACCTTTTCGCATGAACGCCGTCGTTTCATTATTGGGTTTAAATTGTAATTTTGAGTAACTTTTTATGCCCTTTCGTGGATTATTTTGGGAAATGGGGCATATCGGCAAATTACGTGATTTTTTTCTCTCTGTTCTTTGAGAGAAATTAACCAAAGTAATTAGTTAATTGAGAGAATAATGACAATTTCGTCGGTGGTGTTACTAGTGTACTAATTTTTCAAGTGTACTAGTTTTCTTCATAATCATCATTCTCAATCTCATTAACTCGATTTAAAAGATAAGGATGATAATGTGTACGATAAATGACAAATTTTTGCTAGTATTAAAGTATTTGTTTTATCGATATATTCATCATTAATAATAGCTGTCAAAGCAAAATATTGAACCAAAAAAAACATTCAACATTAATAATAGTAGTAATCACGGATGAAGTCAACATATACATGAATATGTAATGCAAAGCATCGGCCAATTCTTAGCACCCAACATACTTCGAATCTTTAAGGACCAACAAGTTGTGTATGTACACACGATTATAATAGTAGATTAGTAGTACACAACTTGGCATTTTGATAATCACCTTGATTACTCTCAAAATATATAAACATTATCTCCGTTCGTATTGGCTATAGCTACATTTTTATTAAAATCAGTTTGATAAAATAATTTAAATACAATAATATAAAAACGTAAATAAGATAAAAATATATACATAATAATATTTCTCGAGTCTTTATATTTCTTCACTCACTCACGTCGATCTTGAGGTCTTTTCTTCCATCTCAAAAGTTATAACCATATATTTTGGCATGTCTCGCGTATTCTTTGGATGTGAAATACAGTTTCTATGACTGGCCTATACTTAATACATAGATATCGTATCGTATGAATAGAAACCCTAGAACTAATAAAACGATTAGATGCATCGCATATAAGCGTATTAGTATATTATATACATGTAATAAGCGACTAAGCGTATAAAATAGATGTGGATTATATAATGTAGTTGGATTGAACCAAAAAGTAGGGCTTGTGTTATAAAGGGAAAGCTTTTGGGGAGAGGCGGCTTTTGGACGACGCAAAGAGCCGTTTTTTCACTCCTTACCTTCGTGGAATCTTCAAAAGAACTTTTTTTCCTTTTCTTCTTAGCATTTTGGTTTCAATTAAATAACAAAGTATATCTACTGTGCTTTGTGGATGATGGCGCATAAACAATGATATAGTCCAATAAAATGTTGATTCAACAAATACTGTACTTTAAGGATTGGTTGATTTTCACTTTAATGACAAACTAATAAAAGTATGAGAAATCTTTTTTTAAATGAATATAGAAACATACATCTTTGTATTACATGATCTTAATAACAGAAAAATCATCAAGTTAAATCCGGCATAGGTAGCTCAACCCTTATACTAGTAGAATAGTGATGGGAAAATTGCCAAATTCGAAAATCGTTGATAAGAAGAATACTAAAATGTTCATTTGACATTTACGTGTAAGATTGATTGAAATGAGGATGGATTTTTTTGTTCGAACAGAAGAAGTGATTTGAAGATCTTATGAGTGGGACTCACTTGTAATATACTTTCGACCAACCAACAATTGGCAAACAAATGCTTGTGGTCCACGTCACTCTCCCTTCTTTTTCTGACCACCGGACTCTTTAAAAAGAAACATTTTCCATGTTTTTTTAAAAAAATTGTCCGCTCCAAGTTTCTCACGACCTATCATATCAACAACAACAACAAACCTCTCACAAGCTTTTTTTAATACGATCAAAAATAATAATAATTTAATGTACAATGTAGGAAAACTAGAGAAGATATGATTACTTTCTAATAACAAGCTGGAAAATTTAGTAAACGAATGAGCGTCATTTATCTTGAATGCTGTATTTGATTCATACGTTTTCTAAGAAAATATTAGTACTATATTTTAAAAAGAAATTATTCTCTTATTTTGCTAAAATAAAGTAAAATGTTGGGCATACAAAATTAAAAGCTGGTGTTCCGCGATCTGAGGATTTTAATGAAATATCTTCTCGAATATTGGGACATGAAAGTGGGGCTTTATTTCATCCTCCATCTCGTCCGTCCAGTACATCTAATTAGTGTCTAATCATGAATTTCAAATTTTATGGAACTAATGTTTCTTTTCTACTTTTATGGAGCTAATTATACTGAAGGAATCTCTTTACATATTATTTTGCGAATAAGATTGAATAATTTGGATAAACATGAGAGAATAAAATAAAGAATCAAGATTCGTGTTTCATGCCATAAGCCACGAGTAGCCGCAGTTTCTGATGGGCCCAATGCATTCATCACCTCCTCCACTTAAGTCGGTGTGAGTCCACTTGATTGTTTTCTAAAAACTTTTCTTTCGAATACAAACTAAAGATTAGTTTATTTAGAATTTTAAGTGTAAAATTGGGATCCCGGAAAGCATAGGCGGTGCGAAAACAAAGATCTTTAGCTTCCTGATTGATCGACAACAACAACGGATTAACGGCTGGAATTCTAAGTGGTTGTCCAAAGGGGGCAATGAGATTCTCATCAAATCAGTAGTTTCAGCGATGCCTACTCATGTCATGTCCTGTTTTCGATTACCTAAAGGAATTACAAATAAACTGTCAAGTGCAGTTTCGAATTTCTGGTGAAGTAATAGTGGACAGACACGAGGAATGCATTGGCTGGCCTGGAAAAAATTATGCAAACACAAGAGTGATGGGAGATTGGGATTCCGTGTTATTGAAGATTTTAACACGGCGTTATTTGCAAAACAACTCTGGAGACTTATAGATAAGCCAGAGTCGTTGTTTGCACGAGTGTTCAAAGGACGTTACTACCGAAACGCAACGGCTTTGGACCCTGTAAGATCTTACTCGGCTTCTTATGGATGGCAGAGTATTGTCTCGGCTCGACCTCTGGTTCACAAAGGACTTATTAAAAAAGTTGGTTCAGGCACGTCTATCTCGGTTTGGGATGATCCCTGGATTCCAGCTTCTTGCCCGAGGCCAGCAAAAGGACCTGGAAGTTTTTATTATCCTCATCTTAGGGTGAGTGAATTGATAACTTCCAGTACAGCAACGTGGAATCTTCCACTATTAAACCAATTGGTTGAAAGTACAGATGTCGCGAGGATTATCGGAATCCCCACGTCAACTGCTGCCCCACCAGATTCACTGGGATGATTTTTTACGAAATCGGGGAGGTATACGGTCAAATCGGGATACATGGTAGCACAACAATTTTTGGAGGCGGCCACTCCTAATATTTTTGGTCCAGATACCAAGCGACTTCAGGCGCATGTATGGAAGATACAGTGTACCCAAAAGTTACAACATTTTATTTGGCAAGCATTGACGGGATGCATAGCGGTGGGGGCGAGATTAGGAAGTCATGGTATGCAGATAGACCCGCAGTGTATTAGGTGTGGCATGGCACCAGAAACAGTAAATCACACCTTATTCGAGTGTCCACCGGCTCTACAGGTTTGGGCTTTGTCTCCGATCCCGGCGGCACCAGGGCAATTTCCAACGGGAGGTTTGTTTACAAATATGACACATCTATTCTGGCACTTGCCGAAAGATAATAGGATGAAGATGTATCCTTGGCTAATTTGGTATATTTGGAAAGCTCGGAATGACAAGGTCATGAGCAATGTGAACTGGGACCCAAACGAGATAATCGTTAAGGCGGAAGCGGAGTCCATCACATGGAGGAATGCCCAAACACGGCTACAACAGATCCACATTGAAACATTTACTCTCCCACCAGTGACGGGGGACATCTGTCAAGTGGACGGAACTTGGAAGGAAACAGATTGCAGAGTAGGTCTGGGATGGTTTTATTTTCACACGGAAAATATGGACAAACTGATGGGTGCATCTAATCTCAGGAGGGGGATCTCACCGCTCCAGACGGAGTTGGAAGCTCTAATTTGGGCTATGCAGTGTATGTTAAGAAATAGCAAGTTAAATATAGTTTTTCAGACGGATTGTTCCGATGTGGTGAAGATGGTGTCTAAACCAGAGGAGTGGCCGGCTTTCTCACTATTACTTGACGAGGTGAATAGATGTAAGAGGGGTTTTACTTTTTTTATCATCATGCATATACCAAGGAAGGAAAACACGAAGGCAGACAAGTTAGCACGGAGTGCTCGAGTTCTACCTACTAATGTGTACTATATAAACTCTGTTTCACCAGTTTGGATTTCCGAGTTGTTCTAGAAATAGAGGCTGTTGAAAAAAAAAAAAAAAAAAAATCAGATTTAAGTTAGTAAGAAAACAGTAGCCGACACAACTGACAATAAGAAAAGAACAAACGTACTTGTAAAAACTAAACGCAGATATTTATGTCATACGACTGCGAGTCTGCGAAATATTTATTTCTCTATTCCACAAAAATGGTTATGATCAATAGAAAACATGACAGTGAAACTAATAAACATTACGATGTGGATCATCATAATGATCAGAAAAGACTAACCAATCTAAACAGACTATCAAAACATTTAATTAATAACATCAAGGTGGTTTCGTAACAATCCTAAAACCCAAGTGGATATGAAGGGATTTTGTTCGAAAAAGATATGGAACAATTATCAACGGATTTTAAGTTTCAGGTCCATAAAAATTAACATTACATAAGACATAGAGATTACTCAGATAGCTTATGTTCTTTTAACTCAACAAATGAGTTTATTGTGGATCGATATCACTATAACCATTGTTATCGTTATTAATCGAGAAGATCAGAAGACTTGGTCTACATTTTGTCGTTCATGAACAGGCAAATTTAGGGTTTTGTGTAATCCTTCTTCGTTAAGGAGAAGACTCAAGAGCCATCTTGCCCCTTCAAAGCTTTTATTGGCCGTACATTTATTTACACTTCAAATATTCATTTATTAAAGCTAAAAAAAAAGAAAGAGTTTTGATAGAAAAAAATTAAAAAGATAAGATAGGATTACTCTAGTCGTTTTTCTTTATCGATTCTTCTAATGTCTGATTGATTCAAGATTTATAGTATGATGATCGGATTATAATAACGTCACTAACGTTTATCTTTAGCTGGATCATCATAATCCTTGCTGTGGAGGGTACTTTCGTAAATACAAACGAGACGAGTCCGGATCAGTGAAGATTTGGGAGGAGATCGCGACAAGGACCTCAAGTGAATCCGACACGTGACTTTCACGTGAATGGTTCCCTCATCGCTGGAACATATTATCCACACTTCACCACTGGGCCCTACGACAACTTCTGACCGTTGACTAAGCTTTTACACATACCGCATATCCACTAATCAACACATATACATGCATAATTATATATTGTATATACGAATTAGAGAATACAAACATACTGAAAATTTCATTTTTGTTGGAAACTTTTTTTTTTAACCAAGGAAATTTTATTTTAATTTGCTCAACAATGGTAACTAAACAATTGAGACAGTGATTGATCACTTAGATTTGCGGTTGTAATGTGATTTTTCCCGTAAATTGAACCAATCTAACACAGTAAACGGAAGGCAGTAAAAAGAACACGACTTCAAATTCCATTGTTCACTTATAATAAAGAGTATAACTATAGATTCTCGAAAGTTTGATATTTTTTTTTGGTGGGGAGATCCATACGTTATAGCATTCTAGCGTAGCTAAACGATTTAGTAATTTACAGGCTCTGTGTTTGTTATTATATCTCGGAAAATAAATTAAAAAAACATAAGTAACAGTACAGTAAATACATAATCAAAGATGAGCTGAAAGCATGGGCTTAAAAGTTTCGGTATGTAGTATTTTGATTTAGCCCAGTGGACTTTATTACGCAGCTCCATTGTGTGTCTCCGTCTCTCGTCCGCGCGGATATGTGGTGGTGTACGCGGACATGTAAGAAAAGTAGAAAACCTATAGCACATAGTGAGTTAGTGACATACAACTTGTATAATACTTAGTACCTAACATAATTATAAGAAGTTTCTGTGTATATCTTACGTAACGTACACATTTATACATATACACACACATTTATACAGACAAGTGTAATCGAATTAGGCCCTTTAACAAAAAAAAAAAAGTGTAACCGAATTAGACAAACAAATGTCTACACACACAGTTATACAGACGCAAGCAAATGAGAATTAGACAAACTCAATTTTGTCAATCAAATGTCTTATAGGGTATTCCTCATTTATAAAAACTAATCTTTGAAAACCCTAAAAGTATTATCAACTGCGAGAATAAGATAAGTAGTAGCTGAGGTACCCGCCACCTGGGTTCGAGTCCCGGCCACAACGGATTTAACATCCCTTCCGTTGGGGCGCTGGACCCCACTTATGGGATAGTCGGGAATCGGGAATGTGGTTGCCCGGATACCAGAGTTATCAAAAAAAAAAAAAAAAAAAAAAGATAAGTAGTAAAATAAAATCAGAAAAAGATAAGTATTAAAATACATTTAATTCATGTTTATCATTATGCATATTAGTTTGGTTTCCGCTTACAACTTTTCTTCCTTTTTCAAAAAACAAAAAAAGTGTATGCAGTGATTTTATTGATGAATGCGACAGTGCGGCGAAAAGAGAATAAATAGCAGCCTACACGACAAAAACTCGGCCGTACACACATACATAAATCCAAACCTGCCACTTATTCACATGTCACCCGACCACCTTCAAGTAATCCTCCTTTTCCTACCTCTTTCTATATATATCGTATAATAATAAATCATCAACTTCTTTGTGTCACATATTTATGGAACTTACTAGGATTCGAGTCAACATTACTTCCCCCAAAATCACAGGTATATTGTTCACACAGGCTACAGAGTGAGCTTATACTGCACCCAACAATCTAACCACATGTTCGTCTTTTTAGCTATTTTCAGACATATTGCAAACTCATGTAGCTAGATGTCTAGATATAACATTTATCTATACTGAAAAAGACGACTGTTCTTGCATAAATTTGTTTTACTTAAACGCCGAAACGGTGCGTTTCCCAATGATAAGACTACCCACATACTTACACGACTCTCTTATTGTCTCGTCTCTTTCATTCTTCATCCCTCTCATTTGTCTCCTTTCCCTCTATTCTTCACTTTTCAGAATTTTAAATTACATAAAATTATGGATACGTCCTTTTCTTCACCCTTCTCTACATTTTTGTTCTTTTTGTTTCCTTATGTGTCGTCAATTATCATGCAAACCACAAGAAGAAGAGATTGATTATTAACAAACTCTCTCTCTAAACCGGACTCAAATGACCAAAACCCGGATCCTCAACCCGACCCATTTCCCTTCTCCTAAATCCCTACGCTGCGGCAGCGGCGGCGGCGACACCAACTTCATGGAACAGCTCCTCCTCCACTGCGCCACCGCCATCGACTCCAACGACGCCGCATTGGCTCACCAAATCCTCTGGGTCCTCAACAACATCGCTCCACCAGACGGTGACTCCTCCACACAACGTCTCACCTCCGCCTTCGTCCGCGCTTTGCTCTCACGCGCCGTCTCAAAAATCCCCGCCGCAGTTGGAAACGCCGTCTTCCTACCGCCTGCCGAAGAAATCCACCAGTTTTCACTCGTGGAGCTCGCCGGATTCGTCGACCTCACGCCGTGGCACAGATTCGGATTCATAGCGGCCAACGCGGCGATCTTAACCGCCGTGGAGGGTTACTCAACGGTTCATATCGTTGACCTAAGTTTGACTCACTGTATGCAAATCCCTACTCTCATAGACGCCATGGCAAACAAACTCAACAAACCTCCGCTTCTCAAACTCACCGTCGCCTCCTCCTCCGACTTGCCACCGTTCATCAACATCTCCTACGAAGAGCTCGGATCAAAACTCGTCAACTTCGCCACCACGCGTAACATCGAAATGCAATTCACAATCGTTCCTTCGACTTACTCCGACGGCTTCTCCTCCCTTCTCCAACAATTACGTATTTACCCTCCTTCGTTCAACGAAGCTCTCGTCGTTAACTGCCACATGATGCTCCGTTACATCCCCGAGGAAACCCTAACGTCGTCATCGTCGTCCATTAGAGCGGTTTTCTTGAAACAACTCCGATCTTTGAATCCAACAATCGTAACCCTAATCGAAGAAGACGCGGATCTCACATCGGAGAGTTTGGTTACACGGATAAGATCGGCGTTTAACTACTTCTGGATCCCTTTCGACACGACGGACACGTTTATGAGCGAGCAGAGACGGTGGTTCGAGGCGGAGATAAGTTGGAAGATAGAAAACGTGGTGGCGAAGGAAGGTGGGGAGAGAGTGGAGAGGACGGAGACGAAGAGACGGTGGATTGAGAGGATGAGAGAAGCTGAGTTCGGTGGAGTTAGGGTTAAGGAAGAGGCGGTGGCGGATTTGAAAGCGATGCTGGAGGAGCACGCCGTTGGATGGGGGATGAAGACGGATGACGACGACGCGAGTCTTGTGCTGACGTGGAAAGGTCATAGTGTAGTTTTTGCTACCGTTTGGGTACCGATTTAATCCGGTTGATTTTGATTTTAATTACCGTTTTTAATCTGATAGTAGTAAGATTGATAATTTTCTGATTTCTGATATAATTAACTTTATATTACTATTAGCTTTTGTTTTCAGTCTGATTCCAGTATCTTATTTTGTAGTACATTAGCTTAGCTACAACATTTTATACCAAAAAAGATTTAGTAATGGATAAAAAATCGTTAATCGTTACGTGATTGCCGAAAAACAAATTCGTTATTGTGATTAAAATACATTATTGTCAAGTTAAATCGGTGGTTGTTTTTGACGATTTTGTTTTACCAGGTAAAGGTTTTACTGATTTTCCAAATAGTCTGTTTACATGGGTTCGAATAAAACTTGGATCACCAAGTTGCTATAGATAGAGAGACTATTGACAAAAAAAAAAAAAAAAAAAAAAACTTGGAAGAACATGAAAAGGGGACCATGGAGACAAAGATTTATCTATATTTAGCCCTTCTGCAAAAGTTTACATATAATTTTTTATTTCACAGATTTATACAAGGAAAAGTTTAAACTTATTTTTCTTCACAGAAATATTGTTTTTAATTTCTTTTGACAATTTCTTTTATCACTTTTTCGCTTTAGAAAATCACTCAAATGATCATTTATAAAATGTAAATATTTTCTCTTTTTGTCGGCAAAATGGAGAATATCAGTAAGTTATAGCAAAATAAATATGATTTCAGACAAGGATATGCTGTAGATAGCTCATGAAAAGGTGAATGCTAGACCAAAATACATTTAGATTTTTGAATAAAAAGTACAGCAAATGAAAAACCATAAACCATCATGAGAAGACAATAATGTATGTTGAAATGCATTAAAAGAAAAAGGAAAAAAGTTGGGGACAATATAAATTATATTTTCCCACCATCATGATGTCTAGTTAAACGCACAACAGTCACGACGGACATTTCCATTGTGTCTGTTCTTAACACCAACGCGGCCGAGTTTGGTCATAGCGGTCACAAAAGCGCGGTTAAACGCTTTCGAGTCTCTGGCCCAAGCATTAACGGTAGGCCTTGAGCGACCGTCGGTGAAGAGAACTTGATCGGAGGTGAATAAACCTTTGCCTTGTTGAAGATTCTTGAAGTAAACGTTGTCGAACTTCTCGGGCGTAACCGGATCCATGTGAATGGCGATCCTCGGGTCCACATTCTTAGGACAAGCCAATCGAATCTCCTTAGCGTATGCCTTGTTTAGGGTCGGGTCAACGGAGATCGTACGGTTAAAGTCGTAGATTCTGTTAAAGACTTTGCCGCAATGTGCGAATCCAAGTGTGTGAGCAGCTACAATATGATCGAATGTATAGGTAATTTAGATATCGATGCATTTTGGTGACATATAAATAAATAAACGGTACGTGTTAATGTTTTGGAGTATATTATAAATTATGGTTTGTTTAATGGTTAATTACCTGAAAGAGCGATCATATCCTTTTGGGTAAGTTTGTTTTTCTTGAAAAGAGCATTGAGTTTGTTTACATTGTCGGAAGGTCCGGGTAAGTTCCCTTCGACGCTCGATGCAGTTGACACCAAACCATCGAACCTACCAAGTTCGACTTTGTAGGATGGTCCTCCAGCCTAAACATACATGCGTAAGATCTTGTTTCACAAAACATTTCACAAGAATCAATTTGTCCGCTTATCATAAAAAATAAGTTTACTTACTGCAACAACAGCATCTCGGGTGGCTAAGGTTAAAATATCAGCACATGAGACCTTGTTCCGGCAACAAGGGTTAGCATCAAGGGCTTTCTTAGCTTGGATCACCATATCAAATCCATCTCCAGCCAATGAAATATTGTCGGGGTGATCCTTCTCTGCCTTGTTCTTAGGTGTGGATTGGATCATAACCGAGGCATCGCAACCCTACAAATGCGAATTAATTAAACTGGAGGTGGAGCTAAAAGGGAAAAAGGATATGTAAAAGTTTAAAACATACATTGACAAAGCAGTCGTGGAAAAAGAGACGGAGAGTGGCAGGGATGGTGACGAATGTCTGTTTAACTTTCTTGTTGACAACATTTCTCACAATGTGTTCGACTTTGGGGCAAGTTTTGGAGTAGAACTTGCGGCTTAGTTTCGCGGTGGTTTGATCGGGAAAGAAAGAGATGGTGAGACAAAGAGCCACAACTAGAACCAAATTGAAGCGAGCCATGTTTTGGACAAAACCGAGAAAGAGAGTTGAAGAAAATAGAGCCGACACAAAAAGAAGAAATTGCTTTGAATTGATGATGGTAAAAGGTGCACGATAAGTTAAGGGTTTATAACTTTATATAATGATGGGCTTGATGAATAATACTACGATATTATTCAAATTCAAAACAAAACAATAAAGATGATCCACTTGTTTTATTTGAGGCTTTGAAATAATTATTCGATTTTTGGTTAAATGCACGAGCCATAGTTAAACTTTGATTTGTCTACAAATTTTTGGTAAAATGCATCTGTGATTTAATTTGTGTATTATTAAACTTTAAGTAACTGCATATAATATATATGATATTATTGATCCAAATATAAATATAATGTTTCGTTTTAACTAAAATTTCACCTAAATTTAGTGAATGCATCATGTATTTACTACCATTGTACAACAAATGTGCACTTATGAGTGAATTATTCACTGAAAACCCTCTCAGTTTCAACCTTGTTGCATGGATTGTGAGGTTTGATTTTGCATGAAATTTCTGTAGACAGGAAGGCACTCCAAAGATCTATGCTTAATATGCATAAATCTTTCCAAATTCTTCATGTTTCTCTGTTTTACTTCAGAAAAGCTTTGATCTTGGTTGTCTGCATATTAACGAGGATATGATTAACATCCAGATCACACAGGCAAAAGAAAAAGAAAAAGAAAAAGAAAAAGAAAAAGAAAACCATGTTTTTGTGTTTGCGAGAAAATTTGTAACATAAAACTGTTGTTAATGATAAGATCTCACTAAGACACTAACGAAACAAGTAAACGTTTTGTTAGGAGTAAACCTAACTCTTAAAAGAGTACTTATGCAAGTTAACCCAGTCTCTCATGAACAACATCATTCTAATTAACTTGATCGTGCATGTCTGAAAAATCTTCAATCTTCCCACTCCAAAGCCTTATCCGGACAGACGTACATGTTAGTGACTCAGCTCGATCTTGCTACCTTGACCTTTCCATTTGAAAAGTTGGTTTTACACTTGGGAGAATGCAACAACCAGATCAATCCTTTGATACCATACAACGTTGACTACTACCAATCATGAGTCAAGAATCAAATTTATTTTTACCCTGTTTGACACTAAGCAGTAAAAACACGAATCAGCAAGTGAGCGGCTAGTTTTACAAACCCAAATTCCATCATACAAAGAATATATACAACAAACGCATATTATGTTCTCTCTCAAAACAAAACACCAACAAATTTCAATCAGTGTTTGAAGGATCAAGAACTTGACCCATGAACAAGATCACTCCACTCGTGTCTTCTCTCACCGTGAACAGAAATGGATGGTCAGCTACAAAATCTGTATTTTGCCTCAAACACTGGAGCCTAATGACGCCAGCAGAAACCGCTGCAGCTTCAGTTCCCTCTTCATCTACCTCAATACAAGCTTTATGAATAATCTTTGAGACGTACAGCTCCTCACCAATGGCAGGCGGATCAACCATCTCAGTTAGACTTCCTCCAAGAATACTAAACGGTAAAGTCAGCCCCATCTCATACAAAACATTTGAAGCGTCAAACTCGAAATAGAATTTAAACTTTGGAATCCTGAAAGCTCCAACTTCTGTCTGGTAGTTTGGAATATGGTTGTCAAGAAATCCTGGCTCCGAGGCTATCTTCTCAAGCAAAACAGGTAATCCATCTTTACCATCATCAGGAAGATAAATGTACATAGAGAACTGACGTTGACCATCCTCTACGTAAGGGAGGCGCAAGACTTGGAAACCATCATAGCTTCTTAGGTATTGGTCTTTGTGACTGGTCATGAAGGGGACTTTCACAGAAGTTCCATCAAGGAGGTGAAAGTCGTCATCTTTCGTCAGCTTTGCATCGAACTTCTCACTCCAAGATCCTTTGAAGTACACTGCATTTGCAAGTATGAGTTTGCTTCCACGGATATGCTCAATAGTCTGGGAACAATCTCGTGCAAAAATATTCTTGATGAGTCCATTGGTGTTGACTTCAGCCCATGTATTCACTTCATCAATTACTTCAACAGGCTTCAAAATAAGCGATCAAAACACAGTCAACACATGGAGGAAATCACAAATGTCACTCTTAATTACAAATCTAACCTAAACCTATAAGAGTTACCTTGTTCAAGAAGTCAACGTGACTGCAAGTAGCCTTGTAGGAGTTCTCCAAAAGATATTTAAAGGAAGGCTTCAGGGAGAGATATTTGTCGATCCAGATACCATTAGCCGCGGATAAACGCAGATCACTTCTGTCGCTGCCATCGGCGAGTGCAACAGATACGATCTTGGCCAAGACTTGGTTGAGATGATCCGTTGACGGTGAGTCGAGGAAAGAGAGGATTTGTTCTTTCGTAACCGAACTAGAACCGGCGGCAATGATGCTGAGCAAAACGTTGATTGACGTCGGTGAGAAGATAAGGTTGCACCCGTCCGCGACGGTAGCGATGACATGCTTTGCTAGTTTCACCACGACGTCGTTTTGTCTCTCAATTGATTTTCCCATCTCCATGTTTTCTTTTTTTTTTTTTACTTTTTTTTTGTTTCAAATGAAAGTATGAGGTTGGCGACGAATGGTCGTATAAAATATCAAAGTTATAACTTGAACAGTCATCAATTATTGTTACCTTTATATCATCTCAACAAAGTAATAAATTGAAAATAAAGAGTGGTGGGTTAGAAAGTCACAAAGATGGCAAATTAAAATGTTTTCTTCAAACGACTTTCAGATTATTAAAACCAAGAAGATGAAAACTATTTAGACTAAGTCAAATTTCAAACTAGCTAGTGCTTAATCATTACGAAATGGTACATGATGATAATTATCGAAGCAATTGAACTAATCTTGATTTGAATGTTTCAACACGGCCGTTTGACAAATCTCCATTTTATACGAAATATTGACCAAAGAGTTTGAATCAAGCAAATGCAATAAAGAAAAACATAGAAAGCATCAAACTAGGAATAGGCACACACAACAAACATACTATCTGCATCTCCCACATCACCAACGTTTCAAACAATCAATCAATGTTTTGAAGGATCAAGAACTTGACCCATGAACAAAATCACTCCACTCTCGTCTTCTCTCACCGTGAATAAAAATGGATGGTCAGCAACGAAATCTGATTTTGGGCTCCAACACATGGTCACTAGGTTAGAAACAGAAACAGCTGCAGCTTCAGTTCCCTCTTCATCCACCTCAATACTAGTTTTATGAAGAATGTTTGAGACATAAAGATTCTCAGCCACGCTAGGTGAATCAATCATCTCAATTAGACTACCTCCACGAGTAAACGGTGAAGTCAACCCCATATCTTTCAAAACATCTGAAGCTTCAAATCCGAAAGAGAACTTAAACTTTGGGGAAATTCTGAAATCATCCATTGATACACGATGGCGTAGAATATGGTTATCAAGAAATCCAGGTTTATAGCCTATTTTCTCAAGCAGTGCTGCTAAACCGTCTTTCTCATCAGGAAGATAAATGTACATGGAGAATTGACGTTGATCCTCTACATAAGGGAGTCGCAAAACTTGGAAATCATCATACTCTTCTACGTATTGGTCCTTGTAATTGGTCATGAAGGGGACTTTCACGGATGTGCCGTCAAGAAGGTGAAAATCTTTGTCTTTTGTTAACTTTGCGTTGAATTTTTCACTCCAAGCTCCTTTGAAGTACAATGCATTTGCAAGTATGAGTTTGCTTTCACGGATTTCCTCCATAGAATCTCGAGAAAGAATATGCTCGATGACTCCATTTGTGTGAACTTTAGCCCATTTATTTACCTCATCAATCACTTCACTAGGCTGCAAAATAAACGATCAAGAAATTGACCTAATTATTACACAAATTTATTTTGATAATGTTACCTTAAGAATTTCACATCGAAAACAAGAAGGTAATAAAAATTTTCAATCCATGAAACTGATTTAAATTAGGTTTGAGTTTATAATCCATCAAACCTAGCTTCCACGAAATTGTGGCAATTTTTTTTCATCAAACCTAGTTTATACGAGGTACCTTGTTTGTGAAGTCAACTTGACTGCAAGTAGCATTATAGGAGTTATCCAAAATCTTTTTGAAGGAAGGCTTGAAAGAGAGAGATTAATCGATCCAGACACTATTAGCCATAGATAAACGCAAATCACTTCTCTTGATGCTGCCATCGGCCAAGAGAACAGATACGGTCTTGGCCAAGAATGAGTTGAGGTGATCCGATGACGGTAACTTCAGGAATGAGGTGATTTCTTGTTTGGTGACGCAACTGGAACCAGCAGCGATGAGACAGAGCAAAAGGTTGATTGATATTGGTGAGAAGACAAAGTTGGAGCCGTTGGCAACTGTTGCGATGACATGCTTCGTAAGTATTACTGCGACTTCGTTTTGCATCTCTATTGATTTTCCCAATTCCATGTTTTATTGGTTTTACTTCTTTTCTTTTTTTGCAGACAAAAGAGAGAGGTGGGGGAAGAACGGGATGGTCTAAAGAGGGGTGATGATGAAGAATAGGAAGAATTTGAGCATACATAGACTCGTTAATTACCTCACCACGATAACAAAGTGCATATATTCTGAAATGATTTTCTGCAAGTGACTATATTAAATTGGAAACTATTTAAAGTAATAATCCGATTGAAAACAAAGACTTTGTGGGCTAGAAAGTCAACTTAGATCGTGTATTATTATATGGACAAGACAAAAACTATTTAAAATAATTAAATCAACTATTTCCACCACATGTATGTGGTAAACTTGTTTCAACATGAAACTTTCACCACACACAAAAAAAAAAAAAAAAAAGAACCATCAAACTTTCAAGAAATGGAATATGATGACAATGATATGGGAACCAAGCGAACTAATCTTGATTTGTAATTTTATTATTTTCTGTGTTTTAATTCTATATATCATGATGATGTGGAATGACCCCTATTAATTTGGTGCCTCAACTTCCTCTTCAACGGCATCTTCATCTTCGGCTTCCACTGCCAATCCCGTATGGAGACTCACATGTCCAGCTAAATTGCTGTTGCTTGAGAAACATTTACCACACTGGTCACATTGATGTCGCGTTGCTTCAGCTGCCACTTCATAAGCCAATCTCATAGAGTCATAGGGGGATTACGAATCCTAACCCTACCGGTTCTTTGACCTTCAGCAAGAACTCCACGAAGACGTGGGATATGTTGACGTAAGCCGTTGGAGGTTGAGAAACCATCACGGCAGTGAGGACATCTATGGCGTATTTCTGCAGCCGCCATTTATTCTGATATTCTTGGAGGCTTTCTCCGTGCTCTCCTCGCAGTCCCAACAGCATCGTACGCGTCTCTCTTCTCCAACGATTTCATCACCGTCGATCTCTTCCTTTTCATCCTCTGTGTCATCACAATCACCACTCACGTCCGAATTCCTTGAATTTCCGTGAAACTGGCAGGGCTACCATCTCCGACCACTTCTTATTCATCACCATCGGTCGCTATATCATCTTCATCTTCCACGAAGGCCTTCTCTTGAGCGTTTCTTGATGTTCCCGCGATCGCTTTCCCTTTGTGAAACTGGCAGCGATGTTCAACTAACTGGTCGCGGCTGTTGAATAGAACGTATGTGCACTCATTGCACTGAAACACCACACTGTCCACCACTGGTTCTTCGTTCCTCCGACAATCACTAGCGTCAACCTCTTCTGTTGCTATATCATCTTTTGGTTCATCTTCTAGGGAGGCCCTTTCTTGAGCGTTTCTTGATGTTCCCTCGATCCCTTTCCCTCTATGAAACTGGCGACAATGTTCACCTAACTCCTCGTTGTTGTTGAAGACGACTGTGCATTCGTTGCACACAAAAGAAAAAATATTATTGAGAACTTCAAGTTTGCAAATGAGAAATGGAATTATAGAGAGGTTGGAAATGCTTTACATATGCATTGTGGAACCCGTCTTTATCATCAAGAAGATAAATGTACATGGAGACTTGATGTGATCCCCTACATAAGAATGGCGCAAAACTTGGAATCCACTTTAGTTTTCTAGGTATTGGTGGTCCTTGTAATTAGTCATGATGGGGAATTTCAGGGTTGTGCCGTGAAAAAAGATAAAATCGTTATCTTTTGTTTTTTATATAACTTTTACTTTAATTTTTCACTCCAAGATCATTAGAAGTACAATGCATTTGAAAGAATGAGTTTGCTTTCAAGGATCTCTTCGATAAACGGATAAAGTCGCGAGAAAGAATCATCTTGATGACTGCATTGGTGTTGAGTTTAGCCCATATATTAACCTCATCATGTCCTACTTACACGAGGCTGCAAAATAAACGATCAACCAATTGACCTCTTATTCCACAAATTTATGTTGATAATGTTACCGTTAAAAATTTACATCGAAAATAAGATGGTAATAAAAAATGTCAATCCATGAAATAGTTTTGAGTTTGTTTATCCATGAAACTAGCTTCCACGAAATTGGGGCAATTTTTTTCCAATAAGAGTTACCTTGTTTGCGAAGTCACCTTGACTGAAAGTAGCATTACTTATCCAAAAACCTTTTTAAAAGAAGGCTTGAAAGAGAGAGAGATTTATCGATCCAGACACCATTAGTCATAGATAAGCGCAAATCATTTGCCATCAGCGAAGACAACATTTCTTCAAAAGGCAACACTCAAGAGATATGGAAGAAGACTTCACACGAGACATGGGAGAAAATATTTTAGCATAAACCTTGGCATTGCTTCTTCCTGGTTTGGTGAACCGATTCGTACGGTAACGCCAGTCGCAGTTTTTGACGATGAAAAGTTAATACTTCATGAAAACTGTGCTAAACATCCAGGTTTAGTGGTACAAGATACTAGACTAGACACTTATTGTTTATTTTTAAGTGTTTCTCGTTTGGACCGAGCTGTTTCTTATCTTCCAAGCTTAATCTCTATTGAATAGCATCTTCTTTTCTTTTTTTTTGGTAGAATAAAAGATTACCAAAACATCAAATCATATGTTGATACAGAAAACGTTTTTTTTTTTAAATCATCAACAAGAACAAGTTTTAGCCGGATTATTTCTAAGAGATAGAGTGTCTTCGGCCTTTAGGTGCTTTGATCCGTCCTTGTGTCAGGCCAAAAGGGTTAAGCTTTCCGAGTTTCCAAGAAACAGAGCTTATAAATGACTTTCTCGGCAATGGAGGCTTAACCACCGAAGAAGCATTTGAAACCGGAGAACAATCCCAACAACTCATAACTTCAAAAGATTTCTCCTTCTCCAATTCCTTGAACTTCCTTTTCACTTGGAGCAACTCAAGCTTCAAGCCTTGGTTCTCACGGTTTAATTTGGAGAGCTCATTGTTATATGAACTTACCTTAGGAAGAGCAAGAATCTCTGATCCGGTTGCGGTTGCTGCTGCTGGAGAATCTGAATCACTTAAAAGTCGGCGGAGACTTTGTTGCTTGTGGTAGAGAACTTGAACTACGGTTTGTTCAGGGAGACGTTCGTTTTGAGTTGCGTGAACACAAGCTTCTTCCGACAGCTTTTGACAGTTCATTAAGCTGCAAATTTTCTTCTTCTCCACTTCACCTATATTCGGATGCACCTACACCAACAATATTTAACAAATATGTTATAGTCTCAAGTAAATGGTTTTCATCAAATTCTGTAAAGACTAGAGCTTTCTCATTTTTTCCAATCATATGATTCAAACCCACAAGATGTTTGACCTTTTTAAGAAATGGGTCCCAACATTCTAAAAATGTTATCAACAAAAGTTTCACTCTTGTAGCAAAAGTGTATACCTTTAAGTAAATGTCTATGGCTCGATACATCCTATCTTCAGTAACCCTAGAATGTTGTGGAATGCATTCAGCTAAACCGATGAATGTCGCCAAGTTTATGTTTCTGTCAGAAGCGATTTCAGCCAGATAAGTCTCCATTAGTTCACATATATCACTAGCAAAACCAAGAGAGTTTCCTTCAACTTCAAACTCAAGATAGTTCATGAGGATGCGTTGAACAGTATCAACATCAAACATTGTGTTGTCTCCGTCGGATGAGTAAGAAGGAAACAAGAGATCATCGAGCACCGCTTGTCTTAACTGTAATCCCATTCTCTTCTCCAAATCAAACCTACAAGCTACCGTGGTTTCCAAGTATATGGCAGCTCTCAAAAGCATCGAAAGAAAGCTCACTGAAACTGAGTCTCTCTCCCTCGGAAGAAGACTCACAATTGTTTCAAGAATCACTCTTTTCTCATGTTCTTGTTCCACACCCATCTTCTTCCTCGTCCCTTTCCCAAAAACCTCCTGCATTTTCCAATACAAAAACCCTAAATTTCATGAAAACTTTCTCGGGCATAAGTAAAAGAAGAAACATTGTTCTGTTAGGTTAAATCAAGAATCTCACCAAACCTCTAAGAGCATTTTGAGCATAGAGCATAAGCACTGGACCAAGCCCGTGTCGCTTAAACCCTCTAGCCATCATAGCGACCAAGACACGTTGAAACATATCAATTCTTAGAACAGCTAAATCCTCAGCCCACCAGTCAACAACAGTATCCTCTTTCCTCTGGCTCTCCTGACAAGTTACATAAGCAATTGAATCTACACACCGGGTCACGAGCTTCACTCTCTCGGCTATAGGCAACAAGTCCTCAGATTTTTTCAGGACTTTTACAGATTTCGATAGATTCTTGAAAATCACTTCTTTCAAGTAAACCTCTGTTGTCTCCACAAGGTTTGTAACAGAGTGTTCCTCTGTCATCTCTAGATACTCTGCTGCACATCGCAGCATCGCAATGTTCTCTGTGTTCATCTCGAAGTTTATTCCGTAGCAGAATTTGATTGTCAGCTCGAATGCGCCTGCACCTCCAGGAAAATCATGGATCTTGATAACGTTAAGGTTGCTTGACTCGGAAGCAAGTTTCTTTATAAATCCACATTTTGACACAATTTGAGTCTGCAGATTATGAGGGAGACTTTGTGACAAAGAAAAGTGATCTCGTTGTGTTTGAATTAGATCTAGAAAGAAAAAATTCACCTTGTGGAGTGAAAACGAAGTTTCTCCGACATGAACAGCGATGTCACTAGGAATCTCCTGAGAAGAAATCCTGCAACAAGTTGTGTAAGAAAAATAAAAAAAGATTCGATTTTTACATTTATAACAAAAGAATAAGAAGAAGAAGATAATAAAGGAAGAGAATGAGAAACCATTCACTAGTTCTCTTCATAGCTGAGGACAGAAGCTGCTCCTTCTTCTTTGCCGACATTTTACGATTAGTTTTCTTCTTGTTCAAGAAATCAACCTTAGAAGTTCGAACTACTACTTTTCTCAATATAACTCAACTGTATATAAATGTAAGTTGAAGTTTGAATCTTTACACGTAACCAAAGAAGACGATGAAGAAGAGGATCCACCAAATGTTGTTTATGCTTCCTTTCAGCTAATCCAAATTCCTCAAATGAAACTACGAAATACCCAAACTAACCCTGTCACTGTGCACACAAGACTACAAGAGGCGAGAGGGATGAAGGGTAGTTACGTAGTTAACACGATAAAAGTTTAAGATTGAGAGAGTTGAGACTGTTTTTGGAGTATGTGGTTCAAAACTTCAAAAAGGTAGGGATCATCTTTCTTGATCTGAAACGTGTTGTCGTAATTATCTAAATAATGCAATTTTCCAAAGAAAACAAACCTTTGATCGATCACACCGCCAACTAGTGAAATTCAATACTAAGGGATTTGCTAGAATTTCAACATTTTTAGTGTGAAAATATAGCATAGTTTTTTATGTCACCGACAAAACATGTGGAATGACAGAATTTACGAATCAGAGACTGAACTTTTTTGAAAAAGTTTGGCCAAACTATCACACACCTAAACGTACATCAATCTTATTTTCCATTCTTTGTTTCTTTCTCCACGTTCAAGATTTCAACTTTTGTCGACTATCAAAGATTCCAAAATTATATTGTCTATAAAGCTTATAGAACGTTCACATAGTTGTTACTGAACATGATAAGTTGATAACAAATGATTCATGAAGACTGAAGAAGAAGATAGAGGAGGAATGAATAAGCTGCACTCCACATGTTTGATTTTCGTGACAGAACATAGTATTATATTGTATCCCTACAAGTTTTTATTACCAGATTTCTAGATTTCGTCTGATAATTGAATTTCTGATTGAGACACAACTCAATATTTGCATTGAATGGAGAATGGTGTCTGCTCTATCACTTTCTTGAAATTTAATAATCGTAATAATATTAAAGACGTCCACATCCAAAAACAAAAAAGATTCAAGATTTTCTCAAATCTTGATGAAACAACAAAACACAAAAATATTACACGGAATGATAAAAAAAACGTTTTGTTTTACCTTGGTAACATTTTCAAAGATGAATCGAAGAAGGACCAGAAACAGCAACGGTTCTCTGAGCACGCTGCGTCTCACCGCGATAAAGCTCCTTCGTCTCTTTCTTCATCTTCCTCGCTTCCCTCCTCTCACTCTTCACAGCAGTCTTCCGCTCTTTCTTCTCTTCTTTCGACTCTTGTCCATGAGTCTTCCTCTTAACCGGTTCAGCTTTCGGAATAACCGGTTTAACACCTGTCAGCTCACTTTTCCTCCCGGGCAAAAACTCAACCGGAAGCTTCTCTTTCCCTTGGAGGGTAATGATCTTACCATTCGAGCTCAACGCTTTAGCCACCGTCTCACTCAGCTTCTTCCTCCTAGCCTCTGGAGCATAGATTTTACCAGGGTGGTTATCAAGATTCGAGAACGTCGAGACAATGGACTCACAATCAAACATCTCGCTCTCGTCGCTGCTCTCTTCCTCAATCTCCACGAACTCACCTTCATCCCCATTATCCAAATTCTCACCATACTCCACAGTGCGACGAATAAGATGCGCAGCAGTTGCAAGCTCCTCTTTATCTTTCACAGAGTCACTGTTCTTCAATATATCCGCAGGGTTCATATACTTCTCTTCAAGCTCGTAATCTTTCGGCTTCTCATAGATTAGATTCTGAACGCTCTGTCCTTCTTCTCCATCTTCACTCATGTAACCATCATTGTCACTCTCACTCCCATACTCATTGAGCACGAGCTCATCAAACAGCTCATCGATCTCACGAGTAACTCTCGGGTTTGCAGCCACAGGTTTAGCGGGAAGCTCGAGCTCGTTATTAGAAGTTTCTCCCTCTTGAGTGAGACTAGCTTGAACGATGAAATCTTCTTCCAGATCCTCAACATCGGAGCCAAACTCAGAGTCATCACTCTTCTCAAGCAGCGCAGCAACTTCAGGATCAAGATCGATGACTTTCTGCACCTTGACGTTAACAGTCCTTGACGCCACGCTAAACAACGACTTGTTCTCGTTAGCTTCTTCGTTCAACACACCAGAGACCTGAACACGAGAAGCATCAAAGGCCCTGACATCAAGAGGCCGCGGATTGATCTCAGACTTGGGGTTTGCATAGAAATTAGAACCACCACCAGTGTTCTTAATCTCTCTCAAATGATCCAAGTAGTTATAGCCATCGTCAGGGTAACCTAACTGAAGAATCTCCTTCCTCACATCAGCAGGTAAGGGATTACTCGAACCCCCAGCAAAACCGGAGTAACCGTAAGGTAAATCTTCAGGGGCATCTTCAAACTTCGAGTCGTCTTCTTCTTCTTCCTCATCTTCGATGAAACCATTGATGTTTACAGGGTTCTGATCAACTCTTAAGAACATCTTATCACCTCCCGGTGCGTCACTGTATCTCGGGTCCGATGTATCACGAGGACACAGCTCGAAAGTCGCCGCCTTTTTCTTATCAATGAACTTCTTCTTCCCCATTTTTAACTGATTTTGCTTCGACTAGGGATTTAACTGCAAAGAAAATTAGGGTTTCTAAGTTACAGAGATCAATTCGGCGCAAAACAACAACTAGACTACGATCAATTCCCGACTAACATAAAGTTAATATTTTTACAATTAGGAATCACCTATCAGTACAAATTCATCGAAACTAAGTCTAGAAACGATTCGAAAGCACTATTGGAATAAGAAGAAAACTGAAGAAGCTTACCTGAGAGTAGTTTGAGAGAGAGAGGCGCACACAACGATGACGATGATGAAGAACAGAAGAAACGGCTTTGAAGCTTTTTTTAGGGTTGAGCGAAAACGCAGCGTTTTGAACAGATACTATAATTTACTAATTAAAAAATAAGAAAAACTAATTCATTTTTGTTTCCTTAAGTGAGTGTAAGCCACTAAAGGAAATAATCTAACGCGGGAGAGTGCACGGAATAATTACATGCGCCTAATCTTCATCTCCTACTACTTTCCCTTGGCCTCCCTTCGACGTTTCCTGTTGTTATTGTGCGCCATCTTCATCTTCCGTGCGCCGTTGGCGCATTCTCCTATCCTACCGCTAACCGTCTCCACCACCGGAGTCGTTGAATCAGACGTCGGTGTTAGCAGGCTCGATCGTTGCCTCCTCGATCCCGATCCTCTCGACGAGATCCCTCTTTCCACCACCGTCGAGCCAGCGATGTCGAAAGCTCGTGTTTACACCGACGTTAACGTGATCCGGCCCAAGGAGTATTGGGATTACGAGTCGCTCAACGTTCAGTGGGGGTAAGAATAATAATCGTTTGTTTTCTGGGAAATTGGGAAAACCCTAGGAACACTCATACGGGATTATTGGGGAATTTGTTTGTTTGAGATTAGATCTTTCTTCAGTAGGTGATTTTGATTTTAGCTGCTTTAGCTTTTTTCTGTGATTACACTGCATATTCATGATTGTTGATACCTAGCTTTTGGATTCTCTTCTTATCAATAATTGAATCTTATGGAGGTGATACAAGTAATGTAGAAATTGAGCTTTTCTCTAGCTGGTGATGTTCTTGATTGTTGATCTGTTTGAGCCTTTGAGGAGAGTTGTTTGGTTCGTCCTGCATATGATTTGTTTTCATGGATAGGTGATGAAGCTTTTGTTAAAATTTGCAAGCTTTCTTCTTTGTGTTTCCTTCTCAGGGAGCAAGATGATTACGAGGTTGTCAGGAAGGTGGGGCGAGGAAAATACAGTGAGGTTTTTGAGGGCATCAACATGAACAGCAGCGAGAAGTGCATTATCAAGATTCTCAAGCCTGTTAAGAAGAAGAAGGTGAGTGTCTACATTACTTGAATAGGTGTTGATGCAATTATATTGAGTTAAATCGCTTTCCGTTTTTTTTTTCTGCTGTAAAGTGTAAACTACCTTAATGTGGCAAAAGAACGAAAAAATTAAACTTTCTGAAAAAAGAAGTTTGTTGCTTTTTTGCAGATTGGGTTTTGCCTTGATTAATTTTGTTTTTGGGTTGCCTTTCTGAATTTATATGATCCTTTGTAACAGATTAGAAGAGAGATTAAGATACTTCAGAATCTCTGTGGAGGGCCAAATATTGTGAAGCTGCTTGATGTCGTCAGAGATCAACACTCAAAAACCCCAAGCTTGATATTTGAGTATGTTAACAGCACAGACTTTAAGGTTCTGTATCCGACATTGACTGATTATGACATCCGTTACTACATCTATGAGCTGCTGAAGGTAATTTCTGCATCGATTTATAATTTCCATTACGACTTCTGATCTGTGGAATTTTCTCGGGTCCACAACAAACTAATGTCAGTAATAACCTTGCAATTTTTTTATTACTTGCTGCAGGCATTGGACTTCTGCCACTCACAAGGTATAATGCACAGAGATGTCAAGCCACACAATGTCATGATCGACCATGAGCTGCGCAAACTCCGCCTGATAGATTGGGGTCTCGCTGAGTTTTATCATCCTGGAAAAGAGTATAATGTCCGTGTTGCCTCAAGGTATTATAAGTCGTGTTGCGATCCCATTTTATGTTCTAAACTGATAACAGTATGTAGTCTTTATCAGTAACTAAGCTTGATCAAATGTTGTCTCCTATATCAGATACTTCAAGGGACCCGAACTACTAGTGGATTTACAGGACTATGACTATTCCTTGGACATGTGGAGCCTCGGTTGCATGTTTGCTGGGATGGTGAGTACTTTGCGAATTTGCATTGCAAGGCTTCCTTTGCTACACATATATATGAGTATCTGCAGATTCATTTTAAACGACTGTTTCCAAAGATATATTTAGTTATCTGATTTGTCTAATAATTTTTCCTTGTAGATATTCCGCAAGGAGCCTTTCTTCTATGGCCATGACAACCAGGATCAGCTTGTCAAAATTGCCAAGGTAAATCAATTTTGTGGCTAATCGTTAGAATATCAGAGGAGACTAAGTGCTTTTTTCTAATCTTAAAGAGTTTTTTTTTGTTTGACTCTATACTCAGGTCCTTGGAACTGATGAATTGAATGCATATCTGAATAAGTATCAGTTAGAACTTGATGCTCAACTCGAGGCACTTGTTGGGAGGTAAGCATAACTCACAGATCCTCTATTAAAGCCAATACCAATGACTAATTCTCTCCTTGATGACTTTCTTGGCCTATCTCCACAGACATAGCAGGAAGCCTTGGTCCAAATTCATCAATGCTGACAATCGGCATTTGGTCTCACCTGAGGTGTGTTTACTTGTTCTCTTTATTCCTTAGTAACACAAACACTTTTGTTTTCTCTCCCTAGTCGTAACTTGTTTAACATGTAGGCGATTGATTACCTGGACAAGCTGCTTCGGTATGATCATCAAGACAGATTAACTGCAAAAGAAGCAATGGTATGTATCAGAAGATCACTCAGCAATTGATCTTTCTTAGTCTACTTATGATCAGAATCTTGTTTGGTTACATGAATGATTTTGATCATATGAGATTAATAAGCCAAGGTTTGATACTTTTTAATGAATTGACAGGCTCACCCGTATTTTGCGCAAGTCAGGGCAGCAGAGAGCAGCAGAATGAGAACTCAATAGAGACGTCTCTGAGAGTATTTGAAAGTGGTGTATTTACTATTTTTCTCCGATAAAGGTTATTTGTGTTTCTTTAAAGAAGTGATGTTAAATGTCTAACTCTCAACGTTTGTCTGATCCGAGTGTTTTTACCTATTTTCAAACTTTTGTAGAATTTTTAAAAATCTATCAATCTATTTTCGAAAGCACACAAGTCGATAGTAAAACAACCAAGGGGGTTAATAAATTTAGTTATTTTTTTTTAAATGCATTCTCGCTAACATCGTCCAAGAAAGTTCTAGCTTCTAAAATGATAATTATTAGTCGAAGTAGAGAACCGTTCACCGAGAAAACAAATATTGGGTTTTCTAATAGTGCAGTTATCTGTGTATTACTTTCGAATTCAAATGAAATCGCTTTTCTATTCATCATAATTAGGTCCACTAATCAAAGAAAATATGAGAATATAAGTGTTTCTAATTTTGTGTAGCTATACAAATATGGGAATAAGAGTCCTTTTCTCCAGAACTGTAAAAATTATGGACTATTCTTTTTAAGATTAAAAGTTTGAGAGTGCAGAAAAAGTATTCATAAATTTGAGACTACATACACGAGAATAGAGTTGTTTTCCCTAGAAACTGTAACAGAGTAAATGTTGAGTTTTGTATTTGTTGTGGCAACATAATCATGTCTAGCATATTAATAACTATTGCATACGTAGTATATATAGTTATAGGATTAAATGTAATTTATTCATATTTCAGTTCTCAAAAACATGCTTCATTTCAATAAATTGAAACTGGAGGATGCAAAGAATTCATCAGCCATAGTCAAAACTCAAAACATGGATACAAGACACTATTTCATTATTTATAGTTTAGTCGTTTTGTATCATTAACAATAAATACACCATTAATCTCATTTTACCACCAGTAATTGATGTGGTTGATTATCGGGTTGCATCAGATACAAAGCTCAACCGCAAACTTATGTCACCATCAGTAATATGTTTACCCTTATTTTTATTATCAGCAAAGTCACTCTCCAATTACGTCATTCCCATTAAGAAATGAAGAGTTTACGTATTTGAAAAAGCTGAACTTACATTTTCCAAGCTCTCAGAGAACAGAACTTACACATAAATGGGAGTAGGAATCTTATTTCGCCAAATTGCTTAAAAGGGGTGTTAATTTTGAAACTCGTCCTCTATTTTTAAGCTGAAACTTCACTTCCTCTGCTTTTAAACTGAAACTTCACTTCCTCTGTTTTCAAAACACATTTCTCCGACAATGTATCATCTCTCACGTCTTGCTTTCCTTTTCCTTTTTCTCCATATTTCCTCTGTCTCTACACAGAGGACAACAAAAATAGTTCATACTGCTCCAATGCCGATGGTTTTTGTGAACAAAACCATCTGGCACAAGTCATGTGTGAGAGCGGTCTCACCCTCAGCCACGGTCCTCTACTCATACAACAAAGCTATCGACGGCTTTGCGGCGAGATTGACTGACGGCGAAACTGAGGCTCTCCGTCTTCAACCTGGAGTTGTCTCAATCTTTCCAGAGCGGTCTCACAGAGTTCAGACTACAAGGAGTCCCTTCTTCCTCGGCCTTGACGACAGTCAACAAGAGCTCTTCCCTAGCAACGGCTCTGCTTCCAATGTAGTCATCGGCGTCATCGATACCGGAGTCTGGCCGGAGAGCAAGAGCTTCGACGACAGGGGATACGGTCCGACGCCGAGAACCTGGAAAGGAGAGTGCGAAGAGGGAACGAACTTCACGGCGTCTCTCTGCAACAGAAAACTCATCGGCGCCAGATTCTTCTTGAAAGGTTACGAGGCAGAGTATGGTCCACTCGACGAGTCAAAGGAGTCCAAATCTCCGAGGGACGTATTCGGACACGGAACACACACTTCATCGACCGCAGCTGGATCGGTGGTGAAAGGCGCCTCCTTTTTGGGCTACGCTCCGGGAGTGGCTCGTGGGATAGCTCCACGAGCTCGGGTCGCCATCTATAAAGCGTGTTGGGAAGATGGCAGGTGCGTGACTTCCGATCTTCTAGCGGCCGTGGACAAGGCAATTGAAGACAACGTAGACGTTTTGTCCCTCTCCGTAGGCTTCCGCGCAAACGACTACCACAGCGACGCTCTTGCAATCGGAGCATTGGCAGCCGTCGAGAGAGGGATTTTCGTGTCTGCAGCCGCCGGCAATGAGGGTCCAAGCGAGTCAACTCTGATAAACGTTGCTCCTTGGATAACCACGGTCGGAGCAAGCACAATCGATCGAGATTTTCCCGGCACTGTCATCCTCGGAAACGGAAAATCATTTGCCGGATATTCCTCCTTGTTCAAGGAGCGTCATCGCCTACCCAATAACCAAATCCCATTGTTATACTCGGAACAAGGCGGCGACTTCGCCGGAAAGCTCAAGCTGGTCGACATGGGAAGTGGAGGTACAGAAAAAGATGAGAATGAAGCCGCTAAATCAAGTGGTCCGCTGGGGATTATCTACGCAAATACGGAGTTGGATGGGGAAGAGATTGTGGCGCGGTATAGGTTACTCCCTTCGATCGCCGTCGGCAAAGAATCCGGCGACCAAATCAGGAATTACGTCTTGACAGACTCTAATCCTACGGCGATGATTGTTTTTAAGGGAACCGTCGTCAATGTCAAGCCATCGCCGGTGGTGGCAGGGTTCAGTTCGCGTGGGCCAAATCCGATCACGCCGGCGATTCTGAAACCCGATCTTGTTGCGCCAGGTGTCAACATTCTCGCGGCGTGGACCAGAGCAATCAGACCCGAAGTCGACACGCAGCATACACCGTTCTTCATCCAGTACGGAACATCTATGGCGTGTCCTCACGTGAGCGGCATTGCGGCCCTACTCAAGGCGGCGCATCCCGATTGGACTCCGGCGGCGATTCGCTCTGCTCTAATGACAACGGCCAGAAGAACCGGCAACGACGGAGAGCCAATCATCGATAGCGCTGGTCGTACACCGTCAACACCGTTAGCACACGGTGCCGGACACGTGTCTCCGGTGGCTGCCTTGAATCCGGGGCTAATCTACGATTTGACGGCCGACGATTACATTGACTTCTTATGCGCTTCGAATTACACGGCAGCCCAGATTAGGACCGTCGCGAGACGTGATTTCACCTGCAATCCGAAGAAGACGTACAGAATCGCCGACTTAAATTATCCTTCATTTGCCGTCAGAGTCAACCATTCACTCAGTGAAGGCGGCGCGTACAAGTACACGCGCGTCGTGACAAGCGTTGGAGGAGCCGGTACGTACACGGTTAAGGTAGTTTCTGATAAAATGGCGGTTAATATTTCGGTCGAACCGGCGATTTTGAAATTCAGGAAAGTCAACGAGAAAATATCATACACGGTTACGTTCACCGTGAAGACGTCGATGCCGTCGGGAACCAATAGCTTTGAGAGCATCGAGTGGTCAGACGGACGACACGTGGTCAGAAACCCCGTTGCACTAAGCTGGCCATATTGATAATTAAGTGAAACTAAAGGGGCGTAATAAATATTGTAATGCTAAATCTTTATATTATTAATTGAGAAGTACATTCTAATGTTTGGATACAAGAATTAGAGAAACATCTATTTGGATAGAAGAATAAATGGAAACAAAAGTTGTTTGGATATAAGAATAAGAGAAAAATCTATTTGGATAGAAGAATAAATGGAAAAAATTGTTTGGATACAAGAATAATAACTTAAAATAAACCGATGGTTTAGAAAACTTCCGTTTTCCATCTCTTAAAAATCTGCAAAAAAAAAACTTAACATAATCTAACGATAATTCCAAATCAATAGAATATGCTTTTTGGATTTTCGGGTTTTTATAGACAAGTTCGGGTTTGGGTGAAAATCTGAGACATAATTTTATAGAGATATAGAAATTGTTCGGGTTTCTTTGAAAATTTCTGTTCGGGTTAGGTTCAATTTTTTTTTTCAGTTTAGGGTTTTCCGGATTTTTTAGATTTCTGGTTTTCGGGTTTAGATATATTAAAAAAATTGAGTATTTTAAAATTTTGATTAGGTATTGGGGTCGGGTTCCGGGTGAAAAAGTTTCCAGATTTTTTTTGTTCAGTCAGGGTTTTCGGGATTTTTTTGATTTCGGATTTTCATGTTTAGACCTATTAAAAAAGTTTGGGTTTTTAAATTTTTTGATTAGGGTTTTTTGTCGGGTTCGGATTTAGGGTTTAAATTTTCTACACAAAACAACAACGTCACACCGCACAAACGTGCGGGTACTCTTTTAAGTGTAACGCTCTACGTAATGGGCTTAATGATCTGAATTTCTATGAAAATGGGCTTTTATTATTATTATTGAAATTAATGGGCTTTATTTGCACAGACAACCGATATGACCAGACTCCATTACTTTTATTCGAGAAAACAAAACAACTTATTATTAGAGATCAAACATGATCATGATCATGAGGAATATTAAGGACAGGGCCGTTGGGACAATTCTCATTGGGAACGTGGAGAAGGACACGGTTACAACAAAGATTATGTATCATACCAGTATCAGCTGGATATATGATACCAGTAACATGTGGATTGTCACGTTCAATTTGTCTCTTTGCTTCAGGTCCACTTACTCCTTTTAGTTCTGGCCATTCCACTCTCAGCCCTAGACGAAAATTATCACAAAATAATTATTTAATCTATCAAATCGAACGACACCAATATCTAAAAGTTTAGGTTTTGGTATTTTCCAACCTTTTATTCGAGAATAATAATTTATTTATTTTTAACAAACAAAAATCTGGTTAATCATCATTAAGATCCTAACTTTTTCATATGTATAAATTAAATCATAATCAGAATATACAAGAAATTAAAATTCAAAAAGTAACCAGAAGATGTATTACATCTATTTGACTGTATTATGTTGTGGTTATTCCAACCAATAGACCGCTAATTTTATCATCCAAAAAATTATAAATACCTGGAAATCGAGATTGACATCCAATTCCACCGCAGTCGCAAAATTCACATTCAAGATATTTAATTGGACAATAAACATTCATTTTGAACAGATTCTTATATGTTACTTGAACATAGTGATGATGGCTTGGTCACTATATATATATGGCAGATTAATAGGGGTTACGCTACGTACAGAACATGACTGTTGATTAAAAATAATCTGTCAATGGTAATAACGAATCAAAATATATTTATTATTTTAAGATATGTTAACGTTTTGAATATCAGTCAAATAACGATTTGACTTTGTATATTAGGATACCAATTATATTTTTTTCATTAGGAATCTTCATATATTATTGTTGCTGAAAATTAAATCATGCCCAAAAGAAAATACTTTTTGGGCAATAGATTAATAGGGGTTACGCTACGTACAGAACCAATTAAATGACTGTTGATTAAAAATAATCTGTCAATGGTAATAACGAATCAAAATATATTTATTATTTTAAGATATGTTAACGTTTTGAATATCAGTCAAATAACGATTTGACTTTGTATATTAGGATACCAATTATATTTTTTTCATTAGAAATCTTTATATATTATTGTTGCTGAAAACTAAATCATGCCCAAAAGAAAATACTTTTTGGGCAATAGATTCTAACCCAAAAAGTAAATAATATCACAAATCTTTTTTTTTTTTGGTTTTAACAATATCATATCACATATATTAGCAACAAGAGTTTGACAAGTGAAAATTTTGTGAGAGAAGAAGGCATATTCTGAAGACTTCACATCTTCCTTCTTGCAAAACACATTTCTCTCTGACCATGTTTCTCTCACGTCTTGCTTTCCTCCTCCTTCTCTATTTTCCCTCTGTTTATACACAGAAGACAACCCAAATCGTCCACATGGCTCCTATGCTGATGGTTTTGCTGCCACAAGTTGTGTCTGAGAGCTATCTCAGCCTCAGCCACGGTCGTCTACTCGTACAACCGCTCCATTGAAGGCTCTCCGGCAAGATTGACTTACGGCGAAGTTGAAGCTCTCCGACTTCAACCAAGAGTGATCTCAATCTCAAACTTTTCACATATGTTAGAAATTGCGGAACATTTCCAAGAAAACAGAGTCATCACTGAAAAGCAAAAACTTCCTCCTTATTCAAAAGAGATTATTACTTACCCACAAGTGTCATTAGTATATAAGCAAAATGTAAATAAAATATAAAGATAGTATAAGCAAAATATAAGCAAAATATAAGTAAAACATAAGCAAAACATTAGAAAAAATATATATAAGCATGAAAACAATAAAATGATAAGTTCAAAACTAAGAAACTAAAAAAATACAGATTACTGATTACCAACAATCGATCGGGATTTCCCGGAATCGTCATCATGGGAAATGGAAAATCGTTTGCCGGATATTTCTCCTTCTTCAATGGTCATCATCACATACCCAATAACCAACTCCTGTTGTTATACTCAGAACAAGGCGGTGACTTCTCTGGCAAACTCAAGTTGGTCGATATTGGAAGTGGAGGTGTAGAAACAGACAATACTGAAACCGCCAGCAAAGAAAATGGTCCGCTCAGGATTATATATGCAAATACAAAGTTCGACGGCAGAGAGATTCTGGTGCGGTATACTTTGGTCCGTAAAGTCACCGTCGGCAAAGAAGTCGGCGACCAAATCAGGAATTACATATTGGCGGACTCTAATCCTACGGCTACGATCGTTTCAAGGGAACCGTGGTCAATGTCAGGCCATGGCCCAGCCCCGGCTCTATCATTTTGAGAATCTTAGGTGAAATCCAAAATATAGGCCTTTTTCTAAAATAAATAAATTTTAATATTCAATCAAATATATCAATAAAAATAAACAAATCTGTGATATTAAAATACAAAATCACTTCTTTATCTAGGGTTAAACTGGATGACGGATTATAGGTCTTTTGCTTTACAATTTTATAAACTATCGGCCCTTTTTAGATAATTAATTGGGTTTTAAAAGTATTTCAATTACAAAAACACTAAGAGAAAAGAAAAAAAAATTAGGCCTGGAGCCTATGGCGGTCGCACGCCATGGCTTAGAGCCGGGGTTGTGGCAGGATTCAGTTCTCGTGGGCCGAATCACATCACGCCGGCGATTCTGAAACCCGATCTTGTTGCGCCAGGTGAAACATTCTCGCGGCGTGGACCAGAGCAATCAGACCCGAAGTCGACACGCAGCATACACTGTTCTTCATCCAGTACGGAACATCTATGGCGTGTCCTCACGTGAGCGGCATTGCGGCCCTACTCAAGGCGGCGCATCCCGATTGGACTCCGGCGGCGCATCCCGATTGGACTCTGGCGGCGATTCGTTCTGCTCTAATGACGACGGCCAGCAAAACCGGCAACGACGGAAAGCCAATTATCGATATCTCTACTCGTACGCCATCGACACCGCACCGGACACGTGTCTCCAGTGGCCGCCCTAAATCCGGGGCTAATCTACGATTGGACTGCCGACGATTACATTGATTTCCTCTGCGCTTCGAATTACACGGCAGCCCAGATCAGGACCGTCGCGAGACGTGATTTCACCTGCGATCCGAAGAAGACGTACAGAATCGCCGACTTAAACTACCCTTCATTTGCCGTCAGAATCAACCATTCACTCAGTGAAGGCGGCGCGTACAAGTACACGTGCGTCGTAACGAGCGTGGAGGAGCCGGTACGTACACGGTCAAAGTCGTTTCTGATAAAATGGCGGTTAATATTTCGGTCGAACCGGCGGTTTTGAATTTCAGGAAAGTCAACGAGAAAAAATCATACACGGTCACGTTCACCGTGAATACGTCGATGCCGTACAGTGGTCAGACGGACGACACGTGGTCAGAAACCCCGTGGCACTAAGCTGGCCATATTGATAAATAAGTGAAACTAGAGGGGCTTAATAAATATTGTAATGCGAAATGTCAGTTAAACAAAACCAGCAGCATCTGCAACCAGTAAATCTGTAACATTATTCAACCAGTATAACACAGAGTCATAAAGCATTATTCAAACCATGGAAGAGTGTCAAATTTAAGTCAACAAGAGTAACTTCAAAGGAAAACTCTAAAGTTGAATCCGGAAAACATCAGAAGACTAGAGATGAAATGAAATTCAAAGCAAAACTCTAAACCGAAAAGTTTGTAATGGGAGATCTAAGTAGAACACCAAACATGATTTTTTTCTCAACTTTCATCTCCTCTTTGCCATCATACCTTCCCTCCTTTTCTACACCAAAAAGTTTGTTTTCTATGAGAGGCTCATTAGAAACTTGATTTCTTTTTTTTTTCCTTTTTTGTTAAAGGGTTTTCATTAGATGATTTCTCAAACTCATTAAATAAAATTCAAAATGAACGATATGATTCATATGAGTTATGACAGACTCCATTTCTTTTATTCGAGAAAACAAAACAACTTATAGAAATTATTGAAACTGGAGATTAAACATAATCATGGAGAGAAACAAAATAGGTTCATCATCCGATCTTGGGAACATCTAGTACAGGGCCGTTGGGATAATTCTTAGCGGGAACTCTGAGCCAGGCACGGTTACAACAAACGTTTTGTATCACAGCAGTATCGTCTGCATATAAAATACCAGTGACATGTGGATTGTCACTTTGAATTTTTCTCTTTGCTTCAGGCCCACTTACTCCTTTTAGTTCTGGCCATTCCACTCTCAACCCTAGAAAAAAAACCCATCACAAATTAATGTTTTAATCTATCAAATCTAAGGACATCACTAAAAGTTCCGGTTTTGAGCTTTTCCCATCTTTTGACAAATTAACCATATTTATGATTTAGATTAAATCTGTTAGACCGTATAATTGTGGTTATCCAGAAAATGAAAAATAAAATAAACTTATATGTGTATATATATGTATATACCTGGGAATCGAGATTGGCACAAAATCCCAGTGCAGGCGCAAGGTTCACATTGAAGATTCATTTTGAGTAGTTTGTTAGAGTATATGTTACTTGAACAAAATGATAATGGCTTGGTCACTATATATATGGCAGATTAATAGAGTTATGACTTATGAGACGTCAATTAAATGATTGTTGACTAGAAACATTCAGTTAATGGTAATAGCAAATCAAAATTCATTTACTATTTGAAGATACTGTATGTTACGTTTTAAATATCAGTCAAATGACGATTTGACGTTTTTTGTTAAGAAACTTAACAAGGATTTGGCATTAGAATCTTCATCAATTATGGTTGACTAAAAACTAAATCGTGGCCAAAAGGAATTTTTCATCGTTTTGTACTTTTGTTATAGTAATATACTCAATTTGTTTCAATCGTAAATATTTTATACAATTCTTTTTTTTTTTTAAACATTAAGAATTTATGTCCATCTCATCTCAAACTTTTCAGAGATTTGTAACAAATTGCGGAACATTTCCAAGTAATAGCGTCATTGACGCTGAAAAGCAAAAACTTCCTCTTGTTCAAAGGACATTATTACTTACCCATAAGTGCCATTTGTATATAAGCAAAACTTAAACAAAATATAAGTAAAAATATAAGCAAAATATTAGAAAAAATATATATATACATAAGCAAGAAAACTACAATAAAATGATAAGTTCAAAATTGAGTAACTAAAAAAAAAAGAGATTGCTAATTACCAAATAGACCGAATAATCGAGACTCCGGTTTTGAGGAATCCAGCAGAATCATTATTCATCTTTCTCTTTGTTTTCTCTGCTATTGCGAAAACCATCTGCACATCCAACTTTACTTCTGCAGCATTACATTAGTAATTATTGAACTAAACATGAGCACAACTACTAATGAACATTAACATTTTTAAATATCTTGATCTCAACTAACTAAAATCCTTCTGAACTGGTATAACCAAACTATGTTCTTTTTTATTCGACAGAACAAAACAACATGTAGAAAACTAAATAAACAAAGATCGAACTGAATCATTCATTTGTGTAGAAGAACAAGAGAACATCTCATCCGACTTGAGGAAGGTTAAGGACAGGACCGTTGGGACACGTATGGACGGGAACACGAAGAATGACACGGTTACAACAAAAATTTGTTGTCACAGCAACATCTTCTGGTATTATAACAGCAACAACATTTGGATTGTCACTTTCTATTAACCTCTTTGCTTCAAGCCCACTTACGCCTTTTAGTTCTGGCCATTTCTCTTTTCCTACGTACACACACAATTATCCCAATTGTTTCAATATCTGTGACATCAAATCGTACCGATACAGAAATATTTTATATACACAACAATAGTAATAATACACACTAAAATTTTGACAAATCATTTACCATATCATCGACCCACAAAAATACGAAAAACAAAAAACTTAAAGATCAAAGAGTACCTGAAGAGTTGCAAGGAAAACACACAGGACTAGAGTGCGGACAATTACCAACCATTTTGTTTTCTTCTTCTCTCCTTTTTTTTCCTTCTTCTTTTCGCCACCTTTCCTCTTCTTCTTTGTTATAAACAGGAATTCGGTAATGCCTAACCAACATAATAGACTTAATAGTTAATGATCCATATCTACCAGCTTAAATTAGTTAACGGGGGTAGTTGACAATAATTGCTTGTCTATGATTCCACAAATTCATTCCACCATTTTTCAACCATTTGGAAGTTATATTTAATTAGTTAAATGTGTGTATGATTTTAGAAATATGGTAGATTTTATATTTCAAAATTAATGAAACTGATCAACCATTTATGGATTTAGGCTAGTTCTTGAAAATATAAGATCATTGCTGATTTCACATGTATGAGACAAATTGATAAAGATTTCACACATATGTCAAGGATTACCAAATTATAAAATAAAACTTGTATGCCTTGCTCACACTCTAGTCACTATTTTTCTTCCTTCGACCGTCCGATTGTCCACTCATCGAGTCAAACCCCGAGAAAATCCACGTGGCGCTCATCTGCTTTTTTATCATCTGCGCCGCGTAGTACGGTATCCTTTGCGCATTCGAACTCTTGCGCCAATGATCGACGAACGCCAAACAATCCATCAAGCTCTCTCTCGCCGACCCCTTTAAATCGTACGCTTGAGATCTTCTCCACAAACTCTTCCCGTGTGGATCATCCACACCAGATAAACACAGAGCCCTAGTAGCATCACTAACTGCGGACTCAGCTTTCTTCAACAACAAGCAACACTGTGCTCTGTTGCTATACAACACAACCCTATCTCTTACCATATCCAGCGGACACAAATCAATCCCCACAGTATAAATCTCCATCGCTTCTTTAACAAAACCCATCGAAAACTTCTTCTTCCCTTGCTTCTTCAACGACTTCACCATCTTTCTTCTCTCTTCAAGCTCCGTTTCACTCATAAGCTTCTCCTTCTTCTTCCTCTCTACTTTAATCTCCCATAGATTCTCTATAACTCTCTGAGCCTCCTCGCTCTTCATCTTCAAGCCACTATACTTAATCTTGTGATAATCTTGCAAAACCATCTGAGCTACTCTGTCTCCAACAACTCTATCTTCTGCTAAATCCACCAAACGATGCCCTAAAACATCCATAACTCGATACCTAACATTTGAGTCTTTAAGAAGTAACAAAAGAGTATCTAAAGCCATTTCTTTCCAATCATCACACGATCTCGCAAGATCGAAAAGTCTCTCAATCACTTCTCTAACCTCACTTACTTTGTTTCTTCCCAACTCTGTCTTACACAAAGTCTTTATCAAACCAATTCCTCCTGCTGACTTCCGGTTTGCTAAACCGCCCCACATTCCACTCACTTTCTTCAAGAAACTTCCCTCGCAGATCCGATCAATGGACTTACCTCTCAATGCGAACCAATTCAATAGATATAAAGACCAGCATTGTAACTGAATCCCCCATTCCTCTCCCTTTTGATTCTCTGTCTCTAACCCACCAAGCCCTCTCGTCAACAAATCGCTTTGATACTTTAACCTCAAGCTATCTTCAACCCCAAGAAAGCTTCTGTAAACATTCTTCAAACAGTTACTAGCTATCTCCATCGAAAGCTTCACAATCTCTTCTTCGAACAAAGAAACTACTTCAAAGCTCTTATCATGGCTAGCTAAATGACCAAGCGCTCGAGCCGCGGCTCTCTGCTCAACCCAACTGATCTTGCCTCTCAAAAGCTCCAACAAAGCAGGAACGACAAAGACCTTTGAATCAACCGCTAGTGAAGCCAAATCTTCCTTGTTCATGACATATGATCCGATGATATGAGCTGCGTAGTAAGGAATGAATATGTTTTGGTCTTTGAGAAGCCAAGATCTGTTTCTGATGGACTTTTGTATGAGTTTTGACATACACTCGAACAAACCTAGAGATGGGAACTCAGGATCGTCAGGCTCGGACATGGCTATGTTCCAAAGACCACTCAAGACTAAGACATGGTCTTTTGACTCCGTACGAGGAATCTCTTTGAAAATTGCGGCGAGCTTGGATCTTCGAAGGAAAGGGTTCGTCTCTTTCATGCTGCAGAAGAAACAAGATGGGTTTGTGCATAGTGGTTCTTCCAAATTGAGCATTTTCTTTGATTTTTCTTCTGTTTTTTTCAAAGAGATGGCTAATAGATCTTGAAAGAGAAGAAGAGACCAACCATAAGGTTATGATTTAGGCCAAAAGAACACATAATTCTTCTCTTTTGGATGCATTGATTTTTAAATTCGAACTCAAAAGAAGAAGAATACTAGTTTATGGCGGCTCCTCTTTCTAGCCTTTAGCTTTCCACTTCAAGTTCCAATAATATTAGAATACGAATATACATCAACCTTTCGTGTTAAGCCCAAAAGCAAAATTAGGTAAAGAAAAAAAAACAAAGGTTTGTTTGTGTTCACACAAACTATGTGTTGGACATAATCCATGGTGGTTTTGACATCTTGCTGATATCATTTATATAGTCCAAGTTTAATGGATCATTTCATGTGCACCAAAATGGTTGCATACGAGACTTTTCAAGATTAGAGAATGTAGAGTAAAAGCATTTTTGTCCAATTTAAGACCGAGTACGACATAACGTTTTTGTAATACTATTTCAAGATTTTTAAAGGGTGAAAGAGAAATGGAAGTGAAAAAGAAAGAAGCAAGAGAAGTTGGATTTGTGGTCCCCTCAAGGAGAAACAAAGGAACCAGTGAAAATGAAGAAATATCAAAGTCTTTTGTTTGGGTCTCAAGAAAATGCGGCTGCCTAAAAAGCCAACCTTTAAACTCAAATTTAATCATCACTAATATTTGGTCTTTACAGGTAAATCAATTATCACAACTAACCTGCCTCACATCTTCCATGTTAATCATTTCTTTTCCAAGATTCGAAAATCAAGAAAGAGCCTTTTTAGGTAAAGAAAAAACACTTCAGAGTTCAAACTAAGTTCTCAACTTGACATGTGTATCTGTCGGGAGAAACTCAATGTTTAACTATTTCTTAGTTTAATTTAGTCAGTTAATCCGCGTGCTTATGTCATTATGTGTTATGATTCTCGTGCACAATCACATGAATTCTCCACAAGAAAAAGCTCTCAAAGCTTTTGAATTTATGAATCATAAAAGGTCCCAATGATATAGAACAAGCAAAAATAGCCTATGATAAAAGATTCTCTAAGTCACTTAACTATGCACAAAACTCTGAAACCTCTTGTGGTTTCATCATTCTCAAAAGAGCCAAATGCAAAGAGTTAGTAGAGAGAGAGAGAGAGAGAGAGAAGAATGAACAAAAAATATACCAATATTACTACTATCTTCAGAGAGCTTTATGGAGATGGGTTTTGGCTGATGAGGAAGGAGGACAATGCTCTGTACACACTACACAGAGAGAGAGACAGAGAGCTTCACTTAGAGGTTTTTTGCTTCTTAGTGACAGGTGTAGGATCTTCTTCTTCTTCATCAGCTTCTTCTGAGGGGTCTGCAAACGAATCCATTAGCTTCTTGAAAAGATCAAGCTTCTCTTCCCCCATTTCTGTTTCATCACCCTCCATCTCTGGTTCATCCATAAACAGCTGGACAACAACAAAAAAACCATTCAAACTCCAAACAAACATTATAATAGGAAAAAAAAAATGTTTTCAGAACAATTCTTACGTCTTCAAGGAGTTGGTGAGATCTGAAGCATCCAGGAAGTGGAGAGATGTTATTCAAACACTGACCATCAATCTGAGAGGAAGGAGCTTGAGGCAGAAGCATCACTACATCTTCAGTATTATCAGCAGATATACGTTGCCTTCCGATTTGCACTGTCGCTTGAGCTACCATCAACGGCTCTTCTACAAGAGCTTCATCTTGCTTACCAACTTGTACCGTCAGGTCACTCCGAGACCGAGCCATTGTTGGAGGAGGCAACAACGGTACAGTTTCAGGTACCAACTGATCAATACGCTTCCTCAATCTCTTTGCTCTCTCCTGCGCCTCATCAATCTTGCAAAGAATCTTTGCTAGGTAATCCTCAGAACAATCTAACTCAGAAACAAGACAATCTTCTTCAGTCTCATCTTCCTTGCCAGTAGCTTTGCGCCCTGTACCAAAATCTAACACAAAATTGAAGATTTAGTGCTAAAGTCTTCATTTTTAACCACACACAAGCCACAATGTGTATAGAGATCTCACCTGGATCAGGACACTGAGCTCTAAGAGCTGTTGGCTTCCGCTTCTCTGAAAACACAAATTTACCTCACAAAGTTAAGACCATTCTAGTCACAATTCAAAAGAAAGTTAAAATGAAGCAAAGAAAGCTCAATACCTGAATAAGAGAACACATTATGGTTAGGCATAAAAGCAGCAACATCAGTTGTATCTTCCACTCGTCTCCTTCTTCCTCTCTTGAAAACATTCATCCTCTGAGTCTGATCATCACGGAAAGGAATCGACTTTCCATCCAAGCCTTCGAATTTAGACTTCTCCAGAACAAACTGTTTGTTCTCATAGTACTTTCTAACTTCTCTCTCATACTTATTCGCTTGAGACTCGATTTCCTTAACCTTGAGCTCTAACCATTTGCATCTCCACATTAGCGGCTGACAAAACTTCCTCCAATCATCAGTCAGCTTCTTCTTCCTCAACCCCAAGAAATCAGTCCCATCACTACCACTACCACCACCAAAGGTCTCAGGGAATGGATAGTCTAAGCTCAACATCGATTGGGCTTCAAAGCCAGAATCTTCATCACACATTGAATCACCAAAAGAGCTTGAAGAGGATTGATACAAATCTTCTTCTTCTTCCTCTGATTGAAACTCATCTCTCTGGTTATTCCCACACTCGGTTATATCAACCTCTACGTCTTCGGATTGTTGATTCGCAGGAGAATCTGAGAAACCCATTTCAGATCTTGGATTTTCTTTAAGCGTCATGAGCCTCTCCTCCAAAAAGCCTTCACCTTTGCTCTGCTACAATCGAAAAACAGAATCCGAAAAAACGATTGAGACAGTGTTAACAGACAAAAAGTAGAATAAAGCATTAAACTTTGTTCAGGAAAATCGATTTAAGACAGTGAGATTAGACCCAAGTAGAGAAAAGCTTCCAACTTTCATGCGAAAAACTAATTTGATAAAGCGGTGAAATTTGATCTTACTGATTCCTGAGCCTAAGTGATTCAACGATACAACAAGAAAATAAAAAAGAGAGGAAATTTACAGAGAAAATTCACGAATTGGAGTGATTCGCTGATCTTAGGGGATATTACACATGCCAGAAAGCGATTTGTATGAATCAGAATCTGTTAGAGTAAATCCAAAAAATTTGGAGAGGCTTAAACCCAAAACCCTGGGGAGAGAGAGAAAGAGAGAGAGAGTCAAGAGAGTAGTAAGAAACAGAGAAGAGAGATTGATTATTCACCAAACTATTTCGAGAAATTGACTGGCCGCTTCTGTAATCGCTTAGTCGAAGAAAGAGAGATTTTTAATCCCAAATTAGTTTCGCAATGCTGTTGTCAAAAGTTATTTTAATTTCTTTTTATGAAATCACCTTTTTTCCTCCAATTAAATATATTTTCTATAATTAATTTTATTCAAATATATACTCTTTCTTTTTTTGGTTTATTTTTGGTTTCCTTTCTTTCTTTTTCTTCGATTCCCAATGATTCTCAAATGATTTTCTACGATTTTCTCATCAGCACATAAACACTACTCTAAATCGTCATTCTTTTCAACTATAAATCATCAGCATGGTGCAATTAACTATCTTTTGTTATTTATCTTCTCAATCCTGGTCAGATTGGAAAAACGAAACTTTGGCTCTAAGTTATTGGATTTTCGTTTTTTCAGCAACTATTTAAATATCTAAAAAGAAAATGAAAAGAAAATGTTAGTGTTCAAGTTAAGATTATGTCATTTTCCTTGTTTCGGATGCTAGTAAGCTTGGATCGACGAAACATGACAAATTTTAGTATACGTAAGTAGTAAAACTGAATTAACCAATTAAGTAACAAATTACAATTTTGAAAGAGAGTTACAACTAACTTTTACAAAAATAAAGAATTTATTTTTATTAAGTACCAGCGATATCACTCGATGCATGGATAACTTAGGTACAGATTCACAATAACAAATAGTTTTGTCTATTAGTTACTCTTAACTGAAAGAGTTTTGTCTGATCATTATATCAACATAAGGTCACAAAAAGTTATTTGAAAATTGATGTAGATTAGAGAGTCCCATCATTGGATTAGTTCGGAAGGAAGCGATCCCCGAGCATTTGAGCGGTCAAATAGGTGAAAATCCGACGGTTACAAACTTGCACAATACGATAGCAAGTCTCCAAGGAATTTTATAAAGAAACTTTAAGTGGGTCAATTTTGTTTTCCTTATTTTGAGAAGTTTCCTATTTCAATTTTTACCATAAATGCATGCATCAGTTAATATATATATACATATATAAAAAACTATTTTGCCAGTTAAAATGCAGTGTCGTTTTTGGAAAAGTAGAAACTGTTACCATAATTACATTTATTTAATACAGAAATGCATACTCGATTTTTGTTTCTACAGTAAACATGTGGACTGTGATTTCTCCATCAGAATTTGAGTTTTGAAAATTCTGTACGCATCTGCATTGCAAAATTTGCAAATAGCTCCATTTTTCTAGTAATAGTAATCTGAAAAAGAAAGGCAAAAATCAATTGAATCCACTGTTCTGCGCTATACATTTTTTTTTACATTTGGCTATATGACAGTGAGATAGCCAGATAGGAAAATAAAAATCACAGTAAAAACTGAGCAAAAGGATATAAAAAAAATTCATAATTTAAAAGTTGGCATTATTTACTCAAAAAAATAAAGATCATTTAAGAGAGTTGGGTTACAGTTCTTATGATAAAGAGGAGAAGATAAGGGCACTATGGTTCTTTATAAAGGTTGCATTTCTTGCTCAGCGACTATGATGGCTTCATCCACAGGTTTATATGGATTTGAACTTTGTTTGCGTTTCCATATCAACAAAACTCCATAAGCTAATAACCCGACAACTACAACGATGATGATAACAGTTGCAATCACGACAATAATGTTTTTCATCTCCCACCTTGTCCTAATTAACAGAAGACAAAAAAAAAAAAGACTTCTTTTGAGACAAATGGAGTAATAATAATCTACTTTGTGGTTATATATTTAAGAACGAATGGCTTACCGTTTTCTTGGAGGCTCGAGTTTGTAACTAACGAGCTCATAGTTTCCGAAATTGTCAGGAAGTTTGATTTCGTGATTGCTAAACCGAGAAACTATACTCTACGAGGAGAATAAATGGAAAAATCAAGTAAGAGGATGAAATCATGAAAAAAATCAAGAAATGTAAAGGAGAATGTTATTTTGTGTACCATTGCTGTGACATTTGAAAATAAACTAGAAGATTCTTCACTAGGGACAACAACTATTCTGATGAGAGAGTTGTTTCCTTTGGAAGTAAGATTCGATAAATTGACCTGTCACGGAATACTCAATATATTAGCCAAAAAAAAAAAAAAACAATGTTTTAAGGGCTTACAAATTCTTGTCTGTAAATCAAATTTTGGCTAACCTGTGAAGATTTGACATCAAGCTCATCGGAGAATAACCTGGAGAGCTCTTCACTGCGAGGTTTCAGATACGACGAATTGACTGTTAGCTGAACATCAAGGATTATTTGACCAATCTGAATCTCCCCTGAAGATGGATTTGATGCATTTGAAGGTAAAGTGGCCGGTGGTGGTGGTGTTACACCATCGATATGAAGCCTATCCGATAACTCCGAACAATTAGTTCTCCAAAATCCAACCTTAGAATTCTCACGATCATACACAACAAGTGTATTCCGTACCACAATGCCTGATAAATACAAAGATAAATCAAATGAAACAAACAAACGAAGATAGCCAAAAAATAATGAAAAGAAACAGAGTAAACAGAGTAAATGATATATCTATTTACCTCCTAAGAGAGTTGTATGATCTTTCCCATTCGGAAACACACCAAGACAATATGCTCCACGCACCTTTGAATGCTTTTATCCAACCAAAAAGTAAATTAATATTCATATTAGCTGTAGAGAGAAAAATGGAACTTTATAAGAGGTTTAATAACTTACTCGGAACAAGTAGTTTTCAGGAGACAAGAGCCAAGATTGACCACTCTTAAACACCATCTCGACCGTTGGAAATATCTTCGTAAGCCCCGAAACATCATTACTTCACCATATAACACCAAAACAAAACCATCAGTAACTTGAAAACGTTAATCAACAATCTTGCAAGAACCATAATAATAATAATACCTCGAAGCAACATGGAAGCAAGTGTCTTTAAAATTCGGATCAGGTCCATCAATCTGCTTCAACGGAGAAGCCTCTCTCATCACAGCTTCCTCAAACGCCGAAAACGCCGCGTCTGGAAGATACGCATACGTCGTACCACTGTCCAAAACCGCACCATGCTCGCCATCGAAGACCCTCGAGTTCAGCGACAACTGCTTCCCGGCGACACGTATCCCCGTCAAATCTATATTGTAATATGGACTGTCGCCATCCCGAGAAACTAGAGTAAATGTGTGAAACGGTATCATTCAAACCGTAATGATATTTATTAACACACAAAAGCATGACAAAATTGAAACAAAAACATTACCTCCGATCAGGGTCCGAGTCAGTGAATATCATCTCCGACGGATAAGCAAAACCACCAAGAACCATCGAGCCACCACCAAGATCCATCCCTCCGTAACACAAACCGAAAGAGTTGCTGATCAAGCCTTTATCCACCAACTGATCCACAAGGCTGAGATCTCCTTGCCCTAACCCGATGATCCCATCCGCGCGCTGGCTGTAGAGATCACCGGTCTCGACTGTCTCGCAGCCGAAGACAGCTCGCTGGGGAGTGAGCTGGCTCTCGTTGCCGAACGAGATGAGGTCTTCTCCGAGGACGCCTTTGCTGCTGCTGTGCTCTGCGTACTCTCTCTCGTACACGCATTGCTCCTTGTCGTCGTCGCAGTTGCAGTCCATGTTGCATTTCACTGCTTGGTACGTGCTCGACAATTCCGGCTCGAATTTCGGGTCCTGATCGATAAAGTAAGTAAGCACATTGGGATTGACAAATCTAGGGCACAAGATTTGAGGCAATTACTTGGTGTTTGCCGCATTGTTCACAGTCGGAGCAAGGGACGTAAGTGACTGTGCTCCCGGAATCTACTATGAGAGCGAACATCTGCGGCGGCGTGCCAATCCAAAGCCGCGTCGTGTAATATCTAATAGATTGGTGAGAGGTCAGATCGGAAATTTTGGATTAAGAGTTTAAGGAATGCGAGATTTTTTACCCGTTGAGGAGGAGATCGTCGTAGAGTCTCATGCGGGAGTGAGGGAGTGGTTTGGAGTCGGTGTTGTGGAGTTTCCGGTGGTGAATTGAGACGGATCTCGGAGAAGAGGCGTTTGATTGGGAGAGGAACAACGGGAACACCATGGGACGGCGTGATCCTCCTGGAGGAGATTGGTGGAGGATGTTTTTGTTGGCGGCATTTGAATAGGGGAGAGAGAGATAGATTAGGAAGGAGAGTGTTGCGCTGATTGACGAGATCGACGCCAGCGCCATTTAAATCGCCGGCGGGGTTCTCCGATGTGGCTGTATCGCCGGGGGAATTGCGAGGGGGATTAAAAAAATGAGAGACGGAGTGAGAGGAGAAGAAGAGGGGAAAGTCAAAACGTTAGATCTACGGAACCAAAGCCCACTTTTGCCTTTGAGACAGAACAAAGCGTTGTGAGGGATTTTGTTAAAAACGAAAACGACGTTGTTTTCTGTGTTTTGTAATTTTGTTCTTGTAACATCGACTATAATATACTCCAAAATAATGATCGATATTGCCATAATTTCCAATTCCACCAAAGAAAGATTATGGTTTGTAATGGTTTGTAATTTTCTTGGTTTTGTTACTTTGTCGGCTCAAGCTCAAACGCGTACACTACAACTTTACAAGTTACCAGACTCGGGTTATACCATGACAAGGGTAACATTAAATTTACAAATCGAGATGGTTTCTGTAGACCTATATAATGTAAAGATTCCCATGTACTAAAAGAGGTTTATATATAAGTACTGTATAAGGTTCTCATAACAATGTCAAATTTTAACTATCTATAGAATATTTCTTGTTGTACAACTTTTGTTGATTTTGACGTTATATGTCCAAGACTATGTATGTTGCAACTTGCAAGGTTTTGCTTACTTGTATGATATTTGTTTGAAGTCAAGATACTGTATATAACTTGTTTCGGATTTTAATCGATGATCATCAAACAAAGAGATCACCAGATGATGATATAAGATTATTGCATTGAAATTCTTTATTGTTCAATTTAATTCCTCTGTACATGTTTCGTGAAAGTTTCACCACAACCCAAAAATGAATTGCTCTTCGAAATTTTCCCATAACTGATTCGAGCTCCTAACTCTGAAATGCATCCCCAACTACTCAACCTTCGGTGTTATTCCACTATCCCTGAAACCTCCGACGACGAATCCACCGCCGGTATTTTTCTGCATCTCCGTCATGTAACTCCTCACTTCCGCTTTGATCATCTCCTGCACCACCGTCATAAACTCAGCTCTACGTCCGACTCCGACGAGTGCTTCTCCTCTCTCCTCTACATTAATTTTCATTTGACTCTCAAATCGCGGAAACAGCAACGAGTTGTGGCTCGAGCTCGTGTTCTTCGACTCCTGGCTGACCACAGCTCCGGGCAGTGACAGTGATAGGCTCAGTGACGTCGGCGGATCTTCAGAGGAAGAAGTCATTTCGACCGTTGGCGGCAACGTGAATCCGCCGGAAACCGGCATTGGCTTGAAAAGCTGAGCAGCAACCGGAGACGGCGGAGATGGGATCGTGCTGGAGTCGCTGAGGTCAATTCCGGGAGGACTCTCCGGGCTCATGTACAATCCAGTATCCACCGGAGCAGAATCCAAGCTCACCGATCTCCTCTTCTTCGGCCGATCCTGATCTTCCTCCGTCATCGCCGCGAAATTTACATCTCCACCGGCGCTACCGCATTTCCGCTTTAGCGTCGAGTTCCAGTGGTTTTTCACGGCGTTGTCCGTACGGCCGTTGAGAAGACGAGCGATTGTCGCCCATTTGTTGCCGAACTTGGCTCGGGCGGAGACAATCGTCTCGTCCTCCTCCGGCGAGAACGGCCGGTGCTCAACCTCCGGAGATAGCTGATTGCACCACCGCAATCGACACGATTTGCCAGATCGACCAGGGATCGATTTGCTAATCGCCGACCAATTCCTCGGCCCGTATTTCTCCACCATACTCCTCAGCTGCTCGTCTTCCTCTTGACTCCACGGACCTTTAACCCGATCCGCCATTGAATCGAAGCAGATCTTTCGGTGAGTTTTTTCGAAATTTTTGGTTTCTTCGGTTAGAGAAGAAGAAGCGAAGGAAGAAGGTCGAGAAACTGAAGAGAAGAAAAAAGGTATTTATACAGAGAAAGAGAAAAAGGGGAAAAAGTAACCGGTAACCGGTTGAGACGGTGGAGAAAGTCATGGCCCCATGAGCACCGCTTCTTCCACGCAAGCGGTTTTGAAAGTTTTGGGATACAGCTGTAGGTGAACACGTGTCGAAATCTCGGTGCGTCTATGTGTCTAACTCTCTTTTTTTCAGTTTCACGTACGTTACGATGGAGCGTGCGACACAGTCGAGGGTGTGAAGCGAGAGAGAAGTGAGCACACGTGCGTGGGAAGCGCGTGGGTTGTTGTGGGAAGTTAAAGCGACAAAATCACGGAAACCTACAAGGAAAGCTCTGATATTATTCGCACAATCTGAGGTGAAAATTTAGAAAGTTGTTTTAATTTTTAATTTTATGTTTTTGTAATTAAATTAAAATTTTTAAATATCTGAAATAAAGACGATAACGGTTAGGTTTGGCCGTTTGGGTAAAGACAGTTTTTTATGCATTTTCTGACTTTTGACTGGCCAAGCCAGCCTGTATACCAATACACCTTTTTCTTTTCTTTTTTTGAAAAATATATTTACTTTTGTGGATACAAAACGCCTATTTTTGAATCTTTTTAACAAGTTTAAAGTAGTTGCAGTATTGCACCATAATGAAATGGAACAATAATGACACAATAAATTAAAGGGTTAATTTGCCAAAATGGCCATATTGGGCCTCATAATTAAGAAAATAACCATCCAATTTGAGTAACAAAGAAACTAACATTCAGCCACTAATTTGGACGAGTTTGTCCTCCAACTAGCACAAAATTATTCCCTGAAATAGATTCTAGATTAGGAAAAGATAAACCCAAGTATAATTTTTTTTTCCAAACCAAAAGATATAAACCTAAACCCAAAAATCTAAATCCTAAACCCAAAAATCTAAACCCTAAACCCCAAAACAAAACCCTAAATCTTAAATACTAAACCCTAAACTCTAAATGCTAAACCCAAACCCAAATATTTACCTTCAAAACTAAATGTTAAAACCTAATACATAACCCTAAACCCTGAATTTTAAATATTAAAATTATAAACCTTTAAAAGAATTTACCATATGCATATGAACGTGTATAGACGAATTTCTTCAATTTTTTACCTATGAACTTATAATGGAAAATGAGTTTCGTATAGGTTGGGGGGTATTTTGGCATTTATACATAAAATACACTATGTATTGTAGCCATTAGATGGAAATGGTTAGATTTTCAATTATAAAGTTTTTGTTTGTCATTTTTGCCAATTTCCCTAAATTAAACTAAATCAAATAAGCATAACTTTTTTGATGTAACTGTATTGAACGTTTCTTAATTATTGTAGTTTATCTTTTTAACTGAAAAGGTTTAAACTGACTAATGCTACAAATTTGGCATGTAGCAATCACACAAAAAAATACAATTTGTCAATTACTTGAAAACAGTTTTTAAGAGTGAAATTAGTTTACCAAACGCCAGCTAAATAAATGTATTCAAAAACCATATGGAATTATATACAGGAAAGGAAATTTCACTGTATTCACTCTATTATGTAATACAGTATAAGATTTTCATAATAATTCGATTAATATTCTGTTACATAAACGTGTTACAAAGAAACGGCCACACAAAAGAAAAAAAATTAAGTGGTCGGGAAAAAAAGATAAAAATTTGAAAGTTTGATGATATGGCATAAACGACAAAGAGAGTTGGCCAATTGGAATGTGAAATCATCACTTACCATAATTTATCATTATTTTAAAAAAATTGGGAAGCAAAAATCCAGGCTGTAATCCTCAACAAACAACTAACTGTCGTCCATTAAGCGAACTGCCACGTGTCAGTTTTTAAATGTAAATGAACGAAAGGTGTGTAACTGTCTCTAACGTTAGTAACGCACTTCGTCCCCCAACGTCATTTGCACCTTCTCCCCAACCTTCCCTCGAACGGTTTCACAACTTTATTTTATTCATTTTTTACAAATATTTATATAGTTTTTCCGTTTTTTATGTCAAATTCGTTAGAAACAATAAAAACCGATTTCATGTCAATCATACACTTAATTCTTAACGTTTTCCTATTACATGAACACAGCTAACATTAATATTTTGTATAGAGTACATTGTAAAGTTTGTTACAAAGTTTAGTTTTTCAGTTGTTCTTTCTTATTTGTTCGTTTCTTGTTATCTCTATAACGTTTCTCAAAATTTTAAAATTGGTAATAAATCTTAAAATGTTCACACAAAAACAATTATAGATCTATGGTTTGTATTTGTATTCCTGATTTGCATTCTTTTTGCTTTAACTACAGTTTTTGTCAACGGTTTACACTGACTTTACATAATTGTCTTTTTGAGTTATCTTTTTCGGTTTCTTCAGTTTAGTAACCAAACTTTCTTAATGGTTGGTCATATCATATGTACGATTCCTCTCTTTTTTTTGGTAGAGAATATGTATGAGTCCTCTCCTAATAATGTTCTCTCATCGATATATAACGATTACAGAAAAGTTAATCAAAAATGTTTGATGTGCTCGAAGCTATTATTGGGTCATTATATATAAACTGCATGTACTTTTGCTGTGTACACCAGCTAGTTAGATTTGAAAGATGCACGTGAACATTTGGTGCTATATATCTGAGATGTGGAATTATTCCAAATTTCCAATAATGTGTGTGTGTGTGTGTGTGTGTGTGTGTGTGTGTTGAATAATTTGTAATAAAAGTATTGGTAATAGGTTGTTGTCAAAAGGAACAAGACGGTGCACGATGCGACGAAAACTATATAAATATATTGCGAGACCTAATAAATAAAATATAATTTGCTGTTTGTTGTTGCGATCCATGCCTCGCTTGTCGAGTTTGTTCCGCTAATTTTCAATTATTACTTTTGTAGGGTTTCGCTAGCATAAAATCGCTCAATATATTTGGATAACAATACGGTTTTGAATAACAAAGAGATAATGACAAATTGTCATTGACAATGTACGATAGTAAAATAGTCGGTGTGAGAGGGAAAAACAGATATATGATGACTAAGTTCATTGTGTTATTCGAAATAATAGAATCAAAAATTCGTTTAACGTTTTATGAATTTTATATGAATCAAAAATGCATAATCTTTTCACAAAAAGAAATCTCATAGACGCGTAAGTATGTTGTCTACGCATACGCAACCGAAATAAACATATCCTGAGGCAACTAGTGATTCATTATCCGAACGATATCATAGGTAAGCTCCTCTCATTTTAAACTCGTATTGTAGGTTTTTTTACCCATGACATTATAGTTTTGAATCCTTTGATGTAATTCTAATAATATTTTTTTGTTTACGAAGATCAACGTTTCATTTATTTGTAACACAAGATTCAAGTCTATGTATCAGTCTTGTATGACTGATATGATATATTTGTTTCTCTCAAAACACTTATTATACTTTTTTATTTTTTTTATCAATTGTACAAGTTAATACATACGACTATATGAGTCATGCCTAAATGTTCCCCCTTTGTTCTTTTCCCATCGTCTACGTACGAGTTCGAATATTATTCTCTCTCACAATGTTCAGTGAACAGTAGGCCAATGTACATAAGTGACTCAAATATTTCCGTCGAACGTAACTAAGTTTTTCTTGCTTATCAAAGATGATTCAGGTTTATGAAAAAGATTACTCACTTCTTCATCCTGTTCTTTTAGTTTCTTGTCCTATGATCTATGTCATACCAAAGTCAGTGATTATAGCAGAGAATCCCTGCCAGGGATTAAGGGATTTTCTTTCATTTTGGATAGTGTTTGGAAGGTTTTCTTAAGTTGCGATGTGAAAATAAAAATAAATGAAACCTTCCTCGCAAGTTGTTAGTATGCTGAAGTAAAGGTAAAATAGAAAAAAATAACCAGATAGTGGAGGTAATGTATAGGTGGATATACACTTGTCATCATTCATAAAGTTGTCATTCTTGATCGAGTCTCGGATAAATTCTTTCGTTGGTCTTCCTTCTCCTAGTTCCTAGACTCCTAGTGTATACATGGTGCTTGCACTACAATCTTCTGATAACCTTTTGTTTGGGCCAAGAACGTAAATATTTAGATTTAAAAAGTTGAGTTAATAAAATTGTGAAAAAAACTATCCAAAATTAATTAGTCCTATGGCAAAATTAAAAGAGAAATAAAAAAATCATGGAAGCAAAAACAAGTACTCTCTCGTGTCATTTACCGCCGAGCATCGGACTACGCAACAAAGTATATGGAGATGGAGTTATAGAATTAGTTTTGTTTATGAAATAAATAAAATTTCAATGGTGAATTACTATAACAAAAAGTATGACCTTCCTTCACCTATCTTTGTAATCTTTTATTTATCAAAAAAAAAAGTTACTCTTTTGTTTCGCATCACGTTTTGAGTATTATTTTTTTGTTGCTCACGATATTTTATATTTTCACCCAGAAATATCGTTTTGGACTCGAACATCGATCGGAATTTTTATTGGTGCGACACATCTCAACATTTCTGATGACACTCTGACCGGTTACTTATGCTGCAGGTCCAACTCAAGGACATATGTCATTCCAAGCCGAAGCCAAAATCAATCCTCGGACATCTAAGATGACGTAGTTGCACAGTCAATCATCTTTGACTCCTGCTAAAGACTTATGTACACCTCCAATTTGGTCACAAACTAATACTCCCTCTTACTATTAGGAATGGGAGCTTGTATTTAACAAATTGATGTCTTAAGTCTTATAGTTTGTATACAACACCTGAGAATACATAAATCACGCACACTTAAGTCTTATAGTACTCAACTTTTTTTTTTTTCTTTTTTTTTTTTTTGCCAGCCATATAATTTTATTAAAGAAGCTCATTTAAATGGGTTCGAATACAGGAAGTATAGTCTAACAACCAGCAAATCCGGACAAAGTCAGAAACAAAAAACCGGTCATAGTCGGAGAGAAGATCCGAATTAGATCGGAAGAGAAAGTACAAAAAGACTAAAATTAAACTATGAAATAAATCTCCAAAAAAAGATCGGAAAAGCAAAAGAAAAAATCCCTCTCTGAAAAGTTTGGAAGAGAGAAGAGAGAGAAGGTCAACGTTAGGCGCGTTGTTCTTTCGAGAGGGCTTTTCGTTTTTTTTGGTAGAAAAATGAACGGCCAGATATTCGCAATATCCTAAATTTTCTTAAGCGAAATCGGAACATGAATCCGGTAGTTTTATGGAGACAAAAGTATCATTATTGCTTTTTTGAAAAGACAAAAGTATCCCTATACATTTCACTTTTGACCGACAGCGCTATTTTAAACGGCAGCACATTCAAATTTTTAGCCGCTTAATCGCCGACTAAAAGACTTTCCGTACTTATCAAACTACACACGTGTTGTGTGTTTTTCTTCCGAGAACCGCACGTGTATTTCCACTCGCATGCACGTGTGCATCTTAACCGGCCAGACCGGGCAAGAATCCAGTATATAGAGTGAATGGGCCTGTATCTACTGTGTAAAACTTCCGGCCCATAACGTGTCGACAAATCACGCATCTCTAATGCTGCAGAAGTGCTTGTAGCTGCAAATTGTTGACGACTTTTTGGTGAACTTTAGTAAACACAAGTTGGAATTTTTCATCATTTTGAGATCTTAGTCTGCTTCTTTATTCCACAGTAGGTGATCAAAAAGGAGATATCAAGAATTATAGAACCCTCTATGATTTGAAAATATGGCTAGTAAGAACAAGTAAGCACAAGTTGGAAAGTCCTCCAGAGCCATGGTAATATACCTGAAACATATGGCTCTAAAGGACTTTGATTGTTTAGTCGTCTTAGCTGATAGGTTTAGTAATAATTCAAAAGACTGAATAGGCAATGAATCATAAAGAGTCTAAATGATGGATTTTCCATGGAATCGTAATCATGAATGATGATGACAAGTCAACTTTGGTTTTGCAACGAATGTTATAAATGCAATGTTTTTCACTGGTTTAGTATTTGATACTCAAATTAATCTTTGAAACATTATTTTTATGAAATTCCTAACATTTATGATTTACGTCTTCAGACTTCAGAATTAGTGTTTCTTTATTCTTTTTTTTTTTCATTGCGAGTATTCACATTTAAAATTCAAGGAATATACCACAGAACAAATAGTCCTTCTGAGTGGTTTGGTTATGGTACATTCACTCCTTTTCACCAAAAGCTTATTTACTTTTATAATTTTGTTTTTCCTTTCAAAAATCTTCTTCAATGCTATTTGATCCTCTGTAACAACAAGACTCTTCATGGAAGGTATTTTAATTAATGTTTTGACATGACATGGCAATGGCAAGAAGATAAAGTGATATTTGTACGTATGTTACGCATAAATCTCTACACAGTTTGCTTTTCACCACAACTGAAAAGAAACAAGTACTTGAACCAACCTCATTGTTTGGTCTCACTGCATATCTTTTCATATCAAACCTCCACAAATGGGAAAGAATTCAATTAAAGAAGAAAAAAAAAAATTTTGGAGTAGCAAACACATACTAAGAAGATGGGCTGATTTGATTCTCAACATCATTTGTTGTCCAACCATCTCTTTAGTTGTCTCTTCAATTTCAAAGGACAATTTCCCTCACATCTGTACTAAGTAACAAACCAATAATGTCTCTGAATTTCTCAGACCAGGACAAGCTGTATTATGGTAATGTTTCTGCTCATGGAAAAGATCCTCAAAAGAGCCAAGTCTCAAATCTTTGACTCTTATCTTTCTAATGCAAAATTCAAAGACTGTGAGGTAAAACAGCAACTATGAAACAAGCAGATCATATGAAATCTTTAAAATGTAAACAAAGGATCTCTGTTTTTCGATTATCAAATACCATAAAGTACTGAGGATCATAATGTTTCTGCCTTAACCATAGCCGCTAATATGGGAAAAAACAGGAGGAAACAGAGTTTTTATGTTTTCTAAATGGACAGATTTGTTGAAATTATTAGCGAGGACTAGTAGTAAACACATCGAGAAACATTCTGTTTATTGAAGACAACTTCATCTGCTGTTCCTGCACTCTTCTCCTCTTCAGCAAAGGCTCCGGAGACGATGTCAGAGAAGCAGAAGCAGACACAACCCAAGACTCGTTCGAGCTGTCGGAGCTGAACGATGCATCGAACACACCGATCGGACTAGCGGGTTGGATCCAACTCATCATCCTCTTCTTGCATGGACTGTGATGATCTAACACTAACTCATAGCATTTATTTACTTTCTCCTGTTTTAAGTAAAATGATAACTGAATCAGTTCTTGATCCTTTTACTAACTACATTTGCATTTATTGATCCAAAAATTACTTTTCGAGTATAATAAACAACACATACCGAATCAACTTTGAGTAGAGTCATGAGCTGAGATTCGTATTCAGCTTCGTCACAGTTCTTGAAATCTCTAATCACAGAGACCATTATTGCAGTTGCTAACACAGATGGACTATAACTCAGAGACCTCGAATCTGAAACAAAACCAAGAACAAGAAAGAAACTCAGCAACAGAGGAATCCGGTTTAAACCTCATGTAGATCTAAATGGAAGGATCATTACCAGGGACAATGGAGAGTAACAGAGATTCACACCGGCTCAAGAACTCCAACTGCTGGTGAGATTTAGAGCTGTATCGACGGATAATGTGATCGAAATACGAGATTGGAGTCACAGGATGCATCCTCCACTGAAGAGTAGAGAGAATCAAAAGCTCCATTCTCTGTATAGTCTTAGCCTCAAACAGATATCTTGCTTCTTCCACCTTAAACAAACACACAAAAGGAAGAAACTTAATCTCAGAATCGGCATTTCAACGAACACTCAAGCGACATTACACAAATCTGAGAAAAAGTAACTTACTTGGAGATCTAAGAGCAATGGGACACGGATCTCTTCAACCTTAGCAGCTAGAGACAAGCAAGCCACAGCTGTAAGCTGAGACATCCATGGCTTATCAGTCTGAAACTTCCTGCTCGTGATAAACCTATCGAAGTAGTTCACAGCGAGAAGAGCCGTCAACGAATTAAACCCGTAATGAGACTTCACTCTGAAAATCCACTCGAGCGCCTTCTCGCGACACAGAGCCAGAAACTCGTCGTCTAAGATTTCGTCGCAGAGGCACGACGGCTTTAGCTCGTCCTCTTTCGAAATCAGGCTCGAGAGCTCGTCGTCGTCCCAGGACATGTCATGATCGGAGAAACCCAGATGGAAAGACGGAAACTTTACAAGGCTCTCGTCGGATTTCTCGCGCAAATCTGCTGCTTCTTCGTCTTCGAACCCACTCTCTTCCTCGCAGAAAAGACCGTCGAGGATGCAATACGGTGCGTTTTGACTCTCTTCCTCTTCTTCTAAAGCCATCTTCCGCTTCGGAGATGAAGGGATTGTGAGATGACTTTGTTCATTCTGCCATTGGAGCCTCTCTTCTCTGGATTTGTTACTGTGAGAGAAAAAGGAGTGAAGACAAATGCCGAGAAAGTGAAGGGTTTTAACTCACGCTTGTCCTCTTTTCTTTTCTCTTTTCTCTAAAGATTTTTGATTTTATTTTTGTTCGTATTTTTAATTTAATTTCTCTCTCTCTCCTTTATTTTGTCTTTTATTATTCGGATGTTTGGCGCGCGAGAAAATTGATGAAACCGTACTTCTTCTTTGTTTTATTCACAGAAATGGAAAAATCTTCATTTTTTAATTGAATTGTTTCTATGAAAAATACGGTTTAATTTTATTTAATATGGTTCGATTAATTACAATGGTTGGTTTTAAAGAGGTAGCTACTTAACTAGCGATACGTATAATTACGTAAAGCTTTTACTCACGCTCCTATCGCGTGTTTATTACACGCTCTTGCTCCCTGTTCGTACGATTCGATTGTAATTGCTCTCTGTTGGAGCGTGTGACTCACGTGCTGTTGAGGTGGTGGTGGAATTTTCAGTGATGGCTAAATCGTTGACTATTAATTATTTTTGTCACCTTTCGGTTTTGAGCATCGATGATTACAAGTAAAGATTATTGTCTGTTTTCTCCTCATTCATACTTTAGTATAAAAACAATTTTGAATGATTTCATAGTATTTGAAAAACAGTAATGCGAAAAATCAGTTTAAGGGATAACTATTCGGTATTACATCAAGTATAAAATGTCCGAAATATGAGATACATTACGAGTATATGTTCTTTTTTTCCTGTCAATTAATATACGGAAAGGGATGATTCAAATTTGTATAATCATAAAAAATCACTCGTGGGGTCACATATGTCAGAGGAAAATCCACGTGGTCGAATGAGAAGCTTTATATGGTCAACGAGCTGACATAAACATTTGAAAAAGCAAAAAACGTAAAACAGTATTTAAATATTACAAAACAATATATGTAATTAAAAAAAGACCTCGTTCTGTTAAAACGCTCGCGCTTTTATATTATTCTTTATTTAAACTAGTTTATCATTTTCTTTACGTATCCTATAAAGGACTTTTCTAAATATAATAGCTTGATCTTGGTGAACATTTCAATTTTAATTCTCGCTGCTTTATATGCTAAAAACTCAGACTGAGGTCCATAAAGCCGATTAAAACGTAAATGTATTAGTTGTACTATTAAAAAAAGTTGTACCAAACTTTAACGTTCAAACTACATAAATGCAACTAATAAAAAGAAACAGTATCATATAGATGAGATGAGTCTATTTATAATAATAGTATAATAAATATTGTACTACTAAAAAAATTGTATAATAAATTAAAGTACCAGTTTAATTTAATATACTGAATACAAAAAAAAGAACTACTTTTCTACAATGTTTACGACTGTAATTTCTTATAATAATACAATTACAAGGTATCTATTAACAAAAAAAAAATTGTTAGTAAAAAACGTAGTGAATGATACTGTTGTTACGTTTACTGCGTTCCTACCGCCCTAGACGCGGTTAACAAAGCAACATATTTTACTTTATCACACATATACTGATGATCTTTATCGATAGTGAAAGAAAGCAATGTAAGGTAAAAGAAATTAAAATGAAAAAGCAAAAGACAAATAAATAAGGGAATGGGGAAAAGTAAATCACGAGAGGCAGCGAAGCCATTGGTAACCAGCGGAGTCTGAGATTTGTACAAAGTTTAATAGTGACTTCTCACTACCACATTTCATATCTTTATAAAAAAAAAAAAATCCTTATCATCACTTTAAAATTTAAAATGCATTATGTTCTTTGTCTTTATAACATCATATTCCATTTGTAAGTATGTAACAAAACATATTCCATTTGTGTTATTATGTTTTGATTGGTAATTCTTGTAATGGGCAAATAATTTACAGCTTGTATTTATAACACCATATTACCAATCCTGATAACATTAAAAAAAAAAACTAATGATAAGGAATTCCATTTTTTCACTAATCATGGATCAACTAAAATTTAAAACAAAAGTTCTTATAGAAAACCAAAGAAGTATAAAATTAGAAGAAAAATAAAGAAAACAGGTTGTAATCTAGAGGAGACAAGATTTATAACAATGGTCCAATAAATCGGACGATAACCTTTTAGTTAATGGTCAAGAAGCTGGAAGACAAGTGAGAGGAGTCAGTCTTTTGTTTTATAATACTAAGTGATAACTATAACAAGAAAATAGAAAAGCAAAAACAAGTTGATTAGATTAAGCGGATGTGTGTGTAAGTGTTGTGTTGTGTTGTGTTGATTAGATCGAAGAAGGTTTTTGGGTCATAATTAATAATGGCGTCTTGTCTGCCAGAGACCAACGCCGTACGCTAACTTTCGATCTCCATCTTCCTACTCTAACCCAATTTTATTTGTTCTTTAATTGTGTACACATAGTATTCATTTCTACTAAACTTATTTGATTGTTAGGTGTCACCCATTTACTGTTAAATGTATTGCCTAGCTTTGCTCCTATTCCCTTTATAGTGTTTTGTGCATTCCCCTTTTTTTTTGTATATACTTAAGAAGTTCCATGCTTCTGGTCTAATTTTTGTGGGGTCAAAGAACATAACATGTAACTTAGGCTTGTTTTGAACAAAAAAAAAAGTAACTTAGGCTTGTTCATACTTCATATAGCTCATACCGCCTTACTTCAAACTCGATCGTGTAAACTAAAGTAAATGCACTCATATTTCTGTTTCGTTTATAAAAGAAAAATATTGGTTTGTTTCTTCTAATAATATAATTTTGTGGCTCCGATTTAGTAATGATTCGTAAAAAAAATGTTGAAATGAGATAATGATGTAGTTTCATAGAGAAAACAAGAATCACCACATATCATGAAAAAACTTGAAAAATCATGTACATATCATTATCGAGCTAGGACTTAGTATATTGTTTACTATCATTTGAAATGAAGGACATGCGGTACCAAAATGAAGACAGCACATGTATGAGAAGAAAACATTAGAAAAGAAATACATTTGGTGAATTTTAAATTCCGTTATTTAATATTTATTCGACAATGTATTTTTGTGATTACACTGTACTTTTGTGTTACATTTCGTTCAGTTTTGTTTTGATAAAATTCGAACTTTTACTTCACAATGTCGCTGTGTTGTATAGCTGTTGGACACTATAGTAAACATGATAAGATGTTAGATTGTTAGGTAACATAATAATTTTCGTTCCTCCGATCCACATAAATCTGGTAGAAAAAATATACATATCTTCATGATTTTCCATCATTATTGGTACGTTCTCATTATTACATAATCTAACATCATTACCACCAACCTAATTACTAATACTAGTTCATAATTATAAGTATAGTGTTGAGATAGATATACAAATAACTACGTGTGTCAGAACTCCTTCGGAATCTCAACATGTTTTTGGAGTCAAACCTGAAAAGTTAGCCGTTTATAGCCCTCGTCACTGTTCTTGCTCTTATTATTGTTTCGGTTGGAAAAAAAGAGACAACCAGAAGAACATGTATATAAGAGTTGTTTTTTGTGATGTTATTCAATTTGCTATCTAAAAATGTTGCGTTTGTATAATCGTGTCAAAAGATATGCAAACAATAGAAGAACACAAAAACACATCATAAAAAATCGAAACATGTTTTCTTACTTTGATACATATTCAATTTATTTACCCTTTCCAGAAAAATTAAATTAAATTAAATGGTAAAAAGTAAAAAAACAGGCTGGTGATGGGTCCATGGCTTTATATTCATATATATACTCTATAAGAAATTATATAAATTGTAACTCCACGACAGAGGCACAGCTGAAGCATGGGTGAATTTCTAAAGCCAACGAAAAATAGAAACAATAAGTTACATACAGCTGCCATCCGTTTCTCTAAATAGTACTAACATTTTACAATAATCAGAAAATAGAGCAACAAATATAAGTTTCTATCTTCACCCCCGTTGATTGAGGGTCAATGTTCATAGGTGGATGAATGGAGTCTTAATTTATTCCTCTGTGAATTACTTGTTTGGAGATTGTCAAAATGTGAGTTTCTTGGAGTATACAGAATGAGTATGTTTTAGAGTAATCGGCTAATGTGTTTCTATTTACTAACAAAAATATGAAATAAGATTTTATGAATAAATTTAAAGGAGAAAATAAGATATTTTTTTATATAAAACATTTTTATATTTATTTTTGAGTCAAAATTCTTTATTGTGAAACCATCCAACATACAACTGAAAAGATTTCCACCATCGGTTTAATCGTTTTGTTACAAGTTACAATCCATTATTTTGATTTATCACTGTCGAATGCTATATACCATTTGTACAAAATACTCCGGTTGTTTGTTTCTTCTAGATTTGTGTATCATTTTTGTTTTGGTCGTTGAATTGTATAATAAGGAAGATCTCGCAAATCACTCTCATGCTTTTTAGTATTTATTTCACTATCAATGGCTCAAGAATCTAAGCAAGATGTGGAGAGGGAGGGGTCAAACCTAGTTCGGTGTACTCCAGCAAAACACACCCAAACATCCCAAAAGTTTTCACAAATGTTCTTACCACAAATGCTATATTTTTCTGTTTTATGAATTTTCACTTTATATTTATCCCATAATGAATGAATAATGTTCAATAATTCATGTTTGCTCTTCGAGTTTTCACTTTTCAGTGATGTATTTTGCATCCGAAACCGAAACTATTGGAACTTGGAAGTGGAGAGTAGAAGCAAACTGAGATCAATATTGGGCCTTTTGACTTATTAGTGAATTAGTAGAAGAAAGCCCATTGGGCCAAACGTGCAAGACGATTTGATTACTCTCTCTTACTTAAAGAGAGCTTGAAAAAGAAAACGGTGAAAAGAAAATGAAAAAAAGATCTCACGAGTCGTCGTGACTCGCGACTCAACCTCACCCTTATCCTCTCTACTCTCTCATTCGGTGACGCTTTGGACCACACAAAATGGGCCAAGCACCGTCTTCTCCGGCGGAACTGAGTAGACGAGATTCTGCTTCTTCTTCCTCCCTCTGGTTTCCGGAGTTTCTCGACTGCGAATCGGTTGACATCGGAGATGTTGCTGCATGCGAAGATAACGATGATTTCACAGCAAATCTGCCGAACGATTGCCTCGCTCATGTTCTCCAATTCCTCGGCGCCGGAGATCGGAAGCGGTGCTCTCTCGTCTGCAAACGGTGGTTTTCCGTCGACGGTCAGAACCGTCACCGGTTATCCCTCGACGCTAGGGCGGAGATTCTCCCATTTCTGCCTTCCATGTTCAACCGATTCGATTCCGTGATGAAGCTCGCTCTCAGATGCGATCGGAATTCCTTCAGCTTGAGCGACGAAGCTCTGGTTATGGTCTCGGTTCGTTGCTCGAATCTCACTCGGCTCAAACTTCGCGGATGTCGCGAGATTACGGATCTGGGAATGGAATCGTTCGCTCGCAACTCTAAGAACCTGAGGAAGCTCTCGTGCGGCTCTTGCAATTTCGGTGCGAAAGGCTTAAACGCGATCCTCGAGCATTGCAAGCTTCTCGAGGAGCTATCGGTGAAGCGGATTAGAGGGATTCACGAATCCGCTGAGCCGATTCTGCTGGGATCGTCTTCTTCGCTTAGATCGATCTGCTTGAAAGAGCTCGTTAATGGTCAGGTATTCGAATCTCTGGTTGGATCAAAAACTCTGAAGAAACTGAAAATCATTCGTTGTTTGGGTAATTGGGATAAAGTTCTTGGAATGAGTGGAGATGAGAATAGTTCCTTAACTGAGATTCACTTGGAGAGGCTCCAAGTGACTGATTCTGGACTCTCTGCGGTATCGAAATGCCGAAACTTAGAAACTCTGAATATATTGAAAACCCCTGAATGCTCGAATAAAGGTTTAGCTAGTGTTGCAGAGAGATGTAAGCTACTTAGGAAGCTTCACATTGATGGTTGGAGGACGAAGAGAATCGGTGATGAAGGTGTGATGGCTGTAGCGAAACACTGCTTGAATCTGCAAGAGCTTGTGCTTATCGGTGTTAACGCGACGCATAAGAGCTTGTCAGCGATTGCTTCGAACTGCAAGAAGCTCGAAAGGTTAGCTCTTTGTGGAAGTGGTTCGATTGGAGATACTGAGATTGCTTGCATCGCGGAGAAATGTGCTGCGTTGAGGAAATTCTGTATCAAGGGGTGTCCGATTTCGGATGTGGGGATCAAGGCGCTGGCTTTAGGGTGTCCGAGTTTGATGAAACTGAAGGTGAAGAAATGTAAAGTGGTTACAGTTGGAGTTAGGGAATGGCTGTGTGAACGGAGGAGGATGTTGGTTGTGAGTATGGATGGTGATGAGGCTAAAGGCGCGGTTATGGTGAATGGGGATGATCAGAGAGGTCTTGAGACGGTGGTTGAAGAGCCGGAGGTGGTTGTTGCTGATGGAGGTGGTGGTGGTGGTAGGTTAGCGATGTTGAAGACGAAGTTAGGGTTACTTGCAGGAAGGAACTTGGTGGCGTCCACGTTAAGGAGATGGTCTCAAAGCGAAGCTACCAGTTCTAGTTGATTACAGTCTTTTCTTTAAAAAGGGTATTTGCGTATCTAAACAACATTAGTACATTACCCAACTTCTTGTATCATTTTCTTGTTTCTTCCTTTGTTTGATGTTTAATTGTTTACTCTTAATTTTCAAATTTTCATGGTTTAAAAAAGGTTATTATTACTAAATTGGTTATCCATTTTTTTTTGTCCTTCTTACATTTTTCTAAATCTTATCTTTATGTCTGCAGATTGAAATGCAACAGAATAATTATCAAAATGATTAAATTAATTGAAAGGTAAAAGATTTATTGTTCAAAAATTTAAATTCTTTGTACAATAACAACAACAAAGAAAATGGGTTATGCTGATTTTTTTTTTGGTTATGAAAATATAAACATACAAAGAAATGAATTCAGTTTCCCAAAAAGGTGAGGTTTTCAAAAACCCTAAACTCTCTGTTTCTTCTTCCCCAAACAGTTTGGTTCAAAATCACTCCGGCATCTGAAAACTCGCAGAGTCACTGTCCTCCACTTTTTCCGACGGCACTGTCTCGTATCATGGAGCATAAACTGGCCACCGCCGAGAACGAAGTTCGTCTCTCTTTTTCTTATAAGTTAAAACAAAATCTGTTCCTCTAATTTCTCAGGCCGAGTACCTTTTTTTTTCTGGAACAATTCAATGTGGTTTTGGATTCGTGTTCATTTCCGTTTTGAGGTCGAATTACATTCTTATGTATCTCACATCCCCTTTAAATTTCCGATTTTAGGTGTTGGAAGAGCTGGTGAAGCTAGTACAGAGTCTGGGTTTACGAGGAGAAAATGGAGGATGGAAGCAATTTTTAGATCTTCACGACAATAATTCTAAATCACCGAATGACACCTCTAAGCGTTCCCATGAAGATTTGGTCGCTTTTGTCACAACCTTTAAGAAGAAAGAAGATTTGCAGGTTTAGTGAAGAAAAAAAAAACACAAATTTGATTGTAATCTTGTCCACCAAACGCTGACTACTAAAAGTTTTGGTTTTTTTTAATCACTACATGTGTAGGTTCTGCATTCTCATGCCAATTTTCTTCTGATTGATAATTTGAAGCAAGAATCTCCGGATAAAGACACTCCTGAGCAGGTATGGAGAGAATACATGCTTTGAGGATGTCTGTAATAAGTTTGAAATTGAGCTTTAAATTGTTGTTTGGCAATACAGAGTCTTGTTCGATTGACTGTTGAGCATCCGGATTACTCATTAGACTATTCGTTCAAGCCATACTCAGAGGTCTGTTTCCCTCTCATGGAAAGATGGGATCTTGATGTTCAATTTATCTAAAGTTGCGGTTTTTAAGATTTTCTGATTTGCTAAAGCAGGACTGGTTTGTATCCGATGTTGGAATGAAGATGTTGGATGTGATGAAATCAACGGAAATGATAGCTGTTGACTGTGAGATGGTTCTGTGTGAAGATGGTACTGAAGGTTTGGTTAGAGTTGGCGTTGTAGACCGTGAGTTAAAGGTATATAGAGTTAGTAGATGTTTCTATGAATCTTTACTTCCTTAGCACAAACGCCTTTTGGCAATCTACTGACTCTGGTCTGGTGATTCAAATGTGGTCATGGCTTTAGGTGATTCTTGACAAGTTTGTGAAACCGAACAAACCTGTTGTTGACTATAGGACAGAGATTACAGGGATTACTGCTGAAGATATCGAAAACGCTACTCTCTCTTTGGCAGATATACAGGTAAGAACCAGGAAGAGTCGTTCTATTGGTTTAACAATAACATTAACGTATAGGTCACAAGTTTTGTTAATTTTGTGAAATGTTGCAGGAAACTTTGCAGCCATTTCTTTCAAAGGGTACTATTTTGGTTGGTCACAGTTTGAACAAAGATTTGGAAGGTAAGTAAAACACTTCACAGTAGAGTCTGTTGTGTGTGTTTAGCTACAAAATTAATGGTTATTTAAATTTTGATCTCAGTGTTGAAGATAGATCATCCAAGAGTCATTGATACCGCACTTGTGTTCAAGTATTCAAATGTACGAAAGCCTAGAAGAGTTTCACTTAACAACCTTTGCAAGGTAAGTGTCTACAATGGTTTGTTTTTTTCTAACTCTTGAGGGAATATCACAAAAAGATAATGACATTTTGACACCCTTTTTACAGTCTATTTTGGGTTACGAGGTCCGAAAGGAAGGCGTTTCTCATGACTGTGTAAACGACGCAACAGCTGCGATGAAACTTGCACTTGCTGTTGTAGAGAAGAGAGCTGACACAACAATACCACCGTCTATAGAGGTTAAAGAAGTTGCATTTACCAAACTTATTGAGTTTTTTTTGTATTTACCCTAAAGTCCAAAACAATGACAAATGTCTGCAATTTTTCCATAGATGTTGGAGGCTGAGAAATCAAAACTCTTTGTTCATAAAATCCCTCACAATGTGCCATCGGAAGAGCTGGAGGAAGTTATTTGTCAAGAGTTTCTCTCAGGAGAGTTTACACTTGATATTAAGGTTTGAGATTTTTAATTTACTTTACTCTTAGGATCACTAACGATGATGAATAATTTGTCTGACCTTTGGTTTGATTTCTTCATTCTTTCTTTTTGGCAGCCAGCAAAAACACAGAGAGGTTGCTATTGTGCGTTTGTTGTTTTCAATAGTTCAAAAGAAGCAGATGAAGCATTTGAGAACGTTGATGTAGACAAAGGGCAGGTACTTTTTTGAATCTCTCTGCTTCTTGTAAATTGAACCAAAACTCTCTGATTGAGACTGATGAAACAATTTTCTTATTGTGTTTATGTTTTTGTTTTTCAGGATTCATTGGGTTTGCCACAGAAATTGATTTTCTTTAAGCTGAAATCTGGTTCAAGAGTTAGTATATTTGTTCGTAAAATGTTTCACGATGATTCCGCGTAGATCGTTTGTGACTAGTACTAAGAGAACCTTCCCGGCTAATTTTTTGTTGTTTTTATTAAGATTAGTGTAAGAACAGAAAACGATGTCTAATGTGTAAGAACAACTTGAGTTCTTCAGAGACCAAACCTGAACAGAGGAGAAAAGTTAATTGTAATTTTAACTTCAATTGAAAATTAAAGGCTGCATGTTTAAAGATTTGTTATTTTGGTTATAGAAACAGAGTGAATACAAAGGGGTCTGTTAATACTTACGTGTACTCCCGATAAGTGTTGATAAAAACCTGAGTTTTCATACGTCTTCTTCCTCATTTCCAGAGGAGAAGACCGATAAGCCATAGCTTTGATATCTCTTAAAAAGAGTCGTTGGTATTATGAATTTGGAACGTTTTATCTGATTATTAACAAATTGGCGTAATTGAAATGTAGAAAAAGTTTTATCCTCCAAAAAGTCGTGAAGGCGTGTTCTTTAAAATTCAAAGAACTCATAAAACAACATCATTTACAAAGCATTTTTTGGAGAGTTCTCGAGATTATGTTGCTGTTGGAAGTTGGAACGTTTTAATCATTTTTTTGTTGTTTAAAAATAAACATACAAAAAAAGTGTTCAGTTTCCGAAAAAAGAAAGAGAATTTATTGTTGATGTTCTTTAAATACCTCAACTCTGTTTCTTCTTCTCAAAACATAAACACTCCAGTCTTCTCACACATTCATCGGCACTTATGGATCATAATCTAGCCACCGCTAATCGTCTTCTTGTTTCCAAGTTGAAGCATGAGTCTCTTAATGACACTCCTGAGCAGGTAGGAGAGATTATGTTTGAAATATGTTTTGATGAATTCTTGTAATGCGTTTGAAGTGAGCTTAATATGTCTTTTGATGTACAGAGGCTTATTCGCTTGACAATGAAGCACCCGGAGTTCTCAGCAGACTATTCGTTCCCGTCTTACTCCAATGTTTGGTTCCTCTCCTTGATGATCATTGTTTCTTGCTGTTTAAGGTAACCTAGGTTCTTGTTTTATGGTGTGTTTTATGAATTGCTATAAGCAGGGTTGGCTTGTATCCGATATTGGGATGAAGACCTCGACGGTAATGATGAAAACAACAGAAATGATAGCTGTTGACTGTGAGATGGTTCTTTGTGAAGATGGCACTGATGGTTTGGTTAGAGTCGCCGTTGTGGACCGTCATTTAAAGGTGTTTGCTTAGAGTTAGAGTTATATACTTATATGTCACATTATTGGGTTCCTTTTTTTATGCAAATGACCTGATCAAATATTATTTCATTTCTTAGGTGATACTTGACAAGTTTGTGAAACCGGACAAACGTGTTGTTGACTATAGGACACTCATTACCGGAGTTACTGCACAAGATATCGAAAATGCTACTTTCTCTGTTGTCGATGTTCAGGTATACCTTTTTGAGTATTATCTATTGATTTTTTGTTTCTGTCTCCAATTCACTGTGATTTTGTTATTTTTGTGAATTGCAGAAAGTATTGCAGCCCTTTCTTTCTAATGGTGCTATCTTGGTTGGTCATAGTTTGAACAAAGATATGAAAGGTAAGTAAAAAGTTTACAGTATTTTAATAGAGTATTAATTTTGTTATCTACATTTAAAATTAATTTGTATTATATATGATCTCAGTGATGAAGATAGATCATCCAAAAGTAATCGACACTGCACTTGTGTTCAAGTTTTCCAATGCAAGAAACAACAGAAAACCTTCTCTTAATGACCTTTGCAAAGTAAGCCTAGTAGTATGTTTGCTCTCTTCAATTAAATAATTTTTTAAACATACATTCTTCTCAAATTCTGCTAATGTTTCTTTTAAATTAAATTTTCCAGGCAGTGTTGGGTTACGAAGTCCGCAAGGAAGGTGTTTCTCATGATTGTGTACAAGACGCAAGAGCTACAATGAAAGTTGCACTTGCTTTTATTCAGACAGGGTTTGACACCCTAATTTCACCAACTAAACAGGTTTGTTAAAAAAACTGACTTACCAAACATTTTATTTTATCATATACTCTATATATTTTTAACAGTTACAATTTTTGCAATTTGTTTTATAGATGCTGGAGGCTGAGAAATCAAGACTCCCACACTTTGTGTCATCTGTAGAACTGAACACTGGTCTCGGTGGACAGTTTCGTTCAAGAGAGTTTACACTTGAAGTTAAGGTTGAAATCAGAAGTACATAAATCCATGTTTCTTAACATATCATGTGTTACATTTCTTTTCTGACCTTTTTTTCCTTTCTTTTCTCAGCCAGCAAAGGGAGGTTATTATTGTGCAATTGTTGTTTTCCAGAGTTCTCAAGACGCTGATCAAGCATTTAGAAATGTTGGTGGACACCTAGAGACGGTATTGTGGAATCTTTGTTTTCTGTTAAGGATCTAAAACTCTGCTTTAAAAGTGATGAAATGACTCATGCAATTTATTTTATTTTTGTTTTCAGGATTCATCTGGTTTGCCACAGAAAATGTGCAGCTGGGGATTGATGTCTAGTTGCTACGTCCGTAAAATGGCCTAAGATGAATGATACAAGTACCTTGGATATGCTTCACTATTTTGAATTATCTCTATTATTATTTTCTGAAGAAAACTTTATTTTTTCCTTTATGTTTGGTTTTTGTTCGTTATTCAAACTTTTATGAAGTTTCATTTTTCTCTATTAATCCAGCAATCAATTTAGAAGCTACTGAAAATAACCTTTGAAAATTATTATCGAAAGAAATTTGATGAAGCAAAAATGAAAAGATATTTCAACTGCAGATATTATAATAATATTATCGTTAACCACAAAACAAAATGCAATTGTGAAACAATAAAAAGTTCAGCATAAACGTTGATGAAAATTTGTATTTGGTTTGATTTCTTCTTCTTTCTGTTTTGGCAAGCCAGCAAAAACACAAGGAGGTTGCTAATGTGCAACTTCATTTGAAAATTAATGGCTGGATTCTACAAAAGAATTGTTACGTGGAAGCTGAGTTCATTTTCTTCCTCATCTCAAAGGGCTTAGACCCGTTAGGAGTAAGCCTCTGTAGAGTCGTTGGTATTATGAAGTTGGAACGTTTGATTTGATCATTAATTGAAAAGTAGAAGAAAGCTTTCTTCTCCGAAAATCGTGAAGGAACGTTTTATTTGATCCTTTAAAGTTTAAATTAAAGAACTCTAACAAACAACAGCATTTACAATTTACAAAGCATTCTTGGAAAAATTTCGAGATTACTATGTAGCTGTTGGAATTTGGAACGTTTTGTTTAATTTTTCTTTTTGGTTTAAAAATAAACTTACAAAAAAAGATTCAGTTTCCATTAATTTATTTTGTTCTATAAAAACTACATCCCGGTCCCGGTGTAATCTTCCCTAAACATAAACCCTACCGCCATCTCACTCATTCGACGACAAACACCCATGGATCGCAATCTAGCCACTGCTAATCGTCTTCTTGTTGCAAAGTTGAAGCAGGAGTCTCCTGATAATGACACATCTGAGCAGGTATTGGAACGATTACGTTCGAAATCAAATAAAGGAATCATATCTTTCGATGATGTTTATATGTAAGTTTGCTTTTTACAGAGGCTTATGCAGTTGACCATGAAGCATCCGGAGTACTCACAAGACTATTCGTTCCCGTCACACTCCAGTGTTTGTCTCATCTTCTTGATTATATTTGTTCTTGCGTTGTAACGTATTTAAGTGTACTTGTCTTATGCTGTTTAATAAGCAGGAATGGCTTGTATCCGATGTTGGAATGAAGACGTCGACGGAGATGAACTCAACGGAAATGATAGCTGTTGACTGTGAGATGGTTCTTTGTGAAGATGGTAGTGAAGGTTTGGTTAGAGTCGGTGCTGTTGACCGTGATCTAAAGGTATATCTTAGAGTTATAGATTCTCAAATCTCTATAGTATATTTATGAGTTTTCTTTCTTTCAAATTCTTTTGCAATCAATCTTTGTTATTTTAACTCGGGTGATTAAATATTTCATTCCTCAGGTGATTCTTGACAAGTTTGTGAAACGGACAAACGTGTTGTGGACTATATGACAGATATTACCGGAGTTACTGCGCAAGATGTCGATAATGCAACTTTCTCTGTGGTAGATATTCAGGTATAGCTTGTTGAATATATCTACTGTTTTTTTTTTCTCTTTTTTTAATGACAATTCATGTTGATTATGTTATATGTTTTGGAATTTTGTAGAAAGAATTGCAGCCCTTTCTTTCTAGTGGTGTTATTTTGGTGGGTCATAGTTTGAACTCTGATATGAAAGGTTAGTAAAAAGTTCAAAGTATTGTGATATAGATTATTGATTTTTACTTGTTAGATATAACTTTATTGGTAATATGTTATGATCTCAGTGTTGAAGATAGATCATCCTAAAGTAATTGATACATCACTTGTGTTCAAGTTTTCCAATGAACAAAAGTCCAGAAAACCTTCTCTTAATGACCTTTGCAAGGTAAGACCATAAAAGTTTTGCTTATTCTTGAATTGGAAAAAAAAAATTATCATACTTTGTTAATGTTTCATTGACACCAATATTTCCAGGCAATTTTTGGTAACGAAGTCCGTAAAGAAGGTGTTTCTCATGATTGTGTAGAAGACGCAATAGGTGCGATGAAAATTGCACTTGCTTATATAGAGAAACGAGTTAACACAATGATTTCACCAACTAAAGAGGTACCTTAAAAAATGTTTTGACTTGCCAAGAATTATCATAATTCATAAGTCTCAACAATTATAATATTTTTGTATCTTGTTTTATAGATGCTGAAGGCCGAGAAAGCAAGACTCTTTCTTCATAGGATCCCTCGCTATGTGCAAGCTGAAAAACTGAGCCTTGCTCTCGCTGGAGGTTTTCGTTCCGAAGAGTTTAAAGTTAATGTCAAGGTTTAAATCAAAAGCTTATATGATGAATATGTATATTTTCTTAAGCTCCTTAACACCGAATCTTTCTCTAAATCTCTCTTGTTTTTTTTCCATTTTTTTTTGCAGTCAGCAAAGACACAGGGAGATTACTATTCTGCAATTATTGTTTTCAACAGTGCTGTAGAAGCTGATCAAGCGTTTCAAAACTTTAATGGATGCATACAGAGGGTAAATTTAGAAACTCTTACTTTGTCGATGATCGTAAGTTTGGAAGTGATGGAATGTGTTTGGATTGACTTGCCTTGAAGTGATGGAATGTGTTTTTTTTCAGGATTCATTTGGTACTAGGGGCTTCCCCTGCGGGCTATTTGTCTTAATAGTGTTGTTAAATAATTTCACCTAAGTGTGATATGTCATAGTGAGTAGAAGATCAATTAGGAGAGAGTGGACCTAATTTAGTAACATAGAGGGAAGGAGTCTTTGTTGTCCTTCGGAGAATTGTTTTTCATAACATTAAACATATTTGACGATTGTTTATAAATTACAGAGATATATCAATGTACCTATATACTTTCTGGTTATTGCTTGTGACAAGAATGTCATTTTCGATTAGTAATTGTTTAAGATAATATCATTAAGAACCTTGTATATTTCATAATCCTTAGCATCCCTTCACCTATGGCTTAACACCAATAGTCAACTTTAAAATAATTAAGAAATACTACTAAAACGGGGTTTTTACAACCGAGTACAGTAAGATTAGTTATGGCATATGAACCACGATACCACAAATAATAGGAGACAATAACATTGTAACTTGCAAAGAAATCGATTAGCTATATTCTACTTTAAGTAAAATTAGCTGTTCATATTTTTAATTCTTTTTGGTTATGTAAGAAATGCTAGTTCTTATTTATTGGATATTTTTTATTTATATTTGACGTTAATTCTAATCAGTAAGATTGCATATAATTATTTAGTTTTAGAGCTAATTCAAATAAAATACTATCTTTGTGGAAAAAAAAAGTAAAAATCCAAATCTTTTAACTTTAGTGTTAATGAATCTTTTATTATGTATCTAGATGTGTTTACGCATTGTAGATAGAAAATAAATATCAATATAATATGTTAAGAGTATAAAGTTGGTAAAATGATTAGTGAGAAATAACATTTGGTCAGTGAAGTTTTAAAATGTATAACTCTATAACTATAAGATTCGATATTGGAATTTTAGAAGACGTGCCAAAAGAGTCTTAGTTAGAATTAATTAAAGAAACAAAGATGTGTTGTCTAACTAATTTTTTTTTATTTCTCCCCTTCTATTTCAGTAGTGTATCATCAAATATTGTAAATAAAATATTAAGCAAAAGGAGAATTATCTGCTCAAGTGTTGTTGAAAGAATGCAGCAGCTTGCTCATCTTATAAAGAAAGGCGAAAAATCGTAGATGTTGCGCACTCTTATTCTTCCTCATTTTTTTCTCTAAACATTTTTTTCTACGAAAATGAACAATATCTATATACAGGATGTGTTTGTAGATTATGCTTTTTGGATTTTTTTCTCCTATTAAGTATTTTGGTGTTTGGTAATCGTATTTGCTTCACTGCTTGAAATTGATTGATTGATTGATTGTTTTTGTTTTCATTTGTTTTTTTTCTTTTCTTTTAAACATAAATTCTTAAGACTCCCAAATTTCTATTTTGATTGCTAAGTTTTTTGGTATTTTAATTTGTTTCATAGGGGAATGATACATAAAAGATTAAACACTGGAATTAATACAGAGAGTTACTGTTTTCGTTCTTATACAGAAGTTTGTAACACAACATGCTGATTTCTGTGAGGTAGAGCCATGACAATGCCATTTCAGTTAGGTTGATTCTCATGAGCAGTTGGGAAAAGTCCGATCATTCGATCATATTTACATCACAAACAGTAACTAATTGACATTTCCTTTAAACATGGTTCCACATTTGGATTAATATATAAAACAAGAGGAAGAAGATCAAGATTCTTTATTTGAAAATTCCATGCTCTTGTAGCTAGCTTCTATTAGTTTCCCTCTCCTTGAAACTTTATACAACCATTTACATGAAAGTGGGGAAAAACAAACACATAGCAAATATAAAGCCTTTTTTTTTTCCTCATTAACTTGACGAAATAAACTCACAGTGTAATATATACGATAGAAATTCAGGAACATAAGAATGATAGATAAAGTTTGAATGGTTTGTGAGATTTCTCGTCGCCAACAAATCAGCAGCCTTGTTTCCTTCCCTTGGCACCCAAGTAAAAGAAATATCTTCAAACTTGGACATCCAACTCCAAACCTCCCTTATCCAATTGAATAACCCGAAATTTAGTGATGACTTATTGACCAAATCCACCACGTTCCTGCTATCACCCTCAAATATGATATGACGATAACCTTGACACCAGCAATTCTGCATTGAGATAATTAAAGCTTGAAACTCTGCTTCAATGGCACTCGAGACCTTCTTTGCTTCAGCTTGACCTGATCCCAAATACGTTCCTCTGTATCTCGAACAATCCAACCAGCCTACCAGCCTTCGCATTTTGGTCATCCCCTAAAAAGGATCCATCATAATTGCATTTTACGCAACCTTGAGATGGACACGTTTCCAAAATTGGTATCTATTCTCCCTCCCATCATTGTTGCTCCCTTGTTGAACCTCATGTATCTTCTCCTGAGCTCTTATCCAGTCTCTTAGCAAATATAAAGCCTTATATACTCAAATTTGAATATATATTTTCATGTTAGTATACAATAACATTATGAGATTTACAGAAGTGTATCACAAAACAATAAGTCAAACTACACCAGGGCTGTTTTTTATAAAAAGTCAAATCAAAATCAACACTTTCTATCAAAAGTCAAATTGAGCAATTAAGAAAATTACTCACATCCAATTCTCTAAGAGGACCATAAACTGTATTAGCCTGAAACCACAATTAAAAAATAGAATTGTGAAGAGCAAAAGCGAATGAGTGAAACTCAAACCTCGATCGTGGCCATGACTTTAGGTGATGTTTCTGTTGGTCTCCTCTGCTAAAAGTATTGTGTTTTCCTTCAAGGTCAAACAAAAGATGAAATCAAAATTCCGACATAATCGTTGGAAAGAATATGTTAACAAACAAATCACATAATATATTCGTGAAGTTCAAAGCTAAAACAGCAGCTAAGGAGACTTCTCAATGTTGAAACTTAGGAGAAAGAATGAAAAACAGAAGGGCTCAGGATATATAAAATTACAACGATCCACGGAAAATGAGAAATCAGAGGAAGATATCATAGAACTCTAAGGTTGAAAGCAAAGTTATGATTTCTAACCGTAGAGATGTTCATCCGTGTCTGCAATCTCAGCAAAATCACTGGAAAGACGGCATCTAAACTTCTAGCAGGGGATTTCATTATCTCCATTAAGAACCTCGACCATTGTTGTCATGTCCGTGAAACAAATCATATGCTTGTTGTCGGAGACATTGTACACCGGTTTGGCGGGTCTGACCATGAATTTCTTCAGTTTGTAGACGGAGTTGCGCCTCGTGCCGGAACAAACGGTTTGGAGAGATAAATCCCTGGACTGCGTTACTCTAGAAAACATGAAAAAGGGAGAGTAGTTTAGACACACGGAGAAGATACGGTCATAACAAAAAAAACAAAACCAAAAAGAGTAAGATTAGCCAAAAGTCATCACTAAGGAGAAATGTAAGCACAAAGCAACGGCGATTAAAAAGTGACGAAGAGATATGCAGAAAGAAGATGATTCAACTACTGATTTCAGAGTGTTCGATCGATTAAAAATCCACGATCATCCATTAATGAGCTTGGTTCCAATCACAGGCTAATAAGATTTCAATCAAATTTCGATTTGAAAGATTAAGCGGAAAGCCACAAAATCAGCAACAAAGAAGAAATCAATAATTCACCTCCCAGGATAATCACATTTAGACAAATTTTCCTTCGGGAATAGGATTAGGAGTAGAACAAAAACCTCCTCGTTGCAGAATTGGCCATCAATCTGGCCGAGAACTTGGAAGCTCTGGGACTGGGCAGAAGGAGCGTCAGTTCTGGATGTCATGGTATCGGGAATGTGGGAGGATCTCTGCCTTTTTCGGAGCGGAGTGAGACATGGGCTTCCCAGCCACAGTATTTAAAGGATTGTAGAGAAGGCGGCATTGAAGAGAGGGTAGCAGTCATTAATAACGAAATAAAGAAGAAGGAGAGAGCAATGAAACCGGAGAAGAGGAATCGTAATCGGTGCATGTCGGAGTGGGAAAGGGAATCGGTGGAGAAGTGAGCGAAAGCAGAGAAGGAGGAATGTTAGAATGGGGCTCCAAACGGGCCAAAGCGATATGGGCTTCGTGATTGGAATGATTTTTTTTGAAGCTTTTAATTATCTGAATTTGTAAGCTTTTATTTATTTTGGTGGGAATGCCACGTGGCATTCAAAGGGAGAATGTCTGAGGTGCTCTGAGAGGCCCCAAACAGGTGTTTTAAATTAGTAAAGATGCCACAAAAACTGATTGCCTTGAAGATGAGCTCGGGACTAATTGCTAGTTGTTACATCCGTAAAATGGGTTTAAAATGATGTATGAGCTAACCTTAGATTAGCTTATAACTATTTCGGACTATTATGATTTTGAAGAAAATGTTCTTATACCCTTCATGTCTGGTACCTGTTCGTTATTCGAACTTTAATATAAAAGTTGTTTCTCCATTATTTCAACGATCAATTCACATTTCACACCACTAAAAAACTTGTGAAGATGATTACCTAAAGGAATTTTACGCTTGCATGCATGGATAATATTAATTTAACCACAATTGCAATCGGGAAACAATAAGAAGCTTTTACAAAAAAAAAAAAAAAAAAAAAAAAAGAAAGAAGTTTCTGTTATTTGATCAGTAGCTCCAATTTCTTGTGTTCATTTTAACAAAATTTTGCTACTTAAAACTGTTACTTTTTTTAAAAAAAGCTATGTACATTACTCTATTACTGTATAATTAATTAATGTGGTTCAAAATTTGAGTTTTCAAGCTCACTCGCTTTCATATTCTTCTCACCTCCGATAGCTTGAGTCGTTATGTTGAAGTTGGAACGCTTTTATTAATTGAAAAGTATAAGAATTTTAATTTCATTCACCAAAAATCGTAAAAGAACGTTTTATTTTTTTTCGTAAAAATCAAAGAAATTTGAAAACAACATCACTTCCAAAGCTTTTTTGGAATGTTTTCAAGATTATATAGCCGTTGGAATTTGGAACGTTTTATTATTCAACTTTTTTCTGTAATACTTGAATTAATAAACATACAAGAAACGGTTCAGTTTCCAATTTTTTTTTTTTTGTTTTCCTATAAAAACCCCAACTCATTTTCTTCTTCCCAAAACTGCTTTGGCCATAATCACTACAGTCCTCTCACTTGTTCGACGGCACTTATTACTTATGGATCTTATACTGCCCACCGCTAATCGTCTTCTTGTTGCAAAGTCCAAGCAGGTAGGGGAAAGATTATGTACATATGTAAGTTTTACACTTTTACTTGTAATGCGTTTGAAGCGAGCTTTTGTTTCATAGGTGCTGGAGCCTGAGAAATCAAGACTCTTAATCTCTAGAATCCCTCACTATGTTCCGTCTGAAGAACTGAACACTGTTCTCGCTGAGAAGTTTATCTCAACAGAGTTTAAACTTGATGTTAAGGTTGAAATATCAAAGCTTATATGAATTTTTGTTTTTTATAATTCTATAAAGGTTCCTTCTCTGACCTCCTTGTATTTTTGTTTTTCTGGTTTCTTGTGGCAGCCAGCAGAAACACAGGGAGGTTTTTATTCTGCAGTTGTTGTTTTCGAAAGTTTTGAAGGAGCTGATAAAGCTTTTAGTAATTTTGATACGTCCGATGGTGTCTGCATACCGGAGGTATTTCACAAACTTTCTTCATTTTGTCGAGTATCCTAAACTCTGATTGAAAGTGATGAAATAAGGTTTCATGCATTTTTTTCTTTTATTTTTCAGGATTCGTTTGGTGTTCGACGTAAACTGATGTTCTTAAAAGAGTCCGAGATGTGTCCGTAAAATGCTTGAAGATGAATGATTAAACAACCAATTTAAAAATTTAAGATGTTTGCTGTTTCTTGGTTATTCCTTTTTTTTGTTTTGTTTTGTGCAAAGCTGTTTCTTGGTTATTCCAGCTATCAAATTCAAAGCTAATAAAAATAGCCTTTGTGAAAATCATCTAAAGTAAATTGTACAGATGAAGCAAAACTTGCAAGGATTTTCAACTTCCGATGCAAGGAGAAGAATATCGCCAACCACAAATCAAAATGCAATTTGTAAACAGTGAAAATTAATTATTCTGATATATATATTTTTCATTTTCATTAAAACCTGTGTGTCATGTTTAAAAAAAAAAAAATTATGCTAAACAAACTGTTACAAGCTATAGAGAGAAAAGAGTCAATACAAAATCTGTTAAACTTTGTGTATTAGTCGCTTTCATAGTCTTCTTCCTCATCTCCAAAGGAAAAGACCGATGCGTCTGCAGCGATTGCTTTAAAATCACTAACTGCTAATGAGTCGTTCGAAACTGGATTAGAAAGACCAGAGGACGATGAGCTCGTAACACTTCTGTTTGCAGAATGGTCATCAATCTTTGGTGGCTCATTGATCTGATGAGTTTCACTAGTTGAATTAGACTCTACGCCTTTCGAGTTTCCTTCCCCATCACTGTCGGAGAATACATAATCATCGTCTCTGCTCTGTTCAGACTTGGTATTGCCTGAATCAGTACCCGAGCTGCTTTGAGGAGGTTGTTTCGTGGAGTGAGAAGAATCAAATTTGGGTTTTGTTGGTTGAGAGCTGTCGGATTCTACCATTACAATCTCTACATGGAACCCCGGCGCAGGTAGTTTTCGCTGCAATACCATCCACAAGATCAAGCTTAGTGGATACCTTGTTTCTCAGATCATTAAAGGCTTATAATAACACATTCTCTTTATTACCTTTTCAAAGCCATCAAAGTCGATACCTTTCAGCATTGTTCTCTTATCAGTCAGTGAAGTATTTAGCCAACTGGTTGTAGAAAAACAGAGTGAGGTTAATAAAATTTGTCGTTTGGAGGAAAATGTGAGCAGGCACTGTAAAGGAAGAGAGAGTTTACCAGTAGAAATCTCCATCGCTGTCTTGGAAATGGATTTTGAAGTCGCCGGATAGCTCTGTTAGACCAGCTTCACCTGGTATTGCAAAGACAACAACTCCTTTTTTCGGTGCCTTTATCCAAAAATCTTCAGGCTACAACACAGAATAATAAGTTCATATGTCAAGATTAAGTAGAAAATAAGAGTGAGAGAGGAGAACCACAGAGAACAATACATACCCCTAAATCCTTGGTTTTAAGATGTTTCTTTGTCGAGAAAAGTATATCTGTTTGATAGAAGGAAACAGAGCATTATTCACAACGTATACGAAAACAAAATAAGACGGAGAAGAAATTAGCTATGTACCAGTGTGGTTGGAGATGGTAATTGCAGGTCTGATCCAATAAGGGCAATGGATTAAGCGAAACCCTCTGAGCATGCATCTGCATAAAATGTTTGTTTGCTGGTTACGGGAATGTGAATATCACCGCGAGCAAAGTAACTGATTGCTCTGATATGTCTGAAGCATACCTTTGTTCGGGTGGAACTTTCCCGCCAAACTGATTTTGAATACGTTCGTAGTACTTGACATATCGCTTAAGGAAACAGAAAAGCTCGTTTAATAGAATGAGGGAGAATCGAACAAGCACATAAAGAAGAAGATTGGTATGGGTTAAGGACTTACAATCTGACTTGGGAGAACAAGAGCTTTCCCGTCGAGACATCTCTTTTGGTTGTAGTAATCAATTGCTTCCTCAGCTGTTGGAAAGAACTGCAATGGAGTAACCATTTACCAGTCAGATCAGTCACAAGATCTTACAGAGAAGAAAAACCAAGACTTTGCTTCATTTAAAGTCTCACCTTTAGATATAGAAGAAGACAGCAAATCATTAATCCGGTTCTTGCCATTCCGGCTTTACAATGAACCACCACTACGTTTTGGATGTCTTCCTTCAACCATGTGTATGCACTTTGACAAAATGATGGTATTAATTGGATTGGAGGACAATTATGGTCATCAAATGGGAAAGATGCAACCTGAAAGAGAGGTAATCCGGAAAATTATGAAGCACACACTATAAAGAGGTCCATAGTCCATAAAAAAATAGCTTTTGAAAAACAAGGCCAACAACAGAAACTGCTTGCAAGATATGTGGTCTGAGATAGCAACTGAGTAAAGGTGGTATATACCTTCCCCTCAAATCTTGAAGCATCGTACAATCTCTCTGAACAAAGGTTGTAGACTTTATACTTGTCCTGCATATTGGGAACAAACTTTAGAGATCTGGTATGTATTTGAGTTGTCAGAATCTCAATACGGTTTAAGAGGCTTTTAGTCTGTGTCAATGATGATTACCTTGTGATGAGTTTCAAAAAACTTGATCACCTCTTCCATGTGGTTGCGATATAGTCCCTGAAATATGACATTTGTCAATGAGAAACCCCAAGGCCGAGAGAAGAAAATAACTGGCTGAAGGAACTTCTAATTCAGACTAGAAGAAGCTTGTTTACCTCGAAATATCCGAAAAGACCAGAGCTTATATCACCAGCTGGGAACCCCATTGCGATTATATTCTCAGTTATATATGTCATGTCCAAATCGAATTCCCCTTCCTGAGGATTGAACCAAGTGCCATGTAATGAGTGTCACCACAGTTTCAAGAATCTTACAAAAAGCAGGAAGAAGAAACGAAACTTTTACTAAACCTGGTATCTTCTTTTGTTCTGAGAGACAATGTGGCGTGCTTTCACCTGCATTGCTTTAACGGCACCACGAGATGAATCGACCACAGCTTTTGTGAGCGACTCAAAAGCACCACCGACTTGTGTGTTTGATGATCTGTTGGGGTCGTTGAGGTCATCAGAAGAGCCTTTCGTTGGCAAATGCAGACCAAGTTCAGAGGTGAATCTTGAGAAAGCACCTGACATCCCGGAATCTGTAGCGTTTGGATCTTGCTGCGGGAACTTAAAGCTTTTGGCCCAAGAAGAAAGACCAGAGGAAGAGAATACAGACGGCGGTGATTCCCGTGGAGAGGAATCTGGCGGGCATGGAACTATGTTATCTGTTTTACTCAAAGGCTCAGCACCATTAGATAAAGCTGGTTCTTGAGTATCAACTTTTGCAGTTGAAGCTTCTGTGGTAATAGAGTCTTTGGCAGAGCTCACCGGATTTTCTTCGACGCCCGTTACTTTACCAGAAGGTTCGGATTTACCAGGCATGGATTCATCTTTCTCCATTGGTATAACTGGAGATTGAGATGAAGAGCCAGTAGGATCAGTTTCCATTTCAGCACTCGACAACGAGCAAACACCAACCTAAATAGTGTGCAAACACCAAGAATAGTTCACATTTGAGTATAAAATCCAGCTTCTGAATTAATCAAACACTTGTAGAACACAAATCTACAAGTGTGCATATGAAAAATGTAAATACAAGATTGTGTGCACATAACAAAAATCTAGCTAAAGCTAATCAGCTAAATTCGCTTCCAGAATTATCTCTAAAAGCACTGATTACGAATATTTTTTCCGCAGGATAAGACCGTACTACCGCATTGCTATAATCCAAAACGGTCACACATTCATGTTCACACATCTCTCAAATGCCAAATCAGTGACGAAGTCGTATGAATAGATCTCTCAAATCAGGAAAATCGAGTAAATCATGTAGCAGAGGCAGATCAAAAGGGGCGAAATGAATCTACTTCATATTCGACAAGCATTGGCCGAGAAGAAAACGAAAAACAGAAACGAGAGTAGACATTGGTTACCGGAGAATGCTGGACGCTTAGCCTCGATTTTTTTACGTAGCTAAGAAGAGATTCAGTGAAGGAAGAAGATGGACGAAGCAGATTCGGCTTGAATCAGAGTTTCAGACTCAGGCGTACGAAATTTCCGATGAACGTGCGGAGATTAACGATCAATTTCCGTCTAATACGGTCATCTCTGATCTTGCCGATCAGAATATAGGAAAGTCTCTCGTTTATTGGGCATTTGTTTTTGGGCCTATGTGGGCTGAAATATACGCTCGTCACAGACTCGTTTCAAAATTCTTTATCAAAAACAAATTTGATGAATAAAAAAATAGTCGCCGTTGCCGGGGATCGAACCCGGGTCACCCGCGTGACAGGCGGGAATACTTACCACTATACTACAACGACATTGATGCTTCTCCTAACCCAATTTAGTTTATAATTGTTCTGTGATTAAAAAAGTTTCCATTAAATCTTTGTTGTTGTATATGGTAGCAGTACTGTACTGTATATTGAAAAATGTGTAGTCATGGACTCATGGTCAAGTTTACTATGAAAGTAAAAAATATTATAAGAAAGTGTTACAACATTAATGTTCTTAGGTCGATAATACATAAAAACAAATACAAAAATTTCTTTCGAATGAAGGTAAGCAATAAAATAATGAAGGTTAAGAAGGTGGCCTATAATAAGCATAAGCAGAATAGAAACTTTGAGATAATGTGAGGACTAGTAGAATAACTGCAGCACAGAAAGAGACTATTGCCCATGGATTATTAAAGTACTTGTGTTTCAAGGTCGCCCTCCAAGCATTCCACTTTTGATTGTAATAACGGTTAACCTCAATCGATAACCGAGATAAGTAGCTATCTTCCGTATCAAAAACAACTTCTTGACACAACCGGTTGAACAAATCCGCGACTTCGGAATCGCTCCCTAGCCAATGTTCGATGATACCGCAGTAGTGCAAGTAGCTAACATCTTCGTGAGAATCTATTAGATTGTCCATGAAGATTATGTAGGATGTTATGTCATTGCTCGAGTCAATATGGCACTGCTCGAAAGCTATAAGGTTCAAGAAAAGAGATTTGGTACCTACAAAAAAAAAAACAACAAATTATTTAAAGAAGAGAACCCTTATAAGTTATACTCCATAATCTCATTGCTTACATCATTCTGAATCAAAATGACATTTCCTTACTTTAACCAATTGATATATGAGAAGAAAAAGTCGCCAAAACCAATCTACTGTTTTTAGTATGTCATACCAAAACACACTTTCACAATTTCGGTATGTCATACCAAAAATGGTTTTTGATATAAAATTTATATTTATACATGTGGATATCAACATCATGATGCTAACTAAGATATGCTTTATCAATCTATATAAAAATTAATATAAACGAGAGATGTATAAAATTATGAAAACTTAAAGGTATGGCTCACATAAATGAATTAAAAAAATAGGAGAGTGGAAAACGTGAACGTACCATCATGAATGAGAAGCCTTGGTATCTCTAGATAACCGTTTTTGAATTGAATATCCCAAAACCGGTCGGTTCTCCTTCTCCTGAACTTAATACCGGCCTCCTTCAGTTCCGTCACGCAATGTATCAGCTGCTGTCGACGCTTGTCCGCCACGCGCGTGTTCCGTGACCATCTCTTTCGTGATAACCTTTGTTCCGGTTTAGGACTAGACCGAAGCAAGCTTCGACGGAAAACATCCAAACAGTGCAACTCGCCCATATCGGCGAATGGGTCAAAGGCTTCTCTTGCCAGCGAGTTCTCGAGTTTTGACTGGTCGTTTTTGGTCAACGGCTCGTCTGTTGGCATTAGTGGATCAAAGAACCGAATTGCTAATTGTGCCACTAAACCGGTTTGGTTCCGTGTACCGAGCTGTAGCTCTAATAACCGGTTTAGAACGAACAGAGGAAGCTGGTTTTCCAGCATTATCATATCACGTTGAATCGAATGCATCGATCCTCTCATCGCAAAAACCGGATCATTACGTGCATATCTACAAGAAAACGAAAAAATAGTAATTCAAATTCATTGAGACCGGTTCAACCATTGTTTAAGATAACCGGATATAACCAGCAGGTGATATTAGGTTTACCCGAGTTCTGTGAATCCTTCAACGGCTCCTCTAAAGAGCTCAAGCACAAAACAACCATCAAGAACAAGCATTTCAATAAACTCGTTACTGCTCAAAGCGAAAGGACCTTCGTAGCAAGCACGAGCCTTTTCTTCAAGCTCTCTCATGGCATCAATATACATTTCAATGCCTTGGTTCGTACGTTTCAAGACTCTGTTGACCGCACGCCATTTGTGACGGTCCATGGATCGGAGACGTTTCTTACCATGGTGGTATGGACCAAGAGAGACGGTCTGAGGGAAGTACGACTTGTTGTCGTTTTCTTGCAAGTAATAAGGAACTCTGTAGATGCATAGCTTTCCCCAGATTGTTGTGTCGTCGTCTCTATGTGCTTGATCAAGCTTGTCGGAAATCGAGATCACCCAATCGTCTCGTGTCTCTTTGGGACTCTCTTTGGTTACCTCGATCTTACCGGGATCGGACTGAGTCTCCTCGTGGTTATGATTGTTTTGTTCTTGATCGGATCTGGTGACGATATTGGGTAAACGGGGGATGATGTTGTGATCTTGATTAACCAGTTCGGATTCTTGGTTCTGGGTTTCGAGTTTTTCGCGGATCTTTAGTGTGAGCAAGTACCAGCTCAACATGTCTTTGTAGAAGACAGCCACCATTTTTGTTGTTGGATGAAGTTTTTTTCCACGAGAATGAGAGAGAGAGAGAGGAAGAGAGAAGTAGTTGTGAAAAATATCAGTAGCTTTATAAACAAAGTAATATCAGACGCAACTATATGTAAATGATTTAAAGCTATAATTGGTTACTTATTGTACTTATGGACCCAGTTGATCTGTAATGACAACAACCATAATTGGATGTATATATATATATATCTAAACACACAACACTGAAACACACATTAATAACTTTGAAAAATATTACAACTAAACTAATTTATTACTTTATAAAAAAACTAATATTTTCCTCTGAATTACGAATAATGAAAAAGAGAATAAAAGCACGTAAGTGGTAATAAAATGAGCTCATAAATCATATATATAGGAAAAATGAGAGTCGTTGGGCCTAGATAAGATAAGTTATCATGTCAAATTAGGAAATTTCGTAGATAAAATCACTATAATCAATCACGAAAAGTCGAAAACTAAAAAAAATCTTAAATATTTTTTGTTCCACTTCGTGCCGCCTTCAAGTTCACATTACATCAAGGTTATTGATGTTTTGGCGGTTTTTTTTAATATCTTCATTACGATATTTTTATTACATATTGGTTTTCAACTATTGTTAGGAAAAAGTTAAGAAAAAAAAATGGTGCATGAGAGCATAACGGAACATGTCCATTACACAGCTAGTGAGTAACATGGCACGATTTCAGCATTTTTCGTATAAATGATATGTTTGTATTAACAAACTTTGAATATATATTGGTCAAGACACGTTTTATTTCTTTATTTTTGTTAGTCAACTTTATGTGTTTATATATTTATAGTAAATTACTGAAAATCCGGTATGGATGATACTATTCCATGAGTGGTTTGATAGTTTGGCTTTTTCAAGTGGCAACGTAACCAGGTACGTAGCTCGACAACTGCTCACTCTCTGATCTGGATCTGGGTTAAATCATTTCTTGGTCTCCGACAAAGTCTTGCGGTTTTTTCTATTAACTTGAATGTCGATGAATCATATATGTATGAAAACATTGTACACCGGTGTTCTAAAATTACCAAGTGTCTAAGTGTCTTTAAACGAAGCACCTCGGAATTTTTTCCACAGCAATGAACAATATTTAGGATCTTACTCAAAATAAAATTTCAGTCTATTATTTTTGTTCTTCACCAGTAACAAAGTACAATTAAACTTGAGGATGACACTAACTATAAAGCAAAAACTGGATTGAACAATCTTCCCTAATTCTAACATATGGCTTCAAAAATAGGAAGTCACGTTTTTATTTTACTTTTTGCAATAATGGAGCAATAATGAGAATTAAGAAGATGGCATAATATACGGATAGGCACTAAAAAAGCTCTGAAGTAACGTGAGAATTAACAGAACAAGAGCAGCAAAGAAAGAGAAATACGCCCAAGGATTATTGAAGTACTTGTGCTTCAAGATCGCCTTCAGAACATTCCACTTCCGGCTATAGTTACGGTCAACGTTATTCGACAGTTGAGATAAATAACTATTTTGAGGGTCGAAAGCTACTTCTTGACATAACCTGTTGAACATATCCGCAACTTCAGAGTCAGTTCCTAGCCAGTGCTCGATAATACCACAATAGTGCAAATAGCTAACATCTTGAGGAGAATCTATTAGATTGTCCATGAAGATGATGTAGGATGTTATGTCGTTGCTAGAATCAATATGGCACTGTTCGAAAGCTATGAGGTTCGAAAAAAGAGATTTGGTACCTACAAAAAAAAAAACATGAGAGGCAATGTTATCATCAAGACTTAAATCCGGTAAAATGCATAATGTTGACAAAAAAAATGTAAAAATTCAGTTACCGTCATGGATAAGTAGTTTGGGTATCTCTAGATAACCGTTTTTGAATTTTATATCCCAAAACCGGTCGGTTTTCCTTCTCTTGAATTTAATACCGGCCTCTCTTAGCTCCGTCACGCAATGTATCAGTTGTTGTTGGCGCTTATCCGCCACGCGCGTTTTCCAGGACCATCGGTTTCGTGATAACCGTGGCTCCGGTTTAAGACTAGGCCGGAGCAAACTTCGCCGGAAAACATCCAGACAGTGCAACTCTTCCTTGTCCTTGTCAGCAATTGGGTTAAAGAATTTTTGTTTTTCAAACGAGTTGTCTAGATTCAACTCTACGGTTTTAGTCAACGGTTCGTCTGTTGGCATTAGTGGGTCGAAGAACCGAACAGCTAATTGCGCCACTAAACCGGTTTTGTTCCGTGGACCAAGCTGTAGCTCTAATAACCGGTTCAGAACGAACAAAGGAAGTTGATTTTCCAGCATCACCATGTCACGTTGAATCGAATGCATCGATCCTCTCATAGCAAAAACTGGATCGTTACGAGCGTATCTACACATCCCAACATGATCAGAACAAAAACAAAAAATGTCAAGAAAAAATAAAATCAAAAGTCAACAAAACAAAACCAGACCGGTTTAGCAAAAAAAATATCAAAAAATTGAATCACACACTTACCCTAGTTCCGTGAATCCTTCATCGGATCCTCTGAAGAGTTCAAGAACAAAACAACCATCAAGAACAAGCATTTCGGTGAACATGTTACTGCTCAAACCAATGGGACCTTCATAGCAAGCACGAGCCCTCTCCTCGAGCTCTTTCATGGCATCAATATACATTTCGATGCCTTGCTTGGTGCGTGCCACGACCATATTGACTGCACGCCACTTGTGACGGTCCATTGGGAGGAGATGTTTTTTGCCATGGTGGTAAGGACCAAGTGAGACGATCTGGGGGGAGTATGACTTGTTGTCTTTTTCTTGGAGGTAATGCGGAATTCTGTAGATACAAAGCTTGTCCCAGCTAGTTGTGGCGTCGTCTCTAAGTGCTTCCTCCATCCTGTCTTTTATGGAAACCACCCATTCTTCTCGAGTCTCTTCGGGTTGTTGGTTTCGAGTTTGGAGTTTTCGGCGCATGAGGAGGGTGATGAAGTACCAGGTCAACATGTTTTTATGGATCAAAGACATGTCTTTGTTGATGAAAGACGGAGGATTGTTCCTTCTTTTGACATAATACCGCCAAGGAAGACTCGGTACAAATGATGGCGGCGGTGGTGGTGGTGGTGGTAGACTTTTGGTCCTTCTTTTTACGAAATACAACTCAGGAGAAATCGATCTAAATGAAGGTGGCGGTGGCGGCGGCGGTGGTGAATCTTTGCTCCTCTTTTTGAGGAAATAAAGCTCGGGAGAGATGGGTGTAAATGATGGTGGCGGTGGTGGTGGTGGAATTTTGCTATTCTTTTTGAAAAAATGACGCTGAGAAGAAATTGATCTAAATGATGGTGGCGGTGGTGGCGGCGGCGGTGGGGGTGGACGAGTAAGAATACGCACCATTTTTGTTGGTCGGAGCTTTTTCAAGAAACTGAGATAGAAAAAAAAGTCAGAAAGCAAAAGATGTGAATGACAGAAATGTGCACAGCACATACACACACACATTAATAAGTTTGATGATACATACATTTAACCATACACATTACACTAACTATAAGTTTGTCAAACTTTCATTCTGTTGTTTAATGCCTTGACGTCCCACGTTTTATTTTATTTTATTCCACGAGCTCTTATTGAAAAGAGACTCTAAAAGTACTTGTTCGTCACTATTTCAATTGTTGTATTATTAACGCCTTTAAAGATATTTTTCTAAAGATCACAAATTTGTGGGTGTGATTGGCAGCACATTTAGATGAGCTATAATATTTTTATTATTTAGTCAACTTTTATAAACAAAGCATAGAGGAGAGCGTTTGAAATATAAAAATGCCCCATCTATGAGACGATTGGCAGCACATTTAGATGATTTTCCAAAATGTTAATCTTAAATACTTTATATACTATTACACGGCCGATTTCATGATAGACAACAGTCAATTAACATTAGTAATTTGTATTGCTATCATGACTGTGTTTTAATCCCTCTGTAGTTTGTAGGTGTAAGTTTAAGTAGAACAGCAAAAAACAAATACAATAGAAAAAAGGGGATGGTGCAGAGAAATTAAAATACAAACATTTATCCAACTTGAATGAAAGAATTTATCGAATAACAAAGAAAATTAAGGTGGTCTGAAATAAGGAAAAGCAGTAAAAAAACTCTGAAACAATGTGAGAATTAGTAGAAAAAGTGCAGCAAAGAAAGAGAAGTATGCCCAAGGATTGTTGAAATACTTGTGTTTCAAGATCGCCTTCACAGAATTCCACTTTCGGCTATAGTTACGGTCAACTTTATGCGATAATTCAGATAAATAACTATCTTGGAGGTCGAAAGCTACTTCCTGGCAAAGCCGGTTGAACAAATCCGCAACTTCAGAATCATTTCCTAACCAATGCTCGATGATACCACAGTAGTGCAAATAGCTTACATCTTCGGCAGAATCTATTAGATTGTCCATGAAGATAATGTAGGACGTTATGTCGTTGTTTGAGTCGATATGGCATTGCTCGTAAGCTATAAGATTCGAGAAAAGAGACTTGGTACCTACACAAACACAAGAGACCAGATAATGTTTCTTGTCAGTTTTAGGAATTATGAGAATTCTCTAGAAAAAAGTATATTTTGCTTATATCATTCCGAATTGGTCAATAATTGATGACAGATATTTTGTTTAGCAAATTGTGGAAAAATGAACAAATCTAGTATATATTATACACAATTTGGTTTTGATAATTATTTTTAGAAAAAAAAGAATATATCACTTTGGAGTGAAAAATATGTTTTGACGAACAAAAAAAGCCATTGCTATATATACAGATATCAAAAATTTATATCTAGGTTGTATGTTCTTTGATCAACATTCAACACATATAAGCGAGAATTAGGTGTAAAAAAATAAATTTGAAATGTAACGGATAAAAGCATAACATGGGGAAGGGGTTAAAAAAAATAAGATAACGTGAACTTACCGTCATGGATAAGTAACTTGGGTATCTCTAGATAACCATTTTTGAACCGAATATCCCAAAACCGGTCGGTTTTTCTTCTCTTGAATTTAATACCAGCCTCTCTTAGCTCTGTCACGCAATGTATCAGTTGTTGTTGGCGCTTATCAGCCACACGAGTTTTCCTAGACCATCTGTTTCGTGACAGCCTCGGCTCCGGTTTAAGACTAGGCCGGAGCAAACTTCGACGAAAAACATCAAGACAATGCAACTCTTCCGTGTCCTTGTCAGCGATTGGGTTAAAGAATTTATCGTAATCCAAAGAGTTCTCTGTTTCTACCTGGCCGGTTTTGGTTGTTGGCTTATCGGTGGGCATTAGCGGGTTGAAGAACCGAATTGCTAATGTCGCTACTAAACCGGTTTGGTTATCTGTACCGAGTTGTACCTCTAATAAACGGTTGAGTACGAACAAAGGAAGTTGGTTTTCCAGCATAATCATGTCACGTTGAATTGAATGCATCAATCCTCTCATAGCGAAGACCGGATCGTTACGACCATATCTACAATTATAATACACCCAAAAATATCATAATATAGAAATATCAAACCGGTTTAGCAAATTGAACAATGCTTACCCTAGTTTGGAGAATCCTTCATTGGCTCCTCTAAAGAGTTCGAGAACAAAACAACCATCAAGAACCAACATTTGTGTGAACTTGTTACTGCTCAAATCAATAGGGCCCTCATAACAAGCACGAGCCTTCTCCTCGAGCTCTTTCATTGCGTCAACGTACATTTCGATGTTGTGCTTGGTGCGTGCCATGACCATATTGACCGCACGCCACTTGTGATGGTCCATGGGTAAGAGATGTTCGTGGCCATGGTGGTACGGGCCAAGCGAGACGATCTGAGGGAAGTAGGACTTCTTGTCGTTTTCTTGAAGGTAATGTGGAACTCTATAGATACAAAGCTTGTCCCAGCTAGTTGTGGCTTCATCTCTAAGTACTTGCTCCATCTTTTCTTTGATCCAAATCACCCATTCCTCCCGTGTCTCCTCAGGTTTCTGGTTTTGGGTTTGGAGCTTTTTGCGCATCACGAGGGTGAGAAAGTACCAGGTCAACATTGGTAGTGGTCGATAATTTCTTCTTCTTCTTCTTCTTAGAATGATATCCGAAAGAGAAAGATTTGGCCCAAAAGGTGAAGAAGGAGGAGGTGGCGGTGGACGTGGCCGTGGGGTTGCTGGTGGTGGTGGTGGCGGCGGTGGAGGTGGTGGCGGTGGTGGTTTTCGACTACGAGGAATCGCCATTTTTTTGCTTAAGAGCTTTTTTTCAAGAAATTGATGATGGTGAGAGAGAAAAAGTCAAAAAGTCTGTGATTGGTTGCATATTTTATATAAACGTATTTATGGACCTGTTTGATCTGTAATGACAACAACCAAAATCATACATAGTGCATTACCTACACACGTTAGCAAGTTTGACATCTAATCATATACTTCTTCATTAATTATGATAAACGTATTGGATAATGCCTTGACGGGCCACGTTTTGTTTGTTTATAATTTCTCTACAAACTCTTCTAATTAGACTCTAGATAGTCTTGTGATACATTCTTGTAATATCCAAACTCTTATTAAGAAAAGGAAACACTCTGTCCTCTTACAAAAAGACAAATAGGTTATTGACGATAATTGAGTTTGAAATATTCCAGATTCTTATAAAAAACCTATAGTTTTGTTTTTGCCCAAGATCTAAACTGTTTACCAAGTGTGATACCAATTAAAAAAAAAACTGTGATTAACATACCCTACAAGTCTACATTAATTGGGAGAAAATTAAAATATAATTTCATTTTGTAAAACTTTACTTTTAGATCAGGCACATGGCACGACCTAACCATCCTCGTATAAAGAATGATGAACTCTTATAAAAAAACTCCGATAAATTCATATTGTATACTAGACTAATGCCCGCACATACGCGCGGGTTTTTCTTTAGTTACAAGGTACTGAAAAACAACTCTAGATTTGTGTTTAATATTATAAACTCTTACCCAAATATCTTGTATGATTAGTGACTATTTTCAAATATATTTTTTTTTTTTGCATTATATCACACGTTTATATGCCATCAATTCTATTTTGTTATCAATATCACATTGAACCTACTTTAATTTCCCGCCATTGCTATTTGTTGGTTCCGTATCTCCGTATATTCAGAGAATTTAGATGTTTGATAATTATTCAAGATGAAAATTGAAATACAATAGTTTTTTTGAAAACAAATATAATAGTTTTAAAGTAATAAAGTGGTTTTAATTATAATAATTGAAAAGTTTGACAAATAAATAAGAGTTAAAATTATTAATTGAAAGGAAAATGAAAAGTCATGCTGCATATTAATAGAAGTGTACACATGTCACATAGAAGGAGAGAGTTGACCGCTTTTCATATATATGATTAAGACAAACATTCAGATTATAGAGATTTTAATACGTTCTTGTGATATATTTATGGATTAATCGTTGAAAGAAACAATTTACCAAAAGAGACAAAAAAAAGAGTTGTTGAATGAAAATTCTCAGTTAGTTGTATAGTTGAGATTGAAATATATAATCTAACAAAAAATTTTAACGCCTAACAGTTATGCATTAAAGGTATGATAATAACCTTATAATGTCAGATCGATACACGAATAGGTAAATGCAAAATATTGACCAACCAATGAAAGCTAAGAATTTGGCTTATAATAAGCATAAACAGCATAGAAACTCTGAGAGAATGTGAGAATTAGCAAAATAACAGCAGCGATGAAAGAGAAATATGCCCAAGGGTTATTGAAGTACTTGTGTCTCAAGGTAGCCTTCAAAGAATTCCACTTACGACTATAATAACAGTTAACCTTATCGGACAGTTTAGATAGATAACTATCGTTTGGGTCAAAACTCACTTCTTTGCATAACTGGTTGAACAAATCCGCAACTTCGGAATCACTCCCTAGCCAATGTTCGATGATACCACAGTGGTGCAAGTATCTTACATCTTCAGCAGAGTTTATTAGATTATCCATGAAGATTATGTAGGACGTTACATTGTTGCTCGAGTGGATATGGCACTGCTCGAAAGCTATAAGATTTGAGAAGAGAGTCTTGGTACCTACAAGAAAAACACGAGAGACCATATTGTTGTTTTTTGTAAGTTAAAGGAGTAATAGGGTTTCAAGAAAAACATTTCAGTAGAGTGCAAGAAATTAATTTTGAAATACCATTTAAAAAAAAAAAGCTTGATAACAAATCATGATCCATAAAAAAATCGAAAAAAAAAACTTTGCCAATCCGTATAAACAAGAAGTAGGTGTTATAATTTAAGATTCTTGAACAAGATTAATAAGAAATGAAAATAATTAAAAATATTTAACTCACCATCATGGATAAGTAGTTTTGGGATCTTTAGATAACCGTGTTCGAATTCAATATCCCAAAGCTGGTCCGTTTTCTTTGTCTTAAACTTGATACCAGCTTCGGTTAGTTCTGTCACGCAATGTACCAGTTGTTGATTTCGAGACGAAATGTATTGTGGCCTTTTGGGTTTCGGTGTCCAGAAGAGACTTCGATGGAAAACATCCAAACAGTGTAACTCTCCATAGTCAACGAGTGAGTCAGCTGATTTTCCTTGCAAGTCCCTTTTGGTTAGTGGCTCCCCCATTGGCATTAGTTGATGAAAAAACTGAACTGCTAGTTCTGCCACTGAACCGGTTTGGTACCTTGTACCGAGCTGTACCTCTAATAACCGGTTTAGTACGAACAATGGAAGTTGATTTTCCAACATTACCATGTCACGTTGAATGGAATGCATCAATCCTCGCATCGCGAAAACTGGATCATTTGGTGCATATCTACTCAGCACAAAAAGTCAACAATTTAGATAACCGGATATCAACATCAAATCGGTTTGAACATCTCTATTCCAAGTTTTTAAAAGTGTGAACATAAAATATGTTAGTAATACCAAAAACTTAAACATTCTTAAATATCATATCAGTTAAATAATAATATATTTTGTATTCACACAACTTATGAAAGATTTTGGTGAGAGATTTTTAATGGAGATGCTCTTAACCGGATATAACTATAAGATTTAGTAACGCTTACCCGATTTCCAGGAATCCTTCAACGGTTCCCTTGAAGAGCTCAAGAACAAAACAGCCATCAAAAACAAGCATCTCAATGAAATCATCACTATTCATTTTGATGGGACCTTGGTAGCAAGCACGAGCCTTGTCCTCAAGCTCTTTCATGGCGGAAATATACATTTTGATGCTTTGATTGGTCCGTTTGATGACCATATCGACCGCACGCAACTTGTGGTGGTCCATGGGGATGAGATGTTCCTTGCCAAGGTGGTATGGACCAAGCGAGACGGTATGAGGGAAGTAGGACTTCTTGTCGTTTTCTTGCAAGTAGTGTGGAACTCTGTAGATACAGAGGTTGTCCCAACTTGTTGTGTCGTCGTCTTTAAGTGCTTTCTTTATCTTCTCTTCGATCGAGACCACCCATTCTTCTCGTATCTGGCTAAGCTTCTCATCTGTCGCATTGATCTCACCGGGCTCCGAGTAAGCCTCAGGTCTTGTAAGTTCTCGAAAACAACGGACTTCCTTTGTGATGTTGAAACCCCATCTCCATCTGAATGGTTTAATGTTTTTCTTTGTTTTTTGCCTGGATAATTTTTTGCTGCCAGCAACGGAAACGGAAACCATTGTTTCTGTAGGTTGAAGCTAGCGAGATCAAGAGAGAGAAAGAGCGAGCCACTAATTGTCAAATGTCAAAGCAACGCTGTAACAGATTTAAAGTTGTAAAGCTGGTCTTGCTTAGTTTATTTTTTTTAACTCCACAAACTCTTATAAAAAGGCTACATATCATCACGTACTCGTAACCCTCATAAAAGCCTGTAGTATAGTATTATTCAACGGGTGAGATCGAAACATCCAAAATGCCATTAAAAAAGACTCTAGTACTCTTATAAAAGGAGACTAATAAATTCTTGTGATATGTATAACTACTTTTTCCAATGTAGTAGAAAAACTTTAACGTGTATATAACTATATATTCTTTATATAGTTGAGACGTGAGAGGGTGTGCATTTAAACTCTTCTCCTATCCGACGTATAGTTTATGTCAATCTCTCTGACTGAAAAATCACGGTTTAGGTGAAACAGTAGATTTCTTTAATTATTTTCACTGTATTAGATACAGTATGTTGTATTAGTTTATGTTGGTTTTTTTACCCAAAAAAAAGTTTATGTTGGTTTACGGTCTAATTACAATTCATTCCGATTGTAACCGGTAAACCGGAATCTTCTTTTCATATAAGGAGACTATTGTAACTCGAGCTGAATCAATGAATATAACATAATTTCATTTCTTCTTGGATCTTGTTTCTACTAATAGACTGCTATACCTATTGTTTTTTTTTTATATATATATTATTATTATAAAGACCCAAACCGGGTAATGGAGCTGGTTACATAAGATTGTACCGAAAAAACTGAACCGAACCGAAATTGAAAACCCTAATTAGTGAATCGGAGACCCTTCGAAACATATGAGAAAAAGATTCCGTCTTCTTCCCCCTCCCATGTACCTCACCGGCGGCTGTAAGAGAGAAACCTTGCGGTCCCTGCTTACCCGTCGTCAACAGCCGGAGAGCCGACTCCAGCCGCCAAGTCCGAGCCGGCAAGAAACCTGATCCCAGCCCCTCTCTTCCGATGGCCTCAAGCAGGAGGAAGAAGACCTCAGCCAATAACCGAAAAACACCACCGCAAAGAACGTAAAATGAACTAGAAACTTTGAAATGGATCTCCAATAACATCAACCAGGCAAAAAAATCACCGATTCCGCCAACTGAAACCTCAATCCGGAAAAGGAGAAGAAGCAATCCGACAAGAGAATAGTCTTACCCATTCATCATCGCCGAGACTGCAAGACCGCATGATCCGAACCGACCACTGCAGCACCTCCTTCACACGTGATGCTATCCCTATTGTTGAATTAGAGAATGTACTATTGTATTGATCTCAAACGCATATACAAGCTAATGGTAATGAGGATTAACCTAACCCTAATCCCAAAAGAGACTTGTCTTCCAAGCTATATACCAAACAACTGATAAGCCTAGATATAGCTAAATAGTCCACGTCAAATTAGGACATGAAAATTTATAACACCCAACTTGGACACTATACATCTACTGAAAATCTAAATGTTACCCAACTTGGATATTAACCGCCCGCAATTTGCTTCGTAGGTTTCATGACCATATCAAGCGCGCCGGTTTTAGGGGAATATGAGTATATGACTTCTTGTCGTGTCGTGTTCGACGAATTTATATTAATATCCACGATAAAACAGTTGGCATTAATTTTGTGTAGCAGCAGATTTGTCGCCACCAAGGCACCAACTTTGTCACTATATCATTACTTAGTGTGTGTAGTGATTATTGATCGATAGAAGAAAAAAAATCCAAAGTCAAACTTTCTAATATGTTTTTTCATACACTAACAATTTGAGAATCCAAATGTTACAACGTCAATGTTTTATTTCGAATGGAAGAAGATACAAATTACTGAACGAACATGAACTGAATGGAGAGAAAAAAAATGACAAGCAAATCTAAGAGTTTGGATTATAATAAGCATAAACAGCATAGAAACTCTGAAGTAAGGTGAGAATTAGGAGGACAAGTGCAGCAACGAAAGAGAAATATGCCCAAGGATTATTGAAATACTTGTGTGTCAAGGTAGCCTTCAAAACATTCCACTTACGGCTATAATAACGGTTAACGTCATCAGACAGCCGAGATAGATAACTGTCTTTGGGATCAAAAACCACTTCTTGACATAACCGGTTGAACAAATCCGCAACTTCAGCGTCACTCCCAAGCCAATGCTCGATGATACCACAATAGTGCAAGTAGCTAACGTCTTCGGAAGAGTTTATTAGATTATCCATGAAAATTATGTATGATGTTATGTTGTTGGTCGAGTTGATATGGCACTGCTCAAATGCTATAAGATTCGAGAAAAGAGACTTGGTACCTACAATTTACACAAGGAAGGTTAAGAACTAAAAAGAAGAAAGAAACAATTAAAAATGTGAATATTACCGTCATGGATAAGTAGTTTTGGTATCTCTAGATAACCATTTTTGAATTCAATATCCCAAAACCGGTCGGTTTTCCTTGTCCTGAACTTGACACCAGCTTCTCTTAGCTCGGTCACACAATGAACCAGTTGTTGCTGTCGCTTGTCCACAACTCGTGTATCCCGAGACGATCTCTTGTGTTTAGATCTTGGACCAGGTATGGGACTAGATCTGAGGAGACTTTGACGGAAAACATCCAGACAGTGCAACTCCCCTTTGTCACCAAGTGAATCCAATGATTTCTCCAGCCAGTTCATGAGTTTTGACTGGTCCGGTTGGGTAAACGCCTCTCCGGTTGGCATTAGTGGGTCAAAGAACCTAACAGCTACGTGTGCGACTATACCGGTTTGGTTCTGTGTACCAAGCTGTAGCTCTAATAGTCGGTCAAGAACAAACAAAGGAAGTTGATTTTCCAGCATTATCATGTCACGTTGTATCGAATGCATCAATCCCCGCATCGCAAAAACCGGATCGTTCGGTGCATATCTACTCAACAAACAAAAAAAACGGATCCGAAACTGGACCATATTAGCAAGTATATGAGATAACCGGAAGAAAATATAATAATATTTAATTAACGCTTACCCGATTTCCGGGAAGCCTTCAACAGTTCCTCTGAAGAGCTCAAGAACAAAGCAACCATCAAGAACAAGCATTTCTGTGAACTCGTTACTAGTCAAACCGATGGAACCTTGGTAACAAGCACGAGCCTTCTCCTCAAGCTTTCTCATGGCGTCAATGTATATTTCAATGCGATGCTTCGTACGTTTCAGAACACGATTGACCGCGCGCCACTTGTGTTGCTCCATAGATCGGAGACGCTTCTTACCATGGTGGTACGGACCAAGCGAAACGGTCTGAGGGAAATACGACTTGTTGTCGTTTTCTTGCAGGTAATTTGGAACTCTGTAGATGCATAGCTTTCCCCAAATCGTTGTGTCGTCGTCTCTATGTGCTTGCTTCAGCTTGTCTCTTATTGAGATCACCCAGCTGTCTCCTGTGGTTTCTCTTGGCCTTTCTTCAATCACCTCGATGTTATCAGGCTCGGAATGAGTCTCTTGGTGGTTCTGCATGCTATGGTATTGATCCGGTGTGGTGTTTTTGGGTAAACCACGAAGGTTATGATCTTGAACTGGTTCGGATTGTTGGTTTTTGGTTTGGAGTTTTTGGCGGAGCTTGAGGCTGAGCAAGTACCATGTCAACATGTCTTTGTTGATGAAAATCGGCTGACCATCGGAATGAACATTAACTAAAACCATTATTTTTGTTGGTCAAAGCTTTTTAGGTAGATTGAGATTGAGAGCGAGAGCTTGAGTGTATTTGTGAAATGTCATAAGCAAAGATGTGACTGATTTAAAGATATAACCTGCCATGGTTTGCTTATTTTATATTCTTACTTAACTCTTAGAAAAAGACTACGTACTCTTTATAAAAAAGACTCATAAATGCTACTATGCTAGTAGTAGTAGTGATATTAGTTTACATATTCAACGAGTGAGATTGAAATAACCAACCTCTCGTAAAAAAAGACTCTCCTAAATGCTAGTGATATATATATTCACCGAGTGAGATTGAAAAAATATCCATTCTAATAAATTAAACTGTATTCTCCAAGGTATTAATTGTGAAATGTCAAAAGCAACGCCATGATTAGTTTTAAGTTATGATCTGGCCATGTTTTGCTGATTTTTCACTTTACAAAAGTCTTATAAAATGACTTCGAACTCTTATCACAAAAGACTTTTTAAAAGTGCTTGTGGATGTGTACATACATATTTTTTGAAGTTAACTCGGAGAGCCAAAACTTAAATGTAAGAATTCAAGGCAATTGCACCTTTTATAAATACATTGTTTAAACGTAAGAAATTTATTCAGCTTTGATGAATAGATTTTAACATTTTGTCTTCTCTCTCTATTTTCACCATTTGTTAGTGAAATCAACGGTATTGATTTATAAAACACATAAGTGAAGAAGCCCTTATTATTACAGAGCCAAGCCTGAATCAGAAGTTGACGATTACATTCAATTACATTGCAAAGTTGGTTTGTAACTTTGAAAACTGTTGACAACTCTGAGATAATATAATCAACTAGAACATAGTACGAAAGATTAAGAAGGTGGCTTATAATAAGCATAAGCAGCAAAATAACTTTGAGAGAACGTGAGAACTAACAGAAATACTGCAGCTAAGAAAGAGATATATGCCCAAGGGCTATCGAAGTACTTCTGTTTCAAGTTCTTCTTCCAAACATTCCATTTCAAGACTGCCTTCAGAACATTCCACTTTCGGTTATAATGACGGTTAACTTCATTTGTCATCTGAGATAAACAGCTATTTTTGGAGTCGAAAACCACTTCTTGACATAGCTGGTTGAACATATCTGCAACTTCAGAGTAATTTCCTAGCCAGTGCTCGATAATACCACAGTATTGCAAATAGCTAACATCTTGAGGAGAATCTATTAGATTGTCCATGAAGATTATGTAGGATGTTATGTCGTTGCTTGAATCAACGTGGCACTGCTCGAAAGCTATAAGGTTCGAGAAAAGAGATTTGGTACCTACAATATACACGAGAGAGGGGCCACGGTTGTAAATTTGAGGAATTTGGGGTTGAAAAACAAGTCATTTGTTTCATTGTCTTAATTTTCTTTCGTCGGCGAAATCATTCTAATTGGTTACTAAGGATTAGTTGAAGACCTTTCTTTTTACTTAAGCCACATGATATTTAAGGATAAAACGACGCTAAACCAATATATATCATACAGGCTCACGACATGCCCTACAACCATTTGGTTTCACACCTACATTTATCATGTTGCACAGCAAAAAAATAAATAAGAATACCAAATTTCTAGAGCTAGCTAGATGTCGCATTAAGATAAATCACCCTATATGATTTCTAGCTAATATATTCTAAAAATAGTTGTAAAATTGTAAGACTATAAATACTAAAGATGGTAGGAAAAAGTTTTACTTACCGTCAAGGATAAGTGTAGTTTGGGTATCTCTAGATAACCGTTTTCGAATCTTATATCCCAAAACCGGTCGGTTTTTCTTCTCCTGAATTTAATACCGACATCTCTTAGTTCTGCCAGAGGCTGTATCAGCTGTTGGTAGCGTTTGTCCACCGTATGCATTTCCCTGGACCATCTGCTTCGTTGTAGCCTCAGCTCTGGTTGCCGGCTTTGCTGGAGTAGACTACGACGGTAAACATCCAGACAGTGCAATTCAATCATGTCCGCTAATGGGTGAAAGGATCTACTGATCAACTCGTCGTCTAATGGGTGAAAGGAACTAACGATCACGTCCGTTGGCATTAGCGGGTCGAAAAAAACAATAGTTAGTTGCGTCACGAAATTTGTTTGCATCGGTGTACCAAGTTGTAACTCTAACAACCGGTTGAGTACGAACAAAGGAAGTTGATTTTCCAGCATTATCATGTCCCGTTGAATTGAACGCAGCGAACCTCTCATCGCGAAGATTGGATCGTTACGACCGTATCTACATAATACCGAAAAAACAATTTAAAAAATTAGCATTTTAGACTAGAATTTAGTAGTTGTTTAAAAAAAATCTAGAATTTAGATAGCGGTATCAAAAATCCCTTTCTTCCTAAAAGAATGATTTGATAGAGTTTTCACATATGTAGTCATAGATTACACAATTAATGTTTAGTTATAAATGTAACATTTTAGTTTATCACAATTAATGTTTAGATTACACAATTAATGTTTATCACACTATCCGTTAGTTTAGTAACTGAAAACTTCTCAATTAATGCACCTAAAACCTAGAAAATTTAACTCTATGAAACAAAGGAAGGATAAAAAAAAAAAAAAAAAAAAAAAAAAAAAAAAAAAAAATCAATCAATCTTTTAGAAAGAGAGAAATATACATGAGATAACCGGAAAATTCGGAAACTGAATCACGCCTACCCGAGTTTAGAGAATCCTTCATGGGCTCCTCTGAGGAGCTCGAGAACAAAACAACCATCAAGAACAAGCATTTCTGTAAACTCGTTACTGCTCAAACCAATGGGACCTTGGTAGCAAGCACGAGCCTTCTCCTCCAGCTCTCGCATGGCGTTGATATAAAATTTGATGCCTTGTTTCGTACGTGTTAGGAGCATATTCACCGCACACCATTTATGGCACTCCATAGGCCGGGTCTGCTCTTCCCCATGGTGGTATGGACCAAGCGAGACGGTCTGAGGTATATACGACGACCTATTGCTGTTTCCTTGCAGGTAACGTGGAACTTTGTATATACAGAGCTTTCGAGAACTAATCTTGTCCTGGTCTGCATGTCCTTGCTCGAGCTTCTCTGTAATCGAGATCACCCAATCATCTCGTGCCTCTATAGGGCTCCATTCCATCACCTCAATTTCTCCGGGTTTAGAACTAGCCTGCTTGTGGATCTGCAAGTTTTGGTCTTGACCGGATCTGGTATCTTCGGATAAGCAGAGGAGGCTATGATCTTGATTAACCGGGTCGGAATCTTGGTTCTGGCCGATTTGGAGGTTTTTTTGGCGGATTATGAGGGTGAGCAAGTACCAGCTCATTAATATGTCTTTGCATATAACAAGTGGTGGACCTTGGGGACGAACATTGGGTAAAACCATTATTTCTGTAGGTTTAAGCTTTTTCAGGAATTTGAGAGAGTGATTGTGAAAAGGAACGGGTCTAACAACTGATATAAAGCTGTAATAATCTGGGAATGTAGTGTTTATTATTTACTAGGGGGTGACCCGCGCTTTGCGCGCGGGATTTATATTATGGTGTTAACTTTATTATTTTTCTGCAAATTTAATTTATATTATGGTTTATTATTGTTTCAAAAATATTATACACATATTAATTAAATATAATTAGGGTAAGGCAAAATTCTTGTACCGTCATGTTCATCTCGTCCCATTTTGTTCATTTTTATCATGTATATTCTTACCCGTCCTGTCCGTCCTGTATGTCCCTCCCCGTCCTGTCCCATCATATCTTATTATGTTTATTTATATTTATTTATGCATAATTCTTATCTCGTTTCGTTAAATATAATTAGGGTTGTGCATAATTTAGGTCTCATTCCATTCCATTTTGTTTTTTCCCGTCTCGTTCCGTCCTGTCCTATTCCTATCCCTTTTTTCCTCATCCCGTTCATTTACTTTCAGTTATCCTTTGTCATGTTTCTTCCCGTCTCGTTCTGCCTCATCTCATTCATTCACATCCCGCTTTGCTCCGTTCATGTTTTTTTCATTCTACCTCATCTTGTTTCTTCATGTCTCATTCTGCCCCGTCTCATTCATTCCCATCCCGTTTTGCCTCGTCCCATTCATTTTTTTCCGTTATGTCTCGTCGTATTTCTTCTCATCTAGTTCCACATCGACCCATTCATTTCCATCCTGTTATGTTTCGTCCTATTCATGTCCTTTATTGTTATAATTCGTTTTGTTTCTTCTCGTCTTGTTCCACCTCGTCCCATTTATTCCCATCTCATTGCATTACGTTTATTTTCTTATTACTTTTATATAAAGATTTAAAACAATTGGACAAATTCAAATTCTAGATTAATACTCTCTCATTATGTTTAGATTTCTGAATTGGGCCGCAAAAGGTTAAGAAATTCGTGGCCCATTATATCAAATTTTTAGATTCATTAAGTGTGTTGCCTGCTGACGTGGCAAAATGTTGCTTACGTGTCACATGCAGAAGAGACCCCAACTGTGTTTTATATATATATAGATCCTACAAAACTCTTATGTAGACTAGATACTATTATATTAAAAAAGGACTGTCATAAAGGCTTAGTAATATATTGAAACATTCAATTTTTCATTAAAAAAAACTTTGTAATGTACTATTATAAAAAGACTAATGAATGCATACTATCAACTATATCGAGTTGTATCAGTGTGATACAACGACTTTTTTCCAAGGTTAATTAAAAATGACTAGTGTATAAATTTTATTACTTTGGAAAAAAGTCGTTGTATAAGTATTACACTGATACAACTCGATATTGTTCAAAAGTCACTTCACAATTTATAATATCAGTTCACATTATCTTATATCTTGGAAGGATAATTTATCGTATTTTATCACAATATATTATTTAACTACATTTTCAACTTTCTTAAAAATGAAAAAGAGTAAAAATGTAACTGTAAATTCATGTTTTATATATTCATTTTTACAAAAAAAAAAAAAAAAAAAAAAAAAATCATGTTTTATAAATAAAACGTTTAAGGATAAGGATTTATTCAGTTTTGATTAACATAAATGAACATTTTTCTTTTCTTTAATCTTTATGATTGCCAGTTGCCACCATTGTTTGTCAAATCAACGGTTTTGGTTTGGTTAAGCTCAGATAGATACCCTTTTAATTAGTACAAGCCAAGCCGTTTACAGAAGTTGATGATTGATTGTGTAAAAAAGAGGGTGAGAGAGAGAGAGATACGTTCAATTATTGCAAAGTTGGTTTGGACTTTTCTTAGTAGATGCTCTCCATCAACGGCTCATTTTAATACTTGGGATCCTTTCTCTCCAGGATCTTTATGTTTACAGATATCCAATGGCTCCCCCACCGCGTCAGTGTGTGTTCATTCAAGACTTGACATCCACGCTAATACTAAACAACCCAGTGGATACTATATTAACCGCACGCCATTAATTAATTATGTGTAGCAGCAGATTTGTCGCCACCATGATTGTCACGATATATCATTCTTTTTTGTTTGTAGTAGTTGACAAAATTTCACTATCTTTCAGACTTTCACTCTCTATTTTTAATATGTTTCTCTTAAATATTGAGATTCCAAATGTTACAACGTCACTGTTTAATTTCGAATAGAAGAAAATACAAAATACTGAAAGAACATGAACTGAATGAAAAAAAAAAAAAAAAACACAAAATGACAATGAAAGTTAAGGTGGTGGCTTATAATAAGCAAAAACAGCATAAAAACTCTGTACTAATGTGAGAATTAGCAGAATAACAGCAGCAAAAAAGGAGAAATATGCCCAAGGGTTATTAAAATACCTGTGTTTTAAAGTAGCCTTCAAAGTATTCCACTTACGGCTATAGTAATGGTTAACCTCATCAGAGAGTTGAGATAGATAACTATCTTTGGGATCAAAAAACACTTCTTTACATAGCCTGTTGAACAAATCCGCAACTTCAGCGTCACTCCCTAGCCAATGCTCGATGATACCACAATAGTACAAGTAGCTAACGTCTTCGGAAGAGTTGATTAGATTATCCATGAAGATTATGTATGATGTTATGTCGTTGCTCGAGTCGATATGGCACTGTTCGAAAGCTATAAGATTCGAGAAGAGTGACTTGGTACCTACAATTAACACGACGAGGGTTAGGGCACGTCGCAACATATATTTGTAAAAAGTATGGAATACAAGAAAACGTTGAACTAACCGTCATGGATTAGTAGTTTGGGTATCTCAAGGCAACCGTTATGGTAACGAATATCCCAAAACCGGTCGGTTGTTCTTGCTTTGAATTTAACACCAGCTTCTCTTAGTTCGGTCACGCAATGCACGAGTTCTTGTTTTCGCTTGTCCACAAGGTTCACCGCGACCGTGTCCTGAGGAGACCTTGGGTTCTCTTTCGGACTAAACTCGAGGAGGCTTTGACGGAACACATCAAGACAATGCAAGGCGTCCTTGTAGCCAAGTGAGTTCAAGGATTCTTGCAGCCAGGGCTTGAATGTTGACTGTTTCTGTTTGGTCAACGCCTCTGTTGTTGGCATTAATGGGTCGAAGAACCGAACAGCTAAACGCGCCACTAAACCGGTTTGGCTCGTTGTACCAAGCTGTAGTTCTAACAACCGGTCGAGAACGAACAGAGGAAGCTGATTTTCCAGCATTACCATGTCACGTTGAATCGAATGCATCAATCCTCGCATGGCAAAAACCGGATCGTTGCGTGCATATCTACAAAAACATTAGTCAACGTTTTAGATAAAATTTGGTTTCCAAATCAGACCGGTTTAGTGGCACAGGTAGACTAGACCAGGCTTACCCGATTTTTTGGAATCCTTCATCAGTTCCTCTGAAGAGCTCAAGAACAAAACATCCATCAAGAAGAAGCATTTCTGTGAATTCATTAATGTCCAACGCAATGGGGCCTTGGTAGCAAGCACGAGCCATCTCCTCGAGCTCTTTCATGGCGTCAACATATGTTTCGATGCGTTTCTTGGTGCGTGTCACGACCATATTGACAGCACGCCACTTGTGAAGCTCCATGGGCTGGAGAAGTTTGTTGCGATGATGGTACGGACCAAGCGAGACGGTTTGAGGGGAGTAGGACTTCTTGTCGTTTTCTTGAAGGTATGTTGGAACTCTGTAGATACATAGCTTGTCCCAGCTAGTTGTGCTGCCATCTCTAAGTGCTTGCTCCATCTTGTCTTTTATCGAAACCACCCATTCTTCTCTTGGCTGATCTTGGATCTGCAAGTCGTGGTCTTGCTCGGATCTGTTAATATCCGACAACTCAAGGAGGTTCGGATGTTCATCAACCAGTTCAGGATATTGGTTTCTGGTTTGATTTCTCATGCGGACCAGGTACCAGGTCAACATGCCTCTGTTGATGATATTAATTGGTTGACCATCAGAAATTTCAGAATGAACCGAAACTAAAACCATTTTTTTCTTTGCTGGTTTGATGCTTTTTTTTAGGAGATTGAGTCTCTGAGAACGAGAGTGTAGTTATGAAATGTCAAATGAAATGCTGTGACTAATTTAAAGCAGAGCTAGGGCCATGGGTCTTTGCTTATTTTTTAATCTACAAAACTCTTATAAAAAGACTCTCATAAATGCTTGTCGTTGTTAGTATAGTAAACGTGTGAGATTCAAACACCAAACTCTCATTGAAAAAAATAGACTTTATACGACTTTGATGCCATAGTTGTTGTTGACTAATTGATTTCTTTATATATGTCACCACTATATGGCGACAAGTGAAGAAGCCCTTTTATTATTACAAGCCAAGCCTGAATGGCTGAATCAGAAGTTGATGATTGATTCATTGTGTACAAAAAAAGAGGGTGAGAGAGAGAGAGATACGTTCAATTACATTGCAAAGTTGGTTTGGACTTTGCTCACAAGATGCTCTCCATAGACGGCTCTTTTGAAAACTTTTGATCCTTCCTCTGCAGGATACTTCTCTTTACAAATATCCAATGGCTCCACCACCGCGTCAAAATTCGTCTGTTCATTCAAGATAATAGCATAAGACTCCAAGTCCAAATTCAAAAAATGAGAAGAACGCATAGTGTTACAAGTTTATAACCTCGTAGAAGAATGCAACGCAGACACGGTATAGAGGAGAGTTATTGATCACTCTATGAAGTGTGGATTCATAAACTCCGTTTGAAAGTATCTGCAAATATGATTTCGAAAATTTCTCATAGAATGTTCAAGAAACTAATACAGGTGAGGGTAAATGGTGAGAGAGTGGGAAGAACAAAACCTTTAACATGTCTCCGATGTTGCACACAAATGATCCAGGTATGGGAACGGCTGATATCCAATCGCCTCCCGAGTTTCTCACCTTTCCAAAGTTAAAAACCATTTCTTCACATGAACATTAAACCAAAGAAGATAACAATAAAAATACCTGGAGAGCAGTCTTGTCATCATCTTGGTTTACAAGAGTTAACAAGCCTGCAGAAAAAAGTGTTCCACATTGAGCTAACAAAAACTATGAGAATAGGTGGGTTTTAAACTTAATTACCATAGTCAGTGTGAGCTCCACTGGAACAAGTTCATTGGAAATGGTGAGTTTTTCGAGCTGATAAGCAAAAAGGTTATCGTAGTAAAGGAGAAGGAGAAGTAGAAAGTTACCATCCGATATCATTTTCAGGCTGGCCATTTGCGAAGGGAGCACCTGGATAGCCGATAAGACGAAACACCCAAAAAGGCTCTCCAGCAATCTTTCCTTCAAACTCATAAGGTGATCCACCAAGAGCTAATGCAATTCCTCTCAAGATCTTTCTAGAAAGATCTGTGGAAAACCATGAAAAAAGAAAATAATAAACTTATATTGGAAACAGAACACATCAGAAGAAACAGAGAAGGGTATAAAAAGTTAAAAACATACCTGTGCAGAGCTTAATATACTCTTCCATCAATTCTTTGAACTCTTGAGGATCCTCTGGCCTTCAAAGAGAAAACACAAAGAGATAAATGATCAAAAGACTAAGCAACATAACCGGATTAAGAAAACGAATATAGATTATTACCACTGGTTTGGCCCTTCCATGGCTTTTCCTGTATCACCATACTTCCCCTGCTTAAACTCTCTGTAACACTGTCCATTAGAGAAATAAACAACACATCAGGAGAGTCACATGGAAACATAGCTAGTCCCTACTAAACAGACTTACATCAATGGCTTCGTGAATATCTGGTTTTCCCTGGGTTACATTTTCTCCAATTCTCTGATATCCTCTGTTTTCACAGAACAGAACATCAACAGAGTGATCTTGGAAACAATACTAAAGATTGTTGTATACAAACAGACCTGTATCCAGCAGCTGGAGTCATCTTGATCTTAAGTTTCTCTTCGTAAGGAAGCTTGAAGAACTCACGAGTGATCTCTCTGACTTTACTGATAAGACTCTCCGAAATTCCATGCCCTATCTGCTCTCCACTCACCCCAAAAACAAAAAGTCAGATCTTTTTCAAAACCCCTGAACAAAGGAACTCAATTTCGACAAGAATTAATCTCAATTTTAGTACCACGTAGAAGAATCCGGCGTCCCGACAAGCTTTATCCAGTTGCCGGACAACTTCAAGCACGCCGGTATCTTCTGCCATGTCGGGATCATCACACTTGAGTAGTAGAGGAGAAATGTCTGCAACATCGAATTTTTGAGTGGATAAGATTGATCAGAGTAAGAGGGAATAGAGTTTAGGGTTTTCGTTAGTACCGATGACTGGTAAGGATTTGAAGTCTGTGGCCATCTTGATTCCTCTTTGCTCTCTGTATTTCAGAATCTTCTTTCGAGACTTTTTTTTGTTAATGGAGAATCTATCAGATCTATAGTATGTGTGCGGTGGATAAAGACTTGAGATGACTTGTGTTTTTCACCAACTACTGAATTAAGTATTAACACTCTATTTTAATACTAGTTAAATGTACTTTTGTATTATTAATCATAATTGTTTATTTTTGAAGATTCGAATCTTTTGATTGCTCCTTTTGGTGCTTATTCAAGGAATAATCAAATAGCGATTTTAAACAATTTGAGGTTTAGATTATTTCCATTTACCACATTTCTAATTACTGTATACAATCGATTAAATTAAAACTAAGAAAATTTAAGATCATTTATGAAAAATAAGATTTATGAATGAAAGGGAGACGAAAACAAAAAAACAAAGAAGAGCACATGCTGTTTTTTAAATTAAAAAACTCCGCGTTACAATTGCATAACGTATATCTTACGTCACATCTAAGACAAAGAAGAAACAGAGCGGCGTTTCTTACGATCACTACAGAACCGCGTGCTGTTTTTATCCATTTTATCCAACACGTAGTGCGCAAGCAAATCATTAGACTCGACAAGGTTCTCTTTGCACAAGAACTCATCTCCGCAAAGCCTCTCAACGTCTCTGTAGTAATCGTGAACGAACACATGCGTCTTCGGACTCCCGCCCTTTTTGCTCCGAGCAAGAACCGCCGCCGTGAAAATCGACGACATCCTCCCCGGTCCCTCGTGAGCGTCGCCACGTGGCCCATCCACGAAGATCACGTCCCAATCCACATCGTAGACGTGGTTCGGCAAATCGTTGAGACCTAGTTTGCAGTCGGAGAAGAGGAGGTTCTGCACGGGACGACACTCGTTTCTCGCGGCTTCTTTCGCCGCCGCGACTAGCTCGCCGGCTTCGTGAGCTTTGGTCGTGTATTGAACGTCGAAAACTTCTATCTCCGGGTGGATTTCTTCGAAATAAGCCGCGTAGTATCGGTTTTCCTCGATGAAAACCGTGCGGCCGTTGTGGTTTAACGACTTCCAGAGGAGAGTTTCGTGCGTGAGTCCGAATACGAGGAGATTACAAGGCGGAGCGCAGCGGCGGAGGACGTCGGAGATCGATTTCATCTCTCCGTATGACATGTGGAAACTGTCGTTGGATCTTGACGCGTAGTGGAGCAATGCGTTGATGGCGGTTGTGGGGAGATTAGGGTTGGAGATGGTCGTCGGAGGTGATGATGATGATACTCCGGTGGCGGATGTGACCACGGCGGCTACAGCGGCAGCGACGGAGGCGTTTTTGGAAGGGATTGTGTCTCTAGTGTAGAGGAGAGTAAGGAGGAAAACGATGGTGAAGAAAGAGACGAAAGCTAGAAGCCATAGACGAGTCGTGCTCGTTTGTTTTTGGATGTAAGGATGAAGGAGGATGAGCTTCGTGTTCGTGTTGCCTGATCCGTTTTTCATTGTTTTTCTTCTTCTCTATCCTCTGTATTTTTTCTTGTGGAGAAGATGAAGGATGATTTAAGATTTTCTCAAACAGGAGAAAAATGGGTTGATTTAATAGGAAGTGAGTACCGAGTAGTTTTCGTGAAATGTGAACTATAAGCAAAAAAAACTTTATTGACCTATTAGAGCAATGAATAAAACACTATGGTATTTTTTTTATTAATGGTCTAGTAGTTTAAATCTTGAAATTTATATACTTTTGTTTGCTAAAGAAGTATTTAATTGTGAAAAAAACAAAATTAACTCGCTATTTAAACATATAAATGGTATATTTATCTAGTATCCAACGCAAAAATATAAATATTATTATAATTTATCAATTTTGTTAAATAAACAAACTCAGACATTTTACCTCTATTGAAAAAACTCTAAACTTTATCGATTTTCAATTTTTAATTAGATCTTATTTTTTAGTCATAAATAAGAGAGTGATATGGTCATGATTTATTAATTCCTTTTTTAATAACGTTGAAAAAACAAGATTCTAATAAGATCGATCGTGACTAAAACTTCTTTTTTAAACGCCATATATTTAATAAATTTGTTCCGACGACATTTTATATCATTTATAACGAGGGTGAGAGGTGGTTGAATGTATAAGTTCTGGTCATTGCGAGAGACACCGGATCTAATTACAGACCAAAAGTCTCTTTCTCATGTTGCTTTGGTTTAGGTCCTAAGGAAACAGCCCAAACCTACGAGATAAAAACACACACACAAAACATGAAAACAATACAATATTAAAATCGTTTTACGTTTTGTTTGATTATTAGACAGCCTTGGATTGGCATTGTATTCATTCAAATTATTAAATACTTTAAATATCTTGTTCGAATTTAAGAAACTCTATGAGACACCAACAAGGTTTTGAGAACCTCTAACAAAGGAGAAGGTTTTGAACCTCAACAAAAGAAAAGGTCTCGAGTTTAAAAACATAAGACAAACCCACGAGGTTAAGTCCAGTAAAGAGTACATAAGTGATGATGAAGATATATTTGACGTCTCATAGGCTCGTGATCCGATAAGAAATGAGTCACCTCTTGAGCTCAACCTTAGCCAGTTAGCCTAATGTGTGTATGTTTCCTATTTTGGTATAAAAGGATCATGTATGTATCTATATATTTAGGTGGTCCGTGGTTGTAACTTGTACTTGTACCAAAAAAAACTTGTACTTGTACTACTTGTACGAATGAGAAAAAGAGTTGTTGTTAAAAGAGAAAAGATATATAAATCGCTTATCGATGAATATAGTAAGCCCAGTGTATATTTTGGCCCAATTAGAGATTTAATATCGAAACACACGCGCCTCATACCCGCGCGTGCTGACTAGCCCAATGACCTCGTGTAACTGTAATCGTATAAAATAATTAAAAAACTATAGTAATGCAGATGCGTCGAGTAGGAACGAAATTGAACGTGCCATGTCCTTTTCTTTGTACCAATAGAAAATTTACAATGAAGATCCATTTTGTTAGGTATAATTTGCAAAACAAGCTATGATTATAATATTAACATAGACGTCTACTAGTATACATTTATTGTATTCAAATACAACAACAATTCCATATGTATGAACATGTGATGATGTGAACGGTTCTAAAATACCATTAAAGGCCGATTGCTTTTTCAATCTTTGGAGTTGTTTTACGTGCAATTCAATTCTTGAGTTATAGTACAGTACTTGATAAAAAAAAATCTAACTAACAATATAGTGCTCTGTGTAGAGTTTGTTTAGGCTCAATTTTACAATAACCCAGCTTAATAGTCATAACACAATATAATGTAGAGAAAAAACATTACGTGTCGAAATTAAATTCGTATACTTTTTTTTACAACCATTAAATTCGTATACTGTACTAATAAAAAACGAATGAGACTAACATATAATTTTACGTAGTTTCGAAAACAAAGTAAATTTATTCAAAAATTTAATAACTAAACCATCGAACGGCATATATATACGTACACACGCGTGCAACAAGATTACATATTGAAAAGGCTTTCAGAATAATAACTGACAGATGCTCTGCTCCGTAACAAAAACACACACAAAATGACACTCTTCCACTCGATTCTCTTCCTCTTCCTTCTCCTCCGTATCTCCGCCGCAAATCCTCTCCCGCCGTCGAACTACTTCAACTCCTTCTTGCCTTCCGATGCCGTTGCGCTACTCTCTTTCAAATCAACCGCTGATCTCGACAACAAGCTTTTATACTCCCTCACTGAGCCTTACGATTACTGTCAATGGCGCGGCGTCGAGTGCTCTCAGAATCGCGTCGTTCGTCTCTTTCTCGACGGCGTCGGACTCCGAGGGAATTTCTCCTCCGAGACTCTAACTCGTCTTGACAAGCTCCGTGTTCTTAGCTTGAAGGATAACTCGCTCTCCGGTTCGATTCCTGATCTATCTCATCTCCTTGATCTCAGATCCCTAATTCTAAGCCGGAATGATTTCTCCGGTACTATCTCTCCGTCGATTCTTTCACTCCGTCGTTTAGTCGTACTCGATCTCTCGTACAACAACTTCTCCGGCTCGATTCCGCCTGAGATCAATGCACTGAGTCGACTCAGTTCCTTAAATCTCGAGCTTAACCAGTTCACTGGTACACTCCCGCCGCTAAATCAATCGTCTATGAAGTGGTTTAACGTCTCCGGAAACAATCTCACCGGTACGATTCCGGTTACAGCGACTCTGTCGCGATTCAACGAGTCTTCCTTCTCGTCTAACCCTGGGCTCTGCGGTGACATGATTGACAGATCCTGTGGTTCAAGTTCTTCGTCTTTCTTCGATTCATCAAATCCGAACGCCACGTCAGCATCGCAAGCGCCTACTAGTCAAACGACTCCAAGCGCGGAGATGCAGAACGGTACGATTACTCCGCCGGCGAATAAAAAGAGCAAAAGTGGATGGTTAGTGCTCGGTTTCACCATTGGCCTAGCGTCGCTTATATTCCTCGGTCTCTGCCTCTTCGTCTTCTCGCTGGTTTTGAAGAAACGGAGAGACGATAACGACTTAGACGACGTGATGATGTTTCAACCGACTCGAAAAGGAGAAAGTACGTTCACGCAACCACCAACTGAATCTCTAACCGCACGGGCCGTTCGAAACTCGAATTCAAATTTCAAATCTCAGAAGCGCGAAGAGGAAAAAAGAGATTTCAAAATCCAAATCCCAACGACGGATCCTCAAAAGCGAATCCCAAGGAGCGGAGATCTGATTTTCTGCGGCGATGTCAACGGAGGAGGAAGTAGTGAATCCGGAGAAGCAATGTACTCGCTTGACCAGCTGATGCGAGCTTCGGCGGAGCTTTTAGGAAGAGGATCGGTAGGGACGACGTATAAAGCGGTGCTGGTTAACCAGCTGATCGTGACGGTGAAGAGATTCGCTCCGTCGAAAACAGCGAGTGTTACCGATTTGGAGTTCGAGAATCACATGGAGGTAGTTGGTAAACTCAGGCACCCGAATCTCGTGCCGATGAAAGCGCATTTTCAGTCAAACGGAGAGAGACTTGTCATCTACGATTACCAACCTAACGGAAGTCTTTTCAGTCTTATTCACGGTAAACGTTTCATCTCCTCTCTAATAGGGTTTCAGCTGTTACTCACTGAGTCACCACCGAGTTGTTGATTTTTAATCAACATTTCGAAATATTCTGTTGGTCTCAAACAAAATTGAGGTTAAATTTAGATTTGACCACATAGAGACAATGGCGGACTTTATTGTTAAATAAATTCTGTCATTTTGTCCTTTTTGAATAACTGTAGAGGAAGATGACAGATTCTCTGCGAAATCTGAGCTGTTTTCACGTGAAATTTTCAGTCGTATTTGTCAGGAATTTCTGTGTGTTATCTAGGAGTTCTGCTCGTATATGATTGAAAGTATATATCATAGTTGAAGTCTTTTAATTTCTTTTTCACCATTTGCAATTTTCCATTATTTGTTGTCATTGATCCAGGTTCAAAAACATCAAAGGCAAAGCCATTACATTGGACGTCATGTTTAAAGATAGCAGAAGATGTAGCCCAAGCGCTACACTACATCCACCAATCATCTGCACAGTTCCATGGAAACCTAAAGTCCACAAACATCCTCCTCGGTCACGATTTCGAAGCTTGTCTCACGGATTACTGTCTCAGTGTCTTGACAGACCCTTCTGTTCCCACTGACCCTGACATTTCTTCATACAAAGCGCCAGAGATCAGGAAGTCAACGGACAGTCCTACATCCAAATGCGATGTGTACTCGTTCGGTGTCTTCGTCTTAGAGCTGTTGACTGGTAAATCGGCTTCAAGGCAACCGTTTATGGAGGAAAATGATATGTTGGATTGGGTGAGAGCGATGAGGCAAGAAGATGAGAGGACAAAGGAAGAGAACGGGCTTGAAGTGATGACTCAAACGGCTTGTCTTTGCCGTGTGACGTTGCCGGAGGAAAGGCCGACGATGAAAGAAGTGATCAAAATGATTCAAGACATAAAGGAGAGTGTGGTGATGAGTGACTGAAGAGAACAATAATTTTCAGTGTTTTTGAGGGTTGGTTTCAGAGAAGAGAAAAAAGATAGAGAAATTTGTGTACTTGAAAGTGTAAATTTTCTTGAAGATGAAAATGGGAAATTTGTGAATTTTGTTTTTGAAATTTAGAGAATCTTGTCCACGCGCTGAGGAAAGAGAGATTTTGCCTTTGGGCATTGGAGCTTACGTGGCACCACGGGCACGTGTGATTGGTTTGCTAAGAAAGAATATTTCACAACTTGTAATGAAAGTTTTGTTTTTTTGTATCCGGCGCGAAAGCTAACGACCTCTATAGGTTAGTTGATAACACAGAAACTCTTCGTTAACGCTTTGTACTCTATTCATCGTTACGAATGGTATTTGCATAAAAACTTTTAATATACCTTTATTGATATAACAATGTTGTTGAAACTGTGCAATAACAACCCAATCAACGAACTCTAAATCTATCAACAAAACAAGAAAAGGCTCGTGTATATACAGATGTATAACGTGTCAAGCAAGACATAGCTTGAAGCATCTTGTAAAAACTCAGTGTCGACTCCACGAGTGATCATCGTCGTCATCATCCAGAGACTTAGACATAAAGAGCATAGTGGTCTCGTCGTTATGCTTAATCCACTCAGAGAGTTTCCATGGTTTCTGCCATTTCCATTTAAACTGAAGCAGCCACTGATGGTGACTCCTCTTCCACTTCCACAGCTTCCCACTCTGTCCCATTTTCTTCATAGCTTTCATCTTTCTCTTTTCTTCCAACAATGCCGCTGATTCTCTCACCGAGACATTGACTATACCAGGCGTAGAGTATTTGAGATGCTTTGTTGCTCGGTGATATGAAGATGGAGATGATTGGTCGCTCGCGTTGTTATCTCCATAGTGCTTTGATGAGCTTCTTGAGCTTCCCTGCAAGAAGTTAAATTTTGCATATATTTGAAGAAGAGATTTCCAGAAAGAGAGTTTTGGATTTCAATTTTTTTTTAAAATAAGATACCGAGCACGATGATGATGAAGCCAGCGCAATGGACAATGTTTGCTCCCTTGTCTTCTTCTCTTTAAGTATCTCTCGGTTCTGGACTTCGGATAGTTGTAACAAGCAGAGGAGATCATTTAGTTGTTCCTTCTTCTCTTTGATGTCTACGTCTTTCTCCCAGATTTTGCACCTGTTTGATGTTTGAACAGGAACAACATCAACCATCCATGTGTGAGCATTCGGAAAGAAGAACCTATTCGTGACAGAATTAGTGTTTTTACTTAGTTTTGTTACCTTGCTTCGGCAGCAGAACTGAACACATATTGAAGCAAAAACTTGGCATTAGTCATGGACTGAACGTGGTTCCACCGAGTCTTAGCATGTAGGTTATGCTCTCTTTCCTCTGCTTCCGAGAGCTGAGAGGCCATGGCAGTGAGAGCGTTTGAGGAAACATCCAACATGCTCTCAAGAGAAGCTATTCTCTCCAATCTTGTGTTGGGTGACAAAAATCTGAAGCATGGAGAAACATAAACCGGTCAGAAAGTGAATCAATCCATTCTCAAGTCAATAGTGTAGTCATTTCATCTAATGTTTTACCTCGACTGTCCATTTTTCTCTTGATGGGGACTTGAAGCAAAATTTATCTCTCTTTTCAAGGAGTTTAACTCTTCAGCCAGTGCAGCTCGTCTATATGCAACCAGAGAAGAGTATTGATTAGTTAAAATATATGAGAGAAAGAAGTTTGCAGCTAACAACATGACTGAAACAGAGTTTTGAAGACGTACACTTGGATTTGCTTTTCATATTCAAAACGAACTTGGTGTACTTTTGCCATAACCTCTAGCTCGTTATCAACCCATTTCCGAAGAGTTTTTTCGTCCACCTGCAAAGAGTATGAAAGGAAACAGTTGATACTTGTGCAGGATAGTGAATCCATATCTAAATTAGGAGTTCTAAACTTCTAATTACCTGTCTGCTTGGTGGTTGACCATTGGTAGTCACTGGAAAAGAAAGCAAAAGGATTATGAACAAATCAAGAGCCAAGAAAGTATGTTCTGGAATTTATGTTACCTGATGTATCACGTGGTGCAGACTTGCGGGCTTCTAGCAGCTCTTTAAGTCTTTTGGTAGCCGTTGCTGCCTCCTCTGTTTTTCTATGAAGAACCTGCAAGACATTAAGATGCTTGTTCTCTTGAGATTCCTATTTCGACACTTGAATTGGATAATCTTGGAAATGTTTCTCTTAAACGGGAAAAAAAGAAAAGAAAAATACGTCATAAGATTCCTACCATTTTCTGACGTCGAGTGAGGGCTTCGAGTTTGAGTCTTTCATGCTCACTCTTCCTTCCTTCTTTCTTGAGCTACACAAATACAATTAAAACATACAACTTGAGATCGGTAGTTGAAAAGACAATGAAGGACAATAGGTGGATGATGAAGAACCTGCAACAATTCCTTCTCCTGAGAAGCTTTCCATTGCCGGAATTGCTCAGCTTCTTGTTTCATCTTCTGTTGTAGTTGAACCTAGAAAAACAAAACGCCAGAAGAAAGGTCAAAATGTAGATCTTGATTATGTGATCTAGTATAACAGAAATAATCTGCTAGCTGAAGCTGAACAAGAAGCAAACCTTCTGAGCCTTAATGCATTGTATTTCAGCTTGTAACCGCTTTGCTGCATCTTCACTTTTTTGCTTTTGTTTTGAGGCCTCAACTTGATTTTCTTGTTTCTTCTTAAGGTCTGAAATCTGTGTCTCGAGTGCTTTTAGTTTTTGTGCATGGGTGTCTCTTGCAACTTGTGCTTGTCTATCAGAACTAGCAGCAAGTTTTTCAACTTCAGCCAACAATAGATCTCTCTCAACCTGTAGACTTCACTCATTACTTGGGTACTGAAACTTAAGTAAAATATCAACAAGAAAGAAGTAGAATGTTTTATTTCACCTGTACAGTTCTTTTCTCTTTCTCAAGTTCCATCATTTTCTTCTCAAAGTGTTGTCTGATAGTTTCAGATCCGCCGTATATTTTCATCTCGGACTGAAAATGTAAAAATCATTAGGCTATCAGAAAAATCGAATCTTTATCAATAGGAATAGAAAAATTCAGTTGAGTAATGACTAAACCTCTTTCTCCTCCAGACGTTTACTTAGTTCATTTAATTCGTTGCCCATGTTATTCTGCCTAAGTGCATGTTCCCACTCTTTTGTATCTCCATCAATATCTTCAGAAATGACACCTTAAATCAGAGAAGAAGATTACAAGATGAAATGATTGTAGGAGAATGCAGAGTGCATTTCATGAAATAAGTTTCCCGAGAAGCCAGTGTCCAAAACCTGAAGTTGCTTCACTCATTTCACAATCTGAATCCATACTTTCGAATCCCCTTTTGAGACCATCATCTTTTGTAAAACTAACACCATCTTCCTGAGTATATCATTAAGTGAACAACTCTTGTTTTCAGCAGTGAAGCAAACCACCAAATAAACTTAGAGGTTATTCTCTAATGTACACAGAAATTACCTGTGCATCAATATTGCAGTAGTCAAGAGGAGCTATCTTGCTGCGATACAAGTGAAGTTCTCGGGAAAGCTGCTCATTGGCAGTCTCTAGCTTCATGATTTTCTCTCGCATAACCTTTAAAATGAAACTCAATACTATTACTGATGAGTAGTTTATAAACATTTTGATGAAATTCAGCAGAAGTTATACATACCTGCACTTCCTCTGATGGGGTTGCCCCACGAGCACACAGTGCAGCTTGTAGATATTGTAGCTGTTGACGCATCTTTTGCATCTCACTACCTATTAAGTCTTTATTGGCCTGTGCAACAATATAGAGAAGTCTGTCCTGTTAGAGCCCTAAACTGACCATTCTTATTCCCTATTATTTCCCTTATGTGAACATTTTTAATTGTGTAAGCTGAGGTCTGCAGAATTGAAAGCTCATATAAGGTAGCTCCTCGGTACTTACAACAGGCTTATTCTGAATATTACGAGCACGGTTTGCATATTTGAGCGTGTTAAGAGTTTCTTCAGCATTGATGTCAGCTGGACTGATGCAAGCTACAAGAATAACACCAACAAAGAGAGGGCTAAATTTGTGAAATGATATGAGATTTACAGGGGAATTAACTCATACGACTTAAAAGTTACCTATCATGACTGTTTTACTATTTCCACCAAGAGAATCCTGCAGTAATGTAAAGGACATATTTAATGCAACATTTGCCTCATGAAGTTATAGTGATAATGAGTACCTACACATATTAGGAACTAGAAGTGAAAAGATAAAAATGAACCTGCAATAGCCGAGTAAGTTTACTATCACGGTAGGGAACATGAGCGCCTTCTTTTCGCTTTTTCTCATCCCCAAGCGCGCTGATGACATTACCAAGTGCAAGAAGCCCCCTGTTGATGTGAATTCCTGTTTCAGAGAACAAAAAAAGAACTGTGATTCAAAATGCAAGTCAATGTTCTCAAAAGGATACAGAAGTCGGTTTCCCCAACCTTCTTTCAATCGAGCACCGCCTGAACCTGTTCGTTTAGCTCTTTCAGATCCTGCAAGATCTACCAGATGAAGCTTGGCACAACAATACTCCTCACCCATATCCTCATCTACTGAGTCTTTAACCTCTGAGGTCGAAGAGATCTCGCGCGTCTGTTCTAAGGTGATCGTGAAGATGGCATGTGACCGACTTTTGATATCACCCATAACAAAGACATGCTTATACATTAGGATGCATTCTTATTAAGAAAATAGAAACAGGGAAAACTAAATGAAGAACTATTTATGATCCCACTTTTTACCATTTCTAATCTTCCCATGAATGCTCGTTTTTTTTAATCAATGTTCAATACATCTACCTTCTATTACTAGCTACAAATCATTCCTGTTAATGTAAGCTACTTCTTGCTTCTTATGGAAATTTTGGTCTCAAGCATGGGATATAAAGATTCTCACCTAGACTGATTATTCATATTTGTGCTCCCAGTCGCCCTAGCAAGAGATCCTTTCTCTAGACAGGAA